ATATATATATATATATGCATTTCAATAAGTTTTTAAAAAAAAATATCATCACTGTTGAAAAAAATTAACAACACTAAACTATATAGAATTGGGGGTAGTATACAAAGAACAGCAAGATGAGTATCTCGAATGTACCACCAGCTTTATCGCCTGTATCAAGTACAACGTCGTTTCAAACACTTCCGTCTACTGCAATGGTAAATTCAGGAAACAGTACGACAGGGAATAGCAATACGGTTACATCAACGACAAATTCTGTATCTACTTCACCACATTCTTATTCATTAGATAGATATCATGAGCCATCGTCTGCTGAAAAATTTAAAAGGGCGAAAAATATGTCATTACCACCAATTTCATCATTCGATAATTTAATTCGTGCAGCTGAAAAACAATATGCTTTAGGTAATGATAGCAATAGTAATAATAATGGAAATAATGCGATTGGTAATGGTGGTGCTATATTTCGTGTTGGGACACCAATAGGTAATTCCATAAATCATAGTTTATCAAGAACAAATATGTTAAGTTATCAATTATCAACAACGGGTCAAAGAGAATCACGTGGAAATAATGTTGTAACACAATCATCAAATTCAAGTATTTCACAACGTCCATTTGTTAGCAGTAGTACTCATGTTAATGATTCTCGTTCAACTTCAAATAGATCTTCTTCTTTATTAGTATCATCTCCAACAGACTCAATAGTAAGTACAGCTACAACAACAACAACAAGTGGTTCTGTTACAGTGGCTACTCCTTCAGTCTCGGAATATCGATTAAGTGGACCACCTCAAGTAATTTCATCATCTGCCATTGCAAATACATCTAATGCACAATCAGATATTAGTCTAGTCAGTATTATAGAAAAAAAAATTGACACTAACAACGACGTTACCTCAACACGTAAACATCGTAAAAAAGTTCTAAAACCTAGAAAAAAGAAACAATGTCCCTTATGTTTAAATTACTACGCAAATTTATCAACTCATAAATCAACACATTTAACACCAGAAGATAGACCACATAGATGTCCAGTTTGTGAACGTGGTTTTGCTAGAAATAATGATTTAATTAGACATAGAAAACGTCATTGGAAAGATGAATTAATGTCAGAAATGTCGCCGGCGACATCAAATATAAATAATGAATCTGTAGATTCTAAGAATAATTCTGATTCAATTGTAACAAATTCAAAACAATCTCAATTAAGATCATTACATCAAATTAAAGGAACTTTTAAATGTCCTTATAATTCAACTTTAATTAAATTAGATATGGAAATTTATCCTTATAAAAACAGACATTTAGCATTTGAAACATCAAATTGTCATCAAACTGGTGTATTTTCACGTTGTGATACTTATAAAAATCATTTAAAAGCATTGCATTTTGAATATCCTCCTGGTACTAAGAAAAAAGAACGTAGTATAGTGCCAGGTAAATGTAAACACTGTGGTGCAAAATTCGAAAATGTTGATACATGGTTAAATTCCCATGTCGGGAAAGATTGTGGTTATGCATATCATTAATAGTAAAACAAAAAAAGTATTCTTATATTATATATATATGTACATATTTATAAATTATTATTTTATTTTTTACCTTAAGTTTTATTCTTTAATAAAACTTTGTGTGTTATTGGATCACGAACCATTACAAGATCAATATCATTCATATAACTTGACATAATTGTATTATTTTGTGATGTAAAACTATGTTCAATACCTTGATAAAATTCATTATTTAAACTTGTACTAACATACCAACAACCAAACGTTCGTTGAATATTTTTAATTAATTTAAGTAAAATGTTTAATGATTTGATATCGTTTGCGGTACCGGCATATAAATATGACAAATTATCAATTATTATACCTTGTAATGATATTGAATCATCAGTATTACTTTTCGTCTGATCTTTATCAATAGAACATTCATTATGTAATGTATTTGAAGGATTTGCGTTCAATCTAGCCAAAAAACATATAATCCCTTCCAGAGTAAATAATTCTTCAGAATTAATATACCATATATTGTTTAATAATTTAGCATCATTTATTAATGTATTTCGCCATGTGGAAACTATATCGATGATTAATATTTTACCATTTGTAGTTACGTTATCCTTTAATAATTGTCTCTTAAAATCATATATTTTAAAATCTGGTTCAATTAAATGTAATGATCGTACAGGTTCTGTCTTGGCATCTATCGTTAACAGTTGTCTCTGGGCATGATAATATTGAGATAAAGAATATACTTTACAATGGGCTAAGATTTCCATCCTATATCTGTTCGAAGATATTTTGTTTAACGTCTTTTAATATGAATTCTGTTATTATTTCTTCTCTATTTAAAATTAATTATTATTTGTTTTTGAGTGGGACGGCGATGATGTATGGGGGGAGCGAAGGGCATTTTTAATAGAATTAGAAATAAATAGAGATATAATAACAATAGTTGAAATTATGTAGTAATTGAAAAGAGAAAAATAAACTAATACTTATATATATATATGTGCGTTTGTGTGATACGATTACAATTTGCCAACATATTTTAAATATTTGTCAACATCATCATTTGAACCCATCCATACAGATGATTTATCATGAATATGACTTGGACATAAATCTAAAATTCTTTTTCCTTGATCATTAACAGCTTTACCACCTGCTTGTTCAACTAACATAGCCATTGGGAAAGCTTCATATAATAATCTTAATTTACCATGAGGATTTCTTTTATCTGAAGGATAAGCAAATAAACCACCATAAAGAAAAGTTCTATGTAAATCAGCAACCATTGAACCAATATATCTTGCAGAATATGGTTTACCATCTTGAGATTGTGGTTGTTTTAATGTTTCAATAAATTCAACAATTTCTTTGTCCCAATAATATGAATTACCTTCATTGATTGAATAAATTGATCTTTGTGAAGGCAATTTTAATTCCGGATGTACAAGAATAAATTCACCTAAAGTATTATCTAATGTGAATCCACTTACACCATTACCTAACGTTAATAATAAATGAGTTGATGCACCATACATTGCATAACAAGCACCAACCATTTCTGTACCTTGTCTTAAGACATCGGCCGTTGAACCTGTTGAACCAGGTAAGAGTCTAAAAATTGAACAAATTGTACCAACAGAGACACCTGCATCTAAATTTGAAGATCCATCAATTGGGTCACAACAGATTGCATATTTTGCATCATTATTATGGAACACAATCATATTTTCTTGTTCTTCTGATACCACAAGTTTAACAATACCACTTGCACTCATTGCATTAATAAAAATTTCATCACCTAACACATCTAATTTTTTTTGTTGATCACCTGTTGAATTTGTATTACCTGTAATACCAACTAAATTAATTAATTCCGCTTTACGAATTGTTTGTGAAATAAATTTAAATGCGAACCCTAAGGCATTCAATACAAGAGTAAAATCACCTTTAGCACCTTTAATTGATTGTTGAGTTTCAATAATATAACGTGGCAATGTGACTAAATCTGTATTAATATCTTCAAGTGAATCTCTTCTATGACTAATTGCGGGCATTTTTTGTTAGATCGTGTGTGTGTATGTGTGTATGTATGTGTGTGTGTGTATATATATTCAATTATTTTCTTCAGAGGGTTAAAGTATATTTAAAGATAATTCTTTGAAATAAAAAATATTATTATATAAATATATATTGTACACTTATATCAAAATGTAATTGTTTTATTTATATATGAAAAAGTTAGGGAAAATCCAGCAATCCCCTTTTCTAATGGTTTAAAAGAATTCTTGACTTATGAAACGGTGATAGAATAAACTGACATTACTGGTTTATTGACATCGAAAGTTATAGGCGACTATTGGCAATGATTACGTGGGATGCGATCGATTTATAAACGTGGGATATAAATAAATATACATTTATTCATCCATTCATTAATATATAGCCGCTGATCCGAAAACTGTCAATACACATTGTAATAAACAAGGCTATTTAATTCAATTTTTAATTACAGGGTTTTAGTTAAAGCCATTCATCCGAGATATCAGAAAAGGGTTCTATTCTATCCTTTTGTTAAGAAACTGCCGTACCGCATGCCAGCATTTTCTCTTTGCGCGCTAAACTACTTTTCCGTGGAGACAATACATACATATACATTTCGGATGAATGGAAAATGTATATTGCCACACAAAAGAAAAACTAAAAACAACGAGAGCATTTGTGGGGACGGCTGTGTAACAAGATTAGCTCCAACATTTAATATCGCGGTTGATTGCGTTCTCCACGTACACAGTGATGTGACCGCTCTTACTCCATGTGATATATATATATATATAAGCAGTCAGCAGAAAATATAACGGCAATTTAATTTACCTTGAAATTTTGGTTCCAACTGTTATATTTTCCGTCTTGTTTCTTATAAAACCAAATGTGCAGCCTTCGACATGTACTATAGAACAAGTAAGTAGTTTTAGGTTAAAAACTACCCCATATTGCAACATCGCTGGGTACGGCACCCACGTGACTGCTGACGCGTAAAAAAACAATGAATTCAGCAGACATCAAAACTGAAAAATGAAAAAAACTGGTTTACTAACAAAATATACTTATATATACATATATTTTCGCGTATTGAAAATTTTTTTCTTGTCTCTTCTCGCTTTTCAGTGACGGACAGAACAACGAAAATTATTTTGCCTTGCTTTGCTTTTAAAGGGTGGAAGTAGCTTAGCACGTCCGGCGCGTTGTGTCTGTGTGTGTGTGTGGTGTTGGCCGGTTGACGTGGCCTCTCTCTCTCTCGCTGTGCGCGCGTAAGTTAAAGAAACGCGATTAATTTACAGTGCAAAGAGATATTTTCTCTTAGTGAACAGTCATTAGTGTACTACTTACACTGAGGTTTTCCATTCGAATTTTGAAAGAAAATTTCGTTATTGAATCATTTTCTAATGGAACAGATACAATGGTCTCGCTGTCAATAACTTACATAAACTATATATATATATACTTGTGATCTTGTAAAATGTTATTGTAAATCATCTTTAAAAGTATTTTTGTATATATTGAAGTATTGATATTTATAGTATCTATTATTGATATAATCATAAATACATACACACACACACACACACATTATTCAGAATGTCTTCTGTTCGTCTGTTGGACTTATTTAAGCCATTTGAAGCTTTCTTACCGGAAGTTATTGCTCCAGAGAGAAAAGTACCATATAACCAAAAATTGATTTGGACAGGTGTCTCTCTACTAATTTTTTTAATTTTAGGTCAAATTCCACTATATGGTATTGTCTCAGCTGAAACAAGTGATCCATTATATTGGTTAAGAGCTATGCTAGCTTCAAATAGAGGTACCTTAATGGAATTAGGTGTCTCTCCAATTATTACTTCCTCAATGATTTTCCAATTCTTACAAGGTACTCAATTGATTTCAATTGATCCAAAAAATAAACAAGATCGTGAATTATTTTTAATTGCACAAAAAGTTTGTTCAATTGTCTTGACTTTTGGTCAAGCTTTAGTCGTTGTATTAACCGGTAACTATGGTAAACCAAGTGATTTAGGGATTGCTATCTCTTTAATTCTTGTCTTCCAATTAATGTTCGCTTCCTTCATCGTCTTATTATTAGATGAATTATTAACTAAAGGTTATGGTTTAGGTTCTGGTATTTCTTTATTTACTGCTACTAATATCGCTGAACAAATCTTTTGGAAAGCTTTTGCTCCAACTACTGTTAATACCGGTCGTGGTAATGAATTCGAAGGTGCTGTTGTTGCATTCTTCCATTTAATCTTCGTTAGAAAAGACAAAAAGAGAGCCCTTGTTGAAGCCTTTTATAGAACTCCTCTACCAAACATGTTCCAAGTCTTTGCAACAGTTGTTGTATTTTTATTTGTCTTATATTTACAAGGTTTTAATTATGAATTACCTGTTAGATCAACAAAAATTAGAGGTCAAGTTGGTTCTTTCCCAATTAAATTGTTTTATACTTCAAATACTCCAATTATGTTACAATCTGCTTTAACTTCAAACGTTTTCTTAATTTCTCAAATGTTATATCAAAAATTTCCAAATAATGCAATTATTCGTTTAATTGGTGTTTGGGGTAATAAACCAGGTTCTCAAGGTATGTCAGCTTTATCAGGTCTAGCTTATTATATTCAACCAATTGTTTCATTAAAAGAATTTTTCTTAGACCCTATTAAATCTGTTATTTATATTACTTTTGTCTTAGGTACTTGTGCTTTATTCTCAAAGACTTGGATTGAAATTTCTGGTACTTCTCCACGTGATGTCGCTAGACAATTTAAAGATCAAGGTATGGTTATTAATGGTAAGAGAGAATCAAACGTTTATAGAGAATTGAAAAAAATTATTCCAACCGCTGCTGCTTTTGGTGGTGCTACTATTGGTGCTTTATCTGTTGGTTCTGATCTTTTAGGAACTTTAGGTTCTGGTGCTTCTATCTTGATGGCTACTACTACCATTTACAGTTATTATGAAACTGCTGCTAAAGAAGGTGGTTTTACTAAAGATTTAGTTCCAGGTTTCTCTGATCTAATGTAGATTCAGAAAAAAAAGGTTTAGAAACAGATCATTTTTTCAAAAATTAAAAATAAAATAAAAATAAAAAAAAGAGTCATCGATATATATATTTGTAGAGTTTTTATATCTATACATTGTATAATTTACACCCACCCCCCATTAATATTATATTAAAACTACGTTATAAAATGAGGTTCCATGTTTTATTTATAGGAATTATGTGATGTTGTCGTCGTTTGCAATCTTCGTTTAAAACCTTCCTTATTCTTAGCGGCGCGTTGCTCAACAAACCGTTATTTTTACTTTCCCTCTCTCTTTCATTTATATATATATATATAATGCAAGGTATTTTTGGGTTTCTATTGACAGATTCATATGATTTCATAATAAAGCAAGAATAGTAACGCAATTTTATATATAATGGTTGAAGACAAGAATTCAATTAGTAGTAAATTGCAACCTAGACCAAACTATAGCAAAATTACAGATGAAAATGAGATCGTATTGAAACAAATATGGACTAATTTATTTCATCTTTGGAAAATTGAAGTTGATGGAACTAACGCATTTAGTGATCGTAGGCTTACCGCTTATAATTCTCATAATAGTACTGAATCTGAAAAGAAATCAAAGAAGAAATCATCAGGTGGTTGGTTTGGATTTGGTGGTTCAAGTTCTTCTGTAGCATCGAATGATGCCACTAATGAAAAGGATTCTTCAGTTAATGCTGATAATTCGTATGAAAAAGGGGTTGTACATTCATCGTTTGATGGAATTGATCCGAAATTGGCAGAAAATGTCTTTTGGGATATGTTGAAAGTAGATCCTCCAGATTCTACCATATGGAGATTTTCAAGTGCTAGAAAATTTAATTCTAGTAAAGCCACTAGAATGATAGCACATACTATTAAGTTTCGTTCAAAGCGTAATGTCGAAGAATTATTAAATAAAGGTGAATGTGCTGTGTTTAAGAATAAAGAAGAAGGTGTAATGTTGAATTTTAATTTACAAAAAGCTGTCATTGTTGGGAGAGATCTTAAAGAAAGACCATTTATCTTAGTAAGACCTAAATTTCATCATTCTAATGAACAAAAGGAAGAAGATATTGAAAAATTTGCATTAATCGTTATCGAGATTTCAAGATTATATATGAGAACAGGTTATACTTCAATTATATTTGATTTAACAGATTTCAGCTTATCAAATATGGATTATGCTCCAGTTAAATTTCTAATTACTTGTTTTGAAGCTCATTATCCTGAATCCTTAGGTTGCCTCTTGATTCATAATGCACCTTGGTTATTTAGTCCAATTTGGAATATTGTTAAAAACTGGCTGGATCCAGTTGTTGCCTCAAAGATCATTTTCACGAAGAATTTGAATGAGTTAACAAAATTCATCGCAAAGGAAAATATTCCAAAATATTTAGGTGGTGAAAATGAATTTGATCTAGATAATTACGTACCACCAGATGGTTCTCATGACGAAGCTTTGGAAGATACAGCTGGTAAAGATGCAGTTTTAGCATTAAGAGAAGAGTTGATCTTGAAATACAAAGAATTAACTGTGAAATGGATAGAAACTAGTGAGCCGAAAGAATCAAAGAAACTATGGAACCAAAGGATAGCCATTGGTCAAGAGATTACGAATAATTATTGTGAATTGGACAAGTTTATTAGATCAAGATCATATTACGATATCACTGGGACATTAGAGATCTAGCTAAAACTAAGAAAAGACGCATACTGGGGGTGGGGGGAATACATATATCTCATTGAGCGTTAGATCAATGAGAATTGGTCACGATTTTATTTATATATAGGTAAATATGTATTTAGCCTTTCTTTATAAAATAAATACATAATACTAATTTATACAAATATTTGACAATTAACCCTTTTAGTTATTGCCCATCGCGTTACAGTAATTTTCCGTGGAGAACGAAAGGAAGGGTACATAATTGATATTATTTTTTAATTAAAAGTAAACAAACAAAACATATCGACACATTATTAAAGAAGTATCTCACCTTAAATATATACTATTATCTCTAACTGGCTGGCCAATTTAGAACATTTATGATACAGATATCATTGCAAACTGGCATATGTCGAACACTTTAGATACCCCCCTTTTTGATCTTATCCATGCTACGACGGACATCTCGCAATGGGAATTGAAGGCACTATTGAAGAAAGTTTACTCGGCTGTACCGAGACATGGTATTTCTCCAACTATGATAGCTCCCTTCATTGATTTTCTTTGTACTACTCAACTGATTACAACTTCTACAAAAATCTCATTAATTGAGCAATATTTAATACCAAATGGATACTTAGGTAAGGATGTAGTCGAGACATTGTTTAAGCATTTAGGTACGCCGACGATATATACGCAACAAACGGATAAAATACCCTCAAAATATATTCAAGTAGCACTATGTAAATGGTTGGTACATGTGTTTTTTTTATTACCAGAATCACAGGATGATTCCTCACTTTCAACATGGTTACAAATATGGCAATTCGACTACCTTCAAGAATGGATAACGTTCATAATAGTTTGGAGTACTAGAACGCGTTTAGATATTAAACCTTGGAAAGTTAATTTATTGATAAAAGTAGCTAAAAATACTGGGTATAGCAATTCTAGGGCAACTGCTACTTTAATTTTACGAAAATATCTAACTGTATTGAATCACTCTACAAAAATATCAGATACTCTTGATGAAATAAATTGTTCCGAATCCGATATTAAAGATTTACAGGACTTGCATTGGAATTTCGATTTTATAAAGACTTTAAAGATTGTTCTCAGTAGAGAGTCATCGTTTAAATTTAATAACTCAATAGTAGAAGATAAACTGGAGGTATTAATATCTCTATTGGGGACGTCCGATATAGATTCTAGGAAATTAAATTTTCTTGGGACTATGCCAAATGACAAATCAATATTATCAGAAACCAAGACAATTGTACAGTTATACAAAAATTGGAATTATTTAAAATTGCCGAAAAATGTGGAGCTTGTCATAACGGATCAACATTATTCATTACCCCAGTTATTCACATTGGCACTCTCTCATTTAGAATTATCACTAGAAAATAAAGCAGTCGAGGAGTTTTGGATACGAATGTATAGCTATTTAAAGATACATTTGGGGAGATGTTTCCATGAGAAACAATTAACCATAAAGGAGAGAATGACGTTATTTGATAAAATAATTCATTGTTGTATCATTTACAGTAGATTTATTCCAGACATAATAAACGATTTTCTAACGCTACCTAACTTGTTCGCTAGCAAAGATCTTTTTATCATAATTTGCATTAGATTGTTACCCATAATGCCACCACCTGAAAACTATTCGAAATTTAAAAATAAAATATTGAAGGTTCTCGCAATTTGTCTTCTTACAAAACAAAAATTAGATTCAAAGAGTGATAAGGGTTCATCGTATAAATCTACTTTCGGGAGCATATGTTACTCAATAGTACATATGGTGCAAAATTGGTTATTGCATACAGAAGATGATACAGTGATGTTATATAGTTTAGATCTTCTGGGTGATATAAGGAAACTTCTTCTATCAAACATGACGAATTCTCTTCCAGATAGAAATATCACATTACCTACAGTCTTATTGCTAGACGTTCAGTCTTCTTTTATTGAGTATTACCAGAATATCCGTAAACCAGATGAACGAACCGTTACTGTAATAGATAAGGTCATTTTAAAAAATAATGTAATGGATAAGCTATTGACACTGGATGATCCATTGTTATTAAACCACTGTTGTTCTTATTTTATCATTGCAAATAAATTTATAAAAGACAGTCCAGCCCCCAACATTTATGTTCAGTTATACAACCAATATATTATGGATTTAACTAATTATTTATGGAGAAGTAGAGTTGCTGATTCAAAAAAGCTTTTTGGTATTCCAACTGAATTCATAAAGAGTATTCATGAAAACCTTGTAGGTGGTAGAAATGCAGAACTAAAACTAAAATATATGTTTAGTGTAAGAGGTATTCCCGCAATTACTTCAGTAATATCGTTTATATTGAGGAGAATTGAACAAAGAAAACATTGTACGGTACAATATTTGTATCCAATAACAGAAGATGGTTTTCGTAGGTTTCAAAAAGAACTGTCTATTGAAGATAACAGTACTAATTCGTGGATTCCGAATGTCAAGACGTTTAATGATTTAAACATTTTACTATTGGAGGAGCTTTCGAGTATGAAACAATACTATTTTGTAGTCCGTTTCTTAACAATTTATATGAAGAGTTTATCCCATGTCCAGCTGTTGCAATGATCATTAATAATGTTCCACTTATAGATTTTGTATACTTATGCTAATTTTGAATAAAATTGTGTTATATATTTATGTATTTACATGTGAGAATTTGTTCGTAAAAGTAGGTAACGATAGTCTAAATCTGATAAGTGTTTGTCTGCTTGATCCTTAGTCGATATTTACATGTCCTTTATTTTTCTTGGGTTTCTTGAATACAAAACTAACAATGTTGTATTTCAAGATCATCTTGTCGTAAGTTCTATTTACCAGATACGGCCTTCCGACAGGGTCTTTAATTAGATATTCATAAACATAATCCATTCCCTTCTTAAACAAATTTTTTTCAGCTACGAACTTAAATTTAGTTCTACCGTTAATAACTACTTGATAATGTTTGAAGGGCCATTCAGTCATGCGTTCTTTCATCGGCCATTGATAGTGGTTCCAGCTTGCTAGACCTGGTTGTTTTTCTTTTATTGTGGATGCCATTTCCTCTGATATGGAAGGTGTGACAGGGTAGATTAATGAAATTAATTTTTGTAAGTTAAACATAATCATGTCATCTCTTACCTTTCTATTCATCGACGCCTTATCAATTAAATGTGTGGCTTTCATATAATCAGATATAACTGTGTTCAGATGTTGGCATCTCTCGAAAGATTCGGTTATGCTCCTCACGTAACGTTGCATCTCATTATGAAATTCTACTTCGAATTCATTCAATTCATCTTCGACAGGTGTTTTATAGCTGGCTTCGAATTGCTTAAACTCGCTTATCTTACCTGTAATTGATATAATTCTTTGTAACCAACGCTCGATTCCAATGATTTTAGACTCGTCCCAACTCAGAACATCATGTACTGGTGCTTGAAATAAAATATGCGCCCTCGTTGCGTCAGGTCCATGGTGAGTGATACATTCATCGGGATCTGCACCATTGTATTTAGATTTTGACATCTTCTCATAGGAGATGTCGGGTGTCTCACCCGTATCTTTAATAATCATTTTATCACCTGCATTCTCAAGTTCATCTGGTTTTAAGAATTTACCTGTTTTAGGATCAACAAATGTTTTACCATGTACCATACCTTGTGTCACTAATTGATTGAACGGTTCATAGTGGCAATTCTTACCGTCCCACATATTAATCGAACCTAGGAATTTGCTGACAAACCTTGAATATAACAGATGTAGAATAGCATGTTCCACACCTCCAACATATATTTCAACAGGCATATTCTTGGAAGCCTTGTCGTATGCGAATGGTAAAGATTTATTTTTATTATCAAGATACCTAAAATAATACCAAGAGCTATCCATAAATGTATCCATAGTATCGGTTTCTCTTTTAGCATCCCCACCGCAACTTGGACACTTCACATCAACAAAATCATGAATATGGGCCAATGGGTTTCCACCTCTTGTGGGGATTTCGTGGACATCAGGTAATACCACCGGTAAATCTTTCTCGGGTACGGGAACAGGGCCACACGAGTCACAGTGTATAATAGGTATAGGGGTCCCCCAATATCTTTGTCTACTAATTAACCAGTCTCTAAGTCTATATTGATCAATCTTCTTAGCAATACCATCTTCCACCATTTGGTCTACCATTTTTTTTCTAGCTTCATTAGTAACCATTCCTGCCATTCCTCCAGTATTATCTTCCATATATCCAATTTTCTCAGTAAATGGAACCGGTGTACTATTTAAAAACATTGTTGAAATTGGTTTGACACATGTATTAATTGGTTCATCTGGTAGGTTTTCGTTACTAAACACAAAATCACGGCTATCGTGTCCAGGAACCCCCATAACTGCCGCACCTTTTGTGCCTTCCTCATTAGCGTATGATGGAATGACATATGGTGCTACAAAAATTGGAATTTCTTTCTTCGTCCACGGATTAATTGCCATTATCCCTGGAATTCTAAAGCCAGACTTTGAATCATCAGGAAGATCACGGATACCATCTATATATTTCTGTAGATCCTGATTAGTCTTTGCAAATTTGGTTACAATAGGGTGATCATATGATAGTCCAATGAATTGAACCACCGATATTGTTTCTGCCCTTGTCGTATATACAGAAAATGTTTTGAATTCCTCACAATTAGTTTCGAAAGTTATTCTTGCCCCTTTTGATTTCCCGATCCAATGGTGTTGCATTGTTTTAACTTTATCTGGCCATTTCTTCAAAATATTCATATCTTGAAGTAAATCTTGTGTATAGTCAGTAATCTTTAAAAACCATTGATTTAACATTTTCTTTTCAACAATGGCACCAGACCTCCAAGAACGACCTTTTGCATCAACTTGTTCATTTGCTAAGACTGTTTTGTCGATTGGATCCCAGTTAATTTCAGCTTCCTTTCTATAAGCAAGCCCTTTCTCGAACATTTTTAAAAAAATCCATTGATTGAATTTATAATAGTCTGGGTCACAAGTTTTTAATTCTCTTTCCCAAGAAAAATTGGCTAACATATTATTCATTTGTTTCTTCATTTTCTCGATGTTTTCCTCAGTCCAAACTTTAGGATTGATTCCTCTTTCAATTGCAGCGTTTTCTGCTGGTAACCCAAAGGCATCCCAACCCATAGGATGTATGACGTCATGACCTCTTTGTTGATAAAATCTATTCAAAGTATCACTGATAACGTACACTCTTAGGTGGCCCATATGAAGCATTCCTGATGGATAAGGAAACATCGATAAAATATACATAGACTCGGGTCTATTCTTGACTAGATTTATTTTCCCTACTGGAGTTTGAATACCCTTTAGGGTAATAGGTTTCCATTTTTCACTGACATCAATTAATCTTTGTGAAAGCTTGTTTATCCTTTGAGCCACTTGGATCCCAGATTGTGGTACCTTCATAGACATTAGTTATTATGGATATAAAAAGGTATAATTGTCGGTCTCGACGAAGATATAATATTTTTAAGGAGGGTATTAGTGAACAAGCTAGTCGAGTATATGATTGTTTTTATTTCCTGTTTGTTCTCTTCAATATTTAAACCTAAGCAATTAAAAAAATATTTGTTTGCTTATTTTCGAATAAATTTGTATTCGGTGATTGTATTAGTCTTAAGCTATCGATCTCTAAGTTAGTTCAGTTGAAAGCAATAAGTTAATAATATGTCAAACGTTACAAACTTCAAATATTCCTAGTTGCATTCGCACAGTACCCAGGAAGCAAAGTCGAAAAAAGACGTATTTATGATTTATATTGCAGGAAAATAAAAAGACCAGAATACTGTAAATTTCAATAAGTAGTTGCTGTAAGTTTAATACTGTCTAATAATGTTGTTCTTTACTTAATCTCCCTTACCTCGAGGGGCTATTCAGACCTTAAATATCTTCAACTTTAGATGTAAACCGTTCTACGTGCTTTTTTTAAAAATTTACTTTATTTATTTTTCCAGTGAATTACACGGTCGCGACTCACGAGAAATTGTTTACATTAACTATTTAATTTTCAATGAGCTTGATTCATAGCTATAAGAAAGTGGGAAAATACGGTTACACTATCTCATAGGATTGTAGATCGAACTGATTAATAACGTCAGTAGAACGTACGAATCTATTTAGATGACAACGGAATTAGAGTCTACGGGCTCAGCAAAGAGATCCATCGATGAGGTGGACAAAGAATTACTCGATTTTACTGCACAAACTGAGGCAATAAAGGATGAAGAACGACAGCAAGCTCCCAAGAGAAGAAAACGTGCTTATGAAGCTATGACTCAGTATTCAAAGAATAACCAATCACTCGATGAAGACGAACCAGATGGACCAGTTCCGGGTTTTATTAAGAAAGTAAAATTACGTAACTTCATGTCACACGAAAATTTTGAATTAGAATTAGGACCACAATTAAATTTTATTGTTGGTAATAATGGTAGTGGTAAGAGTGCTATTCTTACTGCTATTACAATCGGTTTGGGTGGTAAGACTAGTGATACTAATAGAGGTTCAAAGTTGACCGATTTGATTCGTGAAGGTACTGCATCTGCCAAGATTACTTTGTACCTGGATAACAGTGGTCTTGGCTCATACGAGAATGAAAAATTCGGTGATACTATTATTATTGAAAGAACCATTAGACGTGATAGCTCTAACGTATTCAGTGTGAAGACTGAAAATGGCACAGAAGTTGGTAGTAAGAAAAAGGACGTTCAGGTAATCATTGATTTTTTTTCTATTCCAATTAGTAACCCAATGTGTTTTCTGTCTCAGGATGCTGCAAGAAGATTTTTAACAGCAAGTACTTCTCAAGATAAATATCATCATTTCATGAAAGGTACTTTACTAGAAGATACATTTTTGAACTTAAAAGAAGCAAATTCCATTATAAGTAACACCCAAGAAAATATGAGGTTACGTATGGAGTCATTGATGAATTTGAAACAAGAATATAAAGATGCACGTAGATTGGCACGTCAATTTAGTCAGACCACCGATCTTAATGAAAGGAAAATGTTACTGTATGCAAAAGTGCTATCCCTTGATATTGAAGCTAACACCAAGTCCAGCCAACGTTTGATAGCTGATATTGAAGAAGATGAAAAGTCTATTAAGAAATGTGATGAAAAGATAAAAGCCCGTGAAAACGATATTAGCAGATTTGCTACCGACCAGAATTCAACAGAAAGGAATATAGAAGAACAAATGCTAGTCATTAGTCAAAAGGAAGGAGAATTTAGAATGAAAAGTGAAGATGTAAAAGAATATAGAAATAAATTTAATATTGAAGATGGTAATATGAAGGAAGCTGAAAGAAATATTGCCGATTGTAAAGATAAGATTAAACATTTAAGTAAGAAAATAACATCCTTTGAGAAGAAACTAAGTGAGGAGATGGGTGGTGATAGGGATGCTATGAAGGAACAACTTGAACAATTGAAAATGGATATTCAAAAAGATCGTTCTAATATTGATGCATTCACCACAACATCCAGAGACCTTCGTAGCAATGAAGACACCCTATGTAACCAACGTAGAGCTGAATTAGCTGGGTTAGAAGAGAATATCAGATCAAAACATACAGAATTTGAGAAAGTTAAAGCAGGTAGTAATAACTTTTTATTTAATTTTGACAGAAACATTAATCGTTTATTAGACGAAATTAACCGTGCCAAAAATCAGTTTAGCACCATGCCTATCGGACCATTGGGTAATTATGTTAGTGTCAAAAGTGATTACAATCGGTGGACTCGTAATATTCAAAAATTCTTGTCGTCGACTGTTAGTTCCTTTGTTGTATCAAATCTGAATGACGATAGGTTATTGAGAAATTTAATGAGAAAGTGTAATATAAGAAACATTGGTGTGCTAATTTACAAGATTAAGAGGTTTGATACATCACCCTTCATAATGAATGCGCAGTTTCCTACGGTATATGACGCATTGACATTTGACACTCCTGAAATCCAATGTTTATTCATTGATGTAACATTCTTGGAAAAGGTTATTCTAGTTGAAGATTACAAATCAGCCAGGAATTTCCTGAGAGGAAACCCCGGAAAGATAAGGTTAGCTTTGTCGTTAAGAGATCACAATAGTGGGTATCAACTACGTGGGGCAAACCAGTTGGATTCGGTTACTTATGATTCACAAATCAAGATAAAGGTAGGTTCATCTAATGAAGATAATCTAGCATATCTAACACAGTCAATAAATGAGGATAGACATGAAGTAGAAAAAATTAAAGCACGCTATGAGACAGCATTGAACGAAAAGAGGACTGAAATAAGGAACGCAGAAGATAAAATAAAAGCACTAACAAAGGATTTGAGGAGAAAGAATAATGAAATCACACAGCTATCCATAAAAGTAAATGCTGTAGTGGATACGGGGTTGTTGACATCTATGAACGAGGAAAAGGAGAATCAAGAAAAAGCAATTGTTGTTTATCAAAATTCAATTAAAGAATTGCAATCAAGGCTAGACAAGATTACTGAAGAGGTTGTTCCAGTAAAAGAGATGTATGATGCAGCTAAAAGGGACCTTCGTGAGGCTAATAATGCTCTGGACGAACTTAAAACATCTGTGAATAGAAGAGCAGATAAGCTTGAGAAGTATAAGGCTGATATAAAGAAATACGGTTATCAAAAGGAAAAATATCGTGATAGAGTTGTATCTCTTCGACAAAATAGTGAGATATTGTTAGAAGGTATTGAAAAACAGAGATTAAACTTGCAGCAAGTTTGTAGTATAGAAAGGTTGGAATCCGAAAACCTCCCTAATGATAAAGAGGAACTGAAACAAGAAATGGATAAGATTGATAGAGATATAAAAAGAGCGGAAAATTCTATTGGTATCTCTCAAGAAAGAGTTGTTGAGTTGTTTAACGAAAGCAGGACTAAATACAAAGAAGCCCATAAAAAATTGACAATTATCGAAACAACGCTGGAGAAACTACACGAATCAGTAAAAACTCGTGTTTTTAATTATAAAACAAATTTGAATGAAACCTGTCTTAGTGCAACGCTTGACTTTATTTCATCATTAAAGATGAGAAAGTTGACAGGTAAGTTGGTATTTATTAAAGATCAACATAGCCTTGAAATATATGTGTCGACTCCTGGTGATGCTACAGAGAGAAGTGTAGATACATTATCCGGTGGTGAAAAGTCATATTCTCAAATGGCATTACTATTGGCTACATGGAAACCAATGCGTTCGAGGATTATTGCACTTGATGAATTTGATGTCTACATGGATCAAGTCAATAGAAAGGTCGGTACCGGTTTGATTGTGAACAAGTTGAAGGATAATTCAAGAACTCAAACAATTATCATCACACCTCAAGATATTGGGAAAATTACGGACATTAATGATACTAGTGTTAGGATTCACAAAATAAAGGATCCGAAAAGAAAGAATAATTCAGATAATACTTCAAACTGATTGGATTATTTTATATTTATTTTTATAGAACGTATGAACATTCTTATGTTAATACTGTTAAATGATATGCACAACTGAAATGTTTTAGATTGATTGAGTTGTCATGTGACACCTCTGTATTTAATTTTATGTAGTATCTTGGTTAAGATATATTATATTTTATGATCGATATAAAAATGGTAAAATGAAAAACACTTATTTAACAGTTATTGAAACATTGTATTTTCTTTTAGAATAATATTATACAGTATCCCTCTTAAGAATATACTATTAGAAGTGTAGCGTTAAGTAATTAATGTACATATCAAGATAAACGTAAAAAAATATCATGCATTACTAAAAATCGACAATCTTATTCTTTTCAAAAGCTTTGATCTCCGGTACAGGTATTTCAGGAATGAAATACACCTCGCCGTTTTCATCAATTCTTTCTCTGTCTTTTTCGCTTATGTTATATATTTCTTTCACATTTTCCTGTAGTAAGTCCATGATTTCAATAAAGTTCTTTTGGATTTGATATGCTTGTTCCCTTTTATCACGTCTACAAAGGCCGTCCACAAGTTTTGTTGCATCTGGCTTTGTCTGTTCCAATCTGTCAATCAACCTTCCTATAGATTGAACCAAATACTCTTCTTCGTAGATAGTACCCTTCTTACCACGGGCACGCTTACGTTCCTCACGACGTTTATTTTTGGCAGTACGTCTAGAGGCACCTGTCTTGGCTGTTCCCCCAGTCTTACCGGTATATCTGGTAAAGAATGACTCTTTCGTAGAGGTTTCTGAAGGTGCGATCGAAACATCGTCAGCCTGTTCAGTTTCTTGACCATAAAAAGCGTATGGGTCCTCTTCTTTTTTAGTACGTAACTCTCTAATCCTTTTCAATTGGGAGTTAACTTGGCCCTTACAATCTGCAAGTAATTCGGCAATCGTACCAAACCCTTCACCTAGGGCAGGGTCAATAATTTTCTCTATCAGTTCTGATTTTTTGGCTGAGGATGCAATCAGACTAGCAGTTGCATATTGGTAAGCTTTACAGTATAACTCCATAGAATTTTCAATGTTATTTAAGTACTTTAATTCAATTTGAGCTGCATCGATATACTTGTGTTCAAAAGTCAATGAAGAAACCAATTCTTCTGAAATCCTTGTTACAGCATCCGGTTGATGTTGGTTAGCAATGTCGATAGCTTCTTCCCATCTCTTGCCGGAAACGTAAGCATTCATTGATTCTGTGAATTCACCAAGCATTTCATAAATAATTGCCGCTTCAGAATATTGTTGCATAGATATTAAGTGCTTTGCGAAGTGTGCGTAAATATTATTTTGTCTTTCATTATCATGGCGGTAAAGTGATAAGGCATGCTCGTACAGTTCATGTGACTTAACATAGTCAATTAGCTCTTCAGAAACAGTATTATCTTCTTTTTCCAAGTTTACTAAGTCTTCTAAGGCCTTCTCATATTTAGATAAATAATCATTGATCATAAATTGGCGACGTAGAGGTTCACTATCATGTAAAGATTGCAAAAAGGGTAAGTATTCACGAGGATCCATTTGTGACTTTTGAGCAACTAGAAGCGCTAATTTAACATCGTAAAGCGATAAAGCCGTTTTGTAAACTAGATTTACATCCTGAAGGAAACATAGATATGTAACACTAGAATCCATTTCTTTAGGATCTTTTGACGAACTGATTAAAGTCAATGCATCTTCTAGGTTTTGGGGATTCTGTGTTGCATATGCAGTAATGATAGTTTGCATGTATTTTTTCTTATATTCTGGATTATGCAATAAAATTTCTAGAACGGCAGAACATATTTTGTTAATCTTTGATTTTGAGGAATCGAAGAATTTGTTTTTAATATACTGTTGCATTTCTGTTAGAGGCTCCTTTGTGATCGCAAAATTATCTGACATACCGATATTCAAGGTTTCTTTATATTTAGTCTCGGTAACATTATCTTCGGTCAAGCAGGATACAAACAGATTTAAATAATCGACATTATCAATCTGCTGAACAAATAGATCTAGGTTTTCTAAAAATACTTCAGGAGCATAATCATATAGGATGTCCAAATGGATTCTATGTGTACGACATTGGATAAATGCATCCTTATATTTCTTTGCAACGATATTTTTACGAACTTCGGAAAGTACCATTATTCTTGGGTATATAGTTTCCAGATTACCACGAGGTGCCTGGAGAATAACTGATGCTTTAGATGGTATCGCTGAAACTAGAACGGAACCTCTTTCAATTGCACGAACTCTTTCGTCCTCGACATCTTTTTCAACCATAGGTAATGCTTGGAATTTTGTTGTATTAAGATGAACAAATTGTAAATTGTGTTGAGCTGTTGTAAATAATAGGAAACTATCAGTAAGTTCCAATGATGTGACAGCAGAAGTTAACAAAGTTTTATTGGCATATAATTTACCATTATTTGTCAAACCGAACGCGACTAATTCCGAGCTTTCTGTGCTCCATTGACCTTCATCTGCAGAATCTGAGTTATGGACCCTTTTAAATCTGAAATCACGAACCAATTCAGGAAATTGGGTAATAGTTTCAGTTTCACCTTCAGAATTAACTTCTACTATAGACCCATCTCTGGTTTGATAAACGATGCTATTGTAATCAAATGAACTTCTCATTAATACTATCTTGTCGTACACCTCTACAATTGAGATAACGTAAGGTTCTGAAACATCTTGGACATTGATTAAGGCTATTCTAGACAAATTATCCGAGTCAATTAGAACACCTACAATAGAATCGTTCATAAAAGCAACCTGGCGTAAAGAATCAAGTTCGCTGGAGAAGTCAACCTTTGGATAAACGCATGCAACAGAAGGGTGGTTCCCTTTCTTTAATTCATCCATACCCAAAATAGTTGCTAAAACTAATTCATTCTTTGTAATAGCGGCATATATTTCGTTTGATAAACTTGTCGCGACATCTATAACATTATTAGGAGCATCGAAGTCTCTGAAATACATAGGTGGTGGGCAGTTTGCGATAGCAAGCGGAGATATGTTGACAGTTGTTCCATCGATGACCAAACTGTTCCCATTGTCAAACGGTTCCAACATTGGACCTTGGGCTGTTTTATAAGCAAGGTCTACAATGTTCACACTTTCTTTAGCATTTCCGTACATTAAAGTGAATTCTTTTTCCGGATGCCATTTAACATATTGAATATTATCTGAATAAATTTCTTGCTTCAAATACCAATGGTAGTTCCTGGATGTCCATAATTGGATTCTATTTGTAAGAAGGACAGCTAGAATTTCAGAATTGCTATTCCATGCCAGATCTAAAACTCTCTCTTCTAATGGTAATCTTGTATCGAACTCCCCATGTCTTAACCCATTTCTTTCAAAGAATATTACATCTAGGGAATTATCTTCCCCTCTGTCAGCTTTACGTTGAACAGAAGCAATTAAGGCACCTTGTGGTTTCCAACTTAATTGACCTTCCATCCCAGTGACAGGTTCCGATGCACTATCGAGTTGGCCCTCACGTGTAAAAACTCTAAATCCTCTTCTTTCGATAGTAGAACTTTCATCATCTGGATCTTCAACAGTTTCAATTGACGATACAACAAAATATTCGCAATCTCCTCTCCACGATATAGCAACTTTATGAGAATCTAATGATGTAATTCCACCAGTATCCACCATATATGGCATTGTTGGATCTCTTAGCTGGTTACCTACCAGACCTGACGCCTTTAAACTGGCAAGGGCATCTCTCTCCATAGCACGAGTACCTTTACCCCTGAATTGAGTTTCTTTCTTACCCCATCCAACAGTAACATGTTTCGAAATCTTTAGATCATCTGCACTCAAGTGATATTCCGATATTGGTTCCAACATCTTACTCAATAAAACAACATTACGGTCTGTAGTAACTAAAGCAAGAGTCTCTTCATCGAGGGACCATTCTGCAGCTTCGATACCGCCATCCAATGAACCTGCAATTTCGACAACTGTGAGTTGTGGATCAAAACTTGAAGGATCATATGTAGCAGAGATAATATCACCTTGTCTGAAAACAAAGATCAATTGATTCATGTCAGCAAAATGGATGAAAGATAATAATTCGTCATCAAATGTCTCGATATTGAAGGATGCCAGTATATTCTTCATACCGGTCTTAGTGTATTGCTGTACTTCAATCATACCAACCTCCATGGAACCTAAGACACAGGTGATACTATCAGTCAATGTGTCAAAGCAACTTTCAAGCAAAGAAAAGTTTAGCTCCTCGGCTGAGCCCGCTGGTTTCAGCGTACCCTTGTTCAGTGTGATCAAATTACGCATCTAACTTTCAAATGAAATAGGATAAAAAAAGGCTTCCTAATATTCTCAGTTTATAAGCTACTGAGTTGCGGTATATGTTGACCCTTCTTAAAACGTTTTTTCTTATATAATTTGTATGTACAAGAATAGAAGTGAAGTCGATATACATAGAGCCATTTAATTCACTCCCAGTCTGGATCCTTTTAATATAGATTAATAATCATCTCATCGCTAAAATTTTTCAATTTGAAAAAAAAAAAATATTACTGTAGGGTAACCTACAAAACACAAATTTTGGTATCTGAACTTACCAAAACCTCGACGATCTTCATCCATTTCCCATCTGTTATAATGACTTATCATCGCATTGGCACATTACTCTTATGCTTTTAAGCTGTTCGGTATGCTTCTGGACACAGTTTCAGTATATTTTGGCGAATTTACCTTGTGTTTCTCAAAGGTACAATGTGCACATTCAATGATGGTTTTATTCATTGCTAATAAATCATGAAAATTAAGGCATCTGGTTTCATGTCATTAAAATTTTCAGTTATAATGTCCCAAATTATTCAGAACACTGAATTAGGTTACTGAATTTCTGCTAACTCTTGTTGTATTTGATCCTTCATATTCGGTAGGATATCTTCCAACTCCCGTATACGTTTTGCGTAGTAATGATTTGCTAATGTCACCACAGTCACAGGTGTTGATCCTTTATCATTATTATCGGTAGTGCCATCTAAGCCTTGATCGAAGATATCCCTAACAATGGATTTAAGTCCTCTCAATGTTATGTTTTCAGTCTCAGGAGCATATAGATGTACCAAAGGGTGCTCCACAAATTTTTTCAGGACCACTGAATCGACAAGTGGTTCAGTCATCAAATCTTCAAGTTTAAATTTCTTATTTGTATGAGCTAGTTTCTCTTGTTCTTCTAGTACTAATTGAAGCAATAATAGCACAACGTTAGTGGGATACTCCATGGTATATTGAACAAAGGAAAAAAACAGAGTACGTACAGGTATTTTCCTAGCGTTGGAGATATATATAGCACACTTGTTATGGATAGTAAAATACACTATTCAGAAACTAATTTCATCCTTTTTAATTCCTTTCTAACAAGTAATCTCTGTTGTTTGGTTCGTTTGGTTCGTTTGGTATGGTTTTAACTACTGAAGAGTTTCGCGACCTGGCAGAACTTCGCATCGCCAAAATGATAATGATAAACATAAACAAAATGTAAGAAAACAAAGAGAGATATTATTCTGGGGAATTAGTATTTAAAGTTTCTGATACTGAAAGACAAGATTGATGACTAACAGTTGAGACGATTGTATTTACCAATAGACATATTATTAGAGTAGAACTTTTTTTGCTTAGACATTGTTTCGACTGAATTATTGAGAACACCAAAAACTAAACAGATTTTCACAATAAACTCACCATGGACAAGTCAATCATTAAAGGTTTAAATGATAAAGTATATGAAAAAAGAAAGACTACTGCACTAGAATTAGAAAAACTGGTTAAACAATGTCTGGTTGATAATGATTATGCAAGAATTGATAAAATTATAAGCGAGTTATGTAGAGATTACGCGTACGCCCTGCATCAACCTATGGCGAGAAATGCTGGTTTGATGGGTTTAGCTGCTACAGCAATAGCTCTGGGGTCTAACGATGTTTCCAAATATCTTAGGAATATTCTGCCCCCAGTTTTGGCTTGTTTTGGTGATCAAAACGATCAAGTTAGGTTTTATGCTTGCGAGAGTCTCTACAACATTGCTAAAATTTCAAAGGGTGAGATTTTAGTATATTTTAACGAAATATTTGATGTATTATGCAAAGTAAGTGCTGACACAGAAAACTCTGTTAGAGGTGCTGCAGAGCTATTGGATAGATTAATAAAGGATATTGTTGCAGAAAGAGCCTCTAGTTATATTAGTGTTGTCAGTAATAATCCTGATGATGTTCCTCAAGCTACTAACGTGGATCCATTAACAGGTAATGTGTATCAAAACAATTTTGAACAAAACGATGAATTAGCGTTCTCACTTCCGAAATTTATACCTCTACTAATTGAACGTATTTATGCTATTAATCCAACCACAAGAATGTTTTTGGTTGATTGGATAAAAGTCCTATTGAATGCACCAGGTCTTGAACTTATATCTTTTCTACCCTCTTTTCTGGGAGGTCTTTTGACATTTTTAGGAGATTCTCATAAGGATGTCAGAGTAGCAACACAATCGTTACTAGATTTATTACTAAAAGAAGTTGTTAGGATCTCAACGCTACAGAATGATATACAGAAGAGGATTGAAGAAAAAATGGGATTATTAAAAGAGAGGAATATTTCAATGAAGAAAGAAGATGGTACTATCATTGCAGAAAGAAAAAAATCATTAATGAATGCGTTTGGAACGGAACAGAAAGTGGAGCCAATTTCTATAGAATCCTCAGGTACAAGTATTGCCAAAGAAACATTGGAGTCCTCGTTAGGTGACATATCCGATATAAATCAATTGCGTGACGGGGAGGAATATATTCCAGGTCAAGATATAAATCTAAACTTTCCAGATATTATTTCAATTTTAGTGAATAACTTAGCTTCATCTGAACCAGAAATTCAACTACTGACACTGAGCTGGATGGATGCTATATTAGGTCTCTCATCTGATGATTTTATCCCATTTTTATCCAAAATTTTGTCTTTGTTATTGAAGCTATTAAGTTCTACTGATCTTCACATTAGCGAAATATCACATATATTGAATGAGAAGTTATTGGTATTGTGTTCAGACTATGATGAATCCAAAAGTAATGATTTGATTGCATATGGTTCCATAGTAAACAGTTTGACTTTGAAGTTTTTTGATAGCGATGTGGAAGCCAAAGTTGCCTGTCTGGATTGGTTAATTCTGATATATAGGAAGGCACCTACTGAAATTTTAGAACATAATGATAGCATGTTCTTAACTTTATTAAAATCTTTGTCAAATAATGATATCAGATTAATTGAAAGGGCTCTGAATTTGCTACAGAATTTGTGCTCTAAGGCAAACGACAAATATTTAAGAAAATTCTTAGAAAACTTTTTAAACTTGCTAAAGAAGGATCCAAAGTTATTGAAGTTGCGTGCAAACTATATCATGAGAAAGATTTGTGCAAGTCTAACGCCTGAGCGCGTATATAAAGTTCTAGCATCTATTCTGAATGCGCAGGAAGATGTCATCTTCACCCGTATGATAATACAGATATTGAGTACAAACTTACTCACTGCCCCAGAAATGTCTATGTTGAGAAGGAAACTAAGACAATCAGAAGATATTATGTTTTTCAATTTACTTTTCAAATCTTGGTGTCCAAACCCGGTATCAGTTATAGCACTTTGTTTCATAGCGGAAAACTACGAGTTAGTTTATGCCATACTACAAATATATTCAAACCATGACATCAAACTAAATGATTTAGTACAATTAGATATCCTGATTCAATTTTTCGAATTACCGGTATTTACTAGAATGAGGTTACAATTATTGGAACAACAAAAATTCCCATTTTTGTATAAATCATTATATGGGATATTGATGATGCTACCTCAATCAAAAGCTTATGATATTCTAAATAAGCGTTTAACAAGTGTAAATGTGTGGGCGAACCAATCTTTCCCCAATACAACATTTTATAAACCAAGGGTTACGTCAGCCTCTGGTTCAATAAGTGACCCTGATATTTCGCAAAGATCAGTCGGACAAAGCAAACTTCATTGTCAGGAATTAATGGATCATTTTGATAAAGTCGTCGGAACTGAGGATTTGTTCGATGCGGAATATATATCTGCAAACAATTCACAGCTTCCGATCCTCGGAACATTCCTTGATTCTGCAGATGTAGACAACGAATCATCTCTTCCGAATATTGGACAAATAATATTGAGTAATAACGATAATATGGATGTGCCTAATGATGCAAGCTCAGTAATAGAGCATAGTTTGACCCATGATGCCTCTACGACCTTATCATCTAGAAATATGTCCTAGATAGATGTTAACAATAAAAAAAGAAAAAATTATAGTATTAATCTCCTATTAAGGAAAATTTTATAAATGCATTATATAATAAATGTGAAATACATATGAATAAATATTCTCCAATTCAATCATTGCAGGAATTCATCTCTGTAATGGGTTTGGAAGTTCATTCTCTTCATTTCTTTGCGCAATCTATCATCGTTAGCTCTCTTTTCCATTTGTTGGCCGTTCTTAATACCTTGTTTAAATTGCCTTTCAGTAATCCCACTTACCAATCTTCGATCGGCTGCTGTTACAGTGGCTCTACTTTCTGAGGTTTCATGCGTAGGAATATTCTGTCTGTAATATCTTTGGCCAGCTCTGTGGCCTAATCTTGCACCAGTTGGAAGAGTTAATTCGAGTCCGGTATCATCTATTTCAACTCTGGTATAATTTGAGTTTATACCAGTCGGTTCTTCTTCTGAATCGTTAGAGGCATCTTCGTCTGACTTCTCATCATCCTCCACAGCGAATCTAATGTTTTTCTTGTTGCTATTATTAGATGATGATGATGATTTAGCCTTACTCTCTTCTTCAAGCGAACTGAAGTCATAGAAAGGTTCAAATACTTCACGCTGTTCCCAAGTTTCGTAAGGCATCCAACAATGACGTTTTGAATCCATATGAGCACGAATACTCTCTAATGATGAACCTATGAAGTTGCAACATAAACAATTGTGGTTAATGACAATTAGGTCGTATAAAAAATTTAGAAGGCCTGGTAAATCTATTAAATATGACCTTTCAGGGACATAAAGACCATGTTTCTGGAACATATGTTTGACATTTCTGTTTATTTCCTTATTCTCAATACCACAATATATACACTTAGTAATTCTAGAGCTCGTAAAATGGACATCGTCAATATCACTAGAATCGTTATCAATATCATCTGTATCGGCCGTATCATTTTCATAATTAGAATCACTAGTGAATCCATATTCAGAAGCAGTAGCCTCACCATAAGTTTCTCTACTTTCTAGCGATACCTGAGAAAATTCGGAAGTAACTGAGTCAGTTCTTGAAGTAGTCTTTGTTAGGTTAGTCCTCACTTTTTCATCTATATCAGATTCGTCGGTTGCTTCGGATTTGACCTTTGATAACTTGGTAACTTCATTATTGTGTTTGTGATGATGCTTAGGTAATGATTTTAATAGTGGGAAACCAAACTCATCAACCTGATGTTTAGCTTGCTCCCTTTCAGATGTTTGTAATTTCTCTGCAAATTCATCTGATGAAATAGGTAATAAATCAGCAATCCTTCTCTTCAAGTTGTACCTGTGCCAATCAGTCTTCATATGATATCTTTGAAGATCACTGGACTTGAATTGGGTAACACAAGCGTTACAGGTAAAAATTGGTTCGTTCATTCTAGGTAATAAGATTTATTAGCTTGATATTCTTTTTGGTAGATTTATATAATCTTCCAATGTAGAATAAATTACTTTAATATATGAAAGAACAAAGTTATAGAGATGTCTTTATATAACGTTTTCTCCTTGAGGATTTTCGAAAGAAAAATCCATGTATATTTTTTTCCTCAAAGTTTAGCTCGAATTAGTTTATGTTTTCGATGAGAAATGAAACTTTCAATCTGATTAAGTAAACAAAAAATGTAAACTTTTCAAGACACCTTTCAGTCAACATTTACCACGCCATCATGGCAATATAAATGATAGAATCCCTCGTTTCTATCTTGTTGAGCATTTATTATATTTTTACTTTCATTCATTTTTATTATATATATTTTACAGATAATTCTTAATACATTCCAGAAAGAATTATTTAATATACAGATTATGTATTGCAAAGTTCTATCTTTATATAATACGAATTTAGTGGTGTGGTTGTTAAACTTCACATTCATGAACTTCTTACTCAAGTATCGTGTAATAAGCCTATTCACTTAAAATAATTGCGCACAATATTCTATGTGTTATTTAATTAATGTTAATATTAGTATTCCCAATCATTGATTATTATGCTCATGCAAATATCTTATACAATATACCCTTAGAATGTTTAACTCAATAATAAATGAGGGAAATAAATTACTAAATAAGGCACAATTGTAATATAGTGTTACAGTTTCTCAAACTGCCGATCATATAGAAGCTGATAACTTACAATTTGAAGCTTGTTTGACCTCTATAATTAAAAAATATCTTAAATAAAACGATATGCTTTATATATTATGCATTTCCTGCTACCTTAATATTATACATGATTTTGATACCAGTGGTATCCTATGGATGGGCTTTATGTATTTATAAAATTTAAGTTGTCTTTTCTAAACAGCCTATCAATTTCATTGTTCAGGTGACCAAGGCATGGAAGGCAATGGCCACATACGTTTGTATAGTGACATTGCTACCACATCTTGAGCCGACAATTTAGCATCAAATGTAGCCTTGAAGTAACCATGTGTACCCAAACTTTCCTTGATGAAACCAGTTCTACCTGATTTAGTGAATAAAGGAATAGATTTGAACCATTCCACATCTTCGGAATTGAAGAACATGTAACGGACAGTAACGACACTCTTATGGAACCTGAATGGATGACCTGTCAGGATCGCTCTCTTAGCAAGAACTCTAGTATGGTCTGCATTCAAGAATGTACCTTGGCCAATCAATTCAATGCCCTTGGCATCGTTAGCATTAGGTTTGAAAAAGATGGCTGGAGATTGTGTAAAATCAACCGGTGCAATACAAGTAGCCACTGATAAAGTTTCTGGATGCAAGAATTTCTCAAACTTATGTACATTGTTAGGTGTATTCGTTGTACCTGAAAATAATGGATGGATAGTGTACCTTCTGACACCATATTGAACAATGATTGGCTCCTTAGCTGGGACTGGTCTATCATATTCTTCCCATCTTTTCAAAGAAAAGTTTACAATAGCGTGTTTGTGCTCATGATATAATAATCCGTAAACAGCGAACAACATCTGAGATGGGTCGACAATTTTTTCGAGTAAGTGTTGTGGGAAGTTTATGTGTAGTACAATACGATCACCAGCAACAACTTGTGCCTTTAACTTAGCTTCCTTGAGGAGTCTATTGGAGGTGTTCTTATAATTACCCACTCTTAAAACACGTTTCCATTCTTCGGGACATTGAGGATCTTTTTCATCAACATTCCAAACACAATTGTACAGATTTTTCAGACCTCTGTATCTCTTTAGACGCTCAATACCAGAGTCATTTGGATGCAATTCCATTTCATCAGGGAATTCACGATCTTCTTTTTCTAATTCTCTATACTCCTTTAATTGACGTTCCTCTTCTTCAGGTGAAAGATCCACAAATACTTCATCGTCTTGAGCGTCTTCCAAATCACTGTTCTCACTCTCAATTTGTATATCATTATCGCGTTGAATACCTTCACTATCATCATCATCGTCAATCATATCGTCTTCATCTTCATCGTTCTCATCTGTAGTACCATTTTCGACAACATCATCTAAGTACCATTTAGCTTGGTAATCTGAAGTACCCTTTGGTACTTTAACGTTTCTAGCTTCTTCTTTGGCACCTGGTAAAAACCCACCATCATCGAATCTTGCGGTCTTTAGATCGTCATATTCAAAATCAGATTCGTCACTATATTCAGCATTGATATTACCTGGTGCATAAATATCAAGGGTATCTCTTAATTCATCAGATGCAAATTGAGTCTCTAAATCTAAACCGTCAATAGGGTCATCACTCTTTGGTTTCTTAGTTCTTGAAGAAGAACTAATTTTTTCAATACCGGAAAGTTGGAAATCACCTAAATCAGGAATATGGATTAATCTGTTTGCGTCAAATCCAACACCACGAACAGTACCAGATATAACCAAATCACCATTTTCGTCAGTACCTGGGTGGAAGTCGATTGAATCTGCTACTAAATAGCCCCTTTGATCTCTCCAAGTGACAGGACGAGGCATCCTTTGACATAATTGCCTCAATGCATTTAATGAATCCGAAAGTTTCTCTAGATTATAAATTTTTTCTTCATTTGGGAAAAAATGCTTGAAATAACTTTCTAAGGATTGCTTGACATCCAATTGGAACTTTTCCTTTGGATGGACAGCAGATAGGTTGGTGACAACACCCATGACAGAGGATATACCTTGTAATTCTAGAGCACGAACAATTTGTTCACCAAATTCTTCATCAACTTCACTGGTACCACTTAAACCAAAGATGACAAAATCTGCCACTTTAGCACAATCTAAAATATGTAAGAAATTACTCATATCTGGGACAATAACTTTCAATTTACTCTTAAATTTCTTAATATTATAATCTCTTATGCTTGGAATATTACCACTCTCCTTTGACACTAAAAGTTCATTCATGTCCAAATCACTGGATCGTAAAAGACCTTGAACGATAGCGGTAGCATCAACATCTGGTGTTAATGGAATCACTGTAATAATCTTGGAAGCACCATTAGAACCTTCAAATAATTTTCTATTTTCTACAGATTCCTGGATCTTTACTGCTCTAATTTGTTTCAACTTATTTTTACGTTGATCTTTGGAGACAGTTTTTAATGTTTTCCCATTAATAGGATCTCTTTCAACTTTACCTTTGAATAATCTTTTTAAAGCACCTTTTGATGCATGCTTGGATTTGAACGATTTATGGTTCTTCCCAAACGCTGATCTATGTGAATGACCAGCCATTATTCGTGTTTTCTTTTATTCACTTTTGAGGATTGTTGGATTGGATAGTAACTAATATCTGGAATATATTTTCAAATTGATCTTTTCTATTAAGAACATAGGTTAGACTTTTAATGCCATCTCCTTCATGGAAATTATAGAGGAGAGATGAGCATCGCATTAATTGAAAATTTTCTTAATTTTTTTTTTCTGGCTTAAAACAAATTAGGGTTAAAAGCCATTAGAAAGTAGGGCTTTTAAAGGAGTTTGTTGTGACTTCCATCATTTACATCCGTACACCTGCAAAACATCTGGACACCCACGGAGGTTGTTCAAATTTTGTTTTTTTTCGCTTTTGACTGAAAAATGTAAATTTCCAGAGATTTCCTTGGTTCGCTGCGACAACTCTCTCTCTCTCTTTCCAAAGTGAACAAATTTCGTTACGTCCTTTACGCTCGAAGAACCAAAGAAATTCTTTCAATGAATGGGCCTTTCCTCATAGCAAAGAAACGAACAGATTCAATGGTTAGGTTGATCTCAGTATCCAAACAGGGCCAATTATTGAGCCCTCAGAATCAATTTCGAATATTGTGAATATACTGATGCTATCTATATATCGATGTTAACGACTTTATATAAGAAGGTAGGTTGAAGAAAGACCCTTTGAAAGAAACATTCTTTTTAGAAAGTCAAATATACACCAATTTAAACATAAATGTATGTACAAGAGAGAGTAATACAATGGTGACAATAGAAATTCATGGAAAATTTTGGATTACAAATTGAGAGATTTTTGCCCATGCGGTTAACAGCTATGAAGTATGAATATTTAATATGTGATTGATTAATAAACATATATACAAATTGAAAGAACCACTTTATTGAATCAAGAGTAAAATATAATGAAGAATACCTTATATCGTTCCTCTCGTATTTATTATGGTTCATTACCCTTAGGACCAAATTCTACTTGTTAATAATGTCAGTGGTAAAATATCCATAAAAATAAAATAGAAAAAAAATCGTGTATTGAAGAATGATAGAATTTTTTATATTCCAATAACAATATTTGTTTAAATAAAATATCCTAATGAAGAAAAGGAAAATAATGACAATAGCGCTCTGAAACATATATCTACAACAAGGCCATCCTTCTAGATTTCTATTGACTATACCGTAATATCAATTCTAATTGTAACAAATTACTAACAATTATAAACTAATGTTGCTTTTCTTTGTTAAATCGTTTCCCTTGAAACTATTTAATTAATAATATTGCAAAATTACACCTTTCAATTTTTTTACAGACAAAATGGCTCACGAAAACGTTTGGTTCTCCCACCCAAGAAGATTCGGTAAAGGTTCCCGTCAATGTCGTGTCTGTTCTTCCCACACTGGTTTGATCAGAAAGTACGGTCTAAACATCTGTCGTCAATGTTTCAGAGAAAGAGCTAACGACATCGGTTTCAACAAGTTCCGTTAAGATATTGTGTATATAAGTACAAGAGGATGGTATTATTATCATAAATATGATACCTTCTCTCATTATTCATCTCATTTCTCTATAATATCATAACCATTTACAAGTATTCATTACCTCATTATTCACATATATAAATACACATATGTACAACCGTTTTCAATTAACAGGCTCTTGCTAACGATCTGCAAGCTACATGACTTGGAGTATGTATCAATGGTGCTATTTAGCTTGAATTTTGTTGCTAATCCCTAATCAATGCAGTCTTTTATGGTTTGCCCTATGTTTATTATTTGTTAATTTATCAGTCCGCAAAAATCTGAAAATTTTTCTTTCAAGGTATTTTTCCTCATCGCGAGAATTATTTAAAATCATATAAAAGGAACTAAATCTGGGACAATTGATAACAGGTTGACATTTTATATATATTTATTCTCTAAATTATTTCTTATTTTATTTTCCTTTTTTAAGAGGGTGAATCAATAATGTACCGGAAACATGCCACAGTTGGTTTATCTGTCTTCTAACAGTAATTAATTGCCAGTGTTTCAACAAGATTGAAATACCAGTTTCCCAGATCAATATAATTGGACAGGATAGGAAGTCCGTTGTCTGTGCAATCCCTTCAAAAATGGGGGGAAAGATAGACTTGGGATGTCGTCTGATAGTCTACATTTTTTTTTTTCATCCTTATATCATTTTACTATTTTGGCTTCTTGCAAAAAGCAATGCTTCTATTAAATTCTCGTACATATTAAATATTTTTTATCTAATTATTTGATTCGTATATTTCGAATTTTTTGCTAGGTTGGCGAATAGGTGCCAGGAACGATGCAGACTTAAATTGACGAATGTCATCGATTAGTATACCGGATGGATAAACTGCAGTATCTAGTTCCTTTTCACTATCAATTTTCTTATTTTCAGCTTGTGATTTTAGGTGGATAACCAACTTAGTGGTATCTGGTCCATTGATATATCTTTCATAGAATGCAATCATTTGCTCCTTGGTTAATGCTTGAACTAATTCTGCTTTCTTTTGACGATGTAAGAAGTTATAATCCCCTAAGTAAATAGCGGCGGTGTATCTTGAACTTTCTTCATTCATATTTTTATACTTTTGGAGTAAATTTTTGCACAGAGCATTCTTATGTCTCTTAAAATTCTTCTCCGTCATATCTGTTAACATGGAACCAAATTTCTTATAAAATTCATCTATTCTCCATTCTAAGTAAGGTGTTGAATGCTCGGATTGGACCAAGATACGGATGTTTGCTGTACCATGATTATTTAAACTGGAGCTGAATACAACGTAACCAAGTTGTTCCTTTGTTCTCAGAATGTTGAAACATGGTTCGTGAATCATTTGGGCAAACAACCCACTCATAGCAGATAATTCTTCTGTATAAACATCCAATTGAGTAACGTGTTGAATACAGGAATTCACATTTTTCTTATCCGTCAACAAAGTTTCATATCTAAATGTCTTTGCGTTTGGAATTATGTAAGATCTCATTCTAATGTTATCCACTTGGGAAGTTTGAACTGAATTTTCTCTTAATTTGTCAACTAAGGAATCGATTTCCATTGCTTCCTCATATTTTAAATTGCCGTGAACTAAAATTTCAGAATACATTTCTTGGTAAATAGTTGGAATGAAAGATTGTAATTGTTCAAATGTTAATTGTTTAGCAACTTCTAATTTTTCCTTTGTAGACCAAGATATTTCACTGGTTAGAGAGTTATAAATGGTATACATTTGACCATACGGAACTTCATACATCAAATTATTCAAATGCTGAATAGTTTTATCCTTGAAAACTTCAAAACGATCCCTATCTGGGGTAAATGTCTTGACACCTTCCAAAAATCTACTCAATAAAATAGCCAATTTTTCATTAAACCCAGTAAGAGTAATATCAAGACCTTGACTAATCTTGACAAAAGAGACACGTAAGTTAGCACATGATGCATCATACTCCAAATTCTTTAAAGAATCGTTGACTAATTGAACATATAGAGTGGAAAGCATACTAGTTAGAATACTAGCATGGGTATGTGGTAACTTTAATGAGATATAAATATAACCTCTTGGTTGCCAAAATCTGTCATCCTTCTTATACCAAAGTTTACCATTTTCGTTATCCTGTAACAAATGTGGCTCATTCAATGGAACAATATCTTCTTGTTTGTCAACTATAAAATTATTAGCAACAAATTCATTTGGATGAGGCAAATGTAAACTACTATCCAAACCAGGATTCTCAGTCAATTTCAACAATTCTTCGGGATAATCTATAACACTGTATTCCGTACCATACCATTTTTCTTCAGAATCCGTTTCTAAGTCTCTTGAGATAAGCATAAATCTTGAATTTTCAACAGTTAAAGACTTGGTGAACTCAATTATCTTTTCTGGTTCATTCTTAGTGAACAGACCAGAACTTAGAATGTTTCCCACTGGAATATAATCCTTAGATAATTTCTTAGCTAGTGTTGATACAGTAGATGAAGGACTACCCTTTTGTTTAAACTTGAAATTTGCCTTGGAGATATTAGCCAACTCAGTATAAATCCAATCTTGAGGTAAAGAATTTTTAAGAAGTTCAATATATTGAAATATAATATGAATAACCTTGATATAATTCTCTAACCCCTTTTCAGTCAAATCAATATTAATTGAGAAGTAAGCATTGTCTTTAGATACAGTAAGACCACCTGCAGATAATTCATAGGCCCAACCTAATTTTTTCAAATATGCTAATAATGAACCTGATCCCTCATGACCAACCAAATGACTTAAGAAATGAGATGGTTTCGATTCCCATTGTTCATCCATATCAGGTACTCCAAACGTAATTTCTAATTTCCTAATATCTTTTACTGGTTTAATTCTAATAATCTTAGTAAAATAATCCTTTGTAATAACTTGAGTTGGATACTCAGGAACTTTACGATCTATAGTAGGGACATCTTTAAATAATTGTACTGCCCAATCTGATAATGTATCAAGATCCTCTCTACCAAGGATACATAATTTCATTAAATTAGCAGAATAACATCTATTATAGAATTTTAATAACTCGTCTCTTATATTTAAACCTTGAGAAGTCGGGATAGTACCTAATGTGTTTACGTTACCTGTAGAAAATTTATGATATGGATGTTCATGATTTGATAAATATTTATCCAATTGATATATTCTCCATACATCATTTTGTAAATTTTTTTTATTTTCACTATCTACAGCATTGATTTCTTTATCAGTTGAATCTTTATTAAATAAAGGACCTGTGAAAAACCCAGAAAATCTATCTAAAGCATTAAAAAGATGTTCGTTATTAATTTCAAAATAATAATTTGTATTTTGAGATCCTGTATAAGCATTAGATGAACCACCATGTTTACTTAAATAACTTGAATATTCATTTTCATCTGGAAATTTCTTTGATCCCATAAATAATAAATGCTCACAAAAATGTGCTAAACCAGGTAATTCTTCTGGATCTTCAAATGCACCAATATTAACATCTAATGCAGCTGCCGCTTTATCAGTGGTTGGATCATGAATCAATAATGCCTGTAAATTATTTGGTAATTGAATAAATCTATACTTTCTATCATCAAGATCTGGTTTCTCGAACGTCTCATTTAAAATCTTATAAGTAGCCATTGTTCTTCTTAAAGGGTTACGTGTAGGTAAGAGGGTGGAATAACTCTTTGCAATGTAAGGTAAAGTACGGGACAACGATGCAATAGACATATAAAAACACACAACACACACTACAGACCAGTAATCAAAATAATGCCGTTAAACCTAGAATAGAACTATGCTATATGATATTCCAACTAATGTCAATTCTTCTTTTTCTTCTTATTAAATGTCAAAATATGCAGTATCTTTCTCCTTTTTCGTCTCTTTTAGTCAATTAAAGATCTTTTATCCAAATCTTTTTTCTTCTTCTTCGCAGTTGGAAGAACAGGAAAATAGGGCTACAAGACGTACTACCCATCGAGGAAGAAACAAAAGAACAGACTTGAACAAAGTCAAAGAACATTACACACAGGAGGAAAGGCATAAATTAGCAAGTACATACACCTCCTAGCTCATAAAAGGGTCCAACAGAGTTAAAACCTTAACTAAAGTACAACAGGATCTAAACTTAACGAAAATATATTATACATTCTTATCAACGATCATGGCAAGAGTAAGAGGGTTCGGAATCACTACTGTCGGTATAGTAGCTGTCGCTAGTGTATACATGGGTATAAACTTTTTCCAACCGATCGTGGTCGAACAACTACGTAAGGATGGCAATCTAAGGAGTGATATAGACCTTCCCAAATTCGATAAAGACGGAAACGTTATTGTCACCGATAAGGACCGTGCCACCAACAGCCCTGGGAACCCAACCCAACCTCCACAGACAACAACTCCAGACCAGACAAACCCTTAAACACACACACATTCACTGTACTTAATACTTATCACATATCTATATATATATATATTCAAAAATCACGTGCAATCCATGTGACCCCTCCAGTATCTAAAAATAGCAACTCCACACCCACACACCGCACCACGCACGCTCTATCTCGAGAAACTGTCTGCTGCGCTAACAAAATTTGTAAATACAAACAAAATTTTTCACCGCACTTTTGTTGCCAAAATAAATATTTTTATTAATATAAACATTTATGCAGAACTACATATAAATAAATATATAAAGGCAAAAGGGGGATCAAGTTTAATACAAGTAGTTTTTAGAAATCAAAAAAAGAGTTTTCTTTTATCTGTCTGTTATTACAAAATATCCTTTAGGTGACAACTAATAAGTTAATAAAAATTTTACTCTAAATACTACCATTCGTTCGTTATGCGTACCTCCGCTGTTTTCACATCCGTTTTATCCCTAGCTTTACTTTCCAAGGAAGTCCTAGCTACTCCTCCAGCTTGTTTGTTGGCCTGTGTTGCTCAAGTTACCTCGGGCTCTTCCCAATGTAACACTCTAAGTAACATAGACTGTGTTTGCTCAAATGAGAACTCTGCCGTCAAGAGCTGTTTGGACTCCATCTGTCCAAACGGTAACGCTGATGCCGCTTACACTGCTTTCAAGAGCTCTTGTTCCGATCAAAACATTTCTCTAGGTGACTCATCCTCATCCTCATCCTCATCCTCAGCTGCCTCCTCTTCATCCTCCACTAGTGCATCCTCCTCTTCCTCTTCCTCCTCTTCTTCTTCCTCAGCTGCTTCCTCTTCCTCCACCGTTGCCTCTTCTACTGAAGCTGCTACTTCTACTGAAGCTACTACCACATCCACTACTTCTTCTTCCTCTGTCGAAGTCGAATCTTCTACTGAAGCTCCAGCTACTTCTTCTACCATCACCTCTACTTCTCAACAACCAACTACTTCTACCGAGGCTACTACCTCTGCTCAAAGCTCCACCAACTCTATCACTGTCTCCCAAGGCGCCGGTAACCTTCTACAATTAGGTGGATCTCTAGCCGTTGTTGCTGCCGCTGCTCTATTGATCTAAATATAGAGATATCCCCTCCCCCTGCTTTATAAAACTATTGGTTTACTTTAATCTACGAACTACTACACACTCGTTTTTATTATTAGAGTTATTTTTTTGTTTTTATCCATTTCAGTTCTTAAAATTACAAAGTTTCTTTTATTGAACATCAATATGCTTTGAGTTTTTGTTATAGGGTTGCCCTATGAATTATAAAGGCTCTCTCTTTTTTTTAAGTCAATAATTTCTTTACATTCATAAATATATACGTTAAAAAATATAAGTTTTTTTTAGTTATTATCATAAACATATCTGTGTCCTCTAAGTTAATTGTTTAATATCACCATCATTAACAGTAATACGGTCTACTGTATCACCGTAGGTTGGAGGTTCAACATATCTTGGTAGATAATCAGGTTCTATCGTCTCTAAATTGGTAGTTCGTCTACGTCTAGTCCAACAATATAATTGAACATCATCAATAATTACCTCAGTTAAACTTTGCTCTCCATGAACATCCCAATTTATCATTAATTGTAAATCAAATAATCGTGAAATTGCACAACTTTTGAAACTATATAGCATATTCCCACGATGTCTATAATTTTCTTCGTTGAATAATAACCTTTTCAAGGATGGATGATCCCTTAGTTTCACTTGACATTCCATCTTATAAAAACCTTCGGAATCTGGGTTGGTATGGGATGGATAAGGTTTTAATTCACTCATATCAACAAGATTCTCAGTTGATTCAGATGAATCAACACTAATCAAACGTAAAGACGATAAATTCTCATTAGCGATACCCTCTGATAAAAACGTCGTGGTCTCTAACAGATTTAATTGAATCTTTGCTGGTTTGATCTTAATCTTTTTCAACTCTTCGATATCATTAGTTCTAAATACCAAATAAACTCGATCGAATTTGTTACTACCTTTACGGAAGAATGGATCCTTACGATATAAATGATCGAACCCATTATTCTTAGTTCTTACTTCCACCCACATTAAATGTCTATTATCACCAGAATGCGGCAATCTTACTTTAAAAGTAGATTGGTTCACCGTGACCACTCCAGGACTAACTACGTGAGTGGAAGTATTACCACTTACAGGACTCATACCGTTATCATTCACTTTAGGACTATCGATTGGTGTCACTGGTGTACTTCTTTCTATAGGGAAATTCATGCTTGTACTCCTTGGATCAATGGACATTGTACTCTGTTTACTTCTATCTCTTAACTGTTGTCCAAGACTTGAAGTTCGTACACCTGGTGCTGAGGAATTATTATATACAACTTTGCTATTAAATACGTTTTCATGTTTCTCATAATCCATATCATTCTTATTAGGAATATATTCGATTAATTGTTGTTCTCTCATCATCTTATCAAATGGTTTAAACCAACTCTTTGCTTTACCTAACTCAATAACTACTTGCACAAGATATAAAATCTTCCCCAATGAGTAGAAATATAAATCTAAATTATCAATCTTATTCATTTCATTAGTCAAATTATTAAAACTTGGAGGCAACTTTGTGTGTTGTCTCTTTGTAAACATCACTGTTTCCTTACCATGGTATTTCAGGCAGTTAGGTTTTACACCTGCTAATTTATCAAACTTAAACTTATAGCTATATTCACCTGGGTTTACTTTAAATGGTTTAGATGAACCTTCTAATGCATTCCATACATTATCAGGAGGAAATACTCTTTCCTCCATATCTAACATATTATGATATGTTCTTGTGTCAGGACCTTGTATCAATAAACCATTTTGCATCACTGCATAATCTGAGTCAACTTTTGTAATGGTCTCTGAGAATGCCTTCAAATGGACAGATATCTTCTTTACAGATATCGACTTGTTAAATGTAATCTTAACATCTCCTGATATATTATCTTCCCCTGTATAGAAGACGCTGTTTAACGGTTTTGATAACGTCAATTCAATTTTTCTACTTGGTGCCATGTAAATTAATGTCTTATACTTTACAATCCTAAAAAATTCCAACAAAAAATTAGAAAATGTAGTACTATATTAAAATAAACTGAGAAAAATGCTAATCCAATTTTTTGAATTTTCTTGATTCTTATATGCAAATTTTTTTTTGCTTACCTTAATATGAATAAGTCGGAAACCTCTTTAAGTCGCTTATGCAATTGTTTAGATATCTGAAACACTGCTAATAGGAGGTCCCCTATACGCACAGCCTTTAGTTGATCCATTCAGATTTTCTGCTTACAGCGATAAACTTGAGGGTTGCCATTTGACTGTTTCTTTTTCTGTGCGGTAACTAAAGTCCGCTTAATATCGTCTGGCCCGTCTTTGGTATACATATATTTTCATAATGGTCTAAGAGATGATTTTAATCATAAGTTTGTTTAAAAGCATTAGTAAAAAAGAAGGAATAACCTCAGTAAACGACCTTAATTTTAATACACAAGCTCCAACCTCAAATTGAGCTTTCAGTTACTATCTTATGTTGGGTACTAGACAGTTTTCTACCAGTTCTAAACAACTGTTTTTTTTCCAGAAATTTTTCCAACCTGTTATCGATGCATCTAAACCGAAGCCCCATGTGGTGACACAACTTGTTAAACCAGTTGGCTTGAATAAAAGTCCCGCCAATGATACTAAATATTCAAGGGGTAATTCTTTCAAGGATTTATTTGATCAACAGAAGACTAAACAAAGAACAGATGAGCTTACTTTAGAAATGAGTAAATCAGGGATGTATGATTTGTTTACATTTCGTAAAACCAATGGAAAATTATTTCTTGCACCGAAATCTTATTGGAGAAAGGATAAAGCGTTGTATTTTCCTCATATGACAGGTAAACCATTATCCAAAACAGCCAAAACAGGGCCCATCGAGGATAATTTGAAGGGTAAAACCAGTATTGTAAGAATATTTGGTAGCGAAACAGGTAATCAATTAAGTAACGAGTTTATCGAGAGCTTGAACAAACATGATCCAAATATCCTTGACGGTATACAACTTGTCAATATAAATTGGATGGAGAATGCTGCAAAAACAATGATTGTTAAGTTATCTATGTGGAGTATGAGATCAAAAATCCCAGAAACCTTACAGAAAAATTATTTCATCTGCGATAGGGAACAGTTACCATTCACAGTTAGGGAACAACTAATGATTAATAACCTTTATACCGGTTACATATTACTCGTTGATTCTGATTTAAAGATTAGGTGGATTGCCAGTGGAGGTGTCACTGAAGATGAATTACAAACGTTACTGAAATCGTTGAACGGTGTGAGAAATGAACTTGACCCAAAAATAACCACCTGAAAACATACCTATATATACATACATTCTTAATCATGTCTATAATGCCGGAGGAAAAAACACATTGATATTTTAATTAACCTCTAATATATACACAATAAATATTTATCATACTACACTAGTCCTGTCTTTAATCATTACATCAGGTTTTTTTTTAAAGTTTATATTGTCGTAGATTCTTTATGTTCTTGTTTATAAATCTTTTGTTTTCTTTAAAAATTTGAAAGGCAAAGGGCCAATATGGAACTTCGGCGGCTAAAAAACCTGGACACATTTCAGAACAAAATTTATCCAAATAGAACAAACCTATAAAACAATAACAATATCTACGACTTCAAGGAACCTGTAAACCCAAATGAATAGTCACTTATTCGAACAAAGTTTTGTATACTGCAATGTTTGCCATAGAAGACATTCGATTGGAGATCCGCTCAATTTAACTTCCTGTGCACACATTTTATGTTCCCTTCATGTCGAAAATAGTCGTACATGTCCTGTTTGTAATACAGATGATATTTCAATAATCAAACTTGCAGTTGATAAGAATTTACCTGCAGATGTAATTTCTTATTTTGAACCTTTACCAAATTTACTTGAGACAATATACAATGTGTCGCAATTTCAACAGCAAGCCTTAGTGAATCAAATTCAATACTATCAAACCCATTGTGTTAAATTAAGAGAAAAAGTTGCCAGACAACAACAATTGTTGTATAAGGCAAAACAAGAATTAGATTCAGTTTCAAGATTGAGAAGTCGAATTATGGAACTAGAATCTCAACTAAAACATGAGAATGCTAATCCACAAAGTATTTCAAAATTTTTTGATTCAAGAAATTCTCAGAAAGCAATTACTAGTTATAGTCAGGAGCATAATATGGAACCACCAATGACTGTAGATTTAACTTTGGATGATTCAGAAACCGATGGAAATACTTTTTTAACTAAACTAAAGAAAAAAACTTCATTAAGGAATAATATAGAGAACCATATGGATCGAGGTAACAGAAACTTGAGTGGTTTACTTAATACTAATTCTAATGGATCGATTACACAAGCTATAACAAAAGCACATCGTTCAACTACAGACTATGGACCCCCTACAAATGTACAAAAAAGTTTCAATAATAATATTAATAATAATGTAGCAACACGTTATAATAACGTTTCTACAAATGAAGCATTCGAAGCTGAATCAACCCATTTAGCAAAATATATTTATTCTCCTAATAATGGGAGAACAAATACAAAGGAAAATATAAATTTAAGAATATCATCTTTGTCGTCGTTGTCTTCAGAAGGTGCCTCCCAGGGACAATCGTCCTTAACTTATGGTTCTTCTAATAGTAATCAAACGAAAAACAGGAATAGTAACAGTAGTATGAATCGAAGTAAATTTCCCCAAGCACTTGAGAGATTACGTATTACCAAACGAAACAATACTATTACCACTATCAACAAGGAACCAACTCGTTCAATATCTAATAGTCAAGGAATTATTGCACATATGAGAAGTAGTCATAATAGAAACACCAACAATATCGGTAACAATAATAATAAGAATAATTTTACAACAAATAGGAGAAGTTTGACATCGCAAGTAATCAATGGTAAATATCCCAATTCAAATAGCTCGAATATGAAATCCAAAAAGAGATAAACCTTCGAAATAATGTCCTATCACCTCTTCCCAATGATGAACAGAGCTTACACTATATAGAAAAGACGTATAATAGTTTATTTGATACATTGATTTACATATATTTAAGTTATATATAACATAAATGAATAAGAAATAATTAATTATGGAAAAAAAAAATACTGACATATATGAAAATAAATACCAGATGTACATAATGATAATAATTAAAGGAAAACAGACCCAGGAATAAATAATACTGTGACGATAATATACATCTAGAAAATTCTAGATTTTTAATAAAGGAAAAAGGAATGTATAGTAGTAATAAACATAAAATAGGGATGTTATAGTTTATTTGACAAAACTATTTAGTTCTATAACTTTAATGTTATTACCATTTCGAAAAATATAAAAGAGAGATAGAAATATCATAAAAATAACGATTCATTTTGTATGGGAGAAACCTGTCTACATACGAATATCTCTGCTTCATCTCTCATTTGTGTCCTTACTTATATATTACCAGATTTCTTCAATTGAACAAAGGAGGCAATAAATGGAACAGCGAAACCAACACCCATGAAACCAAAGAAAACAACACCAAATGGAATCTTTCTATTATGGACCTTGAATGGGACGTTAGAGTATACACCTTCTTTGAAATGAGCCGCTTGTCTTGTAGTAGAGGAAAAAGCTCTTCTTGTAGATAATTTCACTAGTGATTGTCTGAACATTGTTTATAGATATGTGTGTATATGTGTATAAGTTTATTTCGAATTGGAAAAAAAATACTGATTATAATTGTTTAAATGAGAAAATCTCGAGAACAGGTTTTGTAATCCTTTTCTACACTCCCAGCTGTCTTGTTTCCCTTCTTTCTATATATATATATATATTACATGGGAAGAAAGCAATGAAACATTGGCTGTTTATTTTTTCCTCCGAGAGTGCGGTAAGACCGAAGCGGGAGAGAGAGCCCCCCGGAGAGACTCCGTTACGTTTCATTGGCTGGTATGTCTCACTATGCCGTCTGCAATGATAATAAATCTTTTGTTTATGTGACGTTGTTGTAGTTTGGTTTGTAAGAACTTAAGCAACGCTACTTCTCCTGGAGTGATTCCTCCGAGGCATACGATCATTACTATATCTTTGTTCTGTAGTGATTTCCGGTTGCTTGTATTTGTGGTGCTGTTCGATGGCGTAGCGTTGTTGTTGTTGTTTGCAGCACGGATTCGTTTCAATCTTGCAGTAGGTTCAGGAACCCATCGGAACTGAGTGATTATGTCAGCCTGTCCGTAAATTTGTTGTGCCAAATTATCTAATTGAGCTGAGCTTGGTTCCCTCGAAATCATGAATGGTTGTTGTGTAGAGTAATTCTTCGAAAGAACAGTTCTATCATAAAGTGATTGAATCAGTCGTACACTTAGAGGTGATGCACCACAATATGCAAAAGTTGGTTCCCTGGGGTCAGTTATCTTTATAATAGGATCTCCATCTTCTTCATTCGGAACGGTATCTAACCATTTAGAGATATGTCTATATTCTTTCTTTAACGCAGTCTTTGTTTGTATCTGAGATTGCATTAAAGATTTACTCATGAATAACCCATTTCTTGTTAACCATTCTAATTTGAAAAGTATCTCTATCCCATACGTGTCGATTAGTTCTTTTTTAAGAGTATCAAACTCATTATCCTTTAAACCGTTCTTGCACAGTGACAATAAACATATCAATCTTATTATCACTTCCATTGAGACTTTATCTTCATATAATAACGTTAGAATACGATCCATGGCAATGGCGGTTCCCAAATTATCTAACAAGATATCTTGTTCTAATTCTAAGATGTGATCAAACTCTAAAGAATCATTATTCTCAACTTCTTCAAGGATATCGGATGATAATGTAGTATGCATCTTTAATAGTTTTTGTTCCTGTTGTAATGTCCCTAATGAATCTACAAAAGTCTTAATTTGTCCTACAGTCTCAGCCTCGTGTCTTGCATCATATTTGGTTTGTAATTCTTTAGCCATCTTATTTAAAGTAGGTCCCATTGCACCAAAGTTAAGAAACTTCAACTGGTTCCATATTTCATCATCGTTAACAAAATTGTGTGAATTCCCTTCTTTATCAATTAAAGTTCCGTTTGAATCAAATTTATAAAAATCGTTTAATAAACCAAAATATGTTAGTTCCGTAAGTAATGGTGTAATCGGGTCCATCTCACGTTCAATCACAATCATATCGGTCTCGATATCAATGGCTGCTTTCTTCCCATGTAAAGAATCGAATATTATTTCATCACCATGTGTCATATTATCCTTTATCCTTGATTTCAACAATTGAGCAAATTTCTGAGATAAATTACCCAATGTAACAGTATTTGTGACCGTTGTATTAGTGTGTATTAATAAAGTCTGCACACAATTAACCATATTATCTAATAAAACCTCTCTCGTTCCATCCTTCATTGAATTTTCAAATGGTGCATATAATGAATCATTATCTGAATTATACAGTAGATGCGGACAAATAAAATCATCGTCGAATTGAGGCATTGTTACCATTTCCCAAGGAATAATCCTAACAATTTGACAATATTCTTGTAATTGTGATTGAATGGAATGTGGGATATTTGTCATACCATTTGAGATATCGGTTTCCCAAGCGCAATACATGACATCTACTTCAGTCAATTCTAAATTACCTAAAACAGATTCTATTATGGTAGGTACCTTAAGATCGACTCTAATATCTATTAAAAACACTAGCTTCACATCCGGAATTGTTTCTAGAATCTCTGTAAGATCTGTAGTCAATTGATCGTCGAGAAGTAAAATCTTCTTCACTGGAGTCTCTTCAGTCAATTTTGTAAATGATAACAAACTATTTATAACAGGTAATATATCCGGTTGAATGATGAGTACTTGACCAGGTCCACCGATAGCAGTCAACGCATCGCAGAACCTTTTCAAGACGACGTCCTTAAATTTTCTAGTGTTCCATTGGTATTTCATTATTTGCAGGAAAATACTCCTCTACACTTTTAATTTTTTATGTATGACTAAGTAAAGATCAAATTAATTTTCGAGACACAAGCTCTACCTTTTGACAGATTCTACTTTGTCTTTTAAATAAAATAGATCGATGCAATTGTATTCGTCCTATACCCGATCTTTATTTTAGGAGTACCTAAAGAAAGATAAATTGTACATCAAAAATTGAAAAATTTGGCATTAAAGCGAGAACGATTACTGCACTGAAGAACAGCATAAAATATAAAATTCTATACAACCTAAATGACTAATGTGGGATCAGTGATGAGTAGAGTAATGCTAAATGCTTCTTTAAATTATTTTATTTATATATATTACTTATTGAGCTATACCGCTTCTTGATGCAAATGATTCGTAATATTCCAACATTTCCGGTGTAATACCCTTGGATATATCTTTTAAGGCATTCTCAAAATGTCTTGATTCTACTCTATCAGCCTGTAAATTCTCCATAATAGCTGCAAGACCAGCTTCTTGACACAACAACACAACTTCAGCACCAGAACAGCCATCTGTACGTCTGGCCAAATCTTCCAAATCGACAGATGTGTCCATAACCTTGAATTTTTTAGTACAATTTTTCAATATTTGTAGTCTTGCGTCAAAGTCAGGAGGGCCAACATAAATATGTCTATCCAATCTTCCTGGTCTTAGTAGAGCGGGGTCGATTGAATCTGGTCTATTGGTGGCTGAGACAATGACAACACCATGCAATTCTTCAACACCATCAATTTCATTTAATAAAGATGTAAGAACATGATTCGCTGCTGACGTAGAGTCACCATCTCTATCTGGTGACAAGGCATCGATTTCATCGATGAATATAATACTTGGGGAAGCAGAACGAGCTTTTCTGAAAATTTCTCTAATAGCACGTTCAGATTCACCGACATACTTATTGAAGATTTCTGGACCTTTCACTGCAAGGAAGTTAATTCCAGATTCGGTTGCAAGTGCCTTTGCTGTCAATGTTTTGGAACAACCAGGTGGACCATACAGTAAAACACCTTTCGGGGCTGAGACACCTAATCTTGAAAATGTTTCTCCAGCCTCTAGTGGTAGTTGAATCATCTCCTTCATTTTCCTCTTCAAATCTTCTTGACCACCAATGTCTGACCAGTAAACCTTTGGCATTTCTAAGAAAATTTCACGCATAGCACTAGGTCTTATTTCAAGCATAGCATTTTCAACATCACTCATAGTTACTTTCAGAAGAGTTTTATCTACTATAGTATCGTCTTTTAAACCACGTTGTATGGTTCTCATAACAGATTCTCTACATAAAGCAGTAATATCAGCACCGACATAACCATGAGTCTTTGAAGCAATTGTCTTAATATCGTCCTCAGTTAATGTGTAACGTTCTGGAGACATCTTTGAAAATTGCTTTTGTAAAATATCTAGACGGGCTTCCACATCTGGAATACCAATTTCAATCTCTTGATCAAATCTACCAGGTCTTCTTAGTGCAGGATCTACAGAGTTAGGTCTATTCGTAGCACCAAAAACCACTAATCTACCATTAGTGCTCATGCCGTCCATCAGAGTCAACAGTGTAGCTACAACTCTACTCTCAACCTCACCGCTATCATCATTAGCACGGTTTGGAGCTAAGGAATCCACTTCATCGATAAAAATGATAGATGGTTGATATTTTATAGCCTCATTGAAAATGTTTCTCAGAGCAGCCTCAGTCTCACCTAGATACTTGGAAACAATGGAGGGTCCACTAATAGTTAAGATATGTGCATTCGCCGTGTTTGCCACGCATCTCAATAGCATAGTTTTACCCGTACCTGGAGGACCGTGTAACAAAATACCTCTTGGTGGAGTCACACCAAAATCACTAAACAAAGTTGGTTGGTACAACGGTAAGTCAATAGTGTTTTTTAATATCTCAATTTCCTTAGACAGTCCACCTACAAACTCGTACGTTAGTGGTGCTGGAATATCATATTTACTACTAGCATGTCTTTCGTTGGTAAATTTGAATACAGTAGAACCATTCTTGTAAAGAACTGGAGGGGATAAAAATACTGAACCGGAAGGTTCGTTATCTTGTAAGGACATATTCCCAAGGGTCGGCATAGAATCACTATCGATGGCTATTATCACAATATCTAAGATATCTCCATTTGATATATTAATCTTTTCTAGAACCATACCTGGACATATAATTCCACAGTCTTTCAAGGCTTTCTCGACAAAGTTTCTGTCCACAGTTTCTGTTATTTCCTTACCTTGTAATGTACCAATGGTTACTGATGATGCATATGGTGGCTGGGAAGAAATCTTCCGGACTTCTAATCTATCACCTAAAAGAATGTTACCGATAGATCTCAATGCAGAGGACAACATGAAGACATCAATCGGATGCGATTTCTCATCACCTGCTTTGGCAATTGCAACGACACCGTTAGCTCCTAGTTTGGATACAACACACATCGACCCGGAGCTAATTTCGTTGGCTTTCAGTACATCGGGATGTATAATAATATTACATGCCTTGGCATAGTCATTATTAATGTTCAATGGTCGAGCTATATATTCTGTTGGTAGTTTCACCTTTGCGGTCTTCGTGGACTGGGCACCGGAACTTGGAGAGCTTGCCTTTTTAGATGAGCTAGATTTTGGTGCCATTTTTGCTTTGTTATTTTGTATCTCCTAGTGCACTGTTGTAATTCGATATGAACAAATACTCTATGTATCAGATTTGTCACAGATGGAAATTTACCACAGTCGATGACCTTTTTGTTGAATTCGTTTTTATATAATTAGTTAAAAATTTTATTTACCTCATCGCTTAATGAAATTTTTCAATTATATAAAGTAGCGCGAACTATTACATGTTAATAAATTTAGATGTGCACACTACAAGTACAAACTGGCGGCAAAAACGATATCTCTCTTAATTAATTCTTGAGCTTTATCCATCTTCATGTGAAGATTGGAATTACCAATAATAATGGAAGCTGTTTTCACTTCACGACAGATCTCATCTAACCAGGTTATGACTCTGACAACAGTACCTTCGGCTTCTGGACTAATTTCCATGATTTCTTTGAAACTCATACCTCTTGCCCATTCATACACTACGTTTACCATTGCGAATCTTTTCTTTTCCAAAAATTCAGCTTCCTCTTGGGTCAAAGTAACCTGGTTTTCTTCATAAATTGCCAACATGTTTTTATAGATTTCTTGAATTCTCTGTTTACCTTTAACTAAACGAGGAGTAACAATAGGTGGTTCCTCTTCTCTAGTTCTACCTTCATAAACAAATACAGAAAGTAATGCCACAATTTCTTCTGGCTCGAAATCACCCAAGAAGTTATCTAAGATCAGTTCCGTCAACACCAATTCATAACCAGAATTTATTTCGCATGCCACCCTACCTTTCAATTGAACGTTATGATTTACATCAATGAAACCTGCTGATTGCAAAACATTTAGTCTGTGTTCGTAATTTGGTAACAAATTCAGATTCTCATCAGACATCAAATGCTGTAAATGATTAATCTTTTCTTCGATTTGATATTTTTTGTATTTTGGAATGAAATGTAGAGGTAGCTTTGAACAAGTGCTACTCTTAAGTGACAATATCTCCTGTCTGATATTTTCTCTTTCTTGAATATATTGATGTGCCTTCAAACTACCCTTCATCCCATAACTTGTTTCCTTCAATCTATCTGAAAGTTTTAAAATAATTTTCATTTCGAATTTAAATTTTTCAACAACTTCTGGTTCTTGTTTTATTATACTAGCAAATGGTACTTTTAGATTATAAGCAGTAATCAATTCGATTGAAGTGTACGGAACTTTATCCATAAAGTATGGAACCTCCTGGAAGCAACCAAATGCAGTCTTCGTATATTCAGTAAAGTCTGGGAGATAAACAAGATTATTAGTTTCACCATCCGTTAGTTTATTTGGTTCTGTAAATACCATGACGACAGCCACACCCTGGTTAATGCTATTTCTTACAATGAATCCTAAACGTAGATCGTTATTTTGATCACGGAAAACGATTAATCTACCTTCTCTTAAAATTCTATGAACTGAGTTTGATTTAGATATCTCCTCCATCATTAAAGTAGTCTTCTCCTTGTACTTGTTAGTCGTATCCAAGAATTTTGAAAGATCAACAGCACAACAGTCACATTCATATTCCTTAACACTTTCCAATTGTCCCTGTAATTCCTTGATTATCTTTTCATGCTCGGGTTTGGAGGTTTGGTTAGTATTTTCACTGAAAGAATACTTGATCATTTCTTCAACCTTCAAAGCTTCTATTCTTAACAGATTTAAGATCATATTATATGTCAATCTGAACTGAGATTCCAATTTGGTTGGCACCCCTAATGTAATTTCCTTGAATGAAAGTGCACTGAAAGGTTCGTATGCCATAATAATGACTGTACCTGTTTTATCTAACCCTCTACGACCTGCTCTACCAGCCATTTGTGTGAATTCACCTGGTGTCAAATCTCTTAACCCATTACCGTCATGTTTTTGAATTTCACTAAAGACTACAGTTCTCGTAGGTAAGTTTAGACCCATAGCAAATGTTTCTGTAGCAAATAAGACCTTTATGAAACCCTTTGCAAAAAGAATTTCAATCAATTCTTTGACGATTGGTAGCAAACCACCGTGATGGACAGCAATACCTCTTTCCAACAATGATCTCATTTTTAAGATTTGAGGTAATTCTCTGTCATCCTTCTTTAATCTTGTAATGGATTTTTCAACAAACATATGAATTTGGGATTTATCTTTATTATTACTGAAATTGACACCATCAAGCCAGTCTGCATACTCTTCACAACGTTTCTTACTGAAAACAAATGCTACCATTGGTAATAGGTCTTTTGAGCGTAAGTAATCCACAAGTTGAGGCCATGTTTTCTTATTCGGTCCAGCCCTTCTAAAGAATTGACGTTTGTTAGAACCTACGGCCCCTGCACCACGCGAACCACTACCACCTCTGCCTCCACGTTGACCTCCTTGTTGACCTCCTCTACCACCACGTTGTCCACCTCTACCGCCACGCTGTCCACCTCTTCCACCACGTTGTCCTCCTTTGGAATCACCATTTTTAGAAGGTGCTTTGGAGTCATCACCTGACAGTAGTAATTTATGTTCTTTGAAATTGGATTCAACAAATTCTCTACTTGGAGTAATTACAGGTAATAATTTGCCCTTAGCCCAGATGTTAATTTCTAAGGGCACTGGTCTCTGTGGTGTCGAAATAACATATATATTCTTTTGTTTGGTTCTACCGATCCAGTTAGCAAACTCATACGTGTTTGGAACAGTGGCAGATAACAATATGAACTTCACGTGCTGTGGAAGCATAATAATAACCTCCTCCCAAACAACACCACGATCTTGATCATTGACGTAGTGAACTTCATCAAAAACAACAAATTCGACGTCTCTAATCAAATCTGCACCACGGTACAACATAGATCTTAAAATTTCAGTGGTCATAATTAAACAATTGGCCTCGGGATTGATTTGTACATCACCTGTAATCAAACCAACATCAATATCTTCAAATGTTTCTTTAAAATCTCTAAATTTCTGATTAGATAACGCTTTAATTGGAGATGTATAAATTGTTTTTGTCATATTTCTCTTTGCCATGGCAATAGCATATTCCGCTACTACAGTTTTACCAGCGGAAGTATGTGCTGCAACAAATACAGAATCACCTTGTTCTAAGTGATAAACTGCCTCCTTTTGAAACGTATCCAATTCGAAGGGCCATGTTCTTGCTGGGTTTGGCACTAGTTCGTCGAAATTTTCAATCTTATGATTCAAATCAACAACATGAGCCCATTCCTTTCTCTTCAATAAGTCCTTAGATTTTGTTACGGATCTCCCGAAATTAACATCCATTGGTAATAATTCATCGATTTCAGCGTTATCTTTGTTATCATGGGCATTTTCACTCTTTTGTGATATGATTGATGTTAATTGAGATTGAACATCATTTTCTGATCCAGTGTTATTTTCATTGATTTCTCTTTCAACTTCCATTTCATTGTCAATCTCATTCAACTGCTTGATATCCTCAACTTCTTCACCATTGACAGAGGTTTCATCCATTTTAGGTTGAATACCCTTGGTAAAACCTGGTGGGATATCAAATAAACCTTGTTCATCCTTATGAAGTAACTTTGTAGCGGTAGCTGTGGCAGAAGAACGGCTGTCAGAGACAGTATCTGATTTCATTGTAATACCACCCGGTGTGAATGGTAATTGAGCAGTACTACCTCTAATATTATTGTTATGGTAATCAATACTCCTAGTCAACGATAGAGAATTAGATGCATTCGCTTTGGCAATTTCCTTCAATGATACTTCCTCCTTATGGGAGACAATATTACCTGAAATCCCTTTTCTTTTGAAGACATATGATGTCTTACTAATTGGTTGAGGAACTTGAACAAAGTCATAATAATTATACTTTTCATTAGTTTTCTTCGAGGTGTAATCCAATGCATCATGCTTAGGAACTGTCTGAATTAGGTCTAATAAATCCCATGATAATACATTGGAAGGCTTTAAAAACCTTTGTCTAACATTATCATTAATTTCTTCGATTGAAGCATTTTCAGAGTTGTCCTTAAAGGTTGTGATTTTATCCTCGAATAATTGTACTTCATCGCCACCAGTGATTTCCTTTAGGCTTGAATAAAGCTCTTCCAACGAAGCCTCAGATAGATTAAGAGACGACATCGAACTTTTAAATATTGTTACTGTTATCTCGAGGTTATGAGGAGTTCTTATTGAAAGTTGGTTTTATAGGGTGAAAGCTATATATTTATTTGTTATTCATAATGTTATATAATTCATGAGTACCGCCTTTAAATTGTGATAAATATATATGTATATTTTTTTTTCAGTGCAAGCGAAGCATTCGTGTAATGTAGCTAAGAGCACTTTTTTTATTTATTTCACTTTATGAAAGATCTGATAAATTAATAAAAACTAAAAGACAATATATTTATTTATATGATTCTTGAGAGCACACAATTCACTTCTTCTATTTGATAATTTTTTGATTTTTTTTCTCTTTTTTAATCTTTTTTATATAATAATGTTACATAGAAAGGTTGCTTCTTTGTTTGTTTGTGTGTGTGATCTATCTATCAAATCTGCTATCTTTAAAATCAATAGCCATAGTAGCATTTAATTAATAATTACATGTCTTTTTCCTAAAAAAAAATAAAAAATAAGAATAAAAAATTCTTTTACACCTAATACCTGATAATATATTTTAATTTCTTCATGATTTATAACAACAAAAATAATAAAAATGGGGGGAGGGGTAGGAACTTGTTGAAGAAATAAAATAATAATAATAAAAAAATAAAGTATAACTTTTCTCTGTTGTTGTTTTTTTATGGAGGGAGGAGAGAGCTAAATCTACTCTTCTTCACTTTCACTTTCTTCCTCATCGGAAGAAGATGATGATGAAACCATTGAAGCAGTACGAGCTTTATTGTACATCATACCAGTTGGTGATGCATTTTGACTCAATGGAGATGCATGATCTAAGTATGCTAATTTGTTTCTAATCTTTTCAATTTGTTTTGATTGTTCTGCTTGACTTAAGGCCTTACCTCTTCTCTTTCTACCATTACCATTCAAAGCACTACCAGGAGATAATGATGATGTATCATGACCTGATACGCCATTTACTCTTGAATCCCCATTTGCTTCATTATAGTGTCTGAAGAAAGAATTGTAAATAGTTAATAATTTTTCATTATCCAAAGTATCCAGATCTAATTCGACTTCATCATCATCACTATTTCTCTTTGGCATAGCAATCTTAATAACTTTATTCAAATTTTCTGCAGATAAATCATTAATATGTTCAGATATGATACGTTTCATGTCATAGGTGACAACGGTTTGTAATTTAGTCTTTTTTGTACGTCCACCTGTTGATTTTGATGATCTTCTCTTTTTAGAATTTTTTTTAGAACCTCTTGGTTTTTTAGTTCCTCTTGCTAATCTCCTATCTTTTCTAATTTTATCTAATTCTTGTTTTTTCAATAATTGTAATTCAACTTTCATTCTTGCTAATTGTTCTTCTAAATATTGAATTGCAGGGTTTGTAATTAAAGTTTCATCAATATCAGAATCGGATATATCAGTTTGTTCATTTTCAATATCTTCATCTTCTATTTCTGATTCCGATTCCGATTCTTCATAAACAGGTCTATCAGCCCATCTATTATTAAAAATTTCTTCAAGACGATGGCCCATCATATTAACAATAGTTCCATCTGGATTAAAAGCATAACAATTTTTAAATACTAAACGTACATCATTTTCAAATTGTTCAATAGTTTCATATTCCCAATTACTTAATTTTGTTGAAATTGAACCTAAATCCATTGGATCTTTAACATAATCAAAATAAGTTGGTATATTCATTGAAACTGGATCGACAGGTTCTAAAAACGGATAATTAAATGATGAATATTTTTTACTTGATAATTCTTTAACGATGTTACTACAAAATTTAAAAGCATTTTGTAATTTTTTTGATTTTGGTCTTTTATTTTCATATGGATAAATATCTTTTGATTTTGGTGGATGAATTTCTCTTTTTGGTCTACCATTATGAGTTTGAGCTCTTCTAATTACAACTGGTTGGTCTTCATCATTTTTATTTTTTCTAATTTTTTTCACAACAACTGGTGCATCCTTTGCTGGCATATTTAACATATGTTTTTCAAATGCAGCTTGAATATTTTTTGCCATTTGCGAAATCATTGCAGTTGGTCCATTAAATCGTATTGAATTATTAACCATTAAGTTAAAATCTTCAGTAATTTTTTCAGGCGTTTCATATGCGTCAACATTTAATTTTTTTTCAATTGTTGATAAATCCATTGGATGTGGCACATAATTATAATAAAATGGTATATTTAATACAATAATATCAACGGGATGTAAAAAAGGTTTTGCATCTTTAAGACGTTTAACTGCCTTAATTGCCATCAATGCATGTTTCTTTTGATGTATTGGTATTGGTTCTTGTGGTAAATTATTCATATCAGGTTCCAAAGGTGGTGTTGGTGCAGGAATTGTTGGTTTTTCAATTGGTGGAAATATAGGTTCATTTTTAACTTCTTCAACAACTGCATTATTTGTCTCTTCGACGATTGTATTATTCACCTCTTCAACTTTGGTAGTCTCTTCAACTTTGGAAGTCTCCTCAACTGTAGTTGCCTCCTCAATTTTTGCCTCTTGTTCTATAGGGTTTTCAATAATATCATTATTAAGATTGTTAGTAATCTCTTCAGCGGTTGTTGAAATCACGTGCTCTTCGTCACGTGCGACGAGGGCAGGTGTCTCTGTAGCGATAACTGCATTGTCTGTCATTATACTATTTCAAAATGAAAGAAGAAAAAAAACGAGTTCAGTGCGGGATGGCTGTGTATCCTAAATCTCTGTGTCCGGTCTGTTTAAAAAATGACAAAATTAGGGAATTGAAAAAAAAGTTATAATTTCAGGGTTATCGGAGGGTCTTGCTTATATATAATTGTTGTTTGCCTCTGTGTGCTTTTTGTTTTTTTGGGCTTAAATCGACGACGACGACGACAACGGTGGTGGGTGGTGTTTTTTTTTCACAACGCGCGTTTTATTTTTCGCAGAAATGGGCGTAGGAAGGGGGAGATGGTGGTCTGGGTGTATGGGTGCGGTTGTACTTACTTTTTAATGCGCAGTTTTTCCTTTTTGTTTTTCTTTTTGGCTTTTGCAAGAAATTTATTTTGCAGTGAAGCAGAGCTACGCGCGCAGTAAATGGGGAGGGGCAAGGAGGAGGGTAGTTTGTTCAGTTTTTTGCTACGCATTTTTTTGAACTGCGCTGGTTCTTTCAGTGTGATTGTTTTTACGTATTTTATATTGCATTTATGTATATATTACAAAGAGAATACAATGGAATGGAATGGGCGGCAAAAAAATAAACCGTATATGGTACATATAACTACTAGCAGTATCCTCTCAATATGAATTGCTCTTATGTTTTGGAGTATAGATGAAATGATCTTCAGCTGGTCCAAAAAATAGTTCAGATAATTTAATCCAATCATTACTATTAGTACTACCTAGTAAGGTTTCCATACTATCTCTACCAATCCAATTTGGTGGTCTTTCGTTTAATTTAACTGGAAATCTTTCACAAATCCCCATTGGGACATAACGATGAAAAAATGACATAAAATCGCAAAAATATCTACGACATTGAGCAATACCATATTCATCGGTACCCCAATGCTCCATCGCATAGCGCGCGTAGTCCGAAAGTATAGATAAGCGCTCTGTAGAACTCTTGTCTAAATGTTGTTGGGCATCAATTTCTTCAAATAACCATGGTTTGATTAATGCACCACGAGCAACCATTACAGAATCTAAATTAGAATCATTATTTATGTGTGAATACCAATCTTCATAATTGTTAATATCACCATTACCAATAAATTGAATTCTTGTTTGACCATTTTCGCGAGATTCTTTACCTTGTTCACTTTCTTTGAATTTGATTTCATTTTCTCTTAAAGATTTTGCAGTGGTAGAAATATACTCCCAATCAGCTAATTTTGTATAACGTTGTTGTCTTGAACGTCCATGTAATGTAATGGCAGCAACATCAGTCTCATAAACTAATCTTTTAACTAATGAATCTGCTGTATTATGACCATCTTTAGTACCAGCACGGATCTTTACTGTGATTGGTACTTCTTGTGATACATAATTCATACTGTTTAATACACGGATTAATCTGGCTGGATTGTCTAATAATGCACTACCTGCACCTTGTCTATATAATAAATCAATTGGACAACCTGAATTTAAATTAATTTCATTGATACCATTTTCTGGTGAAGTTAATAAATTACCAACAAGGGCCTCAGTGGCTTTTGCAGCTTGCCAAGCCTTTGAACATGCTAATTGAACACCGAAACCTGAACGTTCACTCTTATGACATTTAGCTAATGCCCATTCTGAATTTTGGCCCTGAATTAATGGTACAGCTAAAGCCATTTCAGAATACGTTATATCACAACCCATCTTTTTCATTAATCTACGATATGGTAAATTACCAACTGTGGTTAAAGGTGATAGGATTTTTTTATGATGGAAATCTAATGGTTTTTTTTCACTGGCAAAATAACGTGTATCCTTATATTCTAGATACAATTTTTTTTGTTTGTCACGTTTGGCTTGCAATTCTTTTTCACGTTGTATCACTTGTGGTGCTTTCTCATTAGTATCATCTGATGAAGGTGCATTCGTTGTAGGTTCGTTAGTCAAATCACGATGTTCTTGTTGCATAGCATCAATAATTTCTAATACTTCTTCACTCTTAGTGAATTGAAATCTACGTTTGATTAAATCTGCTTTTTGTTCATAACTAATATGATTACATTCTTCATTAATATCATATAATGGTATATTTTCAAAATTTGGTGGCTCCATAGTTAACAATTTTTTTGTATCTTTATCCATATGACTTGATAAAAATCTACATTTATAACCCATTGGACATCTACCTAATGACTTATAAACTGGGCATTCAGTAAAATAATCCGATTGAATTTCAATTTTTTTACCGGCTAAATATGCATCAATATCATGATTAAAACGACAAGTATCACCAAATGAACAATTAGTGATATCACCTTGAATTAATCTTGGACATAATACATTATGTTCTTTAATTTGACGATTATCACGATTCTTATTCTGTCCACGTTTCTTCTTCTTATTTTTGGTTTTACCATTAGAACCTTCTAATCGTTCACTGGACGGTTCTTCATCCATATCATCATTATTCCTAGTATTATTATTACTTGAAGAATTCATAACAATGTATTCAGGTTTCAATTGAGCAATACCTTTTCCATGGTAGTCTGTACGTTTAGTCTCGCTATCATTCTCAACACCCTCAAGGGTCCTCTTAGTAGTAGACATTGTGATTCCCTGCAGCCTTGGATCAATGTTGTCACTTGACTGTTTTTTTTGCTTTATACTGTTACTAATACATGCCCATCTCTTTAAAATAGCTGAGGCGATGCTCATCGAATTTACTCTTTGTTTAGTTGCTGTTCTCGCTAATCATAAGCAAGAAAAGCAAAAAAAAAAGTATAAAAAATTTCATTTGAAACTTCACGTGACTAATCGTGCAACATGATACACCCACACACCCCGCGTCAATCCATGCAATCGCGTATTTCCCTTCGTGGCCCCCTCTTCCCAGCTCGTGTTAGGTGACAAGGGGGTGGGAAAGCGTATAACGGGATTGTTTGGTTTGTGCCTCTGTTTTTCTGGGAACTGTGCCGTTTCTCTGTGGGAACTTGAAATGATGAGCGACGGGGGACAATTCACAACTCGCCCGTTCCCTCTTTCCATACACAACACATCCCATTATTATATAATATAATATATATATATATCAAGATAAACTAGGTTCAGTTCATTTAATACAATAGAGAGATATATAGATATAACTATACTTTTGGCAGTTGGTAGCGTTATAGTAACATTACTAACACTGACAAATTCAAATATCAGAGGATAGTCTCATTGAAGAATAACTCAGGTCTCTCCCTATATTATTTCTACCTACTTTTTTATTTTTTTGATTGATTATTAAATATAAAGTTTCTGTGAAGTACATTGATCTTTGCATTTTTCAAGATATATAAATATAAATACATACATTATTTTCAGTGTATTATTACAGTATTATAAGATCTTTACATTAACTATCCGTTTGTCTGTGTCTGCGTGCTTTTTTATCCCTAGTATATTCCATTACGTAAGCTATAGACAAAAGTAACACGAATAACATTAGGAGAAAACATAGATTTTTATTTCAACTGCAGAAGTAATGAATACTGACTTATCGACAATGGCGATCCCATCTGGGTTCACTCCAACAGATCATCATCTTCTTCATCGTCATGAAAATACGACAGATCCTTCCACTAATACTAGTACTAATAATACTGATGATGTCAGCGCCGACAATGCAAATGCCGCCTCCGTCGTCGCCGCTCAGGGTAACAACGCCCTCGCTCAAAATATTAGTCCCAAAAATGTTTATAATAAGAGCAATAGTACAGCACAACCTGCTATAACGGTAACACCAGCGATGGGGAATGCAGATTATAAGAGTATACCCATTAATAATATGAACATGACTTTTAATAACAATAGCAATAGCAATAGTAATAGTAACCTTAACGCTATGAATAATAATAATAACATTAATGGTTCATCAGCATCACAACAAATGGCGAAATTACGCAGAGATTCTATTGCTCATTCACAAGGGATGGGTGGTGTTTCCTGGGGTTCTCTAACGATCGGGTCTTGGTTAAGGGATGAGGTCATGTTTAATGCTACTATGAAACAACATTCAAACAATACTTCGAGGTCGAATAGTAACATTCTTGCGAATGCACCTATTGATTATCGTCGTTTATCAACTATTAATAATCCATCAACTAATGCTTTAACGACGTCAAGAGATTCTGTAAGTGGATCAGTAAAGAAATTTACTCCAAATTCACCACCGATTTTTGCACAATCTGCTTATTTACCATCTCTCGAAGAACAGTATTGTAAAGATTATTCATGTTGTGGAATTTCATTACCTGGTTTACATGATTTACTGAGGCATTACGAAGAAGCTCATATTAACCCTGGTACTACAAGTACCAGTGGTGCTATGACAACACCTTCAACTCCTATGGCTCCTGGTACAACTACTACTCAGGGATTTTCAATGGCATTTAATAAGAGAAAATCACAAGCTCAACAAGGTACCACATCTTCGTCATCAACCACTGCGAATGCAACCACATCAGATGCTAATGCTAATACTACTAGTACTACCGCTACTTCACAGCCACAATTACATAGACAGTCAATGACACAGAGACAACATGGATCTAAAATGACTCAAACGAAAACACAACAACAAAATGTTCAAGTACCGTTACAAGTGCCGAGAAATAATAATACGATGATGGAACAGAAACATATTATTCAACAACAATTAAAACCACAAAATAGTAAAAATTCTGCGTCGACTGCAACAACTACGACAGGTCAATCGACGGTTACTACTCAACCAACAACGGACTCACAATTGTTTATTAACGGTAATGTAAATAGTGGTATTTCTACCAATGAAGTTTTCTTATCATCGAACAATAAGAATGGGAATAGTGGTGCTAGTAATAGTGCAAATAACAGCAACAGAAACAAGATTAATCCAGATTTTACTTTTAATGTTACTGATGGCCAAAATAATAACAATTCTAAGATTATTAATAACACAACAAGTCATTACACAACTACTAACTCACATAACAATTCAGTTGATTTAAATTTCATGGATGATGATTTATTGACAAGAATGGGATTACATGCTAACGATCCATTGTCGGTCAGTTCATACGTTCAAAATTCAAGACAAAACTTCATAAATAATCAACACCAGTCTAATCAACATGGTAATGATATGGATGAAGATGATGATGATGATGATGACGATGATGATGATGACGATGATGATGACGACGACGAAGATGATTTGATGTCTGGTACTACCAATACAGGCAATAATAGTCATTCGACAACACACACTTCTCCATTAAATGGTAATATCAATGGTACGACAAACTTGCATAATGGCCATATAGATATTAATTTTAATAATATGGCAAGCATTCCACAAAATGGAATATTTGGAGATTTTAAGGATCCAGGTATGTTACTATCATTGCAATCACAAGGCAATGGTAGAGGTAATCAAAATTTGATCAACAATCAAAATATGAATAGAAATTTCTCCATAAATAAACCTAATAAGCAAGGTTATATTGATGATCCAGCAAGAAGATTGTACGTAATGGATCATGAAGAACATAAACCATTTAAATGTCCTGTCATTGGTTGTGAAAAGACTTACAAGAATCAAAATGGTTTGAAGTATCATAGACTACATGGTCATCAAAATCAAAAATTGCATGAAAATCCAGATGGTACATTCAGTATATTAGATCCAGATTCAAATGAGCCATATCCAGAAGGTATGGGTTACGAAAAAGATAAACCGTACCGTTGTGAAGTATGTGGTAAACGTTACAAGAATCTGAATGGGTTGAAGTATCATAGAGGTCATTCAACGCATTAGTGATAGAAGAAAGAAAAAGACATTAGGTAAAAATATGATTCAATGAAGCTATTGGACAACATTTGTTACAATTGTTCTCATTGTCATTTTTACCCAAGAATTACAAGTTTCAGTATTTGAGACATAAAAAGTGATGATAGAATCGTATTCCCTTGTTACCAAATTCATTTTTTTGAAAAAGATGTTTATTTTTTTTGTTAATTAGGGTATTATTATATTTTTAATTACTTCCTTTTGGATATTAGGAGGTAATGTTATTGGTTATATAAGTTTTATGTATTTTTTTTATTTACGTGTCTATATGTATTTAATGCATTGTACATGAAATCATTAGTACTATGAAAGCCAGATATGATAAAGGCGTAAATATATGTGTAATTTCGTTTTTAAGCGCGCTAAAGTTACATTTATTTAGAGCAAGGGGATCCATAAACACACCATATATTTTGTGTACTATCATAAGGTTACACAACTAGAGATCAAGAGCATTCCAAGAACTTCTACAATCGTGTAATAAATTCCTTCCTCTTTGAAACATGAAGATCAATATCTCTCGACCATTTCAAATTCTCCAATGGTCATCCTACGTGCTTACAGTATTTGTTGTTCAATTCGTGATAGTTCTCCCATTATCCTTTATACTGTTTAACGATTTCTATCAGTATTTAATACCTTCTGACTCTTCACAATTGGTACCCTTATCTGTATTTAATCTAACTCAGCTTAGTGAAAGTCATTTCCATTATTATCAGGAATTAGAAAAGGTTCCTGCTCATAATGATTTACCTACAGTAAAACAGAACGGTTTGATACAACATATTCCATTAAGGGAACATATAGATTACAGAATAGATGCAAATTTTAAATTCTATTGTCTAATTGATGATACTAGCTATCCACGTCACAATTTACAAGTAGCAACAGTTTCAGTATATGGTTACACTGTCTCTGATGAACATATATTACTGCACTCTAAATATGTTCCTATCATGTGTTTGACTACTAAAGACTCAATTACTTTGCCAGAGGGAACTCAATTGAAAGGTTCAAGAATGAAGCAATACAAAACAGAATGGTTAAATGAAATTATTCTAGATGATATCAGTGATTTCTCCACAGACTCGAACATCAAAGGACTGGTCGTAAGGTTTAATTTCAAATCCGAACATCATGACTTGATAGACTCATTTAATCATGGATTCGTTGACAAGAACAGGTATGCATTACTGATGAATTTTGAATCACAATTAAATTTCCGTATTAATTTCAATCAAGGTATAAGGAATTTAATGCTACGTTATCAATTGACTACATATATTGTCGGCACAATCGTATTTCATCTAACAATCTCCTCGTTGTGTATTTTAACAGCTGCAATGGCTTTTTATCTAACAAATCAAAAGCTTGCTTCAGATAATGCTACTAATAATAGGAAATCAAAAGTTACTACTACTGAAGGAAAAAAGGCATAATAAAAATATAGATAAAAAAATTGAAAAATAAAGAGCGAAAATACAAAAAAATGAGATGAGCATCAACTGTAGTTACAATCAAGTCTACAAACATCGGTAAGGTTCGAAAGGTTCTAAACATCGGTTTTGTTAACTATTGTAAATATACATAGTTTTATAATGCTTGGTAGAACAATAGAAGTAGCCCCTCCAAAAGCTAATCGGAATGATCCATTGCAAATTATCAAATCAAGAAAACGGACACATGGTAGACCAGCTACCATAGCTGGTCCAATGGTTAGATACTCTAAGTTACCATTTAGACAGATATGTCGTGATTATAATGTTGATATTGTTTATACGCCGATGATGTTGGCCAGAGAGTTTGTTCGTAATGCACAAGCACGTATATCGGATTTTTCCACAAATGAAAAGGATACCCCAACCATAATACAAGTTGGTGTTAACAACGTAACAGATTTGTTACGATTTACTGAGATGGTTGCACCTTACGTGGATGGTATTGGTATTAATTGTGGATGTCCAATTAAGGAACAATTACGGGAAGGTATCGGTTGTGCCTTGATATATAACGAAGAGTTACTAATAGAGATGGTAAAGGCCGTCAAAGACAAATACGGTGATACCCTTAGATTAGAGACTAAGATACGAATTCATGAAAAGAAGGCACCTGAAAGGACATTGAATATGTGTAAACAATTATGTGAAGTTGGTGTTGACTGGATTACCGTACACGGCAGACTTCGGACTACCAGATCATCAGAACCTGTTGATTTAGATGCCATCAAATATATTGTCGACGGTTTAAAGGAGTACGATGTACCAATTGTTGCCAATGGAGATTGTTTTACAACAAAAGATATGGAACATATCGCTGAGTATACTGGCGCAGATGGTGTCATGTCCGCACGAGGTGTGTTAAGTAACCCAGCCTTATTTGCTGGCTATGATATTTGTCCATGGGGTTGTGTTGAGAGGTTTATTAACTACTCTGTTGAATTTGGTGGTCTACCTTTTCAATTAGTTCAACATCATATATTTTGTATGTTTGAGAATATGAAAGTGAATAAGAATCATATGAAAACATTAATGACAACAAAGAATATGTTTGAACTTCTCGATTTTTTGGATTCCAAGTTCGATATAAGAAGGCCAAACGATCAAGAGTTTGGTGAAAGAGTGGAAATTCCATATATTTAAAAGCATAAGTATTTAACTATTAATAAAAAGAATAGCATACATATTCATGATCCATACCTTACTGCTGTCCCCTTGATAATATTATAAAGGACTATTGAACGTGTTGACATTCGGAATAAGAGGTATATAGATGTATATATGTAAAAACTTATTCAAGATTTTACTTGTTTAATTATTGAACAAAATGACTATATTTTTATTTTATTTTATTTTTTCTCTATTTTGATTTAAAATTAATTATACTTAGTATACCGTATATTTATTGGTTATGAATGAATGAGAAAGTTGGAGGTTTAAATGAGTTGTTGTTGTGCTTTCTTTTTATTGAATGGATTAATTATAGATATAAAAAAAAAGAAACAGGTTTATGATATTCTTAATGTTTTCTTTTCCTTTTTGTTTTAATTAATTTAAGCTTCTTCTTCAACAACAGTAGTTTGTAGACCCTTAGCAGAGGCGACTAGAACTGGTTCAACGTAAGAGAATAATGGGTTCTTAGCGTTTTCTTCTTCGTTTCTTCTTCTGGAAATTCTTAATCTTAGTCTGTATTCAACACCCTTGATACCTCTCTTCCAGACAGCTTGGTTTAATTCTGGAGCTAGACGAACATCTTCGGTACCCATGTGCAACTTAGCAAACTTCTTGATTTCCTTGACAGCCTTTGGAGCTCTCTTCTTGAAGGAGACACCGTGCAACTAAATTTAATAAAATGAAAGTATGTAAATGGTAACAGTCAGTTAGATATAATCCAACAACAGTCAGGTTTACAGAAAAATAATTTGTTAGTAATTCATCATGGTTTTTTAAAATAAAAATAATTAATTTCAATTAAGTTGACATACTCTCTTGTGCATGTTAATGGTGTATTCACGAGTAACAACGTCCTTTAGACCAGCCATTTTTGTATATATGTATGTGTGTATAGTGTCCTGGTTAGATTTAAACAAGTATACGCAATCAATAACAAGTTCAAGAATTAAAGGTTTAATATATATATGGATATATATAATGATAAATATGATGTGTATTACTACTAAGATATTTGGTAATATGCCATACACCCCCCAAGAAACAACAGTAGGAGAATATTTAGTCAAGGGACTAAGAGGTTATTAGTTGCTTTGGTTTGCTGTGATCTTTCGTAATTAGTGAAAAATTACGTGAAACCTTGCTAACTGGTTTGAATATTTCATCCTAAATTTTGAAAACAATAACTACACGATATGGGGTTTAACAGACTAAGAAGAAGCCGGGGCAGAATAAACTTGGGGCCAGGGAACCAACCAGCCTACAATGAGATACCATAGGTAACGGATGAGTTTACATTGCAATGTATTAGGCGGGAGATGTTAGGCAGAGAGCACGGCAATACGCAGCCCCAGTTCCAAGACCTTTGCTAGAGAGTCGGGAACTGAACCTGCGAAAAGCCAGAATTTCTTAAAAAAAATGAAAAAAAATGAAAACATCTATATATCTTGGGTGTACGGATTTACTGTTTCAAAAAATGGATCTAAGGATGTACGGGTGTATGTGAGTTCGCGCCGTGCGTAGTTAGTCTAATGGCCGGGAATTACAAATGTTATCGCCGATCATAACAGAACTACTATTTATACAGCAAAGAGACTCTCTCTCTGTTCCTTTAAAGCAAACCTTTTAATAACAGGCAACTTCAAGGAGCATATGAATATTCCATCGACTAAGACTAGGTTTAGTCTTTGTTATCCAGCATGCATATGTATATATGTACATAGATATTCATAACATTTACAAGGGTTCATAACCCATTTTGTTGCTGGTAACTAGTAGATATTTAGCAGTGACAGATCTTGCCCTATTCGTCCTCTTTTTTCTTTAGTACTATCGTAATTTCATCACCGAGTTGAATAGTCTTATAGTCCCACATACAAACTATGTGTAACCCCATATTTCCTATCCATAAACAACTATAGTCAGTAATAGGAGTTGTTGGTGTTTACTGTTTACAATCACGATATATTCCAAAACCATGGTATTTACTACGGACATTTGTTACTGAAAAAGAAAAGACAACTACGTATTGTTTATTTTTCCCTCTAAAAATCTGCATGGCAAAACCCGCAAAGTGAAAATAATAGTAACAATTTTTTTTTTTTTTTTTTAGTATTAATATAAATAATATAGTAAGAAGAATAATCAGCAAAAATTAAACAGTTTCAGATTCGCAACGTTAATTAAAGGGTAAGCTACATTATTAGCTTTGGTATATGAGCACTGTTAAAAATAAAAAATAGTCATATTATTTAGAGATTCTATTTAAAGCCAGGGTTTTTTGTTTTGAGTTTTGAGTTTTTAGGTGATTTACTATTTATTTCCCCTTTGTTTACTATTCTGCATAATAAAAGAAAAATAAAAATAAAATATCTCACTATTTTTTTTGCTAAAAGCTGAGGAATTTACCTAGTAATACCAATAATAGATATTATAACTCTTTTCAAATAGTGTATATATAATATTACTATTCTCATTTTACTATTCTCATTTTACTATTATCAATCTTTGTACAACCAGTCATTCTGTCTCATTTTCAATATTCTAACTATCAAATTTATTGTACACTAGCTATATTATTCATTATATCATTAATATTCATCACTATGGCACACACATTAGACAAGAAATCTAGTCTCAGAAGTCTTAATTTTCATTTAAAGAAAAAACGTAGTACAACTGATGACAATAAAACTACTAGTATTGGTTTTAAACAATCAGTATCGGCACTCATGAACAAATGGAAAGATATCTTTAAATCTATTACACATAATACGTTGGATGAATTGGAAACGTATTCCTCGGATGAACAAATTGATGCAATGTTCCGTAGAAATAAAAAAGACGCAAATGTTGTCAAATTTAATAAAATATTACATGAAAGAGATAGTGGTGCATCATTATCTCAATGCAACCCTGTTACTAGTTCACAATTAGAAATGAAATTAACAGATGAAAGAAGTACAGAGAACGCAGTATCGATGAGTCCCAGTAATATGACTCAAGTTAGGGATATTGATGAAGAAATGAACTCAGATGATGATGAGGAAAATGAAGAAGAGACTTTCGATAATTATGATGATGTTGAAGCTTGTCGATTATTGAGAAGTGAGCAAGGTGAACCATTTGTTGGTGCCATTGAAATATGGAAATATAGAAGAGATTTATGGCAAAAGAAAACCACGGATATCACAAAGGAAGATATTGATGAAAGAAGAGAAGAATTTCAGCAGATTCCATCAGAATATTACGATAGAATATATAGAAAACTGGTAATAGAGGATAAACCATTGAGAGAACCATTGAATTTACAAGATGCATTAAAAGTTATCGATGCAGGTTGGACTGAAACCAAGAAATGGGAAAGAGCTGCTAATGGGATTGCATAAGGTTTACAAACATTAGTTTCCTAAGCATTTGTATGGTCCAGTACAAACATAATCATGTCATCAAATCACATACACATACACACACAAAAAGAAAAAATAGCAATGTTGAAATTCATTCTAATCATTAGTAACCTTTCTTTTTCCACTAATTCCTTATCATTATTTATTTATTTTTCGTTGAGGTTTAGTTACCAATATACCTTTTTCTTACCATTACATAATTGCATTCTCTTGAAAAGAGAGAGTTATATAAATAAATAGATAAAAAGACAGTTTCTTCTTTACCTGTACCGATATCTTTCCAGTATATTTCATTAAATTCGTTATTTTTCCTTGATTATGTCCAATGTTGTTTCGATAATGCGCAAATCTCGATCAATTTCTGCTGCTCGATTTTGAAGATCTCCATCATTTTGCATTCGTTTCTGATATTTATCATATAACTCCTGTGTGGGTACTACACATTTTAATCTAAACGATTTATCGTGCATCTTTTTCAGCTTTTTCAGTTGTACTTCTGTAATGTATTCCTTGTTTGATTCGATCTCTTGAAGTGTCTTAGATAATTCATTAGAGTTAGTAGATTGAGTAATTTTCTTTACCAATTGATCAAGATCCTTGTATTTGCTATTCGACATCCTCTCCTTGTATATTTGATTGAGTTTTCCTTTCTTCAATTAGTGTGCAATATAAAAAGGTAAAGACTATCTGTTATTATAGTTCCCTGTTCTCTTAATAAAGAGAAGTGAGCTTCGGAACATTTCTGCGTAAATGAATTCTTTGTAATTTTTTAGAGGCAATAGTAACACGAAATGCTCAATTTAACCATTTGTAAGTAAACAAATAATTTCAACAAAAAAAAATTATTTAGTTTGAAAATTATATATAATCTATGAAGTAGATACAAAGTTTATGACACTTGAACAGAACTTGACAATTTCGTCCAGTCTCTCTGTAGGGTTATGTGCAGTTTCCCAATTGGTTAATGCCTCTTGGATTTTCTCATCCTTTGAATTCATATGAATAATATCACCATGGACCTTAAACAATACGTTCATAAATGCATCATACATTTCAAAGTCCCTGTTACTATCTAAACCTGCAGTGATTGCATTGATGAACCAAGAAATTTCATCGAATGGTTCAAATGAATTCAATGATCTAATCTCCAGGTCAATACCACCAACAGATAAAGACATTAAATATTCAAGGAATAAGTTATAGTCACCAGATGCACCACCTTCTCTTAGTAATCTTGTAAATTTGGACTCGAATCCAACACGACCAGTTGGTTTGAATTTGGTGACTTCTTCAATGGCATCAGTCTGTTTCTGACCCTCTGATTCACGCGCAAGAATTTGTTCTGGAGTTTCATATGCAATACCTTCTCTACCTGAGGCATCATCACCAACTCCAGCACCCTTTAGCTGTAAGAAAAATGGAGCTTGTTCCGGTTTTTTAGGAGCCTCGGTTGGCTTTGAACGTTGCTTTATAATATCCAAATTACGTAACATGTTCATCTTATTTCTTGGTCCGATAGATAACGTTATTAGTTCCTCATTGATCTGAGCTAATGATTTATAAGTACTGAAATTTTGATCATCTTCAACATCTTCTGTATTAGTGAAAGCACCAGTTAGAACGGAGCTATTACCAGAGACAGAAGAATTTGGTAATTGAATCTTCTGGAATTCTTCTTCGTCGATCATTCTTGTAGATATAGCCTTAAATTGCGCTCTGTTTGTCCACATACATATACCATTACCTGTAACATGGGTAGTTGCTAACATATCACCATTGGTTGAGAATTTCAAATCTGTGATAATGCTATCAAGTTTTACACCATCGATACAACCTCCTGTTGGTAAATCCCAAGTTCTCATTGTGGAATCCAAAGATGCTGATACAATCCAACGACCATCTGGAGAAAAATCAAAGGCTGTAATTCTATTACTATGACCCCATAATTGACGTACAACTCTTTGTGTGACTGAATCAATTACTACGATAGAAAAATCATCTAATGCAACAGCAAATAAATCCGAAGAACGATGGTAAACCATTCTTGTTATTGGTGCGTCTAATTGCAATTTTCCTAATAATGTAGATTTATTAAAATCATAAAATCCAATAAGACCATCTAAACCACAGGATACCATTTTACGGTTCATACCATCAAGTTCGATACCAGTGACGGCGGCATTCTTGTGTAAACGATACTTCTTACGTATGATACCACTTTGCATATTATAAACGACGATGTCACCATTGGATGAACCAACAAAACCAAAATTACCACATTGAGATAATGCTACAGATTTTACAAAGCCATCATCAGTGGTCTTAAATGTCCATCTACCGACTCTTTTATTACGCATATCCCAAGTACGAGCAAATTTTTCATTCTTATGAGCTGTAATCACATTTTCCCATTCACCTAATCTAGTGTTTACAATTGCCATGGATATGATCTCTTCAAATTTACCCTTGATAGTACTACCACCAACCCTATTACCATCATTTTTCTTGTGTAACCTTTGCGATAATTCTTGTGATTGGGCATCTTTCCTTAAAGAAAATCCCCATAATGATCTATCCCTAGAAGCAGAAAGAAGGAAATGCGATTCGTCATCAGCAAATAGGATACGAGATGGTGGTTGTGAATGACCACCTCTAGATCTTAAAAATCTCGGAGGTTGAACGACATTTTCTTCTTCTGGGCCTTGCGATAAGGATGGGTCGAAGACGTATTCCTTTAACGAATTGTCACCACCTGAAGTAACAACAATAGCTTGGCCGTTCAAGAAAGAAGCCTTGGTGACACCTCCATGTGACTCACCGTGGACATTTTTTAATACATGGATACGAGATCTACGGTCTAGATCGTAAAAGACCAAATCACCGTTAGTACCACCTATACATAAATGAGAAGAACCATCAGTTCTAAAGGAAATGGAAGAGATTCTCAATTGTGGAATCTTGATAGTACGTATTTTTTTCCCTTTTCTCAAATTGTACATGATAATATCACCTGTAGCAGTACCAAGTGCGATAATATCTAGTGCAGGAGCCTGTTCACAGGTTGTAATTTGATCTGGGAATTCATCGGAAGTATAAATTAGTTTACCTGAACGGATATTATACAGAATCACATTGGACTTAGTGACAACAACCAATTTATTCAAATAAGTTGGTAAGTGAATAATAGAAACTATATCTCCACCTTGCAATTTTGTAATTTGTAATTTAGTATAAAACTTGGTTGCATATTTTTCTTGAGGATTAGATTTCTTGTAGATGTAAACAATATTTTCATCTGTGGATGCGCATAAATAGTCACCAAAGTTACAGATATGTCTGATTACTGCATTTGGCGGGTCTAATTCAATACAATGTTCTTGAATACCACGTTTATAGATACCAATCTTATTGCTGTAAGATGCAAACACATAATGATAATGAGTCGCAAGTGCAACAATGTTAGATTCAGTTTCCTTCTCAGAAATGAATAAAAGATGTAAATTATTAGCATCATATATCTGAAATGACTTACCAACACTGGTTACGATGTAGAATGTAGAACCTAATGTTCCAATAGCATACGGAGTTCCGTTGCTTACATTTCCCACTATTCTAAAAGGAGCAAATATTCTCGAGGCGTAGCTATTACCAGACGTGACCAGCTCTAGCTTTCTCTTCTTATTAATTTCGTTAGTCATTGGGCCTTCTCTTTTTCTCTTATCGACCTTTTTCAACTTCAACTCTACTAGCACTCCTTATTATAATTCACCTTTTCTCTTTAACATCTTCTCTTCTTTCAAAGGAATCTCATCTCATCGCAAAAATTTTTCACTTTGGAAGACCTTCCTTCGGACGTTACCCTCACATCACCAACAAAATTAAAAACAATAGATAATAATAGTATAATAATTAAGAATGGCGTGCACGTTTTACATTACCGTTGAAAGCTCAGATGTGAACAAACCGATTATTTCCTTTATCAAATTGTTAGGAAGGTCATAAAATTTGACTATTATTATTGATAAAATTGTCTCCTAGAAATCGAACATTTTTGTTTTGTAATAAAGGGTATTTAAAGCTATATATCAAGATACTGCGAATACTATTAGTATAAGTTATCTGACCCTCATCCTTGATCTTATTTATTGGTCCAAATTGAAAGTGATCCTTCACAATGCATCCAACCAATATAGACCCTGGGTCAAATGAATATCATGATGAAGAAGAACACCCATTTACTGAGGAGAGTAAGCAGAAGGCAATGGAATCAATGGCCCCCATTTTAGAGGGATTCAATCCTAAAACCTCTATCAGTGAAAATAAATCATATAAACTTCCTCCAACTGGTACCTCTAGATCTGATTCTATCGATGAATTTGATCTAGATAATGGTATTCCTATCGAAGTGGAAACACAACCATGCCATGAAACAGAACCTGACTTGATTAGTCCGAAAACTCATACATTTGATGCGACGTTTTTAAAAGAATTTCCAAAAACAGATAAACCGGCACCATCTGTGGACCCTACTTTGGTCAATAACCCTTATGATAATTATTCACGTGAAAATTCTACTCCGTTAGTTGACACCAATGAATCTATCGCATCTGCTTCAACCTCTCATCTTTCGGTTACGTCACAAGCAATTCCTTCCTCAACACCTAGCTCTACTGCATCGTCTAGGAAATCTTCGACTAGTCAACCAAAACCTGTATTACCAAAGATTGGTAAGATCGGTATTTGTGCAATGGATGCCAAAGTATTATCTAAGCCAATGCGTCATATTTTAAATCGTTTAATTGAACATGGCGAATTCGAAACGATAATCTTTGGCGATAAAGTAATCCTGGATGAAACTATCGAAAACTGGCCTACTTGTGATTTCCTTATCTCGTTCTTCTCTTCTGGATTTCCTTTAGATAAAGCCATTAATTATGTAAAGTTGAGAAAACCATACTTCATTAATGACTTAGTGATGCAGAGAGCTCTATGGGATAGACGTTTATGCCTACAAATTCTTGAAGCAAATCATGTTCCAACACCACCTAGATTAGAAATAACTAGAGATGGTGGCCCACACGCAGACGAAGAGTTAAAGGCGAAACTATTGGAAAGAGGTGTGGTAGTTTCTCATACACCTGAACCAGTATGGAGAATGCGTGACGAAGATACTTTAGAGGTGAATGGTAAGATTATGAAGAAACCATTTGTTGAGAAGCCAGTGGATGGAGAAGATCACAATATCTACATTTACTATCACTCCAAAAATGGCGGTGGTGGTAGAAGATTGTTCCGTAAAGTTGGGAATAAATCATCTGAATTTGATCCGACTTTAATAAACCCAAGAACAGATGGTTCCTATATATACGAAGAATTTATGGATACTGATAATTTTGAAGATGTCAAAGCTTATACTGTTGGAGAGAAATTTTGTCATGCAGAGACAAGAAAATCACCAGTAGTAGACGGTATTGTTAGAAGAAATACTCATGGTAAGGAAGTCAGATACATAACTGAATTAACCACAGAAGAAAAAGACATGGCGAGACATGTATCTAAGGCATTTTCTCAGATGATATGTGGGTTTGATTTATTACGAGTCTCTGGTAAGAGTTACGTTATTGATGTAAATGGGTTTTCTTTTGTTAAGGATAACCCATCATACTACGATTCATGTGCAAGGATACTAAGAGAGACATTTTTACAGGCAAAGAAGAAACTTGACGTAGAAAAGAGAACTTTACCGCTGATTAGAGAGGAAAAGAGCCAAAAATGGGTTTTCAAAGGTCTAGTAACTGTTATTCGTCACGCAGATAGGACACCCAAACAAAAATTTAAACATTCTTTCACATCTCCAATATTTATTTCCTTGTTGAAGGGCCATAAAGAAGAAGTTGTAATCCGTCATGTCTCAGATTTAAAGATCGTCTTACAGGCGCTACAAATTGCAAGAGAACAAAAAGCTGGAGATCCTGCTAAAATTAAAGTTTTATCCAACGCTTTAGAGAAAAAAATGGAACTACCTGGGACAAAGATTCAATTAAAACCTGTGCTAAATGAAGATAATGAAGTTGAAAAGGTGCAGTTTATCCTAAAATGGGGTGGCGAGCCAACACATTCGGCTAAATACCAAGCTACTGAATTAGGGGAACAAGTTAGACAAGATTTTGATTTGCTTAACAAAAGTATTTTGGATGATATCAAAATATTCTCTTCATCTGAGAGAAGGGTTCTCCTCTCTGCACAATACTGGACAATGGCTTTATTTGGAGCAGATAAATTAGGTAGTGATGAAATTAGTATAAGAAAAGATTTATTAGATGATAGTAATGCTGCAAAAGATTTGATGGATAAGGTGAAAAAGAAGTTGAAACCTCTTTTGAGGGAGGGTAAAGAGGCACCGTCTCAATTTGCTTGGCCCGCTAAGATGCCCGAACCTTACCTAGTTATCAAAAGAGTGGTTGAGCTGATGAATTATCACAAAAAAATTATGGATTGTAATTTTAAAAATAAGGATGTTGACAAATTCCAATCCAGATGGTGTTGTAACGAGGACCCTAGCTTATTCAAGGAGAGATGGGAAAAACTATTTAAAGAGTTCACGAGCGTAGAGAAAGTAGATCCATCTAAAATCTCGGAATTGTATGACACAATGAAGTATGACGCCCTACATAATAGAAAGTTCTTAGCCAAAATTTTTGATCCTGTCGAATCCCAAGATGAAATAGATCAAGAAGTTATTGACCATTCGCTAGTGGATCGTTATCCAATCAACGTCTTAGCAAAGAACAATTTCAAAATCGTGGATAGTCACAGTACAGCTAGTAGTAAAACTAGCGTAGGCTCCCTTGGATGGGTCTTGGAGAGTGAGAAACGACCAAAGAGGGACAATGCATCTACATTTGATGACACCAAATATATTCAATTGAGAGAGTTATACAAATTGGCTAAAGTTTTATTTGATTTTATATGTCCAAAGGAATACGGTATTAAGGATAGTGAAAAATTGGATATTGGTCTTTTAACCTCTCTACCATTGGCTAAGCAAATTTTAAATGATATTGACGACATGAAAAACAAAGACAAACCAGCTTGCGTTGCATATTTTACAAAAGAATCACACATTTACACTCTTCTAAATATTGTGTATGAGGCTGGTATCCCAATGAGAATTGCAAGAAATGCCTTGCCAGAATTCGACTATTTATCCCAAATCAATTTTGAATTATACGAGAGTAGTGACATTAATGGAGCTAAATCACATTCTATTAGATTGAAAATGTCTCCAGGTTGTCATACACAAGATCCATTAGATGTACAACTAGATGAAAGACACTACATCAGTTGTATCCCTAAGTTATCATTAACAAAGCATCTTGACATAGACTATGTCCAACAAAAACTGAGAAATAAATTTGGAAGAGTTAATATGCCACAAAAATTCACACCTGTGAATATTACAAGCCCTAACTTAAGTTTCCAAAAAAGGAGAAACTCAAAAGTTGGAAAAGATGTGAAAGTGGTTAATGACCTAGATTCCGGGAATTCATCTCTCTCAATCTCCCCAATTCCAACAAGTGCTACGCCAAATATTTCATCTACTTCGATTGATGACAAATTAGAGTGAAGGAATTAGTCTCTAATAGTAAGTAATCTCTTCTTAGTTTATATCTTATAGTTAAGTGACTTTATCAAAATTCATAATATATTATATTCACACTAATTGTTTGTAATCGATGCTTTGCATGGCGATGCCCGAGTGATGCAGAGTGAAAAATAAAAAAGCTAATTGAAGAGGTAACAACCCAATGCCATAATTTCAAACCTTCAAACTCTATTACAAAAAATGATTATTATCTACGTACATATAGTAAGACCAGAGTCATCCGGACAAGGATATAAACAATAATGAATAAACAACAAAAAACAGGCAAAAAAATACGATCTCTTGATGAAGTTTTACAGTCATATAGAGATTTGATAAATGGCTCGGAGATGTTTTCAAATTTAAAGGAAACTTTATCTCAACACAAGGATGAAATACATAGCATACGATGTTTGGCAATTGGATCATTTACCCAAGATTTTCCTGCGAAGTATCAAATCGCATTACTGCTAGAACTTATAGCTTATTTACAGAGCAATGAGAACACAATTCAGGTTTCTATATATGACCCAGTATTTAATGGTTCTGATTTAGAATATCTGGTTAAAAACTACCCCAAATGGGAAACAAAATATGAAGTTGACAAAGAAGTATTTAACTCGAATTCAACGTTATTCTTTCTTCCACATGCACCATTAGATTTAACTGAACAAGTACTGCAAACGGAGAAACCTAAATTCTTTCTGGCAAACAATATCATCCAACATACAGACAGGTATACGAAGGGAGAGTTAAATGAAAAATATCCACTTTTAAGTAAGCTTGTACACTTGGTAGAATCTAAATCTGAAACAGCACAACCACAAGAGGTCGCCGTTTCTGCATCAAAAGATGGTTTTGAGGCATTTGTGCCCAAGAGAAAAAGGAAACAAAAATCAAAATATAAATTAATTGAAAAAGTCATCGATTTCGATAGTATTCAATCCACATTTACACAATGTACCATTACCACTACATTCGAAGAAGGAAAACTGTTAAGGGATAAACCCTGGGTTAATTCATTCTCTGATTTAGCAATGCATATTATATAATGAACATTATAAAATAATTAACGGCTTATTTCAATATTTATTAAGCAAAACGAAGTAAATAAAAGTAATATACAAATAATCTATCAAAACTATTTTAGATTTTTCTAAAGGAACTATTTTTCATATTGTTCCCAGTTGTCTAGGATCTTTCTGATCTTCTCGGAACCAGTTAAGTCATAAACATTTTGGAAGTATTCCTTAGTAATTTCAAATGGCTTAGCAGTCAAATTTGGAATGTACTTACCAATTAATCTGTCCGCCTTGACATTTTCCTTTAAGATACAACCCTTCATGAAGTTCTTGAATGGCTTAACACCATTTCTTAGATAAGATGAGTGGAATGGAACAGATATACCACGTAATGGGATACAAGCAAAACCTCTTTCAAGTTCAATTGGTTGTGGTTTAGCAATAGATTTCTTAGAAATCTCGTCAATAATTTCAAATAAATGACCTTCAACGTCCTCGAGAGACATGGTTTCCTGTAGTTTAATAATGTCAATCTTTTGCATCTTAATGAAATTCAATGTATTAGTCAATGTATCCAGAGCTCTCAAATCACCAGCAGCAACATATTGTTGGTTTTCAACATTGTAGTTTACGATTTCCAATAGCCATTGGGTTCTGGCAGCGACTTTTTCAACGACAAATTGTAGAGCATCTTGTGTGAATGTACCAGAAACTCTACCTGGGTTGACAGCAATCATACCATAATTGGATCTGCCTTGGTCATCTCTTGGAACAGCGACTTGCATAGTCATACCTCTGTAGAAGACAACTTCGACTAACGACTCAATGGACATAACATCAGCTAGAGATGCTAAAGCAGCATACTCACCTAGAGAGTGACCAGCAAAAGCAGCACCCGCTGGGATTAAACCCTTTGATTTCAAATCTTCAAAGGCTGCTTTTTCCATCAAAGTCAAGGCAGGTTGAGTAAATTGAGTAGCGGACAATAGACCACTTGGTGACCTAAATGTATACGAGTTGGTATCTTCAGTAATTTCCTTGAAAATCTTTTCAGATTTAGCTTCACCATCAATAATAGTTTCAAATACCATCTTAATATAGTTAGCTCTAATTTTTCTACCCTTTTCACCACCAAAATAAATAGTTAGTTCCTTTGGATTTTTTTGGACGATCTCTAAAATAGAGAAACCATAAGTATCTTTAAAGTAAGCATCAGCTCTGTCCCAGACATTTTTGGCTACATCAGAGGAGTTGTATAAGTCCATACCCATACCTTGCTCTTGGGAACCTTGACCAGTAAATACAAATGTAGAGATTGGCTGTTCAACTTCAGCTTCACCTGTCAAGACTACAACATCTTGATCATTCTTTGTTTCAAACTTGATCAATTTACGACCATTAATCATACCGACATGTTGGATAGTAGTTTTCAAAGGTGTATTTGGTAAGACCATATTAGTAAATTGACATTCGTAACCACGAACTCTAGAAGCGACACTGTCTGCAGCCCAGTTTTCAATTTGAGCACGGATAGCAGCAGAAGAGTACATACCATGAGTGATGGTACCTGGTAGATCAGCATACTTTGCAAAGTGACGAGAAACATGAATTGGATTCAAATCACCAGAAATCTTACCATAAGGTTCATTAGAAATTGGAGATTGAGATTCAACTGTAGCAATTGGAATAATATTTTCTAAGTTAATTTTTCTTTCAAGAGTAGAAGCGTTTCTCTTCAAGAAATCCACAACTGGGTTACCATAAGATTCACCAGCTTGGTAGTCCACGACACCAATTTCAATCATTTCCTTGGTTGGTAATTCCATTTTAATTGGACCAATACATTCAACAGAAGCAAACACATTAGCGTTCTTAAAAGTGACTTGTGTTTCAGTTTCAAATGTTAAAGTTTGACCTAATAGATCGCGATCTTCATCATCTAATTGGAACCATTCCTTGGAACGAAGAACAGCAATGTCCTTTGGAGATTTGATGTGCATTTCATAAACTGGGTCTGTAACCTTTTGGAAAGTGTTTTCAAAATCGGAATAGTTACCTCTGTAGAAGAAAGAAGAAGTGACTTCCATAACAGGCTTACTGTCTCTGCTTAATGTACCAATAACTTCAACAACCTTACCTGTTGGTTGGTTAACAACAGATTTAATAACAGCAGTAGTTGAGATCAAGTCGCCTTCTTGTAGTAGAGTAGCACCAGGAATCATTCTATAACCATTAGATAAATGGACCAATTTTAATAAATCACCATCAACTGTTTCAGGGAAAATGGCCTTAATAATAGCTCTCCAACCAACAACGATTGCGAAATCCATTGGAGCACGAACCTTTCTACCTTGTCTTGGGACAAAATCTTCACAGTTGTTACCAATAGCACGAGTAAAATCAGTTATATCTTCTGCGGTGATGGTGAAATCAGAACCCTTAATGACATCTCTTGGATTAAACTTCAAGTCAAATGGTTCGTCAATCCAAAGTTTCCAATACATCTTCTTAATACGTTCATTACGGCTAGTCATAACTTCAGAAATAGGAGCGAAACCGTCGTCTGCATTGTAGTTGTATAATAATTGTAAGGCAACTGGTTCACCATCCATAGTTCTATTTTCAATCAATTCTAGTTGGATTAAATCATCTTTAATTAACTTCAAAATGGCAGTCACCTTTTGTTCACCTTGAACTGGTTCGGATAATGTAATAACAGATTTTGAAGCGTCATCGGCATTAGAAATGTTGACTTCCATGTTTGGAATAGGTTCAAAGACCTTTTTAGCAGCATTTTGTGTGTATTCAGAGTTTTGAACATAAATTGGTGCAGAAAAGAAAGCATTTCTCCAGTTCTTCTTTGGACCTGCAAGGGACTTAAACCAAGAATCCTTATCAGTATTAGCGGAAACCTTGTAAGTGACGTCCTTAACCGTAGATGGAGCAACAGCTGGATCTTCACCACCGAAATATTCAATAACTGGGATAGATGATTCATCGTTGTTATAGTAATCAGCTAATAAATGTTTAATGTGACCATCATGGATACCATCCATAATTTCTTTAATTGGTTCATCCATCTTCTTAGTAAATTGAGCAGCGACTGGACCATGTAGAATACAAGTTCTTTGAACATCACCACCAACAACATCTTCCAAGTGTTCAGATTGCCATAGAGAATCCTTCTTAAAGAAAAATTCGAATCTGTGATCAAGAACTGGAACGAATGGAACTGGTTTTTGAATTGGATTTTGACACATATTTAGGAAGTAATCGACATCTTGAGCATCCATATATTGTTCAGTTGCTTCTGGGAACGCATTAAAGATAATATTTACAGCCTTTTCTGGTTCTTCTAAGATAGAGTAAGATTGAATCAAAGAAGTAGTCTTAACAGTTGAGAAACGTTCTTCAACACGACGTAAGTAATCACCCATAAAGTTTCTTAATGTAACATCGATCCATGACTTTCTGGATTTGATGTACATTAATTCAACTAATCTTTCAGCAACTTCCTTGTATGTAATAGAAGTCAAATCACGAATTTCGCCATTGATAGTAGCAAACCATGGCTTTTGAGTATCATCATTCAATTTTTGAATAATGTAATCTTTCTTAGCATCCAAGGTTGGTTGTAATTTAGCCTTTGGTAAATTGAAAATAGTATCATCTAATTCCTTCCAGAACATAACACATCTGGTAGCAAGTTTATGAATTGGTTCACCCATCTCAGAACGGACAGTAATAATACCACCAGTTGGCTTTTTGTAAGTGTTTTCCCATTGAGAATCTGGTACACCAGCACAATCGACAATAGCTTGTTTAGCAGCTGGAGAAGTTTCGGCTTCCTTAGCAATCATAACCTTTGAACCAAATAAGAAACCATCGAAAGGCATAGGTGGATAGTGGAAATCAATAGACCATTGACCAGTCAAGTATGGGTATGTATCTTCTGAAGAACCGAAACCGGAACCTGCTATTAGGATAATGTTGGATTGTTTTCTAATCTTGGAGTACATTTGTAGAATTGGAGCATGGAAATCCTCAAAGGAATGATGACCACCACCTCTACCACCGGTCCATTGTAAGATAATTGGGAAATTTGGATGAGCCTTGGCAATTGTAATAACTTGGTTAATAGCGTCAACAGAACCAGGTTTCAAACCTAAATGAGTTAGACCTAGGGTTTCAATATATTCGGAAGCGACCTCTAAAGATGGAACACCTGCACCAATGGTTAAACCTTGGATTGGATAACCCTTTGATCTTAACTCTCTAATCAATGGAATACCCCATTGTAACATTCTTGGATTAACATAGATCAAGTTGATAGATATACTGGAACCAGGTTTGATTTGTGCAATAATATCATCAATTGCCTTTGTCATACCATCCGGAGAGAAATAACCACCACCTGCTAATTCGATTTGATAACCTGCATTAATAGTAGCGGCAACAAAATCTGGAGACACAGTAGTTGGAGTCATACCTGGAACCAAAAGAGGAGCTCTACCTAATAATTTCGAAAATTTAGTACTAACGAAGATTTTACCGTTCTTGTTTTTAATCAATGTTGGATGGAATTCCTTTAACCAATTTAAGTTTCTCTTCAAACCATTAGCAGTAGTATCGAACAATTCTTGTTTAAAACCATAATCATCATTAGTATTAACACCTAAAGCACCTGCAATGATTATACGAACACCAGTACCTTCTTTATTACGATGAGTTAATATACCTAGACCTGAAGCACCACCTGGACCGAAATCCAAGATATGAGTAGCATCAAATTTTGTTGAGGTAATCCACATGACAGGTAATCTAATAATACAATCGACAATCCTCTCTGTAGTGTTTTCTTTACAATCTCTTAAATCAGCACCACTATAAGTATCATAAACTGCAATCTTAATCTTATTAGCATCATAACTTAAACCATTAGCCTTTAAATCCTTAACGACTAGACCATGAGCTGGAACCATTAATTGACAATGGAAAGGAGCTGCAACAGGTAAGAATCTATTTGAAATCTTTAATTTTCTTTCACTGTAAGGAATTCTTGCTTGTTCAACACCAGCGGTGGCCTTAGCGGCTCTTAAAGCTAAATTCAACCCATATAATGATTGTGGAGGACCTGAAACAACGAAGTTTCTAACACCATTAATTAATGAAATGTGAACGTGTTTACCTTCTGGTAAATGAGCATTAGTCTTATCAACATAATCTTGAACTTTATCTTGTGTTAGATTAGTAATTGATAACATTGGAGTTGGATTACCTTCACCATGTTCTTTTGAATCTTCAACAATTGTTGGTGGTACAGAAGTATTTGGATAAGTTTGAAAACAACGAACACCAATGAAAAACATTAAAGAGATAGATTTTTTCATAACTTGAAAGAAATCATCCCAAGAATCAGCCTCAGAAATGGCTAAAGCAATTGCTAAACCTTGAGAATGACCTGTTGAACCACTTAAATGAGATCTTAATTCACCTGGTGTGAAACCTAATAATCTTGCTGTTAATGCATAATGTGATAATTGAATCACGGTAATTAAAGGACATGAAACAGTAATTGAAAGTAAATAATCTGTATCAGGTATCTTTGATGAATCTGTTAACCATTGCATTAAATCGAAATCTTGAGTATATAATTTTTTAACACCTTCAGTATTTTTAACTAAATCATTTAAAGTAGTAGCTGCAAATTGAATAATGTCAGAGACTAAAGGACGATAAGTATCATAAATTTCAACTAATTCTTGAAAATAATCATCTGTGTTACCTTGACCACCAAAGATAGCAACTAATTTTAAATCTTTTTCATTTGAATTAAATAAGGTAGCATTAGATTTTTTATCAAATGGCAAATTAGCGACTGATCTAGCTAAAATATAATTTTTAATTAATTGTTTAACTTTTAGTAAAGTTGTTGGAAATTTTTCTGTGTCTTTTAATAAATCAGTTGCCAGAACATGTATATCATTTCCAAGCAAGAAATTACTATTAAATTCGTTAATTGTACTCTTTAAAACATCTTTAAATTGTGATTCAATATCAATTAAAGATGCGATATAAGCTAAAAATTTACCTAATAATTCAGCAGCGGATGCAGGTTCATCATCATCAGCAAAACTTTCAGTTGGAGTTGGTAAAGTTTTTTTAAATTGATCCTTTAATTGAGAAGCAGCGAAAAAGGAAGAAGCTGGAACAGATAAAACGTATTCTATTGAACCATGTCTTAGAATTAGAGTTCTTGTAGCTTCGTTTGTCATAATTGTTTGTTTATTATAACGTATAATTTGTTCTTTGTTAGTGAATATTTAATAGTAATGATAGCAAACTGTAGTAGATTAATGAAATTGAACAGTAACACTAAATCAAATCAATAAAAAAAAAAGTTTTTTTTATTTCAAATCAAATCAGATAAATAGTAGTGAAAATGACACAAAGGAAGGTTCTATCAATATATATATATGGATATATATATATATGTCTCTATATCTTATTTTTTTTTAAATCTGTAATCTGTTTAAATGTTGAGTCTTCAACTATTCACTCAATCAATTGACAGAAGATTAATTTCTTTTTTTATTTATTTCTTTGACTAAACTCAATGATATAAGAAAGATGCAACAGACAAAATATTAGAGTCGATATATATATATATGAAGGCAAAAAACAAAAATAAAATCAAATGTATGTTAGAGATAAATTACAATTCAACGAACAAACGATAATTATAATAAATAGAAGATCTCTCGTAATATTCAAGATATCAGTTTTCAATTTACCGAAAATACGATCAAGCCTAGTCTTAAAGAAAGTTCAACTTTAGACTGCAATATTACTATAATTGAATATGGAATTTACTATTATTATTATTCAATCTTGACAGCAACAACAAACAATACTATGATGTGAATGTGAAAAAAAATAAAATTCACATGCTCAGCCCGAAAAATTGTAATTATGTACGTTGCTGTAAAAAAAAATAGGTAACAACGATTTTTTTTTAGTTTACGCGTTTCGCAAGATATGAAAAGTTCTCTCCGCGATATTCTGTGGAATTCCAAGCTGAAAAATAAAAACAATATACATCAAAATCTCTTGACAGGTTTTTGCGAGTGAAATAAGAGAAAAATATTTCACATGCACACACACAACGAAATTACGACAACAATTGAAAATGAAAATACGCCACCAAATAATAAAACAGGAGGGTAATTATTATCGAACCCAAAGGCAAAAAAAAAAGCCAAACAACCAAATTTGGTTGAATTTTACGAAGGCAAATATGACAAGATTCATCTTTCACTCTATTTTGACAGCTGCGTTTTCGTTGATAGGGATATCACTGGACACGAGGCATAAGAAATATTCAACAAAGATAATAAACATGTTTGTAGGCACCGACCACAATTAATTTGTTAATCAAATCGATTACTTCTTTATATATATATATATTATCTACAGCCGTACGTAATACACCAAAACGAAAAAGATTTATATATATATATATATATATATATCTTCTATCTCAACAAAATATAACTAACTGTGGTAATAATAATAGTACGCATATACCATTTCGCCCAACAAAGTCTGCCTCTTACATCACCAATTGATAAAAAAAAAGATAACAATGACATCACATTATGAATAACTTGTCTGTGTATAATCATTCAACAGAATTGGATTCACACACGCATATATACATATATATATACATATATATATTATCGCAAGACACGGCAGTGTACTCTACAATATATTAATATTCTTTGTGCATATTGGTTGAGACAAGAACGACATATATTTCTGTTGAGAAATATGTAAAGTAAAGAGAATCTAAGGAATGGATATATAGACGTTATATCCACATAACAATGTGTGTGCAATACTTACATATTGCATTCCTTTTTTATCCTTACGGAATGATTCTCTTAAGGTAAATTTATTCAACGTAAAATCTACTGATTTTGCATTATGCAAGGGGTAAGAAACATCACATTCTAAATTCAGTCATTGTAATACACACTATTGACTGAATAGGTTTTATTTTTTTGTTGAATATTTTTTTTTTGTTAAATTTAAAGTGACAAACTTTACATATTTTATCTTTAACGTTGGCTTCATTCAATTCTGGGAAATTCCACCAATCAATTGCCAGGAATTCTAACTTAACCGCACAGAACACCTGTATCGCCACAATTGAGTTTTGTGCATGTGAAGAAAATAAAAAGATTGAATTAAACTAGACTGACATATTTTCAATGTTCCGTGCCAAATGATCAGGCCATCAATCTCTCTACGGGAATTTTATAATTAAGTAGCGAAAGTCTTCTTTTTTTTTTCTCAACAAAAATAAAGAAATGTAGACAATTTGGTAGGGATAAATTTGAGTTTCATATTCTCCTCTTGTACGAGGGCAAAAGCAAGAACAAAAAATAAAAGATTTTTAAAGAGTGTTAAGCTAGAGACGGTTTTTTCGCTGCAAACCAAACAGCATTTTTTTTTTGTTGAGATTGAAAAACTGTAGGAGCGCAGCATTGTAAAAATTTCTTCCTTCAGCCATATACATGTTGGAACAAACAAATATATATTGTAACATTTGCCTCTTCAATATTTCGTTTGGGGAATTCGATATTTCTCGGAATATTATTCACCTCCCTGTAATGTACCCCTAGGGATACAAAACGGCGGCATAAAGACTGTTTTCTTCGTTTCTTATTATATTACCCAAACAGACAGAAAATTAAGTAAGGATTCACTTTTATTTGTCTAACATATTCCGTCTTCTACGCTCATTTCTCTCTCCGCGGAAACGTTAAGTTCCAAATTATGCGGCAACATAGAAATTTAAATTTTTTGCATTTCCTTTGGAAGAAGTCTCGTTCCGGTGTCCTCATTTTTTGGAAGCATTGAAAATAAGAAAAGAAAAACAGTTACAACGTTATTACAGATTCTCTTCCTACTTATTTACTTTAGTTCTTCTAACTTTGAGACCCGTCGATCATTTCTTGCAATTGTTTCTTCTTCCTCTTTTAAAGAAATCTTTTTTTTCAACTTTTTCTTTAAAGTCCTTGGGTTCTTCCATTGTAATCTGTACGAAAAACTATCCTATATTAGATTTTGCTATTTTTCATATTTTCCCAACAATATATACTTTCAAGATTCATATTCGTTCTTATACTTTCAAATCATTTTGGCTATTTGCCTCATTAGGTGATTATTGTCACTTCTTATTCTTATTAACTGAAAAAACAATAGACAATATCTCATGCAGTAATAGACGTATTTTACTATTTTCTCTTGGTGAAAACTCCATTGCTGATGTAATTTGTTGAATTGTATATTTTGATTTTTTTTCTTTTTTTCTGTTTTGCTTTCCTGATTTACTGCTCTAATAATTACTTATTTGGTACCTTATACGTTATATCCATCTTCACTATTTTTTTTTAGTATTTTTTTTTCTTTCTTTCTTGCTTATACTGTATGGTATTTTGATTGATTGATAATGTGACATCTCAATAATATTTAAAGAAGTATTTATATATATATATATATATATATATAACACTAGTATTTAATAAATTCTTAGTTTCTTTCATCATATCTTGTTACTAAAATTTTTTTGAAATTTTGTTTTTATGTTGTTTTTAATACAACCAATCAACAAACAATTCAATTTATTATCACAACATGCAAACTAATAAATTGTTTATGGGATGTTCATTCCTATTCACATTCGCTTGTTTCTTATTGATTATCATATCAATGGCAGGTTCTTCATCAAATTATAAACCATTAACTAATATATATATCGGTGAAGCTGATATATCACATATTAATGTAACTAAAGTTATTCCACAAGTTGGATCTTTAGCATCTTTGCTTGGTGGTATTTTACTTACTTATCCAAATCAAACAGATACCATATTTTCAACAATGAAAAATATTTCACATTCTGAAGCTTTAATGCCATTTTTAACAATGATTGGGAAATCAACTAATACTACTGTAACTTTACAAGCAGTTGAAAAATTATCACCTTTAGCTTTAATGGCTGGTAGTGGATCTGCTGCTTCTGATGCATTGAATAGTATTAATGAATTATTAGAGGAATCAACTAATACTAATCAAACTGTTACAGGTTTATCTGCTTTGGTCTCTACTCAATCTTCTTCAAATTCAAGTACCACTGAAGCTCTTTTACAATCAATGGTCTTTGAAATTTTAGAAACTTCAAAGAATGCTTCGGCTACTACTGAAGCATTACTAGATTTAACTAGTATTAATATCTCAGATTTAGTAACCCTATCTCCTGCTCTAGAGTTAGTTCAATATTCAAATAATTTAACAGCAACTTTTGATGCTGTTGCATCTTTAATGAATTTGACTATTCCAACATCAATGACCACTGAATTATTCTCCGTGTTGAACTCCACTTTATCTAGCGCAACAAACGTCACTGCAGCTCTAGGATCTTTGTCAGCTTTAGTTCCTTCAAGTATGTCTTCATCATTGACTGCTTTGGATTCTTTATTCACTAGTTCTTCTAATGTCACTAAGACTTTAAGTCTATTAGAGACCATTGTTGCTAAGAATTTGACCTCATCTGCTGTTGCTAAACAAGTTATTAATGATATCGAGGTAATTCTTGAAGAATCTACTAATACCACTTTATTAACTTCTATTATCCAGACTTTAATGTCATCAATTTCTTCAACTTCTTTAAATGCTTCCTCTTTAACTTTATTAACTTCAGCTACTGAGGAATTAGAACAATTAGAAACCGTATTATCTGCCTCAAGTAACTCCACCGATTCCATTACTATCATCGACGCCATGGAAAAAACTTTAAGTAATAATACCGATATGAATCAATATGTTCCTTATCTTTTCGAATATTTAGAAGCCTCTTCTGATCCAGCCGCCTCATTCCAAGCTTTAATCAACATTACTTCACTTGGTACTACCAACACAACTTTATTGTCCTCTCTATTAAGCGTTTTAACCTTGGCTTCTACTTCTTCATTACCAACCGATAAAGAAATGTATGATACTTTACCACAAATTTTAGAGTATTTGAATATTCCAGCAAAATTAAGATTAGCCATTTTCACTCTATGTAAGGTTAATTTAGAAGGTAAAGTATTGTCATGTTCTAAACCTCATGCAGTTCAAAACTTCGACTTTAGAGCCATTATCTTTGAAGTGTTAATGGATTCTGATTTTGCTCCTTATTTAGAAGCTTTAAGTATCGAAGCTGACGATTTGCATCTTGATGGTAAACTAATGGGTAGACAACATCAATATGTCCCAACTGTTAAAGCTGCTTTATCCATGGATATCTTATCATTCGTTACTGGTTTCTTCCTAATGATTGCTATTGCGTACGTCTTTTTCACACAATGTCTAACCACTCACTTAAGATGGTTCAGTTTCACTTTCACTACTATGGCTTATTGTGCTTTCACAGGTCTAGGTACCACCGTTGTTACTGCTATTGTCAATATTATTAAATCTGGTACATCTCAAGATAAATATAATGTTATTGTTAAGTCAAATGCTCCAAACATGGGTATGACTTGGTGTGCATTTGCTTTATCTGTCATAATGATGTTCATGGAAATGTATGGTTGGTACGATTTCTATAAGAAAGATCGTTTAGCTAAGAGCGATGAAGAGATGAATTTAGGTTCTACTAGTAGTAGTGAAAATGAATCTCAAATCATTAAAGAAAACTTAGTTCAAAGTACAGTTGAAGAAGTTAAGAAATAATATACTTAAAAACAACAACATCAAAAAAGGTATTATTTTCTATATATAACCATAATAATAAGTAGCATAAGCGCTGAAAAGGTATTAAATCTTGAAAAGGCGTGTTTTTGTATCATTTTAATGAATAATATTCAAAAAACAACAACAACAACAAATAAACATTTATAAAAGAATAATAATAATCATAATATTTGTAAAATTATATAAGAATAAAAATACTAAGTGTTTCTCAACAGATGCTTATAACATGTCTCTCTTTTCCATCATAGGAGTTTGAACGTACATGACTCTTGGAGTTGCTCTAACGAAACACCAGCAAATGAAATTAATTAATGCAGCAGCTACTGCACCCCATAATAAACCTAAATATGTTTTCCCAAGAGATAAAGAAATCCCATAATCACTATAATTATCAGAAAGAATGTGTCTAATATATAGGTAGGTAGCCATACTAGTACCGACACTAATTAATAAAGAAACAAATGCGAAGAATGCGAAGAATCCACCAATAAATGTAACAACACGTAAATGGAATATACTTCTGCAGAAAGAAAGCACTAAGCAGACAAAGGATAAACAAATACCTATTATAATAGTAATAAACATACATTTGGCCAAATCGTTGTAGTAAGTCATATCGTCTTCCAATTTATCTGGTAAAATCAAAGATGCCACTGAATCAATCAGTGATAATACATTATTATCTTGAATATTATCATAAAGTAAAGATTTCAAATTAAATTTCTCTATCCCATCAGGTGAAGTACAACTAGTAACCTTCTTAGTGGAGTCCTCTATACAGTATGACCATAGACCAATATTAAAATATGAAGGCAATACCGATGATAACTCTAAACTAGAACTAATAGCTGGTATCACTTTGGTTAAATCCATATCTGATAGATTTATTTGGGCAACGTATATGTTATTTATTGGAGTATAATTCTTTGTAGAACCTGCACATGCTATACAGGACAATATTAGAGCTGCAAATGAGAGAATCATTGTACAAAAAAGCGTGAATCTGTTAGACATTTTGACTTCTAATTTTTATTTTATATTTTTGGGTGATGTTATTTGGATATGCTATTTATGGTCAAATAACGGTGCTTCTTTTTGTAAGTTACTACAAATAGTAATGAAGATATTTGTAGAAGTAACACTATATATATATATATATGAGAAAGAGACTCAAAGGTGAGTCGATATCTCTTGTCCCTGACTGAGCCTAATCTATTTTTATATACGCTTTCTATGTGATCTCTCGAGGAAATCACCGATGGCGCCCAGAAAAACTTTGATGGCTGTGCTGTCAAAATAATGTGAGTGCTTATTGAATTCTGGTTTCCGGTGGGGGGTACCGTGAATAGCAGGGCTGTGCTCCGGGGTTTTAGTGAGTTCATGTGTTTCTCGGATGGCCCGATCGGGTCGGCAAAGTAACGCGCTGAACAATGAAAAAATTAGAGAAATTTCAGTCAAAAAAGGTAAATATTGAGAAGGCTTGGTACTACAAGAACCAAATAAAACAATCTACACTATATATATATACATGCGTTGAGGAGGCTCAATGGAAGAAAAGTTGGGACTGATATGAAGTGTATATGGATAAACAATTAATGGAGCACGTTCTTTATCTTTTGCATATTTAGGTTGGTCCTGCAATGAGGAGTGATGGTGCCTGGATTCACTGTCTTTGAAAAGATTGTAGATTAGATTAAGTAGGTTGTATAAAGTGAATTGTAAACATATGTACTTTAGTGTGATGCAACAGATGTGTATCTCGCTTGTTTTTACCAATAACAACTGCAAACCGCAGCGTAGACCTTTATAATGATTGCCTATGGAAAGTCATCGCAAAAAAGAAAAATAGTGAGAAAAATTATTCAAAGTGAAAAATTGAAATAAGCCAACTTAAAAATCAATAAGACCAGTTTTACCAGATACACCAACAAAGATTAAGAACCACAAAAAATAAGAAAACCGTTATATTAGGAATCTTTTTTTTCTAAAAGTGGTGGTTGTTCCTCTGGATTGTAACTCTTTCTTTTTTTTTTTTAATCACCAGAAGTTTGGAAACTTCAAGCATAGGTGTACACCCCTTATAATAATGGAATGTTGGCACCACATAGAGATTACTGCATCTGGGAGACCCATCCTTAGAGAGAATGAAAAGGATATTTTTATAGATTATTCTGTTGGGTTATATGATGGGAAGCATAGAGTTCCTGATAAACAAAACGGTAGAGTGTTTTTAACATCTCAAAGAGTAATATATGTCGATGATCAACAACCTATTGAATGTTCTGTATTTTTAGAGTTAGATAATATTAAATCCATTGATTTTTCATCAAGTTTCTTAAAGAGATCTGCACGTATCATTATATTCTTGAACGAATCCTCTACAATCGTTAACACCGATAATAAAAATTCCAAGAATAAGGAGAAGGATATTGTATCCTCTTGGAATTGCCCAATTTGTGCCCATGTGAATGAAACAAAAGGGAAAATCACAGAAAATAGTTCAAATGATTTGGTATGTTCAAATTGTGGTATACCTGCAGAATTCTCAACAATAACGGACTCTTTGGCATTTAAGACCGTAAAGCAAGAATCAAATGCAAATGAATGTCCATCATGTACTTTTATAAACCACCCTTCATTGACCAATTGTGAACTTTGTGGTACTCGCTTGATTCATTCACAAATGAACCAAACTAGATCGAAACAACGTCATCATCACCAATCTCGTACTACCGCATCCAAGAATGAATACGTACAATTGAGTTTTAGGAAATCAGATGGATCGTTATTTGGTCAATCGTTAGAGGCTATGTTGGATAAATTACGAAAAAGGGATGTATTTAATAAAGATGTTGTCAGTGTTAATGGTGTAGCTGTAAATGAAAATGAAATTAAGAAATTCCAGGAAAGTTTTGATTCAAATCATAATATCGAAGTTATCAAAGATAAATTTAATTCTATTGGGATTAGTGGATTGGAACGCTCCAGAGAGAATCAATTAGCAAATAATGATATTTTATTTAATAGTGCATTATCTGATATGAATAAACTAATATCTTTGGCCCATAACATAGAACGACTCTATAAAGGTAGCAATAGTGATACAACGACATCTATTAATAAACAACAACCATCATTGATAATCGATAGAGATAAGTTCTTGAATAAAGATTTATTTCTGGATGAAATTTCAAGAGATATATACGAGTACGCAATTGCTGAATCACGGGATAATGAAACAAATAATATCATGATCACTTTAGTAGATCTTTATGCCATGTACAATAAGGCAATGAGGATCGGAACTGGATTCATCTCTCCAAAGGAAATGAGAGAAGCTTGTGAAAGATTTGAGAAATTAGGTTTACATGAGTTGAAACTAATGAAAATCAATAGTAGAATCCTCTGTATCTGTAGTCAAAATTCTCTCAACTATGTGGCTGCGCAAATAGTGAATATCGTGACTCAAGAACCGGGTTCAGATATTTTGAGAGTAAATCAACGGTTGACCTCAAGTAACGACGGGAAATCAAATTGGACAACTGGTGTACTTACCGAAATTCTTCAATATTCTGTTAACGAAGGTTCTCTTGTAACTGATGAACAATTGACTGGTATATACTATTATAAAAATAAATACTGGTAACTGCACATATATGACTTTTAATGATCTTACAAATTTATTACTATCATTTATCTCTTTTTCTATAATACAATTAAAGGATGACTATCTTTTTACATTTTTTTTTTTCTTGTTTTGCTTTTTCGTTCATACTATTATATAACTAAAGTACTTAATGGTATCCTCTTTCTACCAAGGATTTTTCTAAATTTGACCAGAAGAAACGAACCACTTCAACATCCTTAAAACGTTGATGTTTGTCCAACCCAATTTTTTGAACATTCCATTGTTGAACATGCTGTGGTACTTCATCTCCATTGAAGTGAAAGTAATAACCATTACAATGTTGGAATAAATTCTGAGGGGTATTCCATTGATAGTTGGCAAATTGCCAGGCGTGACCTGTTGTAAAAACAGCCACTACTCTATCCCAGTATTCGGGCTTTGTAAACATTCTGGTGTTATTAACAATTAAAAACCTAATTGGCCTACTTATTTTGGTAAATTTCTTTTCCACAGTAATTAAATCATTATCAGATGTAATCGTAATATCTCTTGGATTAACGTACTTGGAATGTTCCAAAAATTCTTTAATATTTGCAAGAGTTAAAATAGAAGATGTTGCAGAGGGAATTAATATGATTGGATCTTTACGTAACACACTCTTTGAAGGGCCATTACTCTTTGATACGTGACCCTTACTTTTACCGGATTTAGAACTTGATGAACCTTTCAAGGATTGTACTAGCTTTAATTCAACATCTTTAATTAAATAACTAAAATCTATTGGCTTGGATCCACGTAAACTAGAGTTATGATCCATCAATACCCTTTCGTGTTCTAAAGTTTTAAACAATACCGGATCTTCATTCTGTATAATCTCTAGTTCAGATAAACCTGATTTTTGATCTGCCGAAGTGGTAGTTTGTGTAGTGGTATTAGCAGAGGTTGAAGTTGTGGTATTATTAATGGCAGCTACACTTGATATTGCATTATTTTTCTCATCTGATGGTTTTGTATCTTGATCTTTGGATGTTGAAATATATTGTGAAGTTTCTGATTGTCCAGTCAACCAATTCATTAAATCATTTCTTTGCAAAAAGGAGATATTAGTTAAGTGCAGTTTTTGACAGTCAGCTAGATAATCAGCTGCACTAGAATCTTTGTGCATCCAACAATGAAGGATAACTTTCAAAATAACAGGGTTTTTCTCGATCAAAAACTCAGTCTCATCATTCAGAGATAATGTAGCCTTATTGTTTTCTGCATCAGACCCAAGTAAAACCTTATCAGCAGTACTAATGTCTTCTGTAGTAGTATTGTTTTCATCTAATAGGGTGAACTTATCACCATTTTTCAGGTGATCCCTTAGTGTAAAAAGAGCGGATTTCGACATAATTGAGTAATCCTTATTCGATTCTTTGGGAACTGCAGTATTTAATACTAGAAAAGGATATATATTTTATATAAACCCTTTGTGATATGTGTATTCCTGGTAGCTATTACAAGTCAAGTTCTCTATAGTTCCGGTTAAAGCTGCTTCTTGTTTAGACTGAGAATTGAACAAATATCGAATTTGTTCAGCGCTGAAAAAAAAAATTAAAGAGAGTGAAAATAAACTTTACTGAAAGGAGGGTAAATATTTCCAAAAATTATGTCATCTTGAAAAATTTCGATGATTATAAAGTTATCAAAGAATATACCTCTTGAATTGTTAAACATTACTATAATACAACTCTAAGTTATCATATTTGTTCCGAACTTCAAAGAATCTTCCTGCTTGAACTGAACTAGCTAAGAGCCTCCAAAAATGGCAAAAAAGAACAAAAAGAGCAGCAGTCCAGCAGTTGCAACAGAAACTGCCTCGAATGGCAAGAAGGGTAAGAAAGGAAAGAAAGATGTTCCTGAACCTGAACCAGATTCTAAGGAGGCAAGAAAAGCCAAGCAACAAGCACATAGAGCAAAAGTTACGTCAACTACTAGCTGGACAGGTAAATTACCTCACACTTTATTGCACGAATTTTGTCAGAAGAAGAAATGGAATAAAGTTGAATATGATATGAAGAAGATAGGGGACAAAGGAATGGTGGCTGTAGCAGTGTTAGCATACACGGATCCAAAGACCAAAGAAGTTTTAACCCTTCGTATGACTGATCCTACTTATGATAAAACTAGTAACAAAGGCGCGATGACTCCTCAAGAGACACCTGCAGAAGCTAGACATATTGCTGCCACAGTTGCTCTATGTCGTATTGCATACAATACAAACATGCAAATGATGCTTCCACCAAATCATAAAAACGTATGGTACGCACTAGATGACTATAGAAAAGAACTTATTAAGAGCAATCCTAAACGTGGAGAGAGATTATTTGATACCGAACCATTTGCCACTATATTAGAGGATAGAAAGTTAGAAAAACAGAGAGCGAAAGAGAGAGATGCAAAACGAAATCAAGCTGAAAAAACAGAAGTTACAACGGTGGTTATATCATCAACCAATTCCGTTGGATCGAAAAAGAAGGCTTTTAAAGTGGAAAAGAATACTCTCTCAAAGAAACGGGAAAAACCACTAATTAGCTTCCCTAAAAAGGTTTGGGAGAACGCCACTTTTATCGATCTTGAAGAATCTTCGAGACAATTGATCGAAAAATTCACGAAATATAACATCGATTGGAGTCTTCGAAAAAAGTCTGAAGAGTCGTCACATTCAAATGACGCGGAAAGATCTATCTTAAAGGAAAGATTAATTTCGTTAAAATTTAGGGAACCTCATGTGTTAGAGGCAATGAATTATTCAGATCCACTTTCATTTTTATTATTTAATTTACCAGAAGATGATCTTCCACCTTTTTTTCACAAAAGATCAGAAGATTCCAGGAATAAGATCGAAATATCTTTGTTACCATTAGCAACCAGAATAATCGTGGAAAAATTAACAGAAATAGGTGTTTCGAATGATGAAGCATTATATGCCCTTCAAGAAAACAATATGGATGAAGCAAACGCAGCTAGTACTCTTACTCAAAATCTCCTCCCTAACGTCGTTCTTAACCAACCATTCGACATCAGTGATGAAGAATCTAAGGAGTTATGGGCAGAAGAGGTAGAAAGTTTAAAATCCATATATGAGGAACGTTGCGAAATTATAAATCCTTCGTGTTTTTTAATTAGCTTGGACGAAAAACTAAAGTTAAAAATCAAGATTTATAGATCGAATGCATACCCCTATACACTACCAGGTATTATTGTGTCTACTTTTGATAAGAAATTTAAATTGCCTAATTACATCAAGAAAAACATTTTAACTCAACTATTGACCCACATCAAACAATCAGGTATGTTAGGTGATATGTTGATATACAATATTATGGAATGGCTAGATGACAATGTAGAGAACATAATTAATAATCCTGGTGCTTTATTAACTGCAGAAGATATCGCAAAATCTTCTCAAACTAACCTAACAGACTTGATTTCATCCAAAAATGGAAAGCCAAAAAATAACAAATCTCGTAGATCTAATAAATTATCAGCAGAAGATATCCGACAACTAAAAGATGAATTTATGAATAGAATAACCACTCAAGATTACAAATCAATGCAAAGTGTGAGGGCAGCGCTTCCAGCATGGGGTAAACAAAATCAGATTGTTGAGCTTATTGATAACCATGACGTGGTACTTATCACAGGTGAAACAGGTTCTGGTAAATCAACACAGGTGGTACAATTCCTTCTTGATAATATTATTAAAAATGAAAAGCCTACCACTTTGCTTTGTACACAACCAAGAAGAATCTCAGCTATTGGGTTAGCTGAGCGTGTTTCCGACGAACGTTGCACAAATTGCGGTGATGAAGTTGGTTATATAATTAGAGGTGTGAATAAAACTTCTAAGAATACAAGAATTAAGTTTATGACTACAGGTGTTTTGGTGAGAATTTTGCAAGGAGAAAAGACATTTTTGAATAACTCCATTGTTGTGATAGATGAAGTTCATGAAAGATCGATCGACACTGATCTAATTGTCACACTATTAAAAAACCTTGTTGGTAAAGTTAAAAATATGAAGATTGTTCTAATGAGTGCTACTGTTAATGTAGAACTATTTAAAAAGTTTTTCCCTGGTTTAGGTACTATTCACATTGAAGGTAGGACATTTCCAATTAAAGACTATTTCCTGGATGATATACTTGAACAATTAGACTTCAAGATCAAAAAAAATGAAAGAAATAGATTTTTTGATGAGGAAGACAATGAAAGTTCTAACGAAGATAATTACTTACACCCTGGTGCAGATTCTAGATTTTTCAAGAGTGGTCAAATTAATTATGACCTGGTGTGCCAAGTTGCATCTCATGTCGATACACAATTGAACAAAGAAAACAATGATGGATCTATTATTATTTTTTTACCTGGTGTGTCAGAAATAAACAAAACATGCCGTATGATGACTGAAAATGATGAAACAAATAGGTTTGTGGTCCTTCCTTTACATTCCGCTTTGACACCTGAAGATCAAAAACGTGTCTTCAAAAGATATGGTCGGAAGAGAAAGATTGTTGTTTCTACTAATATTGCAGAAACATCTATCACCATCGATGACTGTGTGGCAACAATTGATACTGGTAAAGCCAAGACAATGTACTATAATGCTAAGGATAACACATCTCGATTATTAGAATCTTTTATTTCTAAAGCAGAGGTAAAACAACGTCGTGGTCGTGCTGGTAGAGTTAGAGAAGGTGTTTCATATAAATTATTCTCCAAGGCTACTTACGAAGAGATGGTTTCAATGCCAGCACCAGAAATCAAGAGAATTGCTTTAGAATCTTTATACTTATCAGTGAAAGCTATGGGGATTAAAAATGTAACCTCCTTTCTCGCAAATGGTTTAGAGGCCCCACCAGGTCTTGCACTTGAGAAGGCAGAGAAGTTATTGATGACGGTTGGCTTACTCGATGATGAATCTAAATCTTTAACTGAACTTGGTAAATTTATATCATTGATACCAGTTATGGATATAAAATATGGGAAACTTTTAATATACAGTATTATATTTGGTTTGACGGACACTGGTATTCTTGCTGCATCCATACTTAGTGAGGGTGTTTTACCCTTTATAGGTGGTATTGAAAACAGAGATGCTGTTCGTAACATCCTTTCAAAACATAAATCAAGGGGTGATTTATTGGCAACTATTCAAATGTTTGAAGAATACCTTGGGCTTTCCGATTCCAAGAGTAGAACTAAATTTATGAAGGACAATTTACTATCCTACAATAAAGTCAATAGTATACTTTCTACTAGAACCCAGTACTACTCCAACTTGAAGGATATTGGGTTTTTACCGATGAGTTATAAACCAGATATTAATAACACATTTAATAGAAACAATGGAAACTTCAAAATATTTGCATCCATATTGACAGGTGCATTCTATCCAAATATTGCCCGTATTCAATTACCTAGCCCTAAATTTTTTGAGACAAGTGCAGGTGCCATTGAAAAAGATCCTGAGGCCAAGCAAATTAAATATTGGATTCGAAACGAAGAGTATGTTGATGAATTGCAAAAACTAGAAAAAGAAAAGCAGCAAGGAAGATTGGATTCTGAAACTCTTCCTTTACCAGCTACTCGTGCCTTTTTGCATCCTTCATCAGTCTTATTTTCATCGAAGGGACCAAATAGCGAAGATATGAAAGCATTGACTAAAGTAGACGGCCCTACGGACAAACACAGCACTCAAGATCCCTTGCTTAAATATCCTTTTGTTGTATTTAATTCCTCCCAATTTACAAGTAAGTTGTTTTTAAGAGACATAACACCAACGACAACACTATCATTACTTTTATTTGGTGGTCCAATTAGTTATGATGTTAGTGGTGGCCACCATTCACCTGGTATAGTAGTGGACAGCTGGCTCCCTATCCGTACATGGTGTAAGAATGGGGTATTGATTAAAGAACTGAGAATGTTAGTTGATTTATCGATAAAGCAACAACTAGACAATCCAAGTTATGCCAATGTTGACAACAAAGAAAATAATGGGTCAGCCATTCTAAATATGGTTGAGAAGATTATTGAAAATGAATAGATATTAATATAACCAATACATTTTATTGCATTTTATAGAATTTAGAAAAGAATTTTTTTCTTACAAAATATAAATTTTAAATATTTTAGAAAATTATCATATTATTTTAAAAATAAAAAATAACTTATTACAACTCAATACATGAATTTTATGTACTAGACATCATACTTTAATGTCAAACTCTTGATAACTTCAGTTGTCTCAATAGCATTCTTAAATTCTTGGAAATCGAGACGACCATCTCCATCACTATCATTCTCCATTATGGTTCTATCCACTATTTGTTGTAATTGTTCGTCATCTAAATTATTTCCTACCATAATCTTCAACACAATAAACAATTCACCATTAGATATATAACCATCTTTATCTATATCGTATATTTTAAAGGCAAAATTCAATTTATCATCTTTACTTCCCCTACCACTGAAGATGGACAAACCAGTAATAAACTCTTGAAAATCTACATCACCACTATTATCTGTGTCAAATACTTCCATTATTCTTGCTGCAAGAGGATTCGATGACACACCAGGAATACTCATAAATTCATTTTTATCTATTGATCCCGAGCTATCTCTATCCAATTTCATAAATCTTTTTCTAAGTCTCTCTATTTCATCTCTGTCGACTATTTTAAAATAAAATGTTCCTAAATTTTGAAGAAAATAAGGATATGATTCCTCAACCAATAATGAAGGTATATCCGTATTTAATCAGACGTTCAGTAAACTCAAAATGTTAGTAAAAACACGGTTATTCAAAAAAAAAATGTTATTAGGTAAACATACAATTCGTGTCTTCCAGTAGACTATCCACAATTTTTGAAGGAGTGCCACCCATAATGATTTTATTTTTTATAATATAAATTGACTCACTTTGTTCAACAAGATAAAATGTTAGAAGAAAGTTTGACGTTTAATCAAATTGTGCTTTATTTAAGGAAAGGTATGTATTTATGTAATTCTCAGATTTACCAATTGTTCTTAGGGAACATCGCATAAATTGAAAAAAAATAGGTTTTTAGTTATCCACTCACTGCTTAGTTAATGTTATAGTCTAAACAAGGGACACAAGAAAATAGAAAAGAAAGAGAAGATGGTATTGGATGATGTCAAGTAGATTGTAAACAGCCCTGATATTGCCATCGAGACCAATATGAACTTTTGACAATTCATACTTATTTAAGAAAGGTTTCTCTTTAAATGAGGATGAATTTTCACTCTGTTTGTTCCTTACGGTGACAATACAAAGTGCTGCCGGACTTTACCGAAATTGAAAAATTTTGTGAAAAATTCAATGTAATGAATGACTCTGTTAGTTAATTCACCTATATAAAAGGGTAAAGGCCCAATCACTAATTTATCTTGTTGAAAGATTTGTCGTATTTTTAGTATATTTTAGGTTCCTGTGTAACAACTACGGTAAAATACCAAGCCAACTATATTTTCAAAAGGGAGAAATATCAATAATGACCATTAATGAAATTAATTTAGGTGTTACATGCGATATGCATGTGCATGTTAGAGAAGGTGCTATGTGTGAACTAGTTACCCCTACGATTAGAGATGGAGGTGTCTCTGTTGCATATATTATGCCAAATTTACAACCACCAGTGACTACTTTGGATAGAGTCATCAAGTACAAAGAAACGTTGCAGAAATTATCTCCAAAGACAACATTTTTGATGAGTTTCTACCTATCTAAGGATTTAACTCCAGAATTAATAAACGAAGCTGCATCAATTGGAGCTATCCATGGTGTGAAATGTTACCCAGCAGGTGTCACTACTAATTCCGCTGCAGGTGTTGATCCTAATGATTTCACTGCTTTTTATCCAATATTTAAGGCAATGGAGGCTAATAATATTGTACTTAACTTACATGGTGAGAAACCTTCTGTTTCAAATAGTACCGATGGTAATGATATCCATGTACTAAACGCTGAATCTAAATTTTTACCGGCTTTAGCTAAATTACATAACGATTTCCCTAATTTGAAGATCATTCTAGAGCATTGTACCACTGCAGAAGCTATTAGGGCCATCGAGGAAATCAATAAGGACGTTACAGAAGTATCTCAAGTGAAGGTTGCTGCTACAATTACAGCTCATCATCTTCATTTAGTCATCGATGACTGGGCCGGAAATCCAATTAATTTCTGTAAACCTGTAGCAAAATTACCAAGTGATAGAAGAGCCTTAATCAAAGCTGCAATCTCTGGTAAGCCTTATTTCTTTTTCGGTTCCGATTCTGCACCACACCCTTTACAAAATAAATCTAAACATATAGGTGTAGCAGCTGGTGTCTTCTCACAACTATATGCTATTGCCTACGTTGCCGAAATCTTTGATGAACAAAATGCTTTGGAGAAATTGAAGGATTTTGTCTCAACTTACGGTCTAGCATTCTACAATATCCATGATAAAGACCTGAAATGTGATGAGAAAGTTTTATTGGTCAGAAAAGAACAAACTATTCCAGAAACCATTACAGATGGCAAAGATATAGTAATGGCTCCATTCATGGCAGGCCAGAAGTTAAATTGGTCAACTAAATGGATTTAATTAAAGTAAATTATAATGCAAGTATTTTCTATATATAATTATCTGAAAAATAAAAAATACAAATTTTGTACATATATCTCGTTAAGGATGCTAGAGGCAAAAAGTAAATATATAAATAAACGTAATTCAAGAATCTGACACCTAAGCCTTACCTTCACCTTCTGGTTCCAACATACCAGTATCAGGTTCATGTTCCCCAGTTGCATCTGTATCTTCCAAAACTTCCATCTCATCATCCTCATCATCCATTACAACTTCATTTAGGATAGTTTGAATTCTTTCCGTTATCTTTTGATCAGCGAGACTTAGCTCATCTGCAGCCATACCTTTCTTATTCTTTTCTTGCATCCAAAAGAAGTACTTTTGATTTGAGGAGAAAATCAAACCAAAGACTCTACCACCTTTTGCAGATTTAATTGGAATCCATGCGGTCTCACCAGGTATTAAAATCAATGATATAGGTTCATATTTACCACTCAGGGTCTTATCTAAGGGTTTCCATTCAAAATCCCAAAATCCCATATCAGCACCTTCATTATTTGGTTGAATCTTGACCATACCCTGACCCGCAAGCGGCGTACAAAGTTTGGTTTCTTCATTATATTCTGCAATACCTGCTCTAAATTTAATATTTTTCTCACTCATTGTATCTGAAATAACTATGTATAAATGTAAAAGTTACTGAACTTCAATCAATAAAATCTCAACAAAAAATAGGAGAGTACAATTCTATAAATCCCAATGAAAGTCAACCAAGAATTCTTACGGAAGTGCGAACTCTTTATTTGTCTTGTAATGGCTTTACCAAGACCTTCAACGTTTCCCTTCTAGGTGTTAAATCTTGACTTCCCTTTCCAAATTGGCGTAGAAATCGCTTAATTTTTGAATTTTTCTGGAAAACTTGATGGTGAGGGTAACAAACCTTTTTTTCAAATTTCATTTTTTGTTTCCGAAGCCCTAAATTAGGGTTTCGGAGAAAGCGAGTCGAGAGATGAAAAAGTTCAAAACAAAAAAAGCGCGAGAGGAAAGGCAGGGATGATGTCCGAGTAGAAAGAGACAGGTAACAAGACTTGGAATATAGAAGGGTAAAGGGTAAGCTTAGATCATTATTTTTAAAACTAACATTGCATAGACCATTGAAAACCTATAACCCTGTTTTTGGTTACTATACTGTTTGTTCTCAAAAAAAAAGGGAAGTGCAATTGGCATTATTTTCTTCTTTTTTTTTCTTTTTTTTTAGAACTTGAAGTCATGTCAGTCGATAGTAATTCCAAGGGATACTGGAGACCTACCGAACAATTACTATATGGGGTAGTTGTAAAACCATTTTTACCGTTAGTGAAACACCCAGAGTTAGTAAATCATACCAATTCCTATGCAAACCTTTTTGCAGGTTCAGAGGTATATATATTTGAAGAGACAATCGATCAGAAATGGTGCCGTGCCTATTTTTGTTCAAAGCCCTTGCCTGAAGCATTTGTGGCGACAATGACCGCATTTGGTGAACAATTGCCAGGTATTAAGACTACCATCGTTATAGTCCCCAAATCATTTGTTCATATTAGCAGCAATGAAGATAATAATATCATATCGATATTTACATCTCCCGATCAAAGTCATGTTGATAGTATGTTGAGTGAAAAATGCACTAGTCCAACATTTTCAGATACCATAAACATAAATAAAGAAACGGAAGTTAAAGCACTGAGTTATAAGAAACCACCTAGACCATCGTTTCCATATGGAAGATATAATAAACGACCCCTGAGAGATGAAATTGGTGCGATCTTATTTTTATTATCTTCCCATATTTTTTCAACATATGCAGCCAGTGAGTTCGAAGTATACAATAAACTAATTCAATTATACCAGAAATTAGATGATATACGTTTAATACTCGTATTTGACCTATATACCCAGGCTGAACATTTAGAATTAATTAGATCAGCATCATGCTTACTCTCTAAGATAGCCAAATATATTTTTGCAAGCGGGAGACATAATAATTCTCATAGTTTAACCTCTATATCATCAAAGGATCCTTGCGGGTTTCAAGGTATCTTTGCAAGAGATATAAATACAGGTGAATTACTTTCATATGATAGCACAGATTTACAGACACTCGTTATGAGTTCTGTATTTTATGGATTAACAAATAATTTCCCAATTAGTGGATCTCAAAGATTAAATTTAAAGATTAGACCTCCAAATTTAGAAAATTTCGCTCATTTTCATTTCTTAGTGGATTTTAAAGATATTAGATCAGATCCATCAGTAATACATCCAAATCTTGAAAATGTCATTACTGCTGTTTATTTAAGAACAAAAGATGAAATATTAACTGAACCATATATTGTGAATATGACGACAAACAGAGATATATCACTTTCATTACGACAATCCTCTGTTGTCTTATTTAAAGATATCCCAGATTCAATCATTAGAAAAAACAAAATCTACCTTGTAGTGGTTCTAACAGAAAGGATATCAGTTCAAATTAAAGAGAAGACCTCAGCAAATATTGCAAGATCACCGTTTATACCTTTCAAATCTACAACAAAGGGCTCTATTGATTCGGTCATCCGTGGTATTTCTGCTGGTATTACTGATATTTCGCCAGTATTTGTGGATACTGAAAACGATTTAAATCAGCGTCCTCATAAATTCAAGATCCATTTCTATGCGGCAATTGATGATAAAGTAGCATTAACTCCGAATGAATCAGATTCATGTCCCGGTTGGGGTGGCATTATACCAAGGATTCTACATGATGCCGATGATGGCGTAATAATAAATCCTAGAACACTTTCTATGACAGTAAATATAAAAGATATTGGAAACGATAAGACTCTCGAAGAATCATTTACTCCAATCAATATACCTGTGCGAACAGTTAAAGCAAATTTTTTTAATGACATGTACAATCCACAGGAAGTAATTTATTTGAACGTTTCATGTGCAACCTTAGTTGACATTCAAAAGAAAGTAACAAATATCAAAAGTATTGCAATAAAAGTTCTTACAAACAACAAAAATGTGAAAATGAATATTTATTCGAATGAAAAATTACATAATGAAATAGAATTTGTGTCCGTTTTACCTGGTGAGATGATTGGAGGAAGAGTTAGGATTCATAACATAGACCAGATGGGTAATTCTGAAAGTCTTACTGTACTTGCATATTTAAACGGATTACTGATGGCAAAGGGTGAAATATTATTAAAGAAAAATGATAACATAATTGAGCATAAAAATGGTGCAACCATTACGTTAATGTCGTCAGAGAATAAAAAATTAATTAATTTGAAGATTAGTTCAGAATACCCAGGAAATAACTACAATGTTGATAATGAAATAGAGGAATTTACTAAAGTTGTCCAGGATTACGCAACAGACAAGAACGTGTATGAAGGTGATGTTTTGGAAATTCTAAAAAAATTAAACGAAGTAGACACTTCAGTTCTGTTGAAAACAATCGACTTGTTGTTATTTAATTATTTGGAATTTATTAGATTGATTACCGAAGCTGGAAGTACAACGAATTCTGATAGGTTTGCTGATAACGTATTTGAATATTTTATCTTATTCTTGAAGAAGACTTTATCGTCAAAAGATAAAAATTGTAGGCATAAGCTTTTTAAAATGTACTACAAATATTGCACAGGGGTCAACTCAAATTTACCAATTACTGGTTTACAACTCCTTGAATGCTTAGCTCATGCTTATTCCACCAAAAGAGGGAGTAATGATGAATATGCAATTGCCCTATGTGAATTCTCCGTTTTTGTATTATTGCTATCAGTAATATCTTCGGATAATCAAAGAGATGAATGGAAGGTAGTGTATGCTACGACATTCGAAGAGTATTGTATATATCTGAGTGCCTCGTTCCAACATATAACAGTTGGCCAACAGGCAATGCTACAAACGTATGACATTTGGCTTTCAATTCTAGAATTACATTTTGAACAAAAAGAATTGTTTACTATGGCAACTATGGTCATCATGTCCTTACAGTATGATATTGATGAATGGTGCTGTAATGTGAAGAAACTTAATAATGATGAGCACAACTTCTTGAACACCAAATATCTATTGTTACAAAGGATATTATTATACGAACCATTCAAAAACTATTTAAGAAATTTCGAAGAGGACGACCCAATGATTTTAACTTTTTTCCAAAAATCAATAAACACTAGTTTGATACCATACGTTCTTTTCAGGAATGATCCATCCCAGATGGATACTATTCGATTAGCAAATAGTGTCATGATTGTTGTCATCAGGAATATAACTAATTCCAATATATTAAAAAATTTAATTAGATTGATTCCATCATACTGTCTCTATTTTATCCAAATTAGAAGGTACTGTAAGGATGTTGGATTATTCAAACCTCGTAGAACGTTTACTGAACTATTTCCGTTAAAGTATCCTTTTACAAAGTACTACGTAGACTCGATTGTCAACGATGAGATCATAGTAGAGATACTAATGGAAATATCAACTTTGATCTGTCAATTGGCTAAGATTGCACACCAATTATATGGTAGTGACTTATCATTCAAGAGAATCGTTCAAGAATGTAGGGAAAATATAAATTTCGAGTCTCAATTTTATCTTGAAGATATGAACCTTCACGATATCGAGTTAGTAATCCGAACCATCAGAGCATTTTTCATGGATGATTACTTTCCGGAGAGAAAATGGTTAGGAATTACTGCTCTATTAGCAAGGTCATCACTGATACTACTTTATATGTGCCAAGACACTATAGAAGACCTACAAATATTACCAGATAGTAATGATCCAAAGAGCATAACTTTAAAGACTTGGTGTGATTTTTTTAAAAGCATATTAATGATAGCAAATCATAAGATTTCAAATTTACCGCAACTAGCTCCTATATCAAGGAAAGCAGTATACAATATAAGTGGCGAATTGAGGGTCAATGCAGCTGTGATCTTAGAACGGTCTTGGAATTTTCTCTCTAGAGGTAGCAAAAGAAATGATTTAGCTGAAAAATATGGGATTGAAGGTCTTAACGATGTCCAATTATTACTTTTCAGGGAGAACCCAACATTAATACGAGAGCTGTACATTTTTGCACTACATCAGGATATTTCAGCCACTATCGTTTGTTGTAAGATTTTTTGGTGTATAACTGTAAATGTTTGGGATCGGGAACATTCATTCCAGAAATGCCTGGATTATTCTATTCCAGAATTATACAATGGATTTCAAGCAGGCAGAATTTATCTACACGAGTATGAATTGACATGCTTTGTACAATGCTTATTCCTAATGATTCATGTTGCAGTTGATGACGAAATGTTTGATGATTTAACAGCTTTTTTGAAAGAAATTATTGGTTTCTTACATATTTTAATGGAGGCGTATAAAATCCCTAAACAACCAGAATATGACGATGACCGAATAGCGTCCCAAATTGAAATGTTTAGTTATTTATTGGATGCCAATAAACCTGAATTATTTCACAGAATGTTGTATGAAATATATGTTCATTCTATTAAGAAAAAAGATTATGTTCAGGCAGGTTTAAGTCTAGAATTATTAGCCAGTACATACACCTGGGATACTAGTGACGTTTTACAAGCAATACCGTACCCGCCATTACCTATTCAGTCATCTTTTGATAGAAAAGAATATTTATTCAAGGAGTCTGCTAAATTTTTTACGAAAGGGTTGAAGTTGGAGAAGGCATTATCTGTGTATAAAGACCTTATTAAGGCTTATGATGAAATTAATTATAATTTAAACGGATTAGCATTTGCATATAACCAAATTTCGACAATTTACACAGACCTACAGTCTGTGGATAGACTTGTTCCAACTTATTTTAAAGTTTCCTTTATGGGGTTTGGATTTTCCAGCTCATTAAGAAACAAAACGTTTATATTTGAAGGTTTACCATTTGAGCACATAACATCAATGCAAAATCGTTTATTAAATGTTTACCATGGCTCTTCAATAATTCAATCTGCAGACGAAGTCTCAAAACTTTTAATTAAACCTACTATGGGTAGATGCATAAATGTGACTACCGTAGAACCTAGATTTTACATTTCTAATGATTATACTAGAAGCCAAAATATGCCAAATATGAACAACAAGATTAGAATGTATATCGAAAACAGGGATTTAAATTCATTCAGTTCTTCCAGAAGATTACCTGGTGCAACAAATGTGGCTGATTTATGGGTCGAAGAATCAACATACACAACAGCGTCAACATTTCCAACATTAATGTACAGAGCAGAAATTATAGAAACACAAACAAGGAAACTTTCTCCTGTAGAAAACGCGATAAGATCCTTACAAGTAAAGATTCAAGAATTGAGTGGTCTTTTAAATATGGGTCATAAGATTCTAAAAGAGAAGGGAGATTCATTGGAAATTTTCGAAGAATTATCCAGAAATATTACTGGTACCATATCTGCTCCAATTAACGGAGGTAGTATGCAGTACAAAGTGTTTATAAAAGGGCCGAACTCAGCTGATATAGACCCATTGGATATATCTAAATTAATTGGCGCATATGATGAATTGACAATACAATTAAATGCGTGTCTGACTTTACATCTGGATTTATTACCTTCAGATGATTTAAAGGACAATCACTATGTGCTAGCAGAGTTATTTAGAAAAAATTTTGCGGAAGAAATACTAAGAAACCACAGTATTATCGATGCTTCAAATCAGGTTCTTGTCAAGAAAACAACTTCAAGAAGAAATTCAATCAAGAACCCCAATAAGATCATGGCCATGTCGTCATGGGATATGCCACCTCCTTCGTCATCATCATCATCTGTCCCTTACAAAGATAATCAATCACATGCAGTTGACCTGCTATCACCTGACGATAGGATACTGACCAAATATATGGGAAGACGAAATTCACGTAGTTCTTCTAATATCAACCTAAATTTAGCGTTGACACCGACGGTATCCAATGGATCCAATGCATCGAATTCTACTTCTAATACATTTTACCATGATTGATATATAATGGGCATATAATTATATATATCAAATGGGATAGAGTACTTCGTAGAGTGAATCTCACTCATGAGAGTCTTTGACATTTACTCCTTCATACAAAATAATATCACCTGGGACGACCCAATAAACCTTTAAATTGTTGTATGGCGAAGCTCCGCAGTGGACCATACATTATTTTTTGTAATTTGTAATTTGTCATGCAGCGAAAGAAAAAGTATTGCTCGGGGTGGATTAAAGATGCCTGGGTCGCAACAAGTAGAAATAAAGAAAGGGAAGCCTTACATACACCCTTTTAAGTACAAAACAAACAGCGCTTTAAATAGAGAGAACTTCTACTACACAAAAGAAACTACCAGCCCTCAGTTTTGTTTAAATAGTCTTTATTTAGCTTTCTCAAACTACTTCAAACATCAAACAAAAACAACAACGAAATGTTCAGATCAGTTCTACGCACCAATGCTTCCCTATCCTTTAAAAGAGCAATCCCAATGGCTAGCAGACAGTACCCTACCAAATTCGTTATGCCTACTCGTCTTTATAGTGAATCAACTACTAAATTAACTCCTGAAACCATTCAAAACAGAGTTTCTGACGTTATTAAAGCATTCGGCAATACTAACGCTGGTGCGAATATCACAACCGAGACATCTTTCCACAAAGATCTTGGTCTAGATTCTTTAGACACCGTCGAACTTTTAGTAGCTATAGAAGAGGAATTTGATATCGAAATACCTGATAAGGTGGCCGATGAACTGAAGACTGTCGGTGAAACAGTTAAATACATTTCCTCCAACCCTGAATCCCTTTAAAGTCGTTATGAAATCTGAAAGTACCTACCCTACTCTATGCATTAGATTTTCATCAGATCTTTATTTTTTTTGACTTTAGAATAAAACAAATCGAGTAGCAGTACTGTATTACTTGTAAATGTCATTATAATTAGTGAGAAATTTCATTATCACAAAAAGAAGAAAGGATAATTATTATTACTGCTGACGTACATATATTTATGAATACAATATATTATATATATTCTTCTTTTTTTTTTTAAATAACCATGTTCTTCATATCATAATAAGCAAACTTATATATAAATAAATATAAAAATAGAAAAATACAAACAATTTAAAATTCTCTTTCTATAAATGTTTGATACTATAGTCAATTGTGTATAGAGGTGTAAGATCTTCAATCTCATTAGGCCAGATATCTTCTGGAAGGTAATTGCCATGCTTCTCTAAAAAGTCATGCCTTTCAATTTGATCTTGAGTGTTTAGTTTTTCTAATCTATTTTGACAATCGTTTATTATTTGTTCCATTTCCTTAGAATATGTTTTCCTCCTTTCTACCTCATGCAATAAAGATTCATAACTGTTTTCAAAATTGGAATAAAAATTTCTCAATTCACTAACAGTTTTTATCTCTTTGAAACAACTTTCTTTATATAGATTGATAAGGTTCATAATATCCCTAAATATCGAAAGGTATTCATAATTTTTAGATAAACTAGCAATGACTTTATTCATTTTGTTATGCAATTCTTGCTGTTCAACCCTTTTTCTTTCGATTACTTGTTTATATTGAGGTAAAAACTTATCAACATCATCAATAATATCACATAACGATGAAAATATAGAATTTAATTCTTTGTCATCATTTCTTACAATTTCTAGAAGATTATTAAATCCTATATAATCTAACGAGTTATCTGATCCTTTATTTTCAATGTACGCATTTAATAATTGACATTTATCAAAATGTGCCGTTAAAGAATCCAAAAAATTGATTAGATCCATTTCTAATTGTATTAATTGCTCTGGGTACGTCTCATTGAGTAATAATATATCATTATCATTCGTTTGATCAAATTTATTCTGTAAAATCTTATCCAATTCCTTTAAACTTTTATTAGCTATCTTATCATTTATTTTTCGTACCATTCCATCATATTGTTTTCTTATATTTGAAATATGTTTTTGAATAACAGGAATTTCAGATAGTTTGGCTTGTAATAAATTCACATCATTTACCGAAATATAATCACATAGGAACCTGTCATTTTCTGAAGAATTAGTTGGATTTACTATCAGTACATTTTTAATTCTACCTAATTTTTCAATTTGCTGATCTATCTCATCTTGCCAATATTTCATAAGATTGACTAAATCGACCATAATATTTTTTGACCATTCTTTATCAATTATTTTCTCCCCTATATATTTTTTCAATATAACCTCTAACAATAAATGCAATTGCTTCTCAATGCAATTATATAAAAATTTAACTTTGGATATATTCTGTTGTAAAACTGAAGCATCTTTCTTAATTTCAGTAATTTTTGTATCTGTAGAACTTCCTAATGTTTGAGCCTCTACCAATATTTTAGTAGCATTGTTTAAATATTTGGTAATCTCCTCTCCAAATGTCTCGATCGATAGAGCAGATTCCGATGGGGATACTACTGCATCAGGATGCATTTCAACTCCATATATGTACGAGTTATTGCAATTATGAAAATCTTTTAAAAAGTGAGCAATCGGATTAAAAGATAAACTTTCAAAATTATCTCAATTTTATTGTTGCACTCCTTAACTAGAACCTTATTATTGCCTTTGATAAACGACTAATAATGTCTTTTTTTCTATTTATTTATTTCCCCTTATCTTAGCATGCCAAATTGTTCTAACCTCAATAGAACTTTTTTTTTTTGATTTATTGCCTATGGAGTTAGAATACTGCTCAATGTCGTTAAGAAATATGTACTGTTTGGAAGTATATTCACATTTGCAGAATCGATTACTCTTATATTGAAGGAGTGGTAAAATTTTATAACTTTGAACCATCTGATCACCTGATATTCACGTGCTGTCTGGCTCTTTTTAGCCGTCTATATTAATAAGAAGCCGTAAAAATGTTTCTGCAGTAAGAAGGCGCCACTCATTGAAATTCTCCATAAAAATGAAAATTTCAATAAAAGTTTTTGGGTTTCCTGTGAACTACAAGTTAAAGGAAGTAAACTGAAAAGTTATCTAATACAAAGTTGGTTATTCCCATTTAGTTATCATTATTAGCCTCCGTTTTTGTTTGTATTAAAATCAGCTAACATAAAATTATTCATTTTTATGGGTCAAGACACATTATTGTAAGAACTGATAAATTACATTCCAGAACATATTCTCTATACGTGTTTTCTTTATTACATATCTTCACCTCATCGATAAACTTATTTTGCATTATTATATTTTATTTCTCCATTACAAATCATATACCGTTAGATGCTACTGCGATATTTTTTATTAGTGTTAAATGTTTTTAGTTTTGTTATTGCTATAGACAATGTTGGAACCTCAGGGAAGTTAAGGTTTTCCAATTTAGGCTATGCAGATACTTTCAATTATGTTGGAAAAATCAGCAATATTACAAGGGAGAGTTGCTCATGCACATTAGCTCCACCTGCATGGTTTTCTGGTACCAATGCACCTTTATCTGAAAGATTAGTGGCTCATATCAGAGGCCCCACCCAACTGTATAAATTTGCATATTACAATGTCCATCATTTTATTCTTGGGTCAGATAATAATACTCATAATTGGACTCAACAAGCATTATTCGATATTGCACCAGATTCTATCAGCAAACAAGGTATCAATGTTACTTTTCTTGGACATAAAGGTAAATATTCTCCATGTATGGGGAAAGCACTAACATTTATCGGACAAGATGCTGTTTCATTTGTCACTGAGAATCCCGATCCAACTGGATTTTCTGGATATGTACCATCAAACGAAGAATTTATCATATATTCGAATTTTCCATGTCCTAGTTCAAAAGTAGGAGGTTTATGTGGTGTTTATAGAAAAGGTATACGATCCTATACTGGATATGAAGGTGTCACGAAATTGTTTCTATTTGAATTCTCTATGCCTACAGATACTAATATAACTAATCAAGATGGGAAATACTATGATATGCCATCTATTTGGTTGGCAAATGAGCATCTATCACGTACGACAGAACATTATGATTGGAACAATAATTGTTCTTGTTTGTTTAATGGCTGCGGTGCCTACCAAGCCTTTACAACAAATTCTACTGACCACGACCTATTATATTCCTCTTTACAAACATTTCAAGGAATAAATAAGAATGCAAGTCAGAATGCGATCTTGAACGGTACCTTTAGTACTGGTCGATTTAATAGACCGAGAAACACAACAGTAAGAGGGGGTGTGTTATTTGATTCAGCGGGAAATATCGTAACATTTATTACAAATAACACCGTATTCCACGAAGAACTGACACCTGAACAAGTAGAGGACATGCTCTCTGATATTCCTAATATTGGGAAAGAGCTAGTATTACCATCTGGAACTTTACACGCTCCTAACAAAACGTCATCAAGTGGTGGATCTACAATAAGACCTATAGGTCTTACTCTATGGGCCATATATTTATCGTTAATCACAAGCATCATTCAATTTCTTATAATCTGAAAAATACGTAATGTATTATCAGCCTATATTCATAAACTCTAAATAATTATTTAATTTTAACAGCATATCTAACCATCATTACAAAATATTCATCTATTATTCAAATTATTGAAATTTATTCTGTTCACAAGGCGAGCTGCGATTAGGACGAAACATGAGAGAATTTTAAGGATTTCTTGGTGAAAAAAATATAAAATAGAACATCAACTTTTCAATGGATTCGGTTTCTCGATAATAGACTCCAAAGATCCACTCAACATCTATTGATTTCTCATTTGTCTGAATATCGTCTAGCATTTTTCATTCTTCGATATTGAATATAGACAAATACAACTGGCATTACAACTTGACAACATATGAATGAATGAGTGTCCTAAAGAAACTAAGTGAATTAGTAACCAAAAATGATTTGGAAAATAAGATACTAATCACACCTAGTTTATTTTCTTCTCCTTTACTTCCTTCCAAAAATATAAACGTACCTAATACTAATTCAAAAAATATAAATGATCCTTCAACTAAAACAAAAAATATTTCAAAACTTTATGAAAACCGCCAAATATCTGTGGGTAAAAGATCAGCCTATCAAAAAAATTTAGTCAAAGATTACTTATCATCGTTTGAACATATACGTCCGTTCAAAAGACTCACTATTCAAGATGATTACGATGTTGAAAGGGCCAAAAAGCTTAATTTGTTTAAGAAAAAAATAAGTACCAACCCTAAATTTAAAGAAACTCAAGATGAAATATTTCTCGGTAGAATAATCCCAATTCTCATACGACAATGTAAAATACCTGTAAATAAAACTAAATTGCATTTTTCCTCGATACCGAAAAGGATATACCCAAAGGACTCATATGACGAAATTCCAATAATACCTAATTTTCAAGAAGATCCTCAAGCATTTGCCAATTATATTGGTTTATTAACACATACAAATTTCCATTTTAAAAACTCAAGTTCTACAAATGGAATTATACCAACTCTATTAAGGACATTATTGCATCCGATGAATAAGACTACCGGACCGTATCAAACCACTGAAACATTCAATGACATGATATATTATTTTTATCAGAAATCAGATCTAGCATCCATGAGAGAATCTTTAGCAATTTTAAAATTGAGTAACTGTAAACCAGACATTAAAACTTATAATTTAATGCTATCAGGATTATTAAAAAATTCAAACAATGAAAGCAGTCCCAATGAAAATAAAAATTTGATATATTATTTAGAGAGAATGATAAAGGATGAAGTAAGGGCTGATAGTATAACATGGAATATTTTGTTTCAGTTTCTTGAGACTGATAAAGGTAGAACTGTCTTCATGGAAGCAATGAGAGATCTGAATATAGAAATAACCTATCGATTTATTATCACATTGATTAAAAACTCTCAATCTACACAAACAATGAGTGGCTTATCAATATTAAAATTATTCCAACAATATAATATTCGAATGAATAATGATATTTTAAAATTCTGTATTAAACGATTTCTCAGAGATGGTCAACTAAATCATGCTTTGACTACGATTGAACATGTTTCCAAAGAGACCAAATCTTCGATGGCGGAAGGTAATTTAATTATACCGACTGTTATTAATAGTGATACATTAAATTTATTTCTATATCATTTTGGTAACGCCGGTCGTTTAGATCTTTCTTTAATGTCATTCAATACATTTACAAAAGATTATGATGTAAAACCTAATTCAACAAATTTTGAAATGTTATTCAAATCATTAGTTCGTAATGGTTATTCCAAAAATTTTCCAATTATACATAAATGGATAAAAGTAATTCGTTTAAAATGGACAAAAGAGATGCGCAACAATTATTGGAAAGTAAAAGCTGATTCTATTGCTAAATTCAATTGCTTAAAAGATGTTCATGAGGATGATATTAAAATATTTGATACAATGATAAGTAATTTCAAATTGAAAGAAAATAACAGTAGTGGATATAATACATGGAGTAATGCTACAAAGGATGAAAGAAAAATATTACGATATATTAATTGTCGACCAAATAGTATTATGAAAGAGAAATTAATAAATAATAAGACAAACAATTTGATTAAAAATAATAAAAACACATATCAACAAAAAAAGAAGTACCGTGAAAATATTTGTAAGATTGCAATAAAACATGCAACGATTAAACGTATTCCATATGCGGCTGATTGGTATGAGGGTCTAAATAAAGAATTAAAAGATCGTAAATTATTACAAGAGACAACCTCATTAGATTAGCTTATACTCTGAACATATTCTTTCATAAATACTTGTAAATACACATACACATAATTGCATAATTACCATTTGGTAATAAAACCAAAACCAAGAAGTATTGTCATATTATTAAATTAATAAATTATATTAGAATAATACAAATTTGATCATATTTATATATATATATACATATAGATATATGTAAAAATATTAAAATATTTGGTAATAAGAAAGGGGATGGTTGAAGAATGTATACAACGAATGAAAATAAAGAAAAAAAAGGAAAAAGTACGAAAAAATGGAGTTTGAGAAGTAAGAAGATCAATATTGTTCTTCCTCTGGATGTTCTTCATCCTCCAAGACATCTTCAATGACTTCAGCGTCTTCTACTAAATCATCTTCAATTTCATCTTCAGGCATAGTTTGATAAACGTCATCAATAGTTTGATGGAAGGATAAAGTTGGTTTGACAACAGCAAAATCTAAAGTCCATGCCTCTAAAGCTGCTTCTGCATCCATAATGATTTGTCTTGATGCATCATAACCATCATAAGTTGGTCTAATTTCACCTGGGGTGACTGGAGCATCATCTAATAATTCTAATAGAGCTTTACCATAACCTGCGACTAAAGCAAATTTTTCAGCCATTTCTCTCATAGAATCAAATTGATAATTATAAGCAGCTTTTAATTTTTCTCTAGTAATATTAGATAATTGAGCTTCTGCAACTAAGGATTCAGCTTCAGCTCTAACTAATTCTTGTTCCAATACAGGAATCTTTGTAGAGACAGGATCCTTATATTTTAAATGAGCAATTTCATCTGTAATTTTATCTTTACGATCTCTTGATGGTTGTACTGAAGCTTCAATATTACGAATAGATTTCATTGTAACACGATATTGATCGTATTTATCAATAAATTGATCTTGTAATTCACCTAATTCAAACAATAAGACACCTAATTTATCTGTAACATCAGAAACATCGTCATCGTTATCTGAACCCCAAAGAGATAGTTGTCTTGCAGCGGCACGACGTTCATTAGTAACAATTTCCATTGAACATAAGACATTTTTTTCAGTTTTAACTAATTGTGATAATTTTCTTGCTAACTCTGGACCAAATGAACCTGCTGCACTTTTACGGAATGAAGCAGCAAGACCTGCTCTACCGAAAAAACGAGATTTTGTTGTGGATGGAGGAGGAGGTGGTGATTGTAATTGAGCAGCTGTTGGCTGTCTAGCATTTCTTAAAGAATAAGTTTTATGCATAGTGTAGAAATATAACGATTGATTGTTTTGGGATCTGTATATAGAGATATATAACGAATTAGAGCAAAAAACAACAACAACAATTAATAAAACAGTAATCAATTGCTTAAAAAAAAAAAAGCTAAATAAAAAGTAATATTTTATTGGATATTTTCTTCTTAGAAGAAGTGATATATTTATATATGAAGACGGAATCAAATTTCAAGTTGGCCCTTTAAGAAAGGGGAGCTTACTTCAATATTCCAAAAATTTTCATAAAACAAGGGGTGGGAGGCGGGAACCGATACAGAAACGGCTTTTGCAGCGCGCGGGCACTGCGCTGGGCATTCGCTTCGCTTCCTTAAATTCTTCATTTTTTTTAGGGATTCAGAATTTTTCGGCTGCGTGTGGTGATGGCAGAGATGAGAGAGGGGAACAAGCAAGACAGGACAAGAGGCAGTCACGTGCGCATCACTGTGCACGGTGTGAGGAGACGGCGCAGAGGAGGGCGAGTGGCGTAAACGGCTAATTTCCATATTAGGTCAAGGCAGAATGAGAGAGAGAGGGAGAGGGAGCGGTGTCAAGGACTCACTATGAATATGTATGTACTTTGGTAGGGTAATCGAATAGTGTCGCTGGTTGTATTCGCAGTATATGAATATGTATGGATAGGTGTGGTAAATGGGGAATGTATGTATATGCTGTGTTTTTTGGTAACGATTGTGAAGTAACGACTGTTTATGGAATATATACTTATAGAGATTATGCATCGTGGTGGTTATGTTGTACCTGCTTTACTAAGATAAATAAGAACACCTATGTATATCTCTATTACTGTTTTATTGGTAGTGTTCTTTGTTTAGTAGTGGAAACCCCCATCTGTTACATAAGTTTTGGCATCTAATATGTAAAGCGAGAGAGAGGCAGAAAAAATTAATGTATGGGAAAGTGGCAACAAAGAAAAGAGAACAAGAAAAAAATTTGCCGCCTTCTAAAGAAATATTTATAGAATACACTGTCAATATATATATATATATACAATATTAGTATTTTTAAAACTATAAAGTAGTTATTAACGTCGACATATTGTGAAAAACAAACGTACATATATCCATACACATATATCGAAATAGCATTCTACAACATATCCTCATTTTAGAATGGGTATTAAAAGAGTAGTAGAAGATACTACTATAAATGCTAATAAAAAATCAAGATCAAACGTTACATTAGAAAAAGAATTGTCGTCAAGCAATGTAGTTATAGATACCGTACATTTAACAAAAAGATTACAAAAATATAATTTAGATTATAAAGAAGACATTACACAGCATTTAAAAGAAATTTATGACCCAAATTCAAAATGGTTTAGTAGACCAATTGCATTAAATTTTGACCCTAAAAATCATTTACCATATCAAATCGAAACTCATCTAGATAGAGCTAGATATATTTGTCATATTGTTTTAAATCTTTATATATCGATAAGTTCTTTGGATATCCAAGGTTTAATCACAATTACTGATAAAGATATACGTAATATTAAATTTGGTATTAATGAATTTATTACAACAAATCAACAAGAAAAAGATATTGCAAATTTTGATGAAGGTGAAGAAGATGGAGAACCTGATGAATTTGAAGAAAATGGTGAATATATGGAATTTGTGGGACCTGATTTTAATGCAGTTGGTAGAATTACTCCAGAGACTAAATGTATTATTAACGTAAATCATTGGACAAATGAATTGAAAAATTGTTTGGATTTTAATTTCCCTTTATCATTAAGAAAATCTTTAGTCATTGTTTATTACCATCTTTCAATGGTTCAAGGACAAAAAATTTATAGACAATTACATGTTGAGGTTATGGAAAAATTGTTAGATAGACATAACCATGGAACAAATTTTACAGAATTACTAAAACAAGATAATCTTATATTAGATCATAATAAATTATTTCAATTTCTTTGTGAATTTTTACCTTATCCTGATTCAGATTACATCAGATATGATATCACTTCAAAGGATGATTTAAATTTATTTAGATTATTATTAAAATTATCTCATATGGCAAAATTATTTTTTAACCAAAATGATACAAATTTATTAGAACAAACAATGAACACTTTATTAGCAAGTATTGCTCCAAACACTTTACCAATTATTTTACCAATTATGACTTCATTTGTTCCCTACCATTATCATAAAGAAATTGAATCATCGAGTATTATAGATTATTTACCATTTTGTTTTGGTTTATGGGGTTCAACAAGTGCTAACATTGCAATTGATACACACATGTACGATTTTGTTGGTAATATCTTAGAAGATTATCATGGTCGTATCTTACGTGAAACTTTAACTGATAAAGGCTTTAATCAATTTGGATTATTTACTAAAGATCAAATGGTTTTCTTATTTAATAGATTACAAGGACATTTAAGAACAAATGGTCAAATTCATTCATTTTCAAGAACTGTTAGACCATTCATTTATTCAATAAACGGATCCGATAATGAATTTTTCTTTCAATATCTTAATACTTTAACTAAAGCCATTGAAACATTTGTACATCCATCAAATAGTGGATTTTGGACTAAACCAATTGCAAAATTTGTTCATTCTTTTATTAAAATGTATCATGGTAGAGTGAAAAGAGAACAAAAAATTAAATCAGAGAATCATCCGGTTCATTCGATTATGTTAACAGAAGAATGTCATGATAAATTAACAGATATTTTTTTAAATATTTTATTTATTGGTGCTCAAAATAAAAATCCAGATATTTCTAATTATTACATTTCATGTTTCGGTTATTTAGTTGAATTAAGCCCCAAAAGTACTAAAAATGCTCTGGATAAAATCCTTGTAGAGTTATATGATTCTTTAGGAGATGAATATATTAATTTTAGACATAGAATTATTGCATCTTTGAAACAATTTAGTAGAGTAGTCAGATTTATGGTTATGGATAAATTATACAGAGTTCATATCATCAATATATTGTATATGCTTACAACGAAACTTGATATGAATGATATTAATCTTTCGAGTAATTTGGTTAATGGTATTGTTTCAATCGCCTCCTTTATACCATTTGAGATTCCTTTAAAGGAAGAAGAATATATCAATTTCGAATCTAATACATTACCATTTGTTGAACAACATTTTTATCATTTGAAAGAAGGCCATAGTTCAAGCGATTTCCAATATGACGAAGACACTCTAGAGGCTGCATTTAGAGGCTCAACTACCATCTTGGGAACTGTTCTACGTTCCTATATTGATAAATTATTCAAAATGGTTGATACTGAATTGGATGAAGGTTTCATTACTAAAGTGAATCAAACCTCAATGATCATTATTCAAGCTATGGATGATTCTATATTCAAAATGTTCACTGAACAGTTTACAAAACAATTTTGGGATAGTGACACTTACAATGAACGTAATCCTAACTTTGAGATATTAACTACATGTTTAGCATCTTTGGTAAAAAGAGATATTTCTTTAAGCAAAAGTATTTCTGGTACGTTAATAATTAAAATCCAAGATCAAATTGAACGTGGTGCTGGGTCCGTGAGAAGTAATACTGAAATTCAAAGAAGAGATCTTAGATTAGTATTATATCTGACTGCATTGAATGATGTTTTAAGACAATCATATGAGGCCATTCTGACGTTTTCTGACGAACTAATCAACTCCCTAGAATACATTTTCAAGAATATTACAAATCCACCGTTGGATGTGATAACATCTATCTTAGTACATAGTGCTTGTGCATCATTGACTACGACAGAAATTCGTGAAGCTCGTTTATTTAGTAAAGATAATACCTTAACTTATTCTGAAAAATGGGGTGCATTACAATTTAACCCTGATCGTTTCCTAAAGAAAAATTTGAGTTTCGAATGGCATATTCCAAATGAGGAAGAAGTTGAATTATGTATTAATATTTTCACCAGAATCACTAATACATGCATAGAAGAAATTGAGCACTTATTGAAGGAATCTAGTAATGAAAAGGATAGTAACGATAATATACAGAAGTATATTTTAATTCTAACTCATTCCTTATCAGGGGCAAGTTTACTTTTTGATGCAGATTATACCTCATTATTAAGTAAAAAATCTATGGAGAGAATGGGCGCTTTATCTAGTGCAGATTCAAGTAGGTTTGCTAGTCTTTCTCCGTATGTTTTTCTAGATCAAGATAGTGACAATGGTAAAGATGTCGGGCCAGATTTAGTTACGTTGCCAGTAGAAATTGATGTAAAAAATCCCGTACATGCTCTTGAAGAAAAGATAGTTTCTGAAGAAACTGCTAATGAAATTGACACTACAACCACATCAGAAGTTCCATCCCGTATTGCAACACCTGCATTTAATCATGAGGAGTCGCCAGTTTTTAGTGAAGATGGGAGATCAGCTTCAAGTGTGAATAGAATTCTTGGTACCAATAATCCTGCTTTTAAAGATTTAGATATATTTGCTTATAACTATTTCTTCGGTAATGCTGGATCCGAGAAACTTAATAACCCATTATATCACAAAATCAATAATGAAAGATTACATATCGGTCATTTCTATCACAAGATTTTCAAGTTTTTATCTTCCAATCATGAAACAAATATTAATATATATCAAGCATTGTTGCACGGTTTAAAGGTTTGGTTTACTGATATTGGTAAAGAAACTATCTTTAATGATGATCCAAATTTAAATTTAGAGTACGACTTTTTGGAGAATATTCAATCTCTTCGTCATTTGGAAGAACCATTTACAAGATCATTATTTGCAGTTAAAGTTAATAATTTACATCAAAGTAGGGTTTTAATGCATTCAACAATACGTAACCCTTCCAAATTAGAATCAAAGTTACTTAACGATGTCATCAGTTTATCTTGTTCGATATATCCAGATATTCATAAGCCTGCTCAAGGTTGTTTATTGCATTGTATGAAGCAACTTATTGGCTCTTACTCTAATGTAATCGGGTGTTTGTTACGTAACTTAAGAGAGAACATGGAAAAACAACAAAATAAAAAGATAGAGGTTATTCTAAGAGTACTGTGCCTGAGAAAAATCCAAAGAAGATTGTTGTCTGATTATTCTCATTTACAGGAGGTTACATTGATGTTGTTAGATTGTTATAAAATAAATGAATTGGATATTTCAATATATGCAGAAAAATTATTACTCGATTTAGTTACTAGTATTAAAATTCCTTCTTCAATTTGTGTTTACGATAGTAAGATGTTCACCCCGATAGATCCATCTGATATTGCTATTAATGATCGTGTTGAGTTAATAAAGGCATCTAAAGATAAAAAACGGAAGGCATATAATAATTTATTAAGCGGTGTCCAGGATTCCTTAATCTCTCTATTGGATAAAAATGATGAAAGAAACTGGAAGATCCCAACTTTTATTATTCAATTTATTAGTAAGCTACAGGCAAGTTTAGAAATCCAAACCTCAAAAGATTCAATTAAATCGATCTTCAATCAAACCAAAGAAAAACATCCTGAGATGGTGCATTTAGTTGTAAGATCATTCTTAGCCATTGCAAACAAGGTCATTTCGCTATCAGACTATGGTTATGATATATCAAGGGCATACCAGAGTTCTTATGATCCACCATTTGTTTCTGAAATTGAAACTGCTTCTAACGGTGATTTCCAAAATGTTTTTAAAGCGGAGATGTCTAATTTTGACAATCCAACTTATTTCATTGATGGGAAAGCTTACGTAGGTTGGTTATGTTGGGGTAAACCGATTAAAGTTTTAAAAAATGCACCTATCAAAATTGACTTACATGAAAACGAAACAGAAGTATTTATGAATTTAGGTAAACTGGTCTCAAAGGAATGGTTAGAAGATATTATGAAATGTCTAATCCAAGATAATGAAACTCGCTGTGTCTTTAGTAGTGGTGATGTTTCATTTATGGTAGTGCTTATTGTGTTAATAACTAGAAAATACACCTCCAATTTAAAGCTAGACGATTTATTCGAACTGTGTTCTACTTTCTATAATAGATATGACAAATCTTCTACAATTATGTCTATTGAAATTTTAGCTGCATTAATTTGTGGGTCCAGGTACATGAACGATGAAGAACAAAAAAGTAGAGATGCATTTGTCGATAAATTTATGAAGGATGCATTAAATAATGAATTCAATCAAGATGCCTTCGAAATTTGGGGAACATTGTGTTGGTGGTTACCTTCAGTTGTTGATATCAGAAGATGCGCAGTATTTTTCAGAAACTTTAATGACACTAAGACATTAATGACTAAATCTTCAGAACAATTTGGTAACCAAGCTTCCAGAATATTAATGTTGGGGAGTGTTCTGATGAGTATGGAATTCAGATCACCAAATATTAATTATATTATTGAAACTATTGTTTTTGATCATCCGTACGATCAAGTTCGGGAAGCCATCGGTAGACTTATCAGTATTATCTGTCAGATACAAACAACACCTTCCTACACAGATGTTAAGACATTACTGACAATAAAACCGGATAATTCTAATAACTTAGGAGTAGATTTAAGTCCAACTCCTAGTAAAATTGATTTAGTAATTAAAGATCATTTCCATAAGATAGATATCGAATATGAGAAAATAACTGGAATGACACCGCAAGAAATTTTGAAAACCCAATATTATTACATGAGTTCAACAATGTTCCATTGGGTACAAGATTTAATAAGGAGTCCAAATAAGATAGCGATTGTTCCGTATGTTGTGAAATATATCTTACCATTCTTATTGAGGTTAATGAAAGAAAAAGACGTTTGCACTTTAGGTGGCATTGATGCGTCTACCGACTTCTTAGCAATTTCATATTTACCTATGAAGACAGAACAAATACAAGATATTATTGATTTAATGTGTTCAGATTGTACGCAATCTCAATCTACTAAGACATCATACGAAATCAAATTGAAATTAGCATTTATACAACATTTCATTTCATCTGAATTACTTCAGTTAACCGATATTCAAAGAGAGTTTATCTTAGACTTTGTGGTATCTCAAGTTTATAATCCAACTTTTGTTGAAGTAAGAATCCGCGCAGCAGATGTGCTTTCCGATATAGTACATAATGTTAAAAGTTCAGACGAGCTTAACACATTAATCGAAAGATTTTCACAAAAATTAGATGGATTTTCTTGGGAACAGAAAAAACAATTATCTAAAACTGACACAGTCATTCATGCCTCTGTAGTAGCTTTAGGTGCTATCATTTCAGCTTTTCCATATGTCTTTCCATTACCAAGATGGATGCCTGAACAACTATCAAAATTAGCTTCGTGGGCAAGGACAAGTGGCGTTGCCGGACGATCTGCTAAGGATACCATTAGTGAATTCAAGAAAGTTAGAGCAGACACATGGAAATTTGACAGAACACAATTTACAACGGAAGAATTGGAAGATTTGGAAGGTGTATTATGGAGAAGTTACTATGCTTGAAACTTTAGCTCTGAGATATCCATTAGGCGTATGTAGAATATATCTTATCATCTAGAATACAAAAGTTCACACTTTGCATCTCAGTACATATTTATATACAAGGACAAAATTAAACTATTATAGAAATAATTTATGCATTTTTATCAACCTTATTGGAACAATTGAGATAGAGGACCCTGGATACTTATTCTTCTCTTCCTTGTGCGTCTTCTGCTTTGTTCTCAAGAGCCCGAAAATGCACCGAAGTTTTGCCGTTTTGTTTCTATTATTTTTTTTAGTGCTGGGTCGTTTATTATATTGGCAAACAATTAAGTTAACAATCATTAACAATAGAATATAAGCGTAAGAGAAAGACAGAACAGATTCATATGTTTCTATAATTTGACTGTTTGAGTAATATAAGATAGATTTAGTTAAAATTGTCTATTTTGTTAAGCAACTACTACGTTATTGTTTGTTTCAATTTTATATAGACAGAGAAGCTCATTTAAGAAGATAATTCAATAATTCGCGGTCCATAAACAAGTGTCAAACTATATTAAAAAAGATGTCGGGCGGTAATAAGAATTATGATTCTATCATGAAGATATTACTAATTGGTGATTCTGGTGTTGGTAAGTCTTGTCTATTGGTCCGTTTTGTTGAAGATAAATTTAGTCCTTCGTTTATTACTACTATTGGTATAGATTTCAAGATTAAGACGGTAGATATCAACGGTAAGAAAGTAAAATTACAATTATGGGATACAGCAGGCCAAGAACGTTTCAGAACTATCACCACAGCGTATTATCGTGGTGCTATGGGTATTATACTTGTCTATGATGTTACAGATGAGAGAACATTCACTAATGTTAACCAATGGTTCAAGACAGTTAGTGATCATGCTAACGATGATGCCCAATTATTGTTAGTAGGTAATAAATCTGACATGGATACTAGGGTAGTTACTTATGAACAAGGTGAGACTCTTGCTAAGGAACTAGGTTTGCCTTTCGTTGAAGCTAGTGCAAAGGATGATACTAACGTTAACGATATATTTTTTACTCTTGCCAAATTAATTCAAGAGAAGATTGACAACAATAAAATGACAGATGCAAGTGGTCAAGCCGGTAACGTTAACATCAAGTCCGGTAATGAAAGTGGTTCAAAAGCGAACTGCTGTTAAATTGAATCAAAATGTTCAAATTAATTAAAAAAGAAAAAGTAGTGAAGGGAAAAGAGAAGAATGATTGGGAACAACACGCAACGAACATCTATTTGATAATACTGTACAAAATTGTCATTCCTTAACAGTCGTCTCTTCGTTAACTCTTGCTCTTCTTATGTACAATACATAATTATCACGCCATATCCAATGCAACTAAATAAATAAAAATTGGATAATTTTACATACAACTCATTGCACTTCCTACAGTTCTATTCAATGTTAAGAAACTCAAATAGGATTGCAACTGGTTTCAATCCTCCTCGTCTGGTAAGGATGGTGATACGTAAGTATACGTGTGTCCAACCCTAACTAAGGGCTTGCCATTTCCAGCGTATATTTTTCGATTCGCGGCAAGAAATTTTGGATGGCAAAATATTCAGTCTTTTTCATTTAATGTGAAGAAGAGGTAAGAAATATTTTAAACTGATCAGGTAATCAGGAGAGAAGAAGTTGCTTTCTGCTACAATTGATGGTTTTAATAACTATAATATAGATATTTATTAGGTTACCATCCCGTAGGTTCTTTTTAATTTAACAGAAATCATCGAACAAAGTGTGTTTTGCTCAATGTCTCTACAAAATTATAAAAGGCGTAACCATCAAAATCCATACACACCGTTATATTCTACTATTTCAATATATGGATCTCGAAACAGTAGACCTTCGCTATTTAGTTCTAGAAGAGTGATGAGTAGTTCTGGATATTCAATTACCCAAAATATTGTGCCTTCGAAGTCTAGGACAGTTTCACTTTCTTCCTCATTAAGTTCGCGTGACTCCTCCCATCATTCATTAGTCTCGATTAATTCCAATTCAATAAATTCTCCATCTGAGAATGATGATTTACAGATATTGGGAGAAACTCATAGAGGTGTGTTGACAAATATATCTACCGGATTTCTGGATACGGGAAGAACTGTCTTACATAAACTTTTCCACCCTTACCAAAAACCTAAACAGGACATAATAGATTTGACTCAAAACGAAGATGACGATAATGATATTATAAACAATCCATCTGAGAATACAGATTTGGTCAACACTCCCAATAAGAGACGGAAATTAATCGATTCAAAAGATATATCGGCAATCGATAATTATAACAATAATAATATTAAGGATGTATCACAGTTAAATTTTTCAAAAGATCCATTTGGTTGGAATAAATGGGAAACTACAGAAATCGGTGCTCATGATAACTATAAGTCAGACGAAAATAGTCGTAATAACAATGATAGATATAATAATAAACAGTATGGTACACATTTCTACCGTAGAAACGAACGTCGAAAAGAAAATATTAATAATGCAAATATGATCTTACGAGGAAGATCAGACGAAGTATCATATCTAAGGCAGATATTTACAGGTGAATATGAGATTCCAAAAATCATTAATGATGAACGTGAAGAACAATTAAAATTACTGGAAAGAGATAGACAGCTTGGAAAAGCTCAAAACTCCAAAATTAAGAGTTCAATTATTGATATAACTGAAAGAATAAAGAAAGTTCTTATGGAGAATAGGAAACTTTTAACTGAACAACCTAACAAAGAAACAGATGATGATTTAATATTTGTCAAAGAACAAAAATTGACCTCTCTAGAAAAGAAAAGACAAGATTTTTATAATGACAGCTTCAAACTAGATAAAACATTGCTTGAATTTAAAAATGAATTCAGGAATTATAGACAATTAATTGAACGCAGGAGACAAATACAGGAAGAGGTAAGAGCTAAGAAAGAGAAAATCAAAAAAGTGAAGGTTATTGTTCCACAATTAGATGGTCCACAACTAAACCAAGTAAAGGAAGCTCTAAATAGACAGGACAATGGTATATTAAGCAATAAAGATAATTTTGAAGTACGAGTTAGGGATATTAAGACTTTGGCTCCAAGAAGATGGTTAAACGATACTGTTATAGAATATTTTATGAAATCGATTGAAAGAACAACAGAAAACACAGTAGCATTTAATTCTTTTTTCTATACTAGTTTATCTGAACGTGGTTACCAAGGTGTAAGGAGATGGATGAAGAGAAAGAAGGTACAAATTACGGACTTGGATAAAATATTTGTACCAATAAATTTGAATCAATCCCATTGGGCTCTGGTCATGATCGATATCAAAAACAAATCTATCAATTATGTTGATTCTCTATCACATGGCCCTAATGCAATGAGTTTTGCAATTTTAAATGATTTAAAAGGTTATGTGATTAGTGAAAGTCAAGACTCTATTGGACAGGATTTTGAATTGAACCATTTGAGTTGTCCACAACAACCTAATGGATTTGATTGTGGTATTTATGTTTGTCTCAATACTCTATATTTGAGTAAAGATGTCGATTTAACATTCAATTATGAAGATGCCGCTAAAATGAGAATATATATTGCGTATTTAATTCTATCCGATGGGGGTATATAATATTAAAATGTACTTGTAACAATAATTAATAAGGGGAATAATGTATATACCACATTGTTAAAATGTTTAATTTTTAATTATGTTTTAATCAACTTTTATAAATGGGTCAAGTTGATTTCTGAGGATAATTATTTCTTTGGTGTGTCCTTATCTGCAATGGTTGTTACTTTGTCAGTACTAGCGTTATCAGTTGAGTTAGATATTTCAGGAGTATTTTTGGTAACATAATCGTTAGATTTGTTAGATATATTATTGTCTTTCTCATTTATTGTTAATTTATCTAGTTCCTTTGAAATTGACTCTAGTTCATCGTTAACATCAACGATTGTTTCCAAGATTCCATGTTTTTCCATCAATGCATCTAACTCTTTAGACCATCCTAATTCATCTGCAATAATCTGTGCAGCCTCATCTGAATGACTTTTGATTATAATATCTAATTTTCTAGGTTCCTTTAAGAAGTCACCAACGATTTCACGATTAATCAAAGCTCTATGGTGTGTCTTCGGTACTTCTATTGGTAGACTTGCAAAAGGATAGACAGTTAACGATGTACCAGCTACTATGACAATCAATTGTTCCTTAGAACTTTCCTTTTCCATTTCTTCAAGATCTAAATCCCAGTTCTCGAAAAATCTAGAAGGCAAATCCTCTCCGAAGAAAACAATATTGGGCTTGATAAGACCATTGCATTCTTTACATCTAGCTAAATTTTCTTTTTTAGGGTTCTTCTCATATTCTTTTAATTTATTCTCGAAGACATCCCTTTTATACATTTTGTTACATTCTGTACAATGATTTTCTGCAAAACTACCATGAGCCTCAATAACATATTTATGAGAAACACCCGATTCTCTCTCTAAGGTATCAATATTTTGAGTATATATTCTTTGTAAACGATTTTTATCTTGAAATAGTTTCATTAATAGATGAAATTTCGATGGTTTGAATTTTCCAGGGTAAAGTTCTGCAGCTAACATATAGAAAGGCTTTGGTGTTTCTTTGAAGAAATCAATATCAAAGACAGCTTCTGCATAAGGAAGGTTTAACTTAGATAAATTATGATATAGACCTGTCTTTGGTGATCTGAAATCAGGGATCCCACATGATGTAGAGATACCTGCACCTACCATAAATATCACTTTACTCTTCGGATTTTCTAGCAACAATCTTGTAAGTTTCTTTGTAGCATCTTCAACATTATTTGACATATTTGGTGGGATTATATTTATGGGGATTTCCAGAATTGACTCATTATATGTATTATCTTTATACATTTGTCAAATAATCGATGGCCAACTGCTTTTAGTATTTAATTAAATTTCATCAATTTTTATTTTTATATCAAGTCAGCCAGCATATTCGGGGAAAAAACGAATAATAAACAAAAGAAGTTACTTTATTTAAAGGTTGGGACAAATAAAGAAACAAAATGGTTTATTAGAAACTACAGTTATCTAGACGTTGAACGTATTAGGGTGATTGAACGTATTAGGGTGATTGAACGTACAAAGGTTATTCTTTTTTAATTGTTTTGAGGTTAAACCAAACTTTGTCTGCGTGTGTTTACAAGTTTTTGAAGCTATGGGTGCTGTTTTACAACTCTTATCCATGGCAGGAAGTGTCCTTGGATTTGTCTTTTTAACATTATGTATTGCATCGGGATTATATTATATCAGTGAAATTGTTGAAGAACATACTGAACCAACTAGAAGATTTTTAACTAGAACCATTTGGGTTATTGAAATATTATTACTATTATTGTTAATATTTGATAAATTTCCAATAAAATTAACAATTTTTGCAATGGGATCACATATGTTATATTACCAAAATTTGAAAAAATTTCCATATATTAGTCTTACAAGTATTACATTTTTATCCAGTTGCATTGTAGTGGTAATGAATCATTATTTATGGTTTAAACATTTTAATGAAGTTGATATTCCACCACAATTTCATTATGATCCAAATTATGTACCACCAAGGAGAGCAACATTTTCACAAGTCTCATCATTTTTTGCAATTTGTATTTGGTTTATGCCATTTGCCTTATTTGTAAGTTTAAGTGCAGGTGATTATGTTTTACCAACAACAGTTGAACAAGCTAAGAAGACAGATGAAATTACGGAATTAAATAGTGAGACAACTGCAAAATTACGCGGTAGGACTATTGGATTAGCAAGAGTAGTAATTCATAATGTACGTAAATATATATATTCTGTACTTGCATTGTTTGGTATCCAAGTACAACGTGATTATGATAATCTTGGAATATAAATAATGTCTATATATATATAGATAGATATAGGCGTTTGTGAATGTTATAGTAATCATTGATTTAAGAACAGAAAAAAAAAATCTTTGAAATTTTAAAGAAGAAAGAGTGGATTAGTATACCAGACCAATTAGAGACACGCAAAGAAGAGGGACAAGAGGGGAGAGACAGTGTGTGTGCATGTGTATCGATGGAGACTAAATACTGGACAAGAGATTATATCAGTGGGATACGTTTATTTATACATGATATTAAAGAAGAAACGAAATTAATTGAAGAAGAGATTAAAAAAATCCATAAATTTAATGAACAATGTTGGAAACCATTCATGAGAAATGTTAAAGCTCTTCAAAATATGAATGGATTTTATACTTCATTAAATTTTTCATTACCATCTGAACAAATAGATTCGATGGTTAACAGATCTAGTATATTGGTACAATTATTGAAAGAGAACCAACAATTTTGTCAAGATTATGAGAAAGAGATTACACCAATATATGATCAATATTATGATAATTTGATAAAATTAAGACAATTAAATAGTGGAAATACGGGCAAAGCAACAAGTTCGGTTAGTAATAGTGATGATAGTAATATTAGATATCCATTTCAATTAGATTCGGAAATTTCCATTAATAATGAACAAGAAATGAATAAATATATTAAGATGTTGCAATTAAAGATTCCTATACAAAAGACAATATTTGGTAAAGAATATTTCAAAGGGAATGAACTCATTACAGCATTAAGAGGAGAATATCCATTAATTGACACATCGCAATATAATATGAATCGATTGGGACAAATGTTATTAGATATGAATATAATTGAAGAATACAGTGCACGTACGTTATATTTAACTCGAACACAAATAATGTATGATATGGAACGTAGTTATAATTGGGTTGCAACAGAGCCAGCCTCTGTCTATACAAATAAAGATGTGGCTGAATCATTACAACTTATAGAGCAATATGTTCTAGTTGAAGCAAATAAAGTAAATTTAGAGATCATACATTGTCGAAATTGTCGATATTATAAGACCATGATGAATTCACGAATTGAAAGGACGTTGAGGGATATTGATAATAAATTTTATGCTAAGATATCTAAAATTTTTACAAAATTTGATAAAGATGAAGTTAGTTTTCAAATTATTAATCATGGATATAGTTATTATTCTCGGGATAATGGTATACCGCTAAGTTTTGAAGAAGAGAAGCCCTTTATGTTTGGTTGTACCAGTATTAATGGTGATATATATGATTCGATACGATTACTGTTAGAACAATGTAAAGATGAAACAGATATCTGGTATGGGGATATCGATATTAAAAGAATTAGTACGATTAAGATTAAGATATTAAATAATTTCACACAGGAGACATTAAAGTATTCAAACGCATTGTCAATCGAGGCCATCGTTAAAGAAAGTGAAAATACAACAAAATATATTAATAGAGATTGGGCAGATCTGGTTAAATTATGGTTATATGAATTACCTGGTGGTATCATAATACGAGATAAATTTCAAAAAAAATTAATTGTGCCACAAATATATTGTTCGATTTTTACATTATTTGTTAAATGCTGGTTACCAATCTTCAGACAAGATCAAGACAGTAAAGACACTACAAATAGACACGATGATAGAATTCAATTGATACAAGCTATGATTAGAGATTCGCCTGGTGGTCATGAGACTATAGATACTCTGAAAATAGAAATATACGAATTAATGTCACGGTGGGATACTGTCACAAACCAACCTGGTCACGATGGAAAGGCTGTTGACGGTACAGAAGAAGATGAGTTCGTACCATTACCCTTCAGAACCACTCGCCAGCAACAGCAACAGCAACAGCAACAGGGAGAATAGCCGCTGGCAACGGTGCTAAAAACCACAAATCTCTATTTTTTGCAACTGCAACTGCAAAGCGCGGCCCGATAGAATATGCTCTGCAGCGCTATATGGATACCACACCGCCAGATTTAACACCGCCTGGCAACTGGAAGGAAGGAACCGTGACACGGTGGGGCAGACACACACCACACACACACAGAGAGCGAGAGACGTGTGCATTGTAAATATGATGGGCGGCTAATGCCCTTTTTCTTCTGAACTCACAGCCACCTGTCTGTCACACGAAAGCTGGCCAACAGCGCCGGATCTGGTGGCTAAAACCCCGATCCACGTGACGCGCGCCGCCGCATGGGCGTTACCCTCACGCACTACACCAAAAGCCAAAAAAAACAAAAAAATAAGAAGAAGAAGCCGCGTTTCCGTAGTTTCCGTTTCGCCCAAATTGCATCCGCGCATTTTCTTCTTTTGGCTGGGATTTATCACACCGCCCAATGACCGCCTTTTTCTGCCCGCCGGCTTTGCCTGCCTGCCGCTTTATTGTGAAGAAAACAGACTCGTTTGCCTGTCTGGAGCGGTGTTGAGGAATTTATCCAGTTTTTGATGCTGAAAGCACGCATACACAAACAGAGAGCGAGAGAGAGAAATTCACTCGCCACAGTTAGCGTAGCGTTTGGGCTGGGTGGTGGACGTCTTTTTATCCCCTCAATGGAAATTTCACTTTAAATTATATAATATAATATTCATATAAATACCCCTGTTAATCAATTGAATTATATTTCAATTCTAGTTTCAAAGGTTTCTTAACTACTACTTTTTTTTCTTATTCACATTGTAGATACAATCAAATATAATCAATTTTGTTTTTGTTCACTGTATATATATATATTATTTTAAAGTAATATACACACACACAGTATCAAACACAATTTTAAATTTTATTTTATTAATTTGTTAATTCGTCATTATGTCTGCTGATATTGGTCTAATTGGTTTGGCCGTTATGGGTCAAAACTTGATTTTAAACATGGCTGACCATGGTTTTACAGTCTGTGCTTACAACAGAACTGTTTCAAAAGTTGACCATTTCTTAGCAAATGAAGCTAAGGGTAAGTCTATTATTGGTGCTCATTCAATTCAAGACTTAGTATCAAAATTGAAAAGACCAAGAAAGGTTATGTTATTAGTTAAAGCTGGTAATCCAGTCGATTGGATTATTGAAGAATTATTACCATTCTTAGAAAAAGGTGATATTATTATTGATGGTGGTAATTCTCATTTCCCTGATACTAACAGACGTTATGAAGATTTGACTAAGAAAGGTATCTTATTTGTTGGTTCAGGTGTTTCAGGTGGTGAAGATGGTGCTAGATTAGGTCCTTCTCTAATGCCAGGTGGTGCTCCAGAAGCTTGGAAAGAAATTAAAGATATCTTCCAATCAATTTCTGCTAAAGCAGATGGTGAACCTTGTTGTGACTGGGTTGGCCCAGCTGGTGCAGGTCATTATGTTAAAATGGTTCATAATGGTATTGAATATGGTGATATGCAATTAATTTGTGAAGCTTATGATATTATGAAAAGAGTTGGTGGTTTCACTGACAAAGAAATCGGTGATGTTTTCTCCAACTGGAATTCCGGTGTCCTTGATTCTTTCTTAATTGAAATTACAAGAGATATTTTGAAATTTAACGATGTTGATGGTAAACCATTAGTCGAAAAAATTATGGATAAAGCCGGTCAAAAGGGTACTGGTAAATGGACTGCCATTAATGCTTTAGATTTAGGTATGCCTGTTACTTTAATTGGTGAAGCTGTCTTTTCAAGATGTCTTTCTGCTTTAAAAGATGATAGAGTTAGAGCTTCAAAAGTTTTAGCTGGTCCAACTATTCCAAAGGATTTGATTAAAGATAAAAAACAATTTGTTGATGATTTAGAACAAGCTTTATATGCTTCAAAGATCATTTCTTACTGTCAAGGGTTTATGTTAATTAGAGAAGCCGCTAAGACTTATGGTTGGGAATTAAATTTCCCTTCAATCGCTTTAATGTGGAGAGGTGGTTGTATTATTAGATCTGTCTTCTTAGGTGAAATTACTAAAGCTTATAGAAGTAACCCAGATTTAGAAAATCTATTGTTCGATGATTTCTTTAACAACGCTGTTTCAAAGGCTCAATCTGGTTGGAGAAAGACTATTGCTTTGACCACTACTTACGGTATCCCAACTCCAGCTTTTGCTACTGCTCTAGCCTTCTACGATGGTTACAGATCTGAAAGACTACCAGCTAACTTATTACAAGCTCAAAGAGATTACTTCGGTGCTCACACTTTCAGAGTCTTACCAGAATGTGCTTCTGACAACTTACCTCTAGGTCAAGATATCCACAATAACTGGACTGGTCATGGTGGTAACGTTTCATCCTCTACTTACCAAGCTTAAGTTAACTGTGTTTTTTTTATAAACCTCTTATGAAAAACATATATATATATATATTTACTTATTTATATATTATCTCTCTTCTAATGATATAAAATTGAAATTTTCAATTATTATTTATTTCTGACGTCTCAAAACGAATCTTATCTTTTCTGCCCCCTGTTACAGGTGTGGGCGGTGGGTCTTTTTTTATTGCTTGTCTTGAGATTTATCCCTTTTGGAATTGTTTTAGCGTCACAAACAAATATATTAAAATTTTACAATATTTCATACATATATATATATATATATAAAGAAAAATAATATATATGTGTGTGTGTGTGTTCTCCCACTGGTTCCAACATAGATACAGTATCCACCGCCAACAACAACCACGAAATAATGCAACAATTGTATGATCAATACGATTTACCCTCTTTAACTAATCCACAAACTATGGTAAGACAAACAGAGACGCCCAAAAAATTAGTCAATAAGATGAAACAATGGTTTAATCAGTCAATTCTAAAGACACCATTACATGGATATCATCATCGTGATGGTGATCATGATGATGGTGATGGTGGCGTAGATAGTTTGGAGTGTAGTCCCAAGACGGACTTGAATGATGCTCCATTGCAATCGTTTCCAGCGACTCCAATAAGAAATAATGGCTCGAATGGTAATCATTTCGATGATAAATTACAATTAGTGGAAGATAATAAGATTCAAAGTGCAAGCATGGGTGATCCGCAATTTTTAGAATATAGTTTGTTGTCATTTCATGGAGATTTGCAAATGAATAATGATTCAACTAAATTTTTTTCTTCACAAATTGCTAATCATTTAAAATTTAAGACAATTTCATCAAACAAATTAAGGAAACGATTAGATATGATTGCTAATAAGAAACAAAATGAAGTTAAATATATTAAAAAATTCATTACCGATATTAATCATTGGAGTAATATTCCTTTATTTCAAAATGATATAAATGATACACATTTAGTTATTAGACAAATTACCACTCTTTTCTCTCAAGATGTTCAATATCAGGAAAACATTATCAAACAATTAAAAGCAATTGTAAATGATTTAGAATATGTCGCATTAAAGGAAAATGATTTAATTAATGATCATAAAAAATTAATTCAAGAACATAAAAGATATAATAATATTAAATTGAAAAAGGGTATTAATCATCCAGAGACAAGTTTTTCATTAGAAAGAGTCATTACCGCTGAACATTTATATGAATCAATGAAAGTATCATTTCAAAAAATTATTTCTATTACAATGAGACAATTATTTCAAGATCTTAGTTATGAATATTATTCAAATAGTGAAGATATGAAAATCATTTCATCAAGTTTAATTAAAGAATTTATGATGTCATTAGAATCACATAATTTTCAAAAATTTAATAATCAATTAGAACAATTAAAGAGGAAAAGAAATGAAAAAGTTTGGTCACAATTTTCAATTGAGGATAAACAAAATCCAATTAAATGGGAGAATATTAAAAGTGGTATATATGAAAAAAATGATTCTTTATTGCAAGATATCTATAAAAATTTACCAAATGATCATTATTCAAAAATGTCTTTAAGAAGAGTTAATAGTTTCCCAGCTGATACTTTTTTAAAATCTAACTTAGAAGATATAGATACAACAATTGATTGTGGTTTCATACTTAATAAAAACACCAATGATAATGGAATTGAAAGTCATAAATCATTATCAGATAAATATAATCCAATGTCAACTAATACGTTTCTTTCACAACCAAAAATTGATAAAGATATTTTTCAACCTTCATCATCTGCTACTGTAATTCCAACATTGAAAATTGTTGATACAAATATAGACGCTAATGAAACTTTTAAAGCTCATTCAACTACAAAATTGAAATCACAAAATTTGAATTCATATAATTTACCAAATCAACTTATCTCACAAGAAACTCAGAATATTACAAACGCTATTGGTTTATTGGACAGGAATGATTACTCTGCAGATATTGAAAATAATCATTGGGAAAATGAAGTCGGAGACTGATCGTTACATTAAAGTTTCTTCCCAAAAATATATACCATTATTATACAAGTATATATATAGGCCATTAGATATATAAATCAATATTTTAAAATTATTGACTATTTTTAATAATTTCCGCATTTCTCTTTTTTTATTTATATATATATTTTTTTAAAACATCCTGGATTAAGAGAACCCTATTTCAAAATTATTATCAAAATCAACATCTTCTGAAATACGTTTGTCTTGATAATAAAAATCATTTTCATTCTGACTTGAAGCTGTATTATTTTTTGAATTAGATTGTTCTTTTTCTAAATTATACACCAAACGTACTAAACAATCAATTTTCTTACTTTGTAAAAAGATTAATTCATCGGAATTTGTTAATGATACATTTTGGTCTCTTGTTAAGAACTGATTATTTTTTCTATCAAACTCGACTTCATCCCAGTTTAATGAATAATCATTTGGAAAACAATCATTATTCCAAATGTTATCACGTATTTCGTATATTGGAATATTATCAATCCAATTTGTAACTTTTTCTTTTGCTGGCATATCTTTGGCTCCCCTAGGGTCAAAATCAGTTGGGAATGAACCATTGGTCGATAGTATGTCCTCAGGACATTTACATATATTATTTAAAGACCCATCTGCCCTTTGATATGAATTCATCATATTATGTATGTTATTTCTTCCATTGTAAGGAGGATGGTAGTCCTTTTGTAAAGGATAGTCGTTTGAATGAATAAAATGATTGTTATAAAGTAATCCGCCCGAAGTCATTCCTATCATTCCATTTGATTGAACTGGATACCCGATGAAATTATTATATGAGGGTATCATATTGTCTGTATTTGCTAAATACGTATTAGAACCAAACATATTTGGTGAATTGGACATAGTTTGAGTCTTTGGATTTGTGTCTCTTAATTTTTGAGAATTGGAAAATACGTTTTGGTGAAATTCAAACAAATTCGCATTACATTCATCACAACTTTGAAAATTATTTAAAGTTCGAAGTGGTGGAGAACTCCTACTTTGAACCATCGGTTTTTGGTGCTTGGTGTACTTCTCATGTGATACCCAGTTTGTATTTGGACAACTTTCTAAAACTTGCCTATAATTATGAGGCGTGAATGGCTTTGCGTTGTTAAATTCAAATTTATTTGGCATGCAGCTTGTATTCATTAATGAGGATATATTTCTATATAAAACAATTTATAGAAACAAATTTTGATTATAAATTTAATAACTCTGTATTATTTTCACTCTTTCTTTTTAAGTTTACTATTTTTATATTTGTGACGTATGTATACCCATCCACCTTTCAACAAATGTCAGTCGTCCTGATTAATTTACGCGAGAAAGGGAAAGAGCATTTAGGGAAAAATTTACCTTATGAATAATAACTTTCTATAAAATATAAGAAATAAATTTATTTAGAAAAACTATCTAATAGTTTATAGCATTATCTTTGCACTTGTATATGTTGAAACGGGTATCGTGAGAATTAGCTGCAACAAGCATCATTCTGTGGGGATGGAAACTCATTGCCGAGACAAAAGAGCTAGAAGTAACACGGTTAGTTCTTATACCAGTTGCACCTGCAATGGTACTCGCAACACCATTACTACCTGTAGAATTCTTGAAACAGGAAAGCAAGTCACCTGAGGTAGTCCATATTTTAATTTGTTTTGTACTTGTAGCAATAACTGGGGCATGCTCATGTATTTCTGCGGTGGTCATGGTTAGATTGTTTCTTTGGGCATTACTTGACCCTATATTTTCATCAGAAAAAGTTTTTACTGGATCATCAGATCTGATATCCCATAGCTCAACTACACCATTGGTAGCCCCACTTATTAGTTCTCTATAACCACCTCTTTGTAAATGAACATTGTTTATCCAAACATCTCTACCTCCGCCACTGGTTCTCCAACGACGAACAATAGCGTTTCGATGATCTAAACGACGATCGTACACTCTAATTGTACCATCACTGAATCCTCCTACAAATAAATCTCCCGCAAATTGATCGGATGTCAGGGATGTCATCAATGCTGATGTTTTTGCAGGTATATCCACTTCTATAGTTTCAGTATGGGCATCCCATATTCTGATAATCTTTACATCACCTGTCGCTAACAAGGACCCTCTGCTTTGTTGCCATTCAGTAATTAGACCATACGACCTTGGTGTCAAAAGCATTTCTGTTAATCCCTTCCAAGAAGCAACGTTTTCAACGCTATCCAATGAAGAGTAGTTTTTGTAAAGTTTTATTATACCGTCTGATGATCCAGTCATCATAATGGCAGTATCATCCTCATTGATAAACTTTAAATCCGTTATTTTAGTACCAAAAGGATTACCATTCGAAAATCTAGACAATTTTTTATTAGCTTTCCAATCAAAAACCGTGATGTTATCTCTATCATCAGCCACACCTAAATGGTCTTCAAATTGGGTAAATTGTAACGTCTTTGGTTGCGTTTTATTATCAAAAGTAACTAGTTTTTTTGACCAGTCACCATACAAAGCTAATTTCTTCTCATTTTGGGTTTCTTGAATTATGAAATCATTTCTATTCTTTCTCCACAGTCTCTTATTATATTCAACACTGCCCTTTTCATCATTCTCTGGCTTTCTCATTTGTGGTTCCTGGAAATATTCACAAGCATAATCAAGGAATGTACTTTGGAATGGTAACCTTAGCTTTTCTTTCCTGTTACGGTATCTTGGAACTTTAGGTATTGGTGCCATTCCATGTTCGTCATTTAATAGGGAAATGTTTATTAGATCATTTTCGTTCCCACTCGACACAGATGCGTTATCAGAGTGCGTTTTTGAGGTGTCACCCATATCCAAGCCCAGACTTTTGAATATTTTATTAATTGACAAAGATCCTGTATCACTTCTATTTTGTTCAGATCTTGCTGTATCTAACGGTCCATCTTCTTCTGTAATTGAGTTGTTACGATTATGACCAGTCGTGAACGAACGAATCTGAGTCTTACCACCATTTATAGGTAGTGGCCTAAATGAATATTTACCACCTGTAGAGACCTTAGAGTTTCTCTTCACAAAATATTGTTCTAATTTACCAAAGGGTTCTCTAAGTTCTTTATACATACTCAGTTCAATAAGAACATAATCTATTATCTCTTCGGCCAATTCTCTATTTTCCAAGTAAGGATCACTGGCCAAGATTAAAAGAGCTTTCCAAACAGTACTAAAAACTGAACCATACCCAACAAATTGCTTGTCATTATAATTTACTGCCTCAGGATTTGTTTTCTCAAACTGACTGACATTCTCAACTAACTCATTAAATGCAACCACAATAAAAAAATTGATGTATCTGTAAACTGTCTTTGAAAGGAAAATAATCACTTCCTTTCTAACCAGTGGAGATCCATCGTTGATAAGTTCTAAAGCGGCAATCAAATTTGTAACCTCTTGGGATCTTAGAACTTTTAAGTCTACATTTTCCAATTCACGTTGCATGTTGATACAATTATTCATCTGCTGTTCAAGTTTCACTTGTTGCTGTTCCATATGTTGTTGATTTTGTTTTTGGTTGTAATTATTAATCAATTGTTGCAATTGGATTTGTAACTGTTGATACTGTTGTTCGTACTCTTGTTGTAGCCTGATCACAGTGTCGGTGTCCACATTATCCGAGATAAAGTAGTTTAAACTTAATATTGTGGCTGTTCTCACTTCCGGAACAGGATCATGTAGAGCTTCAAGTAGGATATCGAAAACGTGCATCTCCATACATATTGATTTGTACAATGGATTACCAACATAGAGCAATCCTATCAGGATAACACACCACTGTCTTAGAAGTGGGATTTCTGAATTTTGAATATATACACAAAGCTTCTTAACAAGCTCGAATTCAAAGCAACATTTTTGTCCGATACTAAAGTCCCTTACAAATGAGGATAAGACAAAAACAGACATTGCCTTTTGTTCATCGGTGGTGTCACTTGAGTGGTATGAAGGGCTCATACTATTTTTATGTGTTGGATCATATTGTTGCAACCTTGAACTACTGTAGTTTTTACCATCGGACATCATAACTGGTGTACCGCTCCCATTAGTCATATTCCCATGTATATTATTATTCATGCCGAAATCAGGGACTAAAATGTTAATGAAGTACATGAATCCCTTTTCTTTAATTAATTCTGCCTGGGTATTTTTATAATCAATCGACATTATTCTGGCCCATATGAAGACTAGAATTGGTTTCAATTCCGGGGCAGGACTTTGCAGAAGCTTTAGCACGTAAGGGAATATACCAATGGATAAAGACAAATATACGGCCCATGGTCCCAGATCCAAAAATCGAGAAAGGAGTACCAACGCTCTAATACGATGAACTTGTGAAAGTAAGACTTGTAAAACAATAGGCAATTGTTCTGGAGGATTCCTAACATTAGAAACATATTTTAACCAAAGTTCAAAAGCTGTAAGGTTTTGTTCAAAGAACCCAGAAAATTGTTGCGGCGGTAATTGTGTCACTACATTTACTGATGAAGGTTTCCTTGTTCCTATATTATTATTTTGTTGCAAGCCAGGATGCGTTGCAAGAGACATTGTACTCAAATTACCAACATTAAACCTCGATTGCCCCTGAATGCTTTCAGGTACTTTATCTTTTTGTTGAAGTTTTTGTGAAGATAATTGACCACTATTATTTTTTTGATTTTGTAATGATTCTTCTTGTTGTAGTATCATCTGTGTTTCTAAATCAGGTGTTTGTGGGGTATTTTTCAAATTCTCCACAATTTTACTTAGAACTTCATCCATAGCTAAATCCCATGATTTCCACATCTCGTGATTAGCAATCGAGTCAGGTAACTCTGGAGTAGATAATGGATGACAATTATACCATGGCATTATCCTTTTTGCCAATAAGAAATTACGGAAAAGTGCCGCTATCATCAAATCATGTCTAAATAATTTTTTAAATAGGGATCTCGGTAATGAAGTCCAAGCAATTGTATCTGTAATGGCTGTAAATATCCAATTCAATTCACCTAAAGGTGTTCTTCTATCGGAAAGCATACCCGGTATATTAATGTTTGGTATTTTAGCCTTGTAAGAATTCTTAGCATCATAATGTTTTTTGGAATTATCAAAGAATATTTTATATTTAGTATCTTTTAAAGGTGAACGTATTAGAAATATTCTAATACTAATTTCAATTGGACATGTCAAACAACATGTGAAAAGATCTGCAGGTAACTCTGGATTCATGATAAGTAATTCATTTGATCTACATGAAGCCAACTGAAAACAATCTTTATATGCAGCCGTAGGTGACTGTGATGCATTATCATGGTTACCTTCTTCATCATCTTTAATTCTTTTTTCTACAAATTTCTCAAAATTTTTCACAATGTTTCCAGCACTATTACAATCATAGACAAATATACAAGGTGCACCTAACCAAGTTTGTAAATCATACAAAGATATTGGAATATACTGAGTGTAACCTCTATTGAATACCCAAATTTCGCCCGAGGGTGTCGGTTGTGGTACACCATGTCCATTATAATGGAATAATATTTGATCGTCCTTAGATTGCCTTCTCAAAGAATTGCAAAATCTTTTCACATCCTCGACACAGGGGTCAAGACTCTGTTTATAACGTGTCCTAAGTGATAGAGTTTCATATTGTGATTGTAAATTTTTTCCAATTTGTTCAATTGCTTTCTTAGAATCTTGGAAATTTAATGGATCAACCCAGGCTTCCACCCTTGCGCAAGGATGAGTCTTAATAACATCTGGAGGGTCTACTCCGAGGTTAAGGCATAATAACAGTGCGGCGCTAACCGTCTTCTGACGATCTTTAGTTATCTTCCAATTTGTAATTGGTTGGTAATAGCGATCTTTATCGTTTCGTTTTGTTTCATCGGTGATTGGGTTCCCATTTGTTCGATGTCTTTTATCATCAAAATAGAATATAAAATCATTAGCTAATGCCTGCAGTAAGTGCTCATCTTTATATTGTTCTTCAAACCCATGTCTCATTTTAATATTAAGGTTTTGCAAAGGTTGAGGACCATAAATTAAGGTCATCTTGTGGGAGTAAAGTTTCTAAAAAAATATTGGAGGGGGATTAAAATTCAGTTTTATCCTGGGAATAGTATAAAAATTAAAATGCTTATCGCTCGTTATTATTGCGAGAAAAAAATGAATAGAAAGATTGTGACCCTTCTGTAATATTTCAACTCAGCTAGAACTATAATTGTATAACTTATAGCCTTTATCGTCTTATATTATTTTATACTTAACTATGGTTTTGTTAGTGTTCAATCTGTTTAGTTTCCCTTTGTTTTCAACTTTATTAGTTTTTATCGCTTTACAGCTTCAAAATTGAAAACTGAAAAATCGTCAAATTGAGAAATAGCGCGATGAGCAAAGACCAACTTTCTCAATTGGAAAATACTAAATTAATCGATGAGTAAGCAACTATTAAAGAGGGAAAAGTAATACTTCCTGTGTTATTATTCTATATTAAACTAGCTGAACACCAACCATATTGTGTTGTTTAAATATATTGATCTAAAGTGAGCAAAGAGAAATGGCCAGTTCATCTCATAATCCATCGATTCTGTTTAAAAGAACACTAAGTTTAGCAGACCCATCTGGATTTATGCTATGCTATGACAGTATATCCCAAACTTCATACCCTGTTATAAATGAGGTTATGCATAGTATATCTGGATCGACCGACCATAATATCACTTATATTGCTTTTGAGACCTTAAACAAACCTAGTTTTGCTACTAATTTTATTGATGTAAATGAAATTGGATTCGCTAAAGTGATAGACAGAGTTCAAAGTCTCTTACCATCTGCTACCGCTACTGTGAGATCAAAAAATTTAGTCGTTGTAGATTCCTTAAATCATATTGCATTACCGCATCTGTCAAGTTTTATATCGTCATTGATTTCGCCTCATGTAACTTTATTGGCTACTTACCACAAGGATCTCCCTGAAGCTTCAACAAAAGTTGGATTTGACAATTATCCAAATGCTGAAACATTATTACAATTTATGGCTACTTCAATCTTTGATATTGACCCATTAATACCTAGTACATTGGATAGTACTGAATTAAGAGAATCCATTGAGAAATTCCATATTCCAAGGGGTTTAAATAGATTACAATTTAAAGTAAATTTTACTAATAGAAGAAGATCTGGAAGATCTTTGCTTTACGAACTATTAGTAGACACTGTCGCTCATACTTATGAAGTATTTGAGGATAATACAAATGAGAATCAAGAAGAAACACCAGAAATGTTACAGGATTTGACAACTTTCAATTTGTCCACAAGTGCCAAACAAAAGGAAGCCAAAGACCAAGTTGCATTACCATTCTTGGAAGCTCAATCAGAATTTGCAGGCGGTACTGCTATCGTTTATGAATATGAGAAGGATGACGATTATGATGAGGAAGATCCTTATGAAGATCCATTTTAATACTAAAAAAAAAAACAATTAGCATACGTTGAATTTAAATATTAATATTTTTAAATTTTTTTTCCTCTCTTTTTAAGTATATAAACTTATAATATATATATGAATTTACTTATTTTAGAAACCTAGTTTTGACAGTATTCTTTGCTTCAACATCATTACTTTATATTTAATAGATCTTGTCGCTAATATCTTTTCTGCTTCATCCATAGTAACCATTCTCTTGGTAATCAAATTGTATAGAGTACCAAAGATTAATCCCATAATTGTAGAAGAGATGATAATAACATTATATGGCATACTGAAATCTGGGGTTGATAAATACAACAACAAAGTTGCAGTACGGAGTTGGTATGGAGCAGATTCAAGAATAGTAATAATTAAGGATTCGATTTCAAACCCGTGGTTAGCATCCGGTGGATATTCAGTAAAGTGTAATAATGCTTTATCAAATTCATAAGTCAGAGATATAGTACAGTTGGCAGGTATAGTCATTATGAATTCAAGTTGAGTAGATCTTTTACGATCAATTGCAGGCATATAGTATTGTGATTCGACAATGTCATTAAATGTGAGATTCTGGTAGATATCAGAGGTAACTTCCATCTTTAAAGTAGACAGATATATTCTCATGAACCAAGGCAGAGACTCATAATATGATAATCTGACAGGTTCTAATGTTGGATTCGAGAAGACGGTACGCAGGCCCCCGTGATCTTGACCATAACCTGTAAGCGATCTACTAACATAGATTGGAACATCATCATTTCGTGCCACTTTATTGCTACTTCCTGATTCCATATATATATCGTAATTACGATTTTCAGTAAGATCAAAACAATTATCGTCAGTACCAAACAGACCATCATCTACTTTGATGGTTGCTAACCAATTTTCACTAATTGAAGCACAAATTCTAGAATGCGTGAAAGATAAATCATTTGAACCAGAAATATTCTTACCAAATATATCGGATAATGAAAATGATATTTCTGAAGTTTCTGGTGATGGGAAACATTGATAAGCATCATATGGTTTGGATAAATCACAATGTAAATCATCACCTCCTAATGGCTTTGGGATTGGGTTCTTGTTTCTGGCCAAAATACTAGGAATATGGGCAACAACATCAACATTAGCTTCCATTTCGTAAAAACATTCTCCACTGTTCGAGTAACTATCATCATTAACACATTGAGTTGTTATATCAATGGCCATGTTATGCCATATGGAATCAAAAAGTTTATGACCATCAAGTAAAGAAGATATTCCTGACTTTCCTTTACTTGGCAACAATTTCAACAGAGGAGTTAAGTTTTCTGTACAAATAGGTTCATTAGCAAGTGAAGCATGCATCAAATAAAGGTTATTCGTCGAATTAAACAAAGGTATTCCTTCGTTTTCTCTTTCCTGTGGATTGAAAGAAAATACTGGATAATTTGTCTTGGAGAGGTCAATAAAATTAATTGAAGCACAAAATGAACCACTTAATGAGTTAGCCAACGATTTCCACTTCTTATAGGCGTCTTTCTTTGAATTTCCTTCAATTAAGGCCCATAATTCAACACCAGATCCACCTGATTTAAAACCGTCATGTGGTAAACGTCCCCATTCTTCTGAATCCCAAAACCCCCTTGTGAATCTCAAATGAAGTTGTCTTACATCGGTACGGCGTAAAAGTGGTTCAATTGCTTTTGGAAAGATAGTGTAATGGTCATATTTGTCGAAATTTGATGAAGAGTCACTTGGGAAAAATGGCTCTGAGTTCATTTGAAATTCGAAGGAAGAAAGTAAATGATTATGAGGCAACGGTCTCACATTCAAACGTTCTTCGTATGGGAATTGTATCCCCGTATCTATTGTTCGAAATTTCTGATCATTTATATCTTTTGTTTCTGTATTACTCAAGGATTCATCTGTAGCAATTACCAACCCAGTTATGAGCAGCAATCCTTGCAGAACAAAAGTTGTAATACTATTACTCATACTGATAGAAAACTCAGATTACAGGCAATTATTATGTTGCAAGCTTTAAATACCTAGCGATATGGTTCTAGTTAGTTTAATAATATGATATATTCAACCACTTGAGAAATGATTGATGAGTTTAAATATTGTTCCCACTTATAACGTGTTATATGTCTTCTACATACTAATCTTGTTTTGGTCATTGCGCGAAGCGAAGAACTTTTCCGAAACTACTACAATTAGATACTTTATGAAATAGATGAGCTATCACTAATTAATAACATATATAAGTAGTACAATGGTAATACTAAAAGGGCCAAAAGTTTGATAAAAGTTCCAAACCATTCTTGGCGGTAGTCTAAAAGTAATTTATATGATTAATAATGAGTATTAATGGCACCCGTTATAACGTTGGAGGGAACTATTCCATCTCTCAAAAACTAAAAGATTCTATCCTTGAAGAAACCACTGGTGGTGATGGGGAAGAACATAGCGATGTTTTACAAGAGAGAATGAAACAGAGATCTATATATGACAAGGAGGATGAATATCATCAAAGAAGACATAACCTGAATAAGAAGAGAGATATTGAACAAGTGAGTGATCAAACAAAAGAAACAACCCAATTAGTAAAGAAGAAAAGGAAATCTAGATGGGATGTACAGACTTATGTTATGCCGGAAGAATCAAAAGACGCAGTTGCTGAAATGACAGAGATTGATAACATACCGAATGGTATGGATTTGAGATATTTTAAACCTTCTGATAAAATACATTTCCAATTGATATTAAAGGAAGATGATGAAGAAAAATTGAGCACAGATGACCAAAAAAAGTACAAGTACTTAGTCTTATTATTAAAAGTAAAAAACGGTAGTACTCAATCTAGAAGAGATGCTATGAAAAAACTAATTTCAAAATGTGAATCCTTTGGACCTAAGATTATATTTGACTGTACTCTTCCAATATTATTAGATAGATCATTAGAGGACCAAGAACGCCATTTACTCATAAAGTTTCTAGACAGACTGTTATTTAAACTGGGGAGTTCAGTGAGGCCATTTGCTAAAGATGTGTTAGCTGTGTTGTCACCTCTACTTATTGATGAAGACCCAACAGTAAGAGTCACTGGTAGAGATGTGATAAGTAACTTAGCATCCGTAACTGGTTTAGTTACAATGTTACAAGTTATTCGCCCAGATATGGAAAATGAGGATGAGTATGTACGAAATATTGCTGCAAGATTGTTGGCAATAATATCTCGTCCTCTAGGGGTTAATAATGTTATCCCATTCATAGACGCTGCCTGTCATTCGAGGAACTCATGGAGATCTCGTCATACTGGTATTAAGAGTATCGGTCAGATGTCTAAATTACTTGGTATAGCCCAATTACCATATCTGGATTCGATGATGCAGTGTGTTTCTAATGGGTTGGACGACGAGCACATTGCTATTAGGATGCTTACAGCCAATACAATTGCCACTTTGGCCGAAGATTCTTTCCCCTACGGTATTGAATCCTTTAATATTATATTAGAACCTCTTTGGAAAGGTTTGAAAAAACACCGTGGTAAAATGTTAGCTGCATTTATAAAATGTTTGGCATCAATATTACCATTGATGAACACAGAATATGCTGGTTATTACACTGAAGAATTGATGCATATAATATGTAGAGAATTTCATTCACCTGATGAAGAAATGAGAAGGGCAATATTGATTGTTTTACAAAAATGTTGTAAAGTCGAAACAGTTACACCCAGATATTTAAGGGAACAGATTGGACCTATTTTTTTCAAAAATTTCTGGAACAGACGTGTTGCCTTAGACAAAAATTTGAATAAGATGGTGACTTACACCACCGTCGTCTTAGCAGAAAAAATGGGTACCGCTTATATCGTAGACGAATTATTGAAGCCATTAAGAGATGATTCAGAGCCATTTAGAGTTATGGCTATTCATGCCGTTGATAGAGTAGTACAACTAACAGGTACAACTGAATTAGATAACAGACTGGAGTCACGTTTACTTGATGCCCTATTGATAGCATTTCAAGACCAAAAAGATGGAGATCCTGTGATATTTAGAGGATTTGGAACGGTCGCTGCATCGCTAGGTGTGCGTATGAAACCATACTTATCTCCAATTGTTAGTGCCATTTTAAACCAATTGAAACATAAAGATAAAATAATTCGTCAAAATGCAGCCGATCTTTGCTACATTCTAATACCTGTTATTAAAGAATGTGACGAAATTGAAATGATTAACAAACTTAATATTATTCTTTACGAATCTCTAGGTGAAATGTATCCTGATGTTTTAGGGTCAATAATTAAAGTCATTAATGCTATTATGTCTGTGATGGATTTCAAAATATTACAACCACCAGTCAATCAAATACTGCCATCATTGACGCCAATTCTTAGAAATAACCACAAAAAGGTACAACTAAATACAGTGAAGTTAATTGGATGTGTGGCTCGCAAGGGCCCAGATTATGTCCCACCAAAGGAATGGTTGAGAGTATGTTTTGAGTTATTGGAGTTGTTGAAAAGTACCAATAAAAAAACCAGGATAGCTGCAAATTCCACTTTTGGTGAAATTGCAAAAGCAGTGGGTCCTCAAGATGTATTAGTTGTCTTATTGAATAACCTTAAAGTCCAAGAACGTCAATTACGTGTCTGCACTGCAGTTGCCATTGGTATCGTAGCCAAGGTATGTGGACCATACACAGTCTTACCAGCAATGATGAATGAGTATAAGACTCCAGAGACCAATGTTCAAAACGGTATACTGAAGGCAATGACATTCATGTTTGAATATATAGGGTCAATGTCACAGGACTATGTATATTTTATTTCGCCATTGTTAGAGGATGCATTAGTAGATCGAGATTTAATCCACCGTCAAACTGCTGCCACAGTGGTAAGAAATATTGCTCTAAATTGTATTGGTGTAGGTAATGAAGATGTGTTCATCCATTTGTTAAATCTTTTGATACCAAATGTTTTTGAGACGTCGCCCCACGTTATTGTCCGTATACTAGATGGTTTAGAAGCATTAAATTATGCCATCGGACCTGGTGTATTCATGAACTATATATGGGCAGGGCTATTCCATCCAGCTAAGAATGTGAGAGCAGTCTTTTGGAAGTTGTTCAACAAGGTATATGTGGAGAGTGGAGATACATTAGTGCCTCATTATCCATTATTACAAGACACGGAAAACAAGATAGAGATAGAGGAACTCGATTGGATCTTGTAGAGCTATATAAAAAACGTGAATATTTAGTTCTTTTATTTTGTAACGATCATATAGTCATTATAGAACAATCTATATAATGTGGATACTCTTAAGGACGTATGTAGACTGTATTTTTTCTAATTATCCTTCCTTATTGGCCATTTGTTGCGTTGCATATATCATTATTTTTTCTTATTCCTTTAGTTAGCGACCATCGTGTTCTCGGAACAGCAGATGCTTCGTTTTAAATACATAGGACAAACCTGTTAATCATTTAAAAAGGAGCTTGAAAGAATAGTTGAATTAAATTTTGATATTGTGGTACGATATCAACAAATAAAGATTTGTCTATCTTTACTTAGTAATGCAAGAAGAGGAAACATATAGAGTACTTGGAACCTTGAGGTATGATCCGCAACTGACTACAATAAGTCAGATCAAGGAAGGCGAAAAAACCTTTATATCAGTTAAATCAAACTGGGGCTCATATCACTTATCACAGGATGATGAAGGCTATAAGTTTCCTGAATCGTTTGAGCTGAACGACGTGAGAACAAGGACAGAAATTGGTGATAATTTGGAGACAAAAAACTTTAAAGGTGACACATATGCTATAGTTGAAAGCAATAGCTATAGTGGTATTGAATATGATGATATAGATCGAATAAAAGCTATTATATTTGAGAGATTTTTGTTTTATGAACAACAAATCAATAGAATGCTCTTCACTGCAGAAGCTTTAGGAATTCGTTCTCTTCCTGATAAGCAAAAGATTCGAACACTACTATTACAATGCATTGTAGGTAAAAGAGATTTTGCTTGGAATAGTAGAAATAACTTACTGGCTGTTCTTAAGAGAACTAAACCTACCTATAAAATAAGAATACTACTTGATAAAAAAGGTTCCATAAATGTCCAAAGGACTGAGATACCTACATTACCTTATTCTATCAATTATTTCTATAAGAATATACTGGGTGGACTGCTGGAATCAACCGAACCTACTTGGGACATATTCCTCGATGATTACCCCATAATATCATCCCGTTTTACTACCTTTAAGACAACAAACCGGGAGCACTATGATTTTGCAAGACGTGTGCTACATCAGAAAGTTTCCAGCTATCGTAATAATGATTCTATACTAAGAAGTGAAATATTATTATTTAACAAAGATAAAATTATTACTGAGGGTAGTATCACAAATATTGCGTTGAAAATTACTGATAAAAACGGAACAAGATATATTACTCCTTTTTTAACCTCTGGATGTTTATGTGGTATTATGAGATATTACTTGTTGAAAAAGGGCTATATAGAAGAAGGTGTTATTTTAAAAAGTGACATAAAAATTGGAGATACAATTTTGTTGTTTAATGGTGTGATGGGATGCGTAAAAGGTATCGTGAGAGGATGATGAAGGCGTATGTAATATTCATAATCTTTATATTTGTGTGGATCTTGTATCATTCTACGGTTAAAAGAATTGACACAAAATATCCCAATAGGTTAAGACCTTTAATAATGAATCTAATTTACAATGAATTATATAATTATATATACATATATATATACATATATGTATCTATTTTGTTCTACGTTTCTTGTTATTGGTCTTGCCACTAGCACCGATAGTAATATTCACTTTTGGTGGGACAGGGAAACCATATGATTTAGCAACTTTTGCAAGATCAAGTTTATCAATTTGGTATACAGTCTTTAAAGAATGCGATGCGTATGCTTGTAAATAAGATCTGTAACCGTCCTTAGCAGTTTGATGTAAGTAATAATTAGATTTAATTAATTTTTCTAATTGTGATTGAACGTTAGCGATTTTATTCATTGGAAATTCATATTCATTTAATGGAACTTTAGCGGCTTTCAAATATCTTAAGAAACCTAATTCACTTGGAGTTAAAAACATTAAAGATTTACCTTTACCCTTAGTACCTCTTGCTGTTCTACCGACTCTATGGATATAATCTCTTGGATCATCAGGAGGATCGAATTGAACAATCCAATCAACAGCTGGAATATCTAAACCTCTTGCTGCAACATCAGTACAGACAAGGATACCTCTTTCAGCGTTACAAAATTCAAAAAATGTATTTGTTCTCTTTTGTTGTTTTTGTTTACCATGAAGTTCTAAGACAGGTAAATCAATATAATTTAATAATTCTGCATAATATTTCACTGAATTACAAGAAGATAAAAATACAATAATTTTCTTCTTTTGATTTCTCTTTAAGAATGAAAATAATAATAAAAATCTTTTGTCACTTTCACATACAACATAACCTTGTTCTAAACCATCAGCTGTTGATACATCCTTTTCAGAGACAACATTAATAAACAATGGACCCTTTCTTAAAGAAATTCTGGCTAAATCTTCAACTTTTGTTGTTTGTGTAGCAGAGAATAACATTGATTGTCTATCCTCATTTGGTAAAATTTTAATAATTTGCTTCATTTCATCTTCAAACCCAATTTCAAGAATTCTATCTGCTTCATCGATAACTAAAGCTTTTAAATTCTTGAATACAAAACCTTGAGTGTTTTGTAAATGATCTAATAATCTACCTGGAGTAGCAATTAATAAGTTTACACCTTTAACTAATTTATCAGCTTCTTGTCTTCTATTAGCACCACCAATAACAATACCGAAAGTTTGTGAATGAAATTCCATTAATTCTCTTGCGACACCAAAAATTTGTAAGGCTAATTCTCTTGTTGGAGTAATGACAATTACACCGGTACCATTTCTTGGTTTAAATTTTAAAGAATGTAACATTTCAATAGCTGGAATCAAAAATGCTAAAGTTTTACCTGACCCAGTCTTTGCTGCACCTAAAACATCTCTACCTGCCATTAAAGGAGGAATGGTTCTAGCTTGAACAGATGTCATCTTTGTAAATCCCATCTTTTCAATAGCTTTTAAAGTTGGTTGAGATAAATTTAATTCACTGAAATTTTCTACAACATTGACATCAGAAGGATCTTCAGTGACAGGTTTACTGTCTTCTTCTCTTGAACGCTTCACGGTCTCACTCATTATTTCAGTATATATGGGGTCGTGTGTCTTATAGATCTTTCGAAGTGAATGGTTCAAGAATACAAAATAGAAATTTATAAATATTTATAAAGAACAAGACATCGATAATGTTAAATCCACTGTTTAATTAATTGAATATGTATTAGTTTGTTATTGAGAGATGCCCAAGCTCATCGCATATTCTAATTGAAAAAATAAAATAAGTAAGAAAAATTTTTCCAGTGACCAGCGGATTCCGTCCGCAAACTAAAGAAGAAGCAAAAAAAGAGAGTATTAAAGCGTGTTTTACCCGGCCACTCACGTGATAAGAAAAAACTACAGAGCACGTGACTTATCGTGTATATTTGCCCTTCACATTGCAAAGGCTTGATACATTTAATTACTGTTCTTGTAAACATTGTCAAAAAAAGATCAATTGGGATCCCGCTCATGGTTGACATAAAAACAATAACATAAAATACCAATATATAATATCATATATCTATATTAATTTTCTTCTAGAATGCCACTACCATCTACTTAGTAGTCCCCTCAACATCACGAACCCAATTGTACATCGAAAAAAATGTATAAAGATTCATCACTAGTCATAACACTATAAATTACATACACTAACTTAACATATGTATATATATATATATAAATAAGCGTCTATTTAGATCACATGATACATGTCTTCCCTTTACCACAGCAGCGCATTCCAAATTCCAAATCAAAAGACGTGGGGGAAGAGAACAAAGGCCCAAAACATTTAATTCATTATTTTCTTTTTTAGCTCCGTTTGTTGTTTATTTCCCTTCTGTTAGACCCGGTGCCGTCAAAAACCCTCTGTGTGTGTCATTTTTCCGAACGGTCTATATATGTATATTTGAAATCACACGCAGAAATCCCGTCAGGTTGCAATTAAAAGCATCACGTTCCGGAACAACATTTTTGATCAGAAAAGAAGTTCTCCTGCGGGTGTTGCCGTGCAGGAGGTACGAATATCTTTTAACCGTACTTGGTGGGGGGCAAGAGGTGCACGCGGTGAATCAGAATGTTGTCTTTTTGGGGCGGTATGCTCGTCTGTTGTACGTAAATTGCCGTAATATCTGGAGGGGGCCGGGAGGTCGCTTCTGTGCAAAGATCTCCCTATCCCCCGCAGAGTTACTCATTTTCTATCAGTTTGCGTAATTTCTTTTCCAGCAATCTTTTTGCCTGCGTGGTTGAGGGCGGGGAGAAATGAGGGTAAGACCTAATGGGCTTTTACCTTTTTATACTTATACAGAGAAAAGAGTAAAGCTAGACCCTGTCCTATCCTCTCAATTTCCGACAAAACTATTAGATGCATACCATACAATTACAATTAAGTACTTGATTACTGTGAAATGTGACTGAAACACCACATTATATTTGAATGCACTACATATAGACTCATATCATAGTAGTAGACGAGCGGTATTGGTTCGTCTGTATTAGTGCACCCTATCTTTCACTATACTTTATGTAATATATAATACCATACACGCCCCCCCCCAAAAAAAATAAAATCCCCAAGTTAGCCACCACCTCAAAATATTAAGAAACCCTCTATGTGTATGCCCCGGAAAAAAATATAGGAAACCAATTGAAAAAACCCGCACGGATGTAGGCTCCTCTTTCCTTCCTCCGCCCCCCACAGAATTTCTCCCTGTGGAAAGATTCAGACAGTGAAAATTGTTGCCAAATATGATAAGAAGGAAGCGCGCTCCGTTGGTGACGGGCGCGTTTATGTTTTTCTCAGAAAATACCGAAGCAAAAAGTCATGTTGGAAAAAGAAAGAGAATAAATCCGGATATTTCAAAAAATTGTTTTTTCTTGCTTTTATCTTTCTTAATGGAAGCGTTGATGAAAGTGTTTGAAGCTAAGATAAATATTATATAATAGAAAGCTTGGTTAAAGGAACGAAAATTTCGTTGAAAATATAAAGATAAAGATTGAAAATACATTACCTCTTTGTCTGATAGGTAAACTAGACAAATTATATATATTGAGTATCGCTAATAGTTACTATTTTACGTTGTAATAGTTTGATATATAAAGAGAAGATAGCACAATATTTTTATTATTTTTATTACATTTTTGGCATTTCTTTTTAGAGAACAAAGTAAAAAAATACAAACAGAAAAGGATGTGCGGTATTACGATTGATTCGGGTAGATCTCAACCATCTTTAGCATTTAATTTGAGTAATGGTTCATCCAATATCAAATCATCAAAAAGTTCACCTTTATTAGCTACAGATGATGATATGATTAAATGCAAGTATTTGACAAAATCCTCACAATTAGGTGATGGGAATTTTAGTGTCGTAAAAGAATGTATTAATGTTCAAACAAAAGAAACGTACGCAATGAAATTAGTTCATAAAAATTTAGTTAAAAATAAATTACAACTAATTAAAAGAGAATTTGGTTTATTAAATGCATTATCTGCAGAAATTAGACATTTAGAAAATCATAATAATAATAATAACATTCAACTTGATTATTTTCAAGGTCATCACCATATTTTACAATTATATGATTATTTTGAAACTGAAGAAAATATTGTCTTAATTACACAATTATGTGATAAAGATGATTTATATGAAAAAATTATTCAAAATGGTCATTTAAATTTAAATAAACAAGTTGCTGCTTATACTGCATGCATGATTAGTGTATTACAATTTTTACATTCTCAACATGTTATTCATAGAGATATTAAAGCAGAAAATGTGTTGTTTCGTCTTCATAAGAAACAACAACCACAATTATTGACTTTAAATAAATTACCTGAACAATATGATTTATCTGCTCATGATTTAATTTTAGCAGATTTTGGTTTGGCAACAAGAATAACAGATCCAAATGCAACCAGTCTTAAGGAATATGTTGGTACAATCTCATATATTGCACCAGAAATTGTTAAATGCAAAAGTGTAGCATTTATGGGCACAGAAGAATTGTCTAATGTTCAAAGTTATGGAACTGGTGTAGACATTTGGGCGCTGGGAGTCCTTGTGTTTTTCATGGCATTTGGTTATACTCCTTTTGATTGTGAAACAGATGAAGAAACTTTGGATTGTATTTCAAAATGTGATTATTATATCGATGAAGAATATTCAAATAATCCAGAATATAAAGATTTTTGGAATTTTATTAAATGCTGTTTCATTGTAGATCCAAAGAAAAGATGTACAGCTGAACAATTAAGATCACATCCTTTCATTGAAAAATTTTTCGATAATAATAATAATAATAATAATAATAACTCTAGTCATGTTGTCTCAACTGCAGTATCAATAGGACCAAATTCCTTAACTGTCGATAGACCTGATTTGGGTCCAAGAAATCATTCATTCAATACTTTAAGAAGATTACAATCTCCCGAGAGGTCGGATCCATCATTAAATCCATTATCTTGGACCTCATCACATGATTCCAATTATTCATATACGGTAATGCCTAACAATAATACTAATACTAGTGGTAATAATCTCTTAAATCATGATTCAAGTTTTGTTGCCATTAATACTAACTCTTCGGACGAATCGAAGAAAACTACTACAAATCATAATAATAATAATAGTAATAATAAAACAAATTCCAAAAAACCAATGATTAGAAGAACAATTTCCATGACTTCAGTGAAGAATTCACCATCATCTTATAAAGTCAATAAAGTCAACAATGCAAGTATCATTGCATCTCATTCGACTTTCTTTTTAGATCCTCAACCACCAAAGGGATCCTTAATGAATGGTCGCTTTAGTGAAAATCCTCAACAATTGACGAATTTCGATAGTACACCAAGAAGTCTATCGAGGGAAAATTCTTCAAGAAGTTTATTTTCATTGATTAGTCATGAGAGTGATGATGGAACTCAACATCATCACAAGGAGATCAGTGATAATAATTGGCATGATAATGATTTCCATCAAATGGAAGGTGGAACTGTCACTTTTGAACTGGGTTCAAGTGATGAAGAGGATTAACTCGTAACGATTGAATCCTAATGCATATATAACGATAAGTATTTGAAGAACTTTAAATAATAATGAAAAATTAATATTCCTTAACAAACTCTTCTCACTCTTGTGAATGGTCTAAAACGTAGTTTGCTCGTTAACTATGTAAAAAAAAAATAAGCCCTGACTTGAAGTCCCATTGCCAGTAATCTTTGGTGGAAGGCGCGAAACGGAAGTAAACTATTTTTTTAACACCCATTGTATTTAATACCTTTTTAAGTTACAACCAAAAGGAAACAAAACATATTCACTTCTAAGTAAAGTAATACAGTTATAGCACCAATACAATGGATTCTTACAGTCTTAAGAAGGATAATAGAAAGAAATTTCAAGATAAGCAAAAATTGAAGCATAAACATGCCACACCAAGTGATAAAAAATATTATGGTTTAAAGAAAGACGAAGAGACTAAAGAAAAGGCTCGTGTAGCAGCAGAAGAAAAAGAAAAGAAACTAGGTAATAATCTTAAACGATATGATGAAGACAGTGACATCAATGAACAATTAGATACATATGATTCCACCGCCGATCGTCACAAACTGCAAGCTATTTTACAAGAAAGAGCTAAAATTGCCGCTAATGATAATGATGATAATATTTCTAATACAATTACAAAAAAGACTCTTGGTGAGTATACTTCTAAGGATATACATACAATGGATGTAGATGAATTGAATCGTATGCTTGGTAGAGAGAATGAATCTGGTAATGTTTTACATAATGATCACTCCAAAAATTCGAAATCAAAGGTGAACGACCCAGTAAAACCAATAAGCGAGAATAATACGGAACCTATTGAAAAGAAAAAATCCGAGACATTTGTTCCTTTAAACTTACAAGAAGATCAAGATTTTCTGGATGATATACTGTAAGAAAAGGTAAAGGAAAGTTATTCTGATCTCGTATGTTTGTAGCAAAGTTATTATAGTGGGATATATTGCGTGAATAACAAACTTCTGTGTTATTATATCAACCAATTAACACTACAACATTACATCAATAGAGAGGCAATATTTCTCGACCGACCAACATTTGGTAAGAACAGTAAAAGTTGTCAGTTTTCAATACAGATAAAAAAGAAAGAAAATTCCTCGTAAACCAACAAATCGCTATTCAAGGCATAAATGGTTGGTTGGTTTACTTATCAAAAGCGATTTTAGTCATTGTTACTAAATTAGTCTCCTTTGTTAGAAAATAGAATAAAGCCAGCTTAAAAAGGATAGAGCAATGAATAAATAGGTACTTTGTGCGATCCACACTGCGCAAAGAAATAAAATACTCATCTGGCTATTTTTGTTTGTTTATTATTAATGCGCGCGGATTTTGAATTTCTCACAATCGGTTCTTAAAACGGGGCACAGATAGAAAAGAGTTTCATTAAATTGGTGCTTCACCACGTCATATTTGAACAAAAATCAGTTTTCTCCTCTACGCCCCTCGCTAGCACCTCACGTTAACCCTTCGGATGTTGTACATAGGCAGTGGCTGGGTCTGATTCACGTGTGAGGTGACGATATGTGAGGCAATAACGGTTTATATGACACATTAAGCAAGGGATAGGCGGGACTATTAATTACTAATGGTCAAATTTATATATAAGGACGGTGTGTGAACTATATTTCTCGACTTGCTTTGATATTCTCTTCGGTTTAGAAAGTTTTTCTTTTTTTTTTCAAGTCAGAAGGTTTAATACACACACACGCTTTAAATTTTCCCTATTATTAATATTTTAACACACATTCAATTTAATAATGTCTGAATTTGAAACAAGAACAAATTATAGGACACAAATAGAGCAACAGTTGCTCAAAAATAGAGCACAGTTAAATTCTTTAGATTATGAAGGTTCACAATTGAAACCTGGTTTTAGAACTAGTCTAGATGAAACACCTGTAGAGATGGATCCTGAGTCAAAGATTTTTTATTTTGATATAGATAATACTCTATATAGGAGATCTACAGGGATTCAAGAGATGATGCAAGATGCAATATATCATTATGTGCGTAATGAATTGAGTATTCCACCAAGAACTGCAAATTATATTATGAATACATATTACAAACAATACGGCTTAATGGCTGCAGGTTTAGTACAAAATTTTAATATTGATCCTTTAAAATATAACATGATGGTTGATGATTCATTAGAAATTGGTCATATTTTAAAACCCGATTTGAAACTGAGAAAAGTTTTACTACAATTGAAAGAAGATAATCAAATTGATAAATTGTGGTTATGTACTAATGCTTATGTAAATCATGCAGTTCGTTGTATTAAATTATTAGGTATTGCAGATTTATTTGATGGTATTACATTCACTCAATATGAATCTTCATCAAGAGAAATTATTTGTAAACCTGATCATAGATTTTTTGAAAGAGTGAAAAGAGAAAGTGGATTAGGTGATTGGAATAATGCATTTTTCATTGATGACAGTTTCGCCAATATTCAATCTGCTGCAGCATTAGGAATGAATAAATGTTTTCTAGTAACAGAAACCACCACAGATGATGGAAGTAAATTACGTGAACTAAAAAGCATAGATGATCCAGATGAAAAAGAAATGGAAAAAGGTTTATTAGGGAACGTAGTTGTGGTTAATAGTGTACTAGATTTACCAAAAGCAGAACCACAACTATTTATTTAATTATTACATCATTTATCGTCATTATCGTCATTGCATAGTAATATATATATATATATATATATAGATAGATTTTAATTCAATTATATATGTCATATTTAGATCATCATTTTTTTTAATACATTCATTAACTTTTAACCATGGAATATAAATTTAACAAGACCTTTATTAAAGAGATCTCTACATCTGAAGTAGTATTGCTTGACATATCATAAATACATTCCTTAAAATATTTATGTGCAGGATTTTTTTCTAATGCATCTATTTGATTTGTCGTTTCATTAGGTTTAAATGGTAATAATTGGGAACCATAGATAAACATCACAAAATATAGTAAACTTTCATACATTCTTTCATCCATCAATGTATTAAACTTGGAAATAATATTATTGATGTCATCTTTAAAATAATGTGATACTAAAGCGTTTTTAAGTTCAGGTATTAATGTTGTTAAACGATTTATCATAAAATATTTTTTCTTATCTAAACCCATAAATATTTCGTCTATGATTTTAAGAATAGTATCGGGTGAATCACCAGCTAATAAATCATGTGAAATGACGCCTTTGTATATTGATGTACATATCAAAGGATTAATATCAATCGATTCATAAACATTTCTATCTAATATAAAACATATGAAGAATTTCACAGCATTATGTTTTGTAGGTTTATCTATCCACGTATCTCTAGAAATCTGTCGTAATGAGCTACAAATGTGATCTAACATATATCCAACAGGGAATATTCTGCAATAACTATCATATCTGTCTAAATCTATATCTGATATTGTAAAATTTGTATCATTTTCGTTAATTTCACACCCAATGGCAGACATCAATGATGACACCGAACCTGGCTCTAATGAATCTGCACAATTTTTCCTTATAAAATGCCAATCTTGAAACTTATTTGTAATATTTTCATGAATAATAACATCTATTAAACTTTTTTTAACTATTTTGGTATCAATGACTTCTTTAAATAATAAGTCTTTTCTTCCATTTAATTGTTTTTGTATTTCACTATCATGCTTTGATATTGGTGATTGATGTATTAACGATTGCATAGAATTTAATTTCAACATATTTGCAGATAATTCTTTCTCACTTAACCCAGCAAGTTTAGATTCTTGTACTTGTATAAACCCTTTTGGGTTTTGCTGATTATTTACTCTGAATGTGGTATTCCTATCTAGCCTTGGTCTTTTTGTTCTTGGTTGAACGAGGTCATCTCCCTCCGAGCCAGTCTCTTCCTTCCCCTTATCATCCTCGTCATCTTCAGTAGAATCACTCAATTCAGTACCTTCATTGAACGCAACGATCTTATCAGATTCATCATCAGAGGATTCCTGTGAATCAGATACAACTGCACTAAGATTCAATGACGTCGAACGTCTATCCGCACTAGCACTATGGAATGATTCTTCGTCAGATGTCATTCTTTTTTTTTTTGAGGATTATGAATATGGTTCAGAGGTTATCTGATAATCTTTATTCTGTTTATAGTTACCAGTACTTGAATATGGAAATTTTTCACTTTATTTGCTTTAATATCACTTGTTTACATGGAAAATCAAAAAAAGAGAAGTACGCGATGAGCTAACTATAACAGAGAGGACAAATCGAGTAAAATTTTCAGCCTAATCTATATTTATATAATTCTTGATAAGAATGATACATTGACCTAGGAAGCTAGTTAGGTCCCAAATCTTTTTGATCCACATATATATATATATATATATATAGGGTTCTACAAATACGAACACATCTCTTCTTAATAAATAAAATCTTGCAAGAAATTGTCTAGAATAAACTGGTTTTCTTTCTTCGACAGATTGCAAACATACAACACAACGATCCCAACTACTACCAACTTGCACTATGTAACACCCTACCTGCTCACCCAGCTCTTCCTTGACTTGCCCAAACTAACAGCCTCTTCTTCTACAGAGAGAGTCACTGGAAATAAATGAATCATATCAACAAACGACCACAATAATATCCACACAATTTTTTTATCGCCCGTCGCCTTCCCGGTAATTGTCAGAGAAGAAAACAAATTCAATTTTTCTCTTTTGGCTTTGGGAGAAAACCGCTAAATAAATTAATTTCATTGAAAGAAGAGAGATGGGTAAAATATATAGAAACAGGGCACAGGTCATATCTATACAGATAGATATACAACAAAGGAACTCGAACGTTATATAGTAGTATCCCGTTATCGAGAGACAGTTAATACAGTTCAATCAATTGAACAGACGTTTTTCTATTGGAGGAGCCTCGCTTTTTTTTTTCAGTACGGTTGAGGTTAGTATTAGAACACTGCATATAAGAAAAATTTTGCCTTGCCAAGAAACGTATTTAATATTAAAATCGATTTATTCCAGATCACAAATACACTTATATTCATAAATTTTACCTTTACTCCTCGTTAATCTTTTTTTTACAAAAAAATTTGCTTAAAATGTCTGAACATAATAATAAAAACAATAGCATAAAGGATGATGATGACTTTCATAGTCTCTTTGGTACCGATACAAATTTCGATAATTATTTAAATTTATCATCAAATCAAAATTTGACCACGGCTGGTCAACCAAATAATGGTAATAATAATGGATTTGATTCTATGTTAGAAGTATTACCCGATGATATTAATTTTAGTTCATTTTTCACACCTCTACCGACTGATGAAGATGATAATTTAAGTTTAGTCTCTGATAGAAGTAAAAATGATCCATCCAGAGTCACGCATACTCCTATAGATTCTACAACACAATCGAGAAATCAATCTAGTCATAGTGTTCAACCTTCACCAGCTGTTAAATATGAAAGTATATTTCATCAAATATCATCTCAAGATAATATTTCTAATAATGTTAAAAATAATAATAATAATCATAATGGAGATTCTTTGAATAATTCAAATATAGTAATGACTCAACCTATAGATATTGCAAATCAACAAAATGGTGAAATTGCAGGATTATGGGATTTTAATGTTGATACTTTACAAATGACACCAGGAAATTCAAGTGATTCAGCTACAATTAGTGCTCCTAATAGTTATAATTCAAGTAATTTACAAATGTCATCAAGTCATAATGCTAATTCGTTCAATCAATTTAAAACTCTGACAAGTCATGCTTTAACGGGTCAGGGGCAAAAGACAACAACATTATTTCAAACATCTCAACAAAATGGTATACCGTCATCTTCCTATTCTAATTCTAATATGAATTCTATATTTAACAATAACAACAATAATAGTGGGAACCACGCTAATTCTTTTAATATTTACAATATACCGAGTGGGTCTAACAATAATAATAATATGAGTAATATAATTAGCTCCTCTTCATCAATGGGATTAGCTTCTTCCAATAATAACACCAGTAATAATATCCAGAATAATGGCAAATCTAATAGTAGTAACAACAATTCACAATCAATGTTCAGGCAATCGTCACGTAAATCATCCATGTCACAGTTATCTACAAACCTTGTAACAACAGATAAAGGTATATCTATACCGTTAAGTTCCACAAATACAAATAATTCAATTAGAAAGAATCAAATGCAAAGGCAATTATCATCAACTTCGTTGACAAATCTAAATAAACGTACATCTTCCATTTCAGATATTTCAACAAGTGCAAATAATTCTTCCATATTAAATAGGAAACCACCTGTACAATGTTTCAATTGTAAGACATACAAGACTCCTCTATGGAGAAGAGATCCTAATGGAAGAACTTTATGTAACGCTTGTGGGTTATTCCAAAAACTTCATGGTACAATGAGACCTTTATCTCTTAAATCTGATGTTATAAAGAAAAGAAATACAAAGAAAAGAACAAAAAAGGCTCTGGCTACCCAGAATCAGGCTCAGGTACAGGCACAAATTCAAGGTCAAAATCAAGTTCATATCGAGTCGGCAATGAAACTGGACAATTCAGTACAAGGTTCCCTGGATATTCAAGAAAATGTGATTTTCGAAGATAAACAGAGTAACATACGAAGAAATTTTGCACCTCCTTCTATATCAAACGCAACAGCAACCACTGCAATGACTAGAGCCGCAGCGCAATCAAACATCTCGAAAGCAAGAAATCGTGGATCATTTACTGGTAGTAATCCATCTGGTCCATCTTCTGTGTTTAATATGAGAATGACGGAAGAAATACATTCCAATGATCCAAGAAGTTATTCTAATCAAACAGGTATGTTAGGTAGAGGAGGAGGTAATAGAGTGGCTATGTCTCCTGCAACATCTTCAAATGATCTTTCTCAATTCAATAATACCAATCAAACTAATAATAATTCAGTGAAAATGAACAGAAGAGGTAGTACATCATCCAACACTTCTAGTAGATCGTCGTCATCACGCTCAATGATTCCTATATTACCAAAACCTTCTAATTCTGGTGCAGGGTACTCAAATTCGAATAATAATAGTACCACATCTTCACCAAGGGTAGTCTCTAATGGTTATCCATTTGCATCTAATTCTCCAATACAAACAGGATTGTTTTCAAGTTCGGCAGGCAGAAATGGTATTTCAATACCACGTCGTAAAATGTCACGTAATGCATCACATTCATCGTCGTTTATGGCGGCATCCTTACAACAGCTTCAACAACAAGGAATGACCTCTAAACAGGCACAGCAATCTGGTAATCAAATACAACAGGATTCAGGTAGGATGCAGAGTAGTACAGTAACGCCATCACCTATGAGAGAAAATTATGATATGTTTACCCATGATAACAATCAAAGTATATTTCAAAGAGATAATGTAAATTCCCAAACGAATCTAGAATCATTTTCTTACCAGACCAAGACTGATAAATCACATACATCACTATTATCACAACAGTTAAGTGATTCTAGTAACAATACAACTACAAATGCTAACTTAACTACTAAAAATGGACCTGCCCATCAACAAGAGCATCCTGACGGTTCAAATAATGTATCTGCTAATGAGCTCGATTGGCTTAAATTTGGTATTTAGTGTGCAACTCACTAAAATTTATAGAATGTAATATTCCATGATATTTAAGTATGTAATGTATAGAAATTGAGAATAATATAGATATTCCATATTCCTTTTAAAGTTAGTACCTTCCTCTGATTTAATTTATACTATTTTTTATATATATTAGCGATGCCTTGTTAGCAAAATATGTCGTAAACACTTAAAAACAAATGCCAAGTATGCTGTGTTCTAGTCATGAACACAATAACCAACACGTAAACTACACAGAGGGGATAATTTAAGTTACCATGGGAGTTCCACAGATATGGGAACTTATCAGAGAACACCAGCAAGAGCCAACCCCTCGATATCCAGTGGGTGTAGCATTACCAGGAAAACGAATTGCAATAGATGCATATCATATATTATTTGAATGTGGTTTCTTTAATAGAACTGAAAATATTCAGGATTTAAGTAAACCGATACTTAATCTTACACATAGGCTAAAAGAATTGGTTGCTCTTGATTTGTGGTTTTTGTTAGTTTTCGACGGTTGTGATAAACCTACGAAAATTCGAAGAACATCTAAACAAGGGAAGTCTACTGGGCAAGAGTATATAAATGATTCCTCTGACGTTCTTGTGGATAGTGTTAGTGATCCTATACTGAACGTGATTCATCAAATTTTAAACAAACTCAATATTTCATGGGTTACGACAACAGGAGAAGGTGAGGCCTACTGTTGTTATCTGCAAAGCAATCTTCATGTAGTTGACTATGTTTGGAGTAACGATTCAGATTGTTTTATATTTGGAGGAGATAAAATCCTGAAGAATTATTCTCGACAGTTTGAAGATGTAGGAGTAACATCTGAATATAACAAGTATTTTGATAAGCAGAAAAATAATTACATTACGTTGGTGGATTATCAAGATCTGGTTGATAACCACCTTATGTTAAACAAGCAACAATTATTACTTTATAGTATATTATTAGGCGCAGATTACAACACGGGAGTTAAAGGTTTGGGAAAGGTGAAAAGTTTAAAGATTGTTGAACATAAGGAACCAAATTTTGGTCAATTATTTCATGATATATTTAATGATATCGATGACACAAATAAATTACAGAAAGAAGTTGAATATGAGAGATTTCAAAAGACTGTGTATCAATACTGTCAAAAACATACTAAGTCCCTTTTTGGCAAAAATTACGGTGGTAGTTTATTGAGTACTGATAAAGATAATTTTGAAGGCTGGCCTTCGATTGATATTGTGCTTCATTATTTCCACCCAAGTATGAACAAAGTCTTTAACGATAGTGTCCTAGAACCTACATATTCAAATATTAATAGAAGTCAAGGTTATGATAGAATTGATTTTCTTGCATTGAAGGATCTATTTCAAAAATATGAATTTGGTAACATCACGAATTTTGATAGATGGTTTCATAATACCATGCATGAGATGTTCTTATTAAAATATATACTTTATGGGCAGAATGATGGGGTCGATGCTGAAACTTTAAGACATAATGTTAAGATCACAGAGGAAAAAAATGAATTCGTTAATAATATTAACCGAGATATATCATATTGGAAAGTACGTTATAATTCATTTTTACGAGGTGTGATATATAGAGGGAATGAAGGGAGCCCTTCCAAGAGAAGTCCGACAAGAAGTCCGGTACGATCACCTAAGAATAGTCCTACAAAGAGTCCCACAAAGAGTCCAACTAGAAGTCCAACTAAGAGGCAAATTGACATCTTAGAATATCCATACGGTATGTGGATTGCAAAAAATTGTATACCGGATAATCATCCTCTAGTTTTAGATTTCCAAGATAGAGAAACAATGAGATTGGAGCAGGAACTGCAAAAGAAACAAGCTAAGAATAAAAATATGTCCCCCAAGAAAAGATTGAATCAATATAAACAAAGTACAACTTTAGATTCTTTTTTCAAAAGGAGTTCTACGCCAATCTTGAGCTCTGCCAGAATGTCAGAAAGTCCACAACCAATAATCATGAACAAACTCAATGGTATTAGGAAAAGATTATTTGTTGAAAACGATGAAACAGAGAGTGATACAAATAATGAATCAACTGCGATTTTACCTAAGGCTCAACAACAAATAAGTACCGTCCCCAATCATTCAGATACTGAAGACACAGACGATTCTTTAATTATACTTGAGGAAATATCAGTACTGCCAAGGACCCCATTCGAAAGGCCTGTTACGACCATTTCTCCTACAAAGAGGCACAAACAATCGAACAACATTGTTAACTCCATAGAATATAATGATAATTTAAAAATTCGAACACCTGAAAAGAACCGAATTAGAGAGTTGCCTCCAAGAGTTAACTCTAATATAAGTGTATTAGATGAAATGTTCAATAGTAATGCTACTGGAGTTATAGAATCACCGAAAAAACCACCATTTCTGGCTAGAACAGATACATTCGGGTCCACTACCTCAAAACGTTCGATATTAGACGATATAAATTGTGAACTCGATGAAATGGTCAAGGAGATGAATGAAAACGACACAGATTCGACATTGTCAACCGTGTCAGACAATGATGACTCAGCCAAGAATAGAATACAAGAGGATGCCTTCAACGAGAGTGACGATCAACTTTTCGACTTGTAATTAAATTGCATATTTCATGAACAAAACAACCGGCATACTTGATGGAATATTATCATAACATTAGTTAACCCAGGTATTGGTTAGAAATAGTCCTTGTTGTTAATGTGTGTTTTCCACAGTTTTGTACGTCTGCAATTTCCAGTTTTCCGTTGAGTCTCTAAATTGTGAGAGTTTTATGTAAGCACCCATCGCGATGAGCGAAATATGGAAGAAGTGAAAGAGTTTTTAAGGAAGAGCGAAGAAGAGAGAGGGACAAAAATTGACTAGGACACCTGCGAAACTGTGGGCAACGAAATCATGTTAAGGACAGAAAGGAACACATAAGTGTGTGAACTATTACGTAAGGAGAATACCCAATACCTAATACCTGATTATCTTGAGTATATAAACTGGCTTAAATCCAATTTCAATATAAATATTCATCGAAGTTCAGTTTCCTAATCTAGAGAACTACATTATTCTACATAGGCAATAAAGACAATACCTTATACAAAAAAATAAATACCACTAAAATGAGCGCCACTTTACTAGCTAAGAATATTAAATTCAACCCTTCTACTGATAAACTATTAACTGTTGCCGCTGGTTGTTACTGGGGTACTGAGCATGTTTTCAGAAAACATTTAGGTGATAGAATCAACGATTGTAAAGTTGGTTTTGCTAATGGTAATGATGAAAAGAAAGATTTAGGTGACTCTATATCTTATAAGAGAGTAAAACAAGGTGATACAAATTTTGCTGAAGTTTTACAGATATCATATAATCCAAAAGTGATCACTTTGAAAGAACTTGTAGATTTTTTCTTTAGAATTCATGATCCAACTACTGTTAATTCTCAAGGTCCAGATGTTGGAACTCAATACAGAAGTGCCTTATATGCTCATTCCCCAGAAGATCTAACTGAAATTAAGGCATTAAAGGAACAATGGCAACCAAAATGGGGTAACAAAATTGTCACTACTGTCGAATTGATCAAGAACTTTTATGAAGCTGAAGATTACCATCAATTATACTTGGACAAAAACCCAGAAGGTTACGCTTGTCCAACTCATTTCGTTAGAGATATTTAAATTATACATAAGTAATAAATAATACATAATAATATTAATAAATTTTTGGTACCATGTTGAAGATATTTTATTAAAAAAGGTTTTATAAATATAAATATAGATATTTAAAATTTTATTTTAATCCCAATAAAATATACTGTTGTGAATATACAAGTAAAAATATGCAGGAAAACCGTTAACGTGAATAATAATAAACAGAAAATAAAAGGAAATGAAAAATGATTTTAGTAATGGATATTAGCCGTTAGAAAAATGAATACAAGTATCGAATAGAAAAACAGATGAGCAATGAAAAAAGTAAATCGGTAAATTCATTTGAAACTTTTTCAGTTGAGTGAAAAGTAACGAAGATATCAATTTTTTATATTTTGTCACTAATATAAACAAATTATTATTGTTTTAATTGCTTAGTATCTGTAATGGTCAGCCTTGTATGGACCTTCCTTAGATAGGGCTAAGTAGTCAGATTGAGCAGTAGATAATTCAGTCAAATGGACACCTAGGTTACCTAAATGGAATCTAGCGACAGATTCATCTAGAATCTTTGGTAGGACATGGACACCAATAGAGAAAGGACCAGTCTTTTGGAATTCGATATGTTTGTTTCTGAATTCAGCGTCATCAGCTCTGAATAAAGCAATTTGAGCTAGAACTTGGTTAGAGAAAGAACAAGACATAACGAAGGAGGAGTGACCAGTAGCACAACCTAAGTTGACTAATCTACCAGCAGCCAATAAGATAATGTGTCTACCGGAGGATAGTAAGTAACGGTCAACTTGAGGTTTGATGTTGATACATTCCTTAGCGTTGGCGTTTAACCAAGCAACATCGATTTCAATATCGAAATGACCAATGTTACAAACGATGGCATCTTCTGGCATTTGTAGGAAATGTTCAGCGTTGATAATATCTCTACAACCAGTGGTAGTGACAAAGACTTGACCTTGAGAAGAAGCTTCATCCATGGTGACAACTTGGTAACCTTCCATAGCAGCTTGTAAAGCATTAATTGGATCGATTTCAGTGATCAAGACACGAGCCCCCATACCTCTTAAAGCGGCGGCACAACCCTTACCGACATCACCGTAACCAGCGACAACAGCAACTTTACCGGCCAACATAACATCGGTGGCTCTCTTAATACCATCGATCAAAGATTCTCTACAACCGTACAAGTTATCGAACTTGGACTTAGTGACAGAGTCATTAACGTTGATAGCTGGAACCTTCAAAGTACCTTCCTTAACCATCTTGTATAAGTTGTGAACACCAGTGGTAGTTTCTTCAGATAAACCGTAACAACCTTCAAGCATTTCTGGGTGCTTGTTGGTGACAATAGAGGTCAAATCACCACCATCATCTAGAATCAAGTTCAATTTTTGACCGTCCTTGAAAGCGTATAATTGTTGTTCAATACACCATTCGTATTCTTCTTCGGTTTCACCCTTCCAAGCAAAGACTGGGACACCGGAGGCAGCAATGGCAGCAGCGGCGTGGTCTTGAGTGGAGTAAATGTTACAGGAGGACCAGGTGACTTCAGCACCTAGAGCAACCAAAGTTTCAATCAAAACAGCGGTTTGAATGGTCATATGTAGACAACCAGCAATTCTAGCACCCTTTAAAGGTTGAACGGCACCGTAAGCCTTTCTGATGGCCATTAGACCTGGCATTTCATGTTCGGCTAATTCGATTTCCTTTCTACCGAAGGCAGCTAAGGAGATATCAGCAATCTTATAGTTTTGAGCTGGAGCAGACATTATGATGTATGTGTGTGATTTTTAAACGAGAAACAAAAAAAGGTATTTAGTTGTTTGAAGCTTACTCTTTTTCTAAATAAAAGTTAAAGTAAAAATACTATTCAATAATTAAAAACTATATACCTATCAAGAAACTATAAAAAGGGAGCTCTGACTATTCCAGTTCTTTCTTGTCCCTTGCTTATATATGTATATGATTGATGAATATACGAGTAAGGCCATCGAGAAAGAAAAATTTTCAGTTCAAAATTTTTGCGATAAAAAATTTCTTTCTTTTTTTTGGGCTCGTTTGGCTGTCGTTGCTGCTGGCTGGTGAGGGACGGCATTTCGTACGGCGCGGAGCGGTCAGTTTCGCCGCAGGAAACTGTGGGGTGTGCGGGTGTTGCACACCGGTCACGTGCTCGATAGAATCAACGAAATAATGAATTCCGATAAACCATGTTCAATTCATCAAACGATGATGATGATGATGATGATATGGAGGTTAAATTAGTTCCTTCGTTATGGTTTCTGCTAGATCTGAAGCTACGTTGCGTTCCTTGAGGTCCCGTTGCTCGAAGTTGTTGTTTGCTAATTGTAATAGTTGAGCTATCTTTGTGTGGTACGAGTTGATTCTGTCGTTCAATTGAGTCACTGTCACCTTCATGTATTGGACCAAAGTGTCTTGAAATACAGGTTCCTGTGCTAGGTTGTCTCTCATTGCGATGATACTCTCCCGGAGTTTCTTGAAATGGCCCCATTTGTCTAATTCAAAACGATCATCGTTACCACCGTGTATATCTCCATAAGCCATTCGTTTGGACCATTCGGTGACCATGACATCTCCCCATTCTTCGTATACTTCAACATGCTCATCTCTTTGTTTCTCTAGTTCTCTGATTGTCAATTTACGTAATTTACGTAAATTGGCCAAAGTCTCTAAACGATGTTGTTTTAGTAATTGATTTAAATTATCGAATCTTGATGCAATATAAGGTCTCGTAATGTATGTGTTTTCAGAGTTTAAGTATACAATTTCATTTGTGATAGGATCCAATGTTGCAGAAGTATCAATATCATCAACACTTTGATGTAATTGAACTAATTGAGAATCGAAATCTTGAAACAAATTTTGATAATCCATTGTATATGAAACATTATAATTATAAGAAGTTTCATTAATTAAAAATTCGTTATCTTTGTGTAGATTTGTAATAATAGTATGCAATTTCGTAGTGATGGCTCTTGACCAAGCTTTAAATTCTCTTTGAACAAGATCTGTTTGATTTGATGGTGTCATATCATCAAATAACAATAATTGACTTACTATCTTAGATGGCGGGGTAGCAGTAGCACGAGTCTCTCTAGTAACATTAACCTCACGTGTAAGTTCTAATTCCATCTCATCCAGGCTATGTTGATCATCTTCCACAGAGAGATCTAACCATTTTAATTTATTTTCTTCATCTTCATCTTCTTCCATGACGATCTCGCTATTTTTAACAGTAAATGTGCCATTGGTAGTCATCCAATCAATATCTTCATTTGTGCCGACTAATTTTGCAGTTAAATCCTGTAAACAGAATTGTAACCAACGAACCAAGTTTGAAATTGGTCCCAATTTTAGATGTAACTTGGCGCAATGATGATTTCTCTTACACCAACAGTCAATTTTAAAGAAAATGGCTTCTAACCATTTATGTATTTCATTCCATATCCTAACCCACATAGATTTAGTAGAAGCACACCATGGTGCCACGTATATTTGCAATTCGTTCAATGGTTCGATCGTAAGGACATCGTTCCATGAATACATATGTGGATCTCTGGTGAAATCCAGTGAGATCGAATATGGACTGTTCATCATTGTATATATTAAGCATAGGCTCAGAGGTACGAGCCCTACCATGGTCCATACAGGCCACTTCATCCAGTGTGAAGACACTTTCATGCTATACTCTTTAAATAGATTCTTACCTGTTTGTTGAATGGAACTAATTAGAATGGATATCTCCTGTATTTTTTACTTTATTTGTATTATTCCTTATATATGTATATGCAAACATAGAAACGCATCGGCTTATTAATTAAGTAAGTGAAGCATAGTGAAAATGGCGCAAAAATAGATCAAACCAGCCACTTCTACTTAATTCAATTACATAAAGTTGGGGAAAGACAGAAGTAAATATCGCGGAGATACTTTATAACCTTACCAATTAGTATTTACATGGTGTATATTTATATATGATAAGTCTAGCCTGTTCTGTCTGTGTTGGTCTTTAGTTCAATGTTTCAGTCACGGGCAGTCCGTTAGAATCTTGGAAAGAATGGCATTAAGGTCTTGATATTTACCAAATGAGATTGTCTAGCAAGTGTAGTGTACTAATACATTAGTAACCTTATATAACTATATCTGCGAGTTATCTGCCAACAAGTGTATAAGCAAGATGATATTACAACTATCGAGTGTTTCTAGGGGAGAAAGTACCATTTTGAAATATCAATGCAAAGTGAAAATAGTCTCTCACTCTGTACAACCCAAGAGAGTATCTTGTCTTGGTGTGAAGTCTATGACCAAACATCTCCCACTCTTAAAGTAAACATGATCCATTACTTGGGGGTCTGCACTGGTCTCTGTTCCAGCTCTATACTTTCAGTAAAATAACCACTTTAACTATGTCGTATGCAGTGACCAACCCAAAACTGTTTCGATGAGGACCGCGAGCGGGAAATTTGAGCAAAATGGATAACAACAATAGAGAGGGGACCCCCCATCCAGTAAGAGTTAGAGATTGAGACAGAGAACGGTGGGATTAGTAAAAAGTTTTGACAGTGTTTTACTATTAAAGATAAATTTATCAATTTGTCAGTTCTGTTTACAGATTTAGATATATAAATATTATTGCTGGTTAGTTATATCTACCACTATAACAACATTCAACTAACTTGTATATACACCGCAGCATGTCCGCCTGGCCCTTTGGACAGAATAGCAGCGGTACCACCACTGGACCGTCGCTTATAAATAAAACACTCGATGAGTATTTCCATGTTCTAGAGCATCTACAATTACCTGAAGGTCAGTTACCTCCATCTGTTCAACGTTGCAACGTTGACGGTGATGGTAATGACTATGATGATGACGAAACCGAAAATAATAATTCTAATAGCTTGCTCAATACTATTCATGAGAATGAACCAATGGTTGCTCATGAGATATCTGCCACAAATAGGACTCCCTTGAAGAGAGATCGAACTGGAGATGAAGATGATGAAAGAGAAAAACATGATGAGGATAAAGATAAAGCTCCCGTATATGGAATTCATGATTTGGATTCCAGATTCATTGAGAAGATATTGATAGATTCAGAATTACTTAATGAACTAAATAGACAAAATAATAAATTGTTAGATTTCTTATGCTATGGAATATTTTATGATAATTCACAATCTAAAATACCTAATTTACAATTTTTAATTGATCAATTAATAATTTGTTGTGATTCTATTGATCCTAATGACAATGATATATCATTGATTCCAAAGGATGATCAATTTCTTTCTAATGATGCAGATAAAATTGAAACAGAATCACAAAGTACAAAATTCTTAAATCGAGCTACTATTATATCAGAAATTTTTTCATCTGATATTTGGTTAATTACAGAGACATTAATGAAACACAAACCTTACCTTGACAAAATTTGGTCTTTGTTAATTCATCCAAATTTTAATTCTGAAAAATCTCCAATTGTTTCAATATTCATTAAGATTAATCAAAATTTATTATTCTCTAAACAGGATGATTATTTACAATTCATCCTAACACATAATACTTTAGTTGATGATGTATTAAACCATATTGATATATCCATGATAATGGATTTTTTACTTAAATTAATTGGTTCAGATAGAATAGATTCACCAACTGGAATCATCACTTTATTGACAAGGCAGCAGATGATTCCTAAATTATTGCAATTCCTTAATAATGATCAATATGGTAGTGATGTTCAAGCATATGTTGGAGATTTCTTAAAAGCAATCATTGCCATTTCTGCAAATGCTCCGTTGGATGATGTCTCTGTAGGTCCCAATGATTTGACTCGTGAATTAGCATCACCACAAGCAATCGATATGTTAACCAATATAATGATACGAGAAAGAGGTGCTGCATTAAATATTGCAGTTTCTGTTGTAATAGAATTGATAAGGAAAAATAATTCTGATTATGATCAAATTAACTTATTGACTACGACATTAAGAGAAAATCCACCTACTGATAGAGATCCTATTTATTTAGGTTATTTATTGAGACGATTCACTCAATGTTTACCTGAATTATTTCAAATCATATTGGATATTGAATTAGATGATTCTCTACCAACGCGAGAGAATCAATTGGGTGAAACATTCAAACCTTTAGGGTTTGAAAGATTTAAAATTGTGGAACTAATTGCAGAATTATTACATTGTTCAAATATGGGATTGATGAATTCGATGAGAGCTGAAAGAATTGCACAAAAGAGAGATCAATATAGAGAACTTTTTCTTCAAGATAATTGCATCACTAATTCAAATATTCATATGGTTTCAACGCTACATAGACTCTCTATTAATGAAGATGATACTAATGACGTCATTGTTAGTAATGAAAATAACAATGTCATCGATGATAATGATAACAATAATAAAAATATAAATATAAATAATGGTATACCGGCAACTTCCCAATCTTCCAAGATTACGAAGGAAGAACAATTGGAAAATTTCTTAAATGAGAATAACGGTGATGAAGGAGAAGAAGTGGATGAATCATTTGATATACCATACGTTAAGGATACTCAAAACGAAAAATTAAGAAAATCTCCTACAATTGGGGACTATTATAAAATATCTCTGTACGATAATTATATTATCCCAAGGATTTTACTTCTTTTCTTAAAATATCCATGGAATAATTTTTGGCATAATGTAATATTTGATATTATTCAACAAATATTTAATGGAAGAATGGATTTTTCTTATAATTCTTTCTTAGTTTACTCTCTATTTGATATCAAAGGTGCAAATCAATTTAATAATATGGAGCCAAAGCAAACAAGTGACGAACAATTAGATATATCAAATTTCAAAATAACTACCGATTTTATTCTGAGAGGCTATCAAAATTCTTATAGATTTTATGATACAAAAAATATGAATTTAGGATTTATGGGTCACTTAGTATTAATTGCAGAAGAGGTGGTAAAATTTTCAAAACTGTATAAAGTGGAACTGATCTCCCCTGATATTTTTAAATGTTTACAAGATGAAGATTGGCAATATTATTCGGAAGAAGTTTTGAACGATACAAGAATGATGTACTCTAAGATTCTTGGTGGAGGAACTTATGTGGAAGATGGTAATGGTAATATTATCCCACAATTGCCAAATTCTTCCTATAATGGAGACGATGATTCTTCACACTCTCTAGGGGATAACGATAATGATAATGGGATTAATGGTGATGAAAATATGGGTGGTGGATTGGTCAATGTAGAATCTCTAGAGGAACAATTGTCTACTGAATCAGACCTTCATTTCAAACTAAAACAAATGTTGATCTCAAGATCGCGAGCAGATGTAGATGAAGCCAATGAGAAAAACGGGGTTATTATACTTGGACCACCACCAACATCAACTGATTGAAAATCTGAGAGCAAAAAGACAAATTTATATATATTTACATCGTGTATGCATATGGCAAAGGAAAAATTGATGATTAAAATAAAACAAAATCCCTGCATATATTATTATTAACCACATATGGATACGTATGCTAGTGAGACAATGATCTTGACGCTTTATTTATGTTGTTGGAATATTAACGTTTAATATCAGTGTTTATGTAATTAGACTATGAAGAAGCTGTAATTATTATTATACATTTTATTTAATTTTTCTTATTACTTTTTGATCCCAACTTGGTACCTTTGGCGATGGTATTATCGTTGTCGCCTGGTGTCTTGTTTAATACCTTACCAAGAGAAGTATTCCATAGACCTTTTGGAATTTTAAACAATATCGTATTGGTAATGGAAGGAATTGGAATGTCATCAGACGTAATTAGTGACTCAGTTTCGTCATCTTCCATTAGGTAGACCGATCCGAACTTGATGTGTAGATTCTTACCTTCATCTTCTTCATGTTGTTTAAATGTTAACTTAGTTTCACCTAGACCATTACTGGTATCTTGTTCCTTACATTGTTGAATAAATGACTCAATTCTTTTTACTTGAGCCTTGTATTGGATTCTCAAAATTACGTAGTGAATGAAACTAGCAGCAAGAAATATGAAACTTAGAATAAACCAAGTCTGTGGCTGAACTCTTTTGAAGAAGAACCCACCTTTCTTGAAGTTATAATCAGGAAATCCATTCTTTAGATAATAATCGTATGTTTTCCTTGTGTCATCGTTAGATAAAATCTGTGTAGCCAGATTCAAACGAGAATATAAAGTCTTGTATTTCTTGTTCTTATCTGGGTGATATTTTCTGGATAGTTTTCTTAAGTTTTTGGTGATTTCCTTCGACGTTGACTTTTGGCCATTTGGTAGTTTCAATAGTTTGTAGAAGTTAATCTTTTCACCATATTTCTTTTGTAATTCCTGATGTAATTGAAAAATTTCAATTTCAGACGCTGTAAATGCGTATGCCATTGAGCCCAACAGGGCAACAGACAGCACAAACTTAATATGGTTGCTGTTCATTGAGTACTATTGGTTGAGGTGTTTTTAGGGTGGTAGTAATATATATTAAAAAATCTAAACCTTTTATATGTGCCTTTTTTGTTGTGATTATTAATCAGATGGTTTCCTCTTCATTTAAATATATATCAAAAAATTTCAGAACACGTCAGATTTTCGTGATCAAGGCCATGTGCCATTTTAGTGTTATAGAAGATATGTACGTGGAAGATGTAATTTGGGGATGGTAGATTAATAAAAAGGAACAGCAACCACATTTCAAGCACTAAGTTATTGAAATCGAGTTTAAATCTTTAGTGTGGTGAGATCTTTTCTTTTTGATTCTTTCATTTGTTCACAAGCTTGGAGATGGCCTGGAAGTTAACCAATAAACTGTACCAATACTATCAGTTGTCTACTAGTTTTCTATATGTAGCACTGCTCTCACGATGGATCATCATATTTCCATTAGTAGGAGTGAAATTTTTACCAGGAGGAATACATGAATTCTTGATGTATTTGTTGTTCTTTTCATCGGTGATTGAAATATTATGGTTGTTCAAGTTTCGTGGATTTACAGGTGCCTTCAGGAAGAGAACAATATATAAGGATTTGAATTTTTTATATGTGGTCCTTGTATTACATTTTCATGACGATTACGAACATGCATTAGTATTAAAGAATATCAGTTACTCGACGTTTATTGTTGGAGTGGCAATAAGTCAGGCTTACTCTCATGGTACTCAAATATTTAAAAGAGCACCGAATTACAAAAGGAAAACTCTACTGTGGAAACTTGATACATTCATTGCTTTGCCAATGTTATATTGCAGTGAGTTTGTATTACTTTTACTTAACCAAAGGTTCCCCAACTTTCATACAACAGAGTACCTAGATCAGTTCAACAAATTCATCATGATCATCTATTTCCCATTTGCATTGACCTGTTACAGGAAATATATTGCTAGAAGTTAAATAAAAAAGAAACCCCATTATATATATATATATGTACATATATACCTCAATCAAGATATATTCTATAAGCCAAGTCTTTCTGATACTTCTTTTGCTATTTCATCTGCGAAGGAATTTGCATCAGCTTCATCATTGTCCTTATCTAATGATTGATAATGTGATCTGGCATTGTTAAGCTTTTGTACAATGGAATCTAAATTATCCATATCTGAGGGTGCTTTACCTGTTCTGACAGAATTTTCCAATGATTCTTTTACCATATTAGGCCATTGATAAGTATCTATAATCTCTTTTACTCTTTCTATGCCAACAGTATCACTAAACTCATTCATTTCTTCGCTATGTAACCGTATAATTTCCAAAGATGCACCATCAACTGCTATTCGAACGTTCATGTCATCAGTTTCATCCTGGGAAAATTCATCTTTGGTATTACACCAAACTAAAAAGGATTCTTCATGTACAGTTGGACTATCTTTTTTATTCAATATGGATACTTGCTTCTGGTCAACATCATCAATAATGATTAGCCCAGCTAATGCATCTCGTAGGACATCGCACTCAGGGTCTTTAAGATCATCTAGCCATTGATCTAAAGATTCATAGCGATCAATATATAAATCGAAGTCTGCGGAATAATATTTTGTCTTCCATTGTAATCCCTTCAGTATCGAATCTGTTGCTTTGTATTCCACTGTATCGAGACACCCATCGAAAATCTTCTTGATGGTATCAAAATGATGAAAGTCAGCATTCTTGTTATAAGCTATCAATATTTTATCACGAGTCATGGTATCCAAAGTTATATTGTCGTATACTATGTAATTTTATTTTGATGATTTTTCTAGTACATAAATGGGTTGTATATTTTAATTTATGTAAATAAGCGATGTAATTTTATAATGTATTTCGCAATGTTGTTTTCTCTAAACTTAGATATGTAATATTAATAATAAATATATATCGAAAAAAATACCTGTGATATATAGAGAACTATATAAATATATATTAGTAACTATTAGTTACAGGTTTAGTTTTCTGGAGATTGAGCATAAAAATGTAAGTAAGCACCCATTAATTTAATACCATTAATAAAGTTACTAATATCCAATTTTTCATTAATTGAATGAGCACCATCATCACCACGACCCATTGGTAGAAGTAAGACAGATGTTTTCAATTCTTGTTCAAAGGTTAACGTAATTGGAATGGAGCCACCTTCTCTAGTCAAATCTGGTTCCATACCGTATACAACCTTCGTAGCTTCTGCAGCAGCAGTGAATTGAGCATTGAATGGATCAGAGACCCAGTAAGCACCATCATGGATTAATTCAGCATGGCAAGTGTTTGGTGAGCCTAACTTTGCAAAACTCTTGTTACAATGATCAACAACTAATTTAGTTAATTTTTCAGAATCCATATCTGGGACAGTTCTAATAGAGAATTTCCCACTAACTTTTGCTGGGATAACAGTCTTTGCACCTTGACCGTAGAAAGCACCTTCAACACCATGAACAGATAAAGATGGATATCTCCATCTGTGCATTAAAATATCTTCCTTAGATGTATACAAGGCAGTATTTGAACCACTAGCTTCATTTAATTCTTCAAGAGAGAAATCAATCTTTTCATAAATTTCCTTTTCCTTTTCAGTGACTGGAGCTACCATTTCATCGATACCATCGATTAAAATCTTACCTTTAGAGTCAACTAAACCTGATAGAATTTGCATTAAATCAACCATTGGTTCTGCGATAATACCACCAAATACACCAGAATGTAAATCAGCTTTTGGTCCTGAGACTACAACTTGATAATAATTACAACCTCTTAAACCATAAGTCAATACAGGTTTCTTTGTACCTAACCAATAGTTATCACTAATACATACAGCATCAACACCTTTGAAATATTGCTTGGCTTCCTTGGCGATTAATTCTTCAAGACCTAAAGATCCAGATTCTTCCATCCCTTCAAAACAAGTAATTAAATTAACTGGGAATTCAATACCAGCTTCTTTATGAGCTCTAACAACGTGTAACCAACCAGTTAATGGGCCGGTATCATCGGTGGAACCTCTACCTCTCAAAGTTTGAGTGGCTTCATCAACAACCAATTCAAATGGTTCAGTATCCCAACCATCTTCACGTTGAGCAGGTTGAACGTCGTAATGACCATAAACCAAAACGGTCTTCTTAGCTGGATCAGATCCATAACGAGATAAAACTACTGGAGGTAGTTGTAAATTAGAATCATTAACTGGAGGAGGTTGAGTACCTAACTCTTTCAATTGAATATCATGAAATCCTAGAGATTCTAATTGAGAGGCTAGAAATTTAGCCTTCTTCACTACCATAGGTCTTAAAGATTCATCACCTGAAACAGCAGGGATTTCAACAGCTTGTTTCAAAACATTGATGAAATCAGGTTTCAATTCTTCCACTTTTGGAAACAATTTATCAAAAATTGGTTGTAAAGGAGCAGGGGACATAGCGGTAGTAGTAGAAACTGTGCGAGCAATTGATTGCGGTGGTTTCTTAGCTGAAGTAGAAATTAACTTGTTAATCAAGTTCACAAACATCCAGTTAATAAGTACAAAAGCGTGATATACTGGGAGCGAAGTCTTACTAAGTCTTTGTCTTGTCTTCTTCCTACTTCTCTTCCTCCCTACATATATATATATGAATACCAGCTTGTGTGAAAAATGTATTGTGGATCGCACCTCTAAAGCCCTAACAGAAAATAAATTTCACTTTTTTTTGCTGTTGGCTTTCACCCCCAAAAAAAGTTTCAGTTTAATCTCCCAATCACTGCGAGACAACAGTGACAACAACAAGTCTGTTGTTGCTGACGATTACTGAAAATGTGTCAAAGCTGCGGTCACGTCTGTTGGTGGACGTCGTCAGCATAAGTCGCAGGACTCTCTAGTACTGAATGTGTCATCTATTCGTTGGATATTGATCGTTGGCAACATGCAGTGTGTGCTATGGCAAGAGATGAGTAATAAGAGGAACTGAGATTGATTTACTTGATATTTCTTGGAATGTGAACCTCTATGCAAGCAAGGTTGTAGTTTATCTATCTTACGTATGTAAAGTTTGGTGATAGTAGGCATAGCGGTAGTATGCAGGAATAACTATAAGAGATACATTACGATGCAATAATCTATTCAGAACTGGTAAGCGTGTGTATTCTCAGTAATATTATCTTGCAAAGCATATTCCATTTGAACTGTTTTATATTTATTCAGAGGCATTTACGAAGGATTATACAGTTTATTCCTCGTGGATCTCTTTCAAACTCGAAATTTAAGAATACGTAAGATTTAGGATATGGAAATTATTCACTTCGATAATCCATACTCTTAATATATGTTTGGTATTGGGTTATTTTTTTTGTTCATAAAAGAACCACTTTCCTTCAATTATGACCAGGTTGGACAATTCTATTTTATTATCTTGAACTACTGACAGTTCGTCGTATCGTTTATTATTTCTCTTCTCTTAATACGATTATGATATTGCTAGGGGTGGATAATTTGGATTCAGCGGACAGTTTTCATATTACTAGATTTACACTTCATTAAGTTATTCTTAGTAAATGTCACTAATTAAATAAGCACGCACTAGAAGCGATTTCCGTATATCATATTTTGATAACCCAATTATTCACATGTTACGAGAGTTGTTTCGCAACATATCTATAGGTCCTTGTGAAGAACAGGCTGGAATGAACAACGAAGTTTGGAACAAGATATAGCCACTAACGTTTTAGAGTGCTTTACTGAACGTATTCTGGTATTTATATTCTAAGATTAATGTTTATCAGAAATTGGTAAGTGATCTTATAGTTGAAAAAGGTTTAGTAGTAGAACTTTCCTACGTTATTTCATATACCACAAATTCCAAAAGAAGTTGGACAAAGATAATTAAGAACGAATATGCTAGTAATGTCTAACGTTGACAAAACAAAATATCTGGTTTGTATCCATTAGGTTGTTCGAATTGATTGCAAGAGTGTTTTAAAAATTACTAGAATCACCAACTAGAATTATACCGCGATGAAAACCCCCATATGTGTCACATGAGTATTCTAAAAATATAGTTGGAAGCTGTGAAAACCATAGTTTTAGATCAGCTGGTATTTATAATGGTGATATTACATGTCACTAAATTATCCAAACGAGCAAAAAATTATGGGTAACGTACAGACAATGTTGAATTGATAGTACCACTACAAATTAGTTATTGGTTGCCGTGGGATTCCCAATGAATTGTTAGTCGGACATTCTTAGGAAGTTAAATCGCTGTTTAGATTCTAGAATGTTTGTATATTCCTATAGAAAAGCCTAATTAATATATATGAACAGAATATTTATATAGGATTCAAAATACAGATAGTTTTTAGTGGCTTAAACGGTAAATCCTATGTACTAATGTAATTGAAGTAGTGTTCACAGGTACAAAAAGTCGTCAATGTTCTCACATATACAATTCTTCCGTCCTTTCATTCTGGTGAATCATTCTTTCGATACTTCGGTCATGTACATATCCAATACCCGTAACATCACTATAAGCGTCTGGTCCTCCCCAGTTGGTGCCGCCAAGGACTTCAATATCAGACCAGAGAAGTGATTCTGGTCTGATGGAATGATAATATATCAAATAACTTAGCGTAAATTGTTCAAGATAAAAAGATCTGTTTTTACGTGGCGTAAACTTCGATGTATCGTTCCCGAGTAATGGGGCATCTAATTTAACCCTACCATCATTTCTTATAAACTCCTTAACCTCAGTTTTCCCCTTCAATATATCAATCATATCCTTTCGTTGATAAGTCTGCACCATTTTCCAAAGATATTCGTCAACGTCTTCAAAATCACAAGCAAAAAAGACATCATTCCAATCATTCAGTACAGCTACACAACCGATGGAGTATTTGTAATCTGGGGCAATCTCTAGCAGTCTCAAGCAGGTTTCCTTTTTAGGGATATTTGGAAACCACAGGCAGGCAGGAATATACTCCTTGATGAAGTCGTCCTCGAGGTAGTTGCTCATGACAAATCTGGCTGAAATGGCCCTGTAGATCCAGTGGTTCAGTTCCAAGTCCGAGTGTCTCAATTTCCACGCAAAATAGAAACTGAAACGCACTCCTCGAACTATATAGTAAGTCAACTCATGCAGCAGACCCAATTTCAAGTTTTCTTCACAGTATTTAGCTTCCTCTATGAGTTCCTCTTCATAACAGTAGTCATCAGTAAACTTTGCACCGAAATCTTCCTTGTTAAAGTTGGCAACTAGGTTGTCAAAGTCGTAGTTATAGGCAGCATAGCAAGCCCTATAGTATCTGTCATCGATCTTATTAAGAATATCGAGGTACATTATGATAACGTCTCTTGCTTCTAAAACATCTCTTAACAATTCCTTGGATTAAAATAGTTGGTTTCCCCATACTTCCTTTTTATATTATCGAAATTTATATACGATCAAACAACCTGATTTCTTGGTTGCAAAAAAAATTGGCGGTGAAATTTTTTTTTTAAAATAAAAACAATAACATTTCTACTATATAAAGAAATAGAAACTTCTAATGCCCAAAAAGAAAAAGTACCAAGTTAACCAATAATGAGTGGTGAGATATCAATGAAACAATGGAATAAGTACTTTGCATACTCGGGAGATGTGGCTAACTACAACATTGAATATGGAGATTTCGAGTATGCCAAACACGGTGCACTGGTAAGTGCATCGTTTGCTGCTATGGTGCTGAAGAACGACGAGAAGTTCCCAAAGTCCGTGTGCAAGTCTGCAGTTTCGAATATGTTAATCAACGGTGTTGTAAATGAGTACTTTCTTGAAAAGTATACGCCATTCTGGTTGTTTGGCTACTCAATTGTAAACATTCAGGACGATCGATCTTCGGTCTATAGCATATATTGTAAACTGCACTACTCGGCACTGTTAGCCTCTTGTCTATTGGATGGTGGTTCGTACGAGAAGTTTCAAAGAAGTAATGGTATACGGTTATTTGATATTGACGTTGCCAGATTTGCGCTTCATCTGGGAAGGATGGACATTTTTGAGGACCAACTGAATTTGGCAAAGAAACATGGAAAATTTTGGAAACACTTGGATTTTGAGAAAGAGGAACAAAATAATTGGGGATATTCGACGGTTCTAATTGAGGATGTATACGAACCGTTTCCTGACCACCATCCATTGCTGAACTACGAGGAATTAAGCGTCACGGATATTTTAAATTCTACAACTGAGAATTGAACGGATTTATGCAGCATACGCGGACAGTGTGCAACCCTTTGACACACTTTCAGAAACTATATTATCCTGAATAAAATAATTTCCATCGAATAGGATAATCAACCAGAACCACGGATATTAGTGCCGGTATGGGCCATTATATATGGTTCAACTTTTTTGTTTTACATCAATATATTCTAATTATTCTTATGTAAATGTCTGCATCATTATGCTTGAACTTCAGGGGACTAAACAAGACGAATAAATATCTAGATAAAAGAAACCATAACATAGATGGTCAACTTGAAACTATGTTGACACGTACCACTGTAATTTTAGTTTCTCCTATTCCGAAGGTCCGTGTGAGATGTCAAATATCGCCCTTTATATTTTTCACAAATAATTTCGATTTTTGTTGTGAGTCTATGTCAAAAATCGGAAATGGCTGGTAAATAAATGCGTAGAGAGAGTTTAACTTGTCATTTTGGTGAACGCGTAGAAAGCGAATAATTTAGGGTCGTTTTTCTGCAAATTGTTGTGCTGCTGCGGTTTACTTACTTTGTCGTGTTGGGAGTGCAAGCGATCGTAGAAGCACTTGTCACCGGATGATTTGTTAAAGTGTATTCTAGATACACCAGGCATATAGTTTTGATTTGGCAATCAGATCGAACAAGACACTACGAATTTTCTGATATTTACTATGTGGATGGAATACATCGTGTAGTAATTCATTTCAGAACTCACTCCATGCACACTGTGTATGTCCCTCAAAGGAAGAACGCCTATACGTGTATTATCAGTTGAAAGAATAAACACAAGTAGAGCGCCACAATATTGTTTTTGTAGAGAATATGAGGTGAAGTTTTGCATCTCCTTTGCTTCATTTAGTTCTAGTTTCTTAGTGATTCTTAATTCTGGCATTTTTTTGTTATGACGATTAGTGAGCTGAGTATTTTAAGGTCATGTAATATAAGACATCCGCATGAGCATAATAATTCGTGAACAGGAACAATAATATTAACATTAATTAAATAACACATAGAATAATGTGCTCAATCACGCCACCAAATTCGTAATATATAAAGGCAAAGGTTTGGAATACATAACTTGTATAATAAATAATTCCCTTCGAAATAAAGTGAGAAGAATTATCTGTATAATAAATATGAATGAAAATGTAAACAAAATCAATGCTCAACAAGATAGATGTGAGGATTGTGTTACTAGTAATTGACCAGTTCTTTTAACTTATATAATTTACAAACTCTTAAAGTTTTTTGAAATTTTTTAGATTTATGTTTTGGTTTAATTTTGACACTTACAGCCAGACCTGCAACTACAAACGATTCTGTAAACAAAATATTTAAATGAAATTTTAAGTCACTTGGTATTAGCACTAACATTACAAGAGTTACATCTGTTGCAACATGCATTACACAGTGAATTCTTTTCTAAAGAATTCATCACATCTCTTTAAGTTCTTTGACCTATTTCCCCAAATACAGTTACTGCTTACTCAGCCTAATTCATCTCAATTAGAACATATGAGAAGAGACAACCATGACAACCTACTTTCCACATACATGTGCCTTGAACTTTGATGTAAAGTCGTTCTTTTGGTCTTTTTTATTGTAGTTTTTGTCTCCTCTGTATGGTCTCTCATAGTATAACTCATTAAAAATATAAATACTGCGGACAAATAATATAAGTCTTCCATAATAATTATTTAACATATATATAAAGAGATTTGTAAATAATTATCAAAGAAAGTGAAACGAAGGAAAAAATACAGACGAGCACTCGATTATTATCTGTCTTCCAACATGAATAAGAGTGACGACGTGTTGACACAAGTCGTTGCAGGGAGTGCAACAGCTGTGTTCAAAACTACGCTGACTCAACCATTCGAATATGTAAAGACAGTATCACAGCTCAGGAAAACAATACCAGGGATTAAACAAACAGTTGCTATTCAACCAGTGAAGACATATTTTGTTGGTTGTTCTATCCTTAATATCGGTGCTATATTGAAAACAGGTGCAAGATTTGGTACATTTGAACAAGTCTGTCAATTGATGAAGGGGCCAAATGCCACTCCGCAGACACAATTGGCAGGTTGGCAAATGGCTGTCGCAGGAATAATTACAGGCTCAGTGGAGAGTTTATGGATTATACCATTTGAAAATATTAAGACCAGAATGATAGAAAACTCGATGATTTTGAATGATCGTAATAACCAAATCGAATCACTTAAAGAGAAAAAGCCCAATTTAACCACGGATAAAACAGTTACTAATGGACCAATGAAACAGGGGAAAACGTTTCATAAAACAACACAGAGGTTTTCCTCCACAGAAGCCATGAATCCAAGGTACATGGCTTATATGCAATATGAGAAAAATCCATCTGTAGGAATGTTTAATACAATCGTAGAAACTTATAGAACAAGAGGTTTAGCTGGATTTGTTCAAGGTAGTATGCCAACAATATTGAGACAAATTGGGAACTCTATGGTTAGGTTCACAGTTTATACTTCATTGAAAAAAAAATTAGTAAACCCTGGTGAACCACTTAATGAAACAATTGCTTTTATTCTTGGGGCAACTACCTCTATTGCTGTGGTATCTTTAACTCAACCGTTAGACGTCATAAAGACAAGAATGCAAAGTAAAAATGCATGGAAAGAATATAAAAACTCTTTAAATTGTTGTTATCAAATATTTATTAATGAAGGTTGGGTCTCTCTTTGGAAAGGTTCTGTACCAAGATTATTTAAAGTTGGTTTATCAGGAGGTATATCCTTTGGTATTTATCAATATGTGGAAAATTTGATTATGCTAATGAGAAAAGAAGGATATTTAAAGTAAACTAGAAGCAACGAACCAATAAATAAAATTAAATTTTAAACCTGTACAGAAAAAAATGTCCTATTTCTATGCACGTACATATACATATATCCTTATATATTCCCAATAATAACCAAATCAGTAGAGTTACAATGACACTATCATAATGTATTAACTAAACCATTCCATTTCCAACTCATTCATCTCTTCAACAGTAAGATAAGATGAACACAAGCCATATATATCACTATCAGTTGCATTTAATGGAATGATCTCATGATTCTGTAACATTTCAATAATTTTTGTTCGATGAGGAACAATTAGACCATTTCCATTATCAAGACTAGTGGAAATCTGTCCCAATAATTGTGATGATATCTCTTGTAGAGTCTTCCAGGACTTTTCCTTAAGTTTAATATTGTTCATTATCAAATAGTTATCGAATAAATCATGTAACTGCCTTGTGCCAATAGGTATGATATTAGTTTGAGTAGTTGGTTCATGAAATCCTTCGTTATACTCAAAATAGGGACTATTAGGGAGACGGTATTCTTTTTGCGGCAGTTCCCCATACCCTGAGACGAGATTTGTAATGTGGTTTTCGTGGGTATCTGATTCGGGACTCTCAGGAATATGTGGTAAATTGGGTTCCATATCAATATCGAATGTCTCCGGTATACCTTGATCGTTATAGTTAATCAGTCCAGGCTCAGATCCAGATTCGAGTTCAGGCTCGGCCTCCCGTTGAGGTTGAGCCTCAGTTACAAATGGGTTCTTCACAACGCCCTTGTGTAAAGTAGCACCATCAGAGATACTAGGATTCGTAACACCATTTATATGAACTGGTTCAAGTTTTCGTATTTTCGTTCCTGACCGCTGTCTGGGTATCCTGGATAGAATCTGTTGGGATAAAGTCATTGGACCATCATTTTTTTCAATCTCGACCTTTTCGACATTAGGACTATCATTATTTAATGAAGGTTCAACAAAATTACCATCAAAATCATCGGCAGAATGATTAGAGCCCAGATCTGATTGCATTATTAAATTTTCTGAAGGTATTTCCCGCGTTAAGTCACTTAATTCGTTAATCTCCTGCACTAGCAATGAATCATCAACATTATTAAATGTATTTATTTTGTTATTAAATGATGTTTCGTGAATGGCAGTATCCAATTGTTCAATATCATTCAAATTGTTATTCTTGCCATCATTGTTAAATGAGGTAGATGAATCATGACCTTCTTCTGTATGCGATAATAATTGCGAAGTTAAATTCTTTCCTTCTCCTCTTGACGCTAAAGCACTACTTAGATCCTGTAGATATGACCTTATTTCTGCTATATCATTGTTTAATGGTACTACACTTGTCTGTACTTCTGATTGCCTCTTTAGGCTTGGAGTCCATGACAGTATCAAACTGTCTCTAAGTCTCTGTTCCTCAAGAGCTCTTTCCTTAAAGGGAGTAAGAATAACAGATTCTGATGGTTCCAGAGATCCACTAGACTTGCTTGGTGATTTAATCTCCATTATCCACACAAATAAAGCCTAATATTATTTTAAATGGCACCCTTTTTCTTTCTTAAGCCCAAAATATTTTTCTTTTTCTTCTTCACTTAGTTGTTATTTGTTTATTTGTATGTGATCGATTAGGCTTCATCGCGTTAAATTGTTTATAGTAGGAAAGGTACATAAACTTTCGAAAAGATGATATATATAAAGAGAAACAGATGATCCATAATAATATCTACAGTTACACAACTACATTTTGAATTAATGATCTAACTTTAAAGAAAAATCCACTACTGAGACACCTTGATGGATTGAACTGGTGCTATAGATATCGATATCGTTACACAGGAAACTATCAATATTTCCCGGAGTCAAACCACCCGAACATTCTAACATGAAATGTTTCTTATTTAACCATTTTTGTTTCAAAGATTTTGCACATACTTTCAGTTCTTCATGTTTAAAGTTATCTAACATAATAATATCCGCACCGGCAGAAATGGCTTCATCTGCTTCACTTTCTGACTGGCACTCTACTTCAATCTTCATCGCAAATCCACAGACACTTCTTGCATCATTGACAGCGTTAGTAATAGAACCGCGAGACCAAATATGATTATCCTTAAGCATTACCATTGAGGACAAATCGTAACGATGAGTATCGCAACCACCAACGAGCATAGAATACTTTTCTAATCTACGTAAACCAGGCGTAGTCTTTCTAGTTCCAGCGATGATCCCAGTGTAACCACTTTGACGAGCCAACTCGATGATTTTACGAGATGTGGTTGCAACACCTGAAGCTCTGCTTAAAATATTTAAAGAAGTTCTCTCTGCGAGTAAAATATCTTTAGCTTTACCTGATACAGTAGCCACTGCAATCTTACCATTTGTAGATTTCGATACATCAATATACGTACCTTCTTGGAAATGCCACTCAACAGCTAAATCGCATTGCTTGTAGACTTCTGTAGCGAATGGAACACCACTAAGCACACCATCTGATTTAATTAATAAAGTAGCTGTCTTATGTTCAGTACCAACTACGTATCCACCAAAATCAAAAGATGGGACATCTTCGGAAAGCCAATTGGTGACATCAGTTTTCCATTCACCACTGATTGGCAAAAGACATTCATAGGAAGACATTACTAAACACGCAATATATATAGTAGTATCTGAAAAACAACCAACGGTGAATTGGTAACAATTATAATTCCTTGATTCTAAGGTTAGATACCAATACATAAATATGAATTAATTCATTTATTCTATTTAATTAATTGAATAATCATTATTTTACTCGAGAAATACATTTATTAAGGTAGCTGTCGCCCCGACGGAAAAATATTATTGGGCAATTAATCACAAGACCATATAAAGAAAAAACAACAATAATAATGATAATATCGACCATTTAAAGTACATTTTGTCATACATGGTCAGGTTCACAGACATATATCAAGGATTTAGTCATGCTACTATAGTACTGATGGGCCATTACTAGGAAATCTACAACAATTGCTGCGTTACTGTAGCTTTATCTTGCTCTGATAAAGTGTTGTAGATGGCACCGAAACTATTAGTGTCAGTTGACGCAAATTGTTTTAAGGAATCAACAAGTAACTCTGTAATGTTTTGTTGAATAATGCCCAAACCAGTAATTTCCTCTGTATCATCTTCACCAAATTCAGCAGGATCTTCTTCTTCGTCTTCAATATACTCTTTCAATTTATCGTAATTTAAGACATCATCTACATCTTCCCATCCATCGTCATCATCGTTAGAAACATCCTCCCGTTTTTTATGTGTGTTGGTGGCGGTTGAACCAGTAATTCCCACTGCAGATTCAATACATTCTTGATTAGTTGGCTGTCTTGTTTGGAAACCTAATTCTGTAACAAATAATTTCACAATCTTGGTATATGGTGACACTTGTGTATATCTGTCTGGCATCTTTTTAGCCATAGACCTAGTAATGATTAAGTCTCCGTCATATGGAATTAAATCGCCATTAACGTGCAAATCAGTTAAACGAGGGTCTGAGGACATGTATAATTTACTTAATGCAACAATATTTTCTTTAATCTTCTTTTCACCTCTGATAACTTCGAAGGATTCAAACCATTTGGTCAATACTTTTGAAACCAGCAGAGGATCCTGGGATTCATCTTGTAATTGGAATAGGAAATCCAATGTCTGTTTCACATCTGAACATGTCAATAGACATAATAATGAAATTAAATTTTGTTGTGTTGATATATTCTTAGAATTAATTAATCTGTTCACAGCAGCTCGAAGAATTACAGGCACTAAATCTTGAATCTCAGTAGAAAATTTTGTTAAAATTGTGACGATTAAAGTCCCAACATTCATTGCTGCACTATCACTAACACTTAAGGACAATAACCTTTCAAGGACACCAACAACAGTCTCAAGACGAGGCGTTATTACCGATGCACCTGCGTTGTATATCATATAACTAAATGCATCTGTAGCCAATTGCAATGTTTCTTCTTCAGTAGAGACACGCAACACATCTACCAATGGATCAAATAAATAATCCACTATTGGGAAAGGTAACAAGAAATTATCTGGTTTTTTCTTCATAAACACTGTAACAAATTCCAGGATTAAGGATAATAATGGAGAATACTTATACGATATGGTGCTACTTCCCTTGATAATATTAACAAATGACGGCATGCAAATTTGGATATATGATTCATATGCAGTTGTGTTAATTCCATCCAATAGCTTCTCTAAACAATCTTGAGACTCTACGACAATTTGTACATTAGCAGGATCTTTACTGGATATATTCATCACCATTGAAAATTGTTGTTCTAAAATAGATGACGGAGTTACTTCATTATTAATTGCAATTACCTGGTTAATTGCTTCAATTAATAACCCATATGTATCTTCCTCTGCATCTTCCATTATCTTGTTAACAATATGTAATATACTCTGTTGAACGGCAACACATCTTTCATCCCCAAGGACTGATGGTAGTTCAACAAAATAAGTAAATGACATAAACGAAATTAAACCACATGACTTTAATAACACATTATCTACCGTTGAGACTAATTCTATAATCTTAAACAGATATGCCTGTACTAGATCCTTGACATCTGGGAGAACATCCATAAATTTCTCTAAAAGTTTAGGAATTAGAAGAATAATTCTGCCTTTTAACAATTCATCATCTGTATTTTGCTCGAAAATTGCATTAATCATGTTAATTAGATCATTTGTTTGAGTGATTTGTATTTCATCATCATTCATCAACAAATTTTGAAAAATGTACAAAGATGATTCGAGTAATCTTGAGCTCTGTGTATCATTATAATTCGCTAGAAGGGATCCAACTTTTTGAGTCAAAATTGTAAAATGAATTAATAAATGCTCTTCAGATAATGAACCCAAATATTCGTTAATTTGATCTCTAATAGAGAATGACGCTTGTAAGCCTGTTTCTTTTGACACAAATTCATTAAAGTCTGACGTCCATGACTCTACAGTGTTGGAATCCAAGGTACACAAGATCAAAGACATGTCAATTATTTTGGTTTGTTCTTCATGTGTCATAGAAAGAGTTAATAAACTGGTTAAAAATTCAATCATGAATATACCACACTCATTAACAACATCCAATGCATCACCATTATTTGAAACATTTGAAGGTTGTAAATAAATGGAATACTGATTCTTCAAGTTTTCCAAATCGACAAAAACTTGTGTCTTAAATGAAACCTGGTATTCTTTAGGGAACAATTTTTTAGGAAATTCATTTTTAATTAAAACTAAATTCTCATATATTTTCCCTACAAGAGTTGTTTGTTTAGTGTTTGATAAATCAATCGCTTGGGTCAATAGTCCACCTAAAGTTTGTAATGCTCTAGGTATACATTCTTGAATAAATAATTTTCTTTTTTCTGTAGAATGAGATTCAATGGCAGACATTTGTAAAAGGGTAGAATGAAACAAATTAATTGCTGCAATTCTTGCATCAAGTATAGCATTCTCATTGACCAATAGTTGAAATATTACTGATAAGGTCTCATAACCAATACCACCTTCAAAAAACATCTCTTCAGAGATAACATCGTCGTAAATTTCATTGAGTAAGGCCATAGCACTCAAGGAGTGGTGATTAGAAATGGCATCATAAACAATTTGCAACAACTCAGGCCATTGATCTGGGAAGTCCACTGCAGAGATTTGCACTACACAGTAGGATGCACTGTTTCTAATTTTTGTATCCACCTGATCATCTAAACATAATTTAAGCAATGCTTGTCTACTAGATGTCTTAGATACTTGATCCACAACTGAGGTATTTCTGTACGATTCAAAACCGGGGCCCCAATACAATGTGATCAATTTCCTTAGGGATAGCAACGAAAATTGTCTTGCAGATATATCATGTCCAGGATCCAATGCCACTGTAATCAATGCATTAAATATACCTGATGAATTGGCGTCACAGGACTCTAGTAATCTAGCTTCTGCGCTTTCTCTTTGAATATTATCAGCAGATTGAGCCCCTACAATCAGCTCATCTATATTAAAATTCATCGTGTTAAAGGTCGCCAGAGTACTTATCTTTGTCTCACAAATAACTGATGATTGAACTAAACTGACTATTCAAGTTCAAATAATTGCCATCAAGTTGAAAACGCCAAATTTCGTGTGCTTTCAATTGACTTTCAATGGATGTTTGTTGTTATTTCATTGAAAAATTATTGGAAATTTCATTGTTTCCTCCAGCGGGCTCGTGCGGTGTTATCTGAGTAGAAATTTCACTTTTTCTAAGAAGTCTCTTTTTATATAAGAATATAGAAAAAAAATTAGCAAAAGAGAGATAGACGAGCTGAATCGAAAATGTTTTAGTTGGAAAAGGGGCATATTCTCATAAAAGATTGATTGAATGAACAATACAGGTGTAAAGCTCATATTAGTTACTTATCTGAATCTTTACTAGAGAGTGTATTATATTCTTCACAGGTAAAGGGTTTCCTTTTTTTTTAAAACGTACATTATAGATAGACAGATTGTAGTATAGACTTAGGCATGGAGACAGACGGTGCATCCCAAGGTGAACAACTGCTAGACGCAGCAAGAAGAAATAACATTGATTTACTGGATACAGTATTTGAGGAATTGAATGAGGACCCTGCTAAGATTGCAGATGTCGTTAATCACAGTAAAGATCCATTTGGTAACACTGCATTACATCTTTGTTGCAGATATGGGTCCTGGGATGTCCTCGATAAAATTTTGGATCAAGAAGGTGGAATTGAAGTTGATCCTCACAATACAATTGATGGCGACACACCTTTACATGCAGCTGTTAAGTATGCACAGGATGAACCTGAGCATGGTCTTTTCATCGTTCAGAATCTGATTGAGGTTGGGGCTGATCCAAGAGCAAAAAATAATAACAACGAAAAACCAATTGATTTAATACATAGCAGTGAATTAGATGATTTAGTAGATCTTTTACAAGGGGCAGAATTAGTGGCCGATAATGCTGGTGAATCGACGAAAGAAGAAGAAGAGGAGATTATTGACAATGAGGACGATGAAGACGACGACGAGGACGACGATGATAATTCAGATGACGCAGATATTAATGCTCCAAAGGATAACTAAGAGAAGTATATACTAGCATGATGCATATAAGAAATGAAAAAAAAAATTATATAGAGGTAATGACTTTATAGAAAAGTTTTCACACACATGTGACTGAAAACCTAATACAATGTACAACCAACCAAAGTTGTGTTTCTTGTAATAGTTAGATTGATCAATTGTTCCTAATAACTACATATTTTGATATGAATCAACTTGGAAATGCAAATGTTACATTCATATGGTTGAGAAATGTATGTCTAATGTATTGTGCAATTTTTGTAATACACCGAAATAAATTTCTCGATAGTTAGAATGACCTTAAATGGAATATGCGATGTTTAAAAAGAAAATATTATGCTCTTCCAAAAAGGAAATATCGTAATTTATTCGCTAATTTCAATATGTTAATCTCAGAACTTTGACACTCACATAGTTGCGTAACCTTCCGAAATAGCACTTTGCCATCCTACATTGTCAGTTTTAATTCTCCCAATTCAATGTATGTTAGAAATTCAAGAAGTGATACCCAATTAGGTGAAAATATTCAAACAAAGGGGGAATATGAAACCTTGACAGTATTGTTGGGACTAAACATTTAAGCAGTAACCTTAAGAATGTTATTTCTACTCGAGTTGCTTAAGAAAAATATATGATATATTTTGCATTTATTCCATTACATTTATTCCGTATTCTTTTATTGGAGCAAAATTTCTTCTAATATATACCTCTATGCTCCAGTTACATATTTATTTAATCTAAATAAAATAATCCCAACCGAATATGATCAAAGGGAACGAGCATAGGCTATTATGCTTATTTACCTCTAACTCTTTTATCAATATGTGACATTCTTATAAGTCGTTCTGACAGAAATAGCACGTGAAGCGTGACAATTTTAAATGCCTAAAAAATGAAATTTAATCAAAATCAGATACAGTTATGAATAAAATGCATCCCAAAGGGGTTCAATCAGTAGAAATATCAAACGTTATATGCGTTTACAACAGTTCAACATTAATTGAAATTTGGTAAGTGTCATATATAAACAATTAAATGAACGAGTACGTGGCTCATACATTTATAGACAGAACTGAGTGAATTATAATAGTCGCTTATTTTGTAAACAGTACTAAATGAGTTATAATCAACGAGATCAAAATAATAATGAAAATCAACTACAGAGAAGTAATGCGGGATCAAATATATCTATGACTAGAAGGTCACCGTCCATTCTTGTAACGGATTCTCGTTATTCCAAGAATAGAGGACATGCGCCCTTTGCAGGCCATGCTGCAACTAGTGAATCCAGAGGTTTAACAAATACACATGTTCAATTAAAAAGACAAAATTTAAACGATCCTGGCAGTCATAACAGTAATAATAATTACAATGACTATAACAGCTACGGTTCTCTTAGCGGTATATCTAGTAATCAGCATGGGACAAATTTTGGAGGCAGACATGAACAATTAAAGAACAGTTTTGCGAAATCAAGACTTCGGAGAAAATCGAAAGGTCAATTCAGTGACATTACTCTGGATAATATACTATCACAAAGTTCTGATATCCCATCTGGTCGTCGAGAACAACGACGGACTTCCTCATCATCATCCTCTGCAGCAATGGAAAGATTTTCTAATTATGAGAGACTGCGTGTATCTTCTAATTATAGAAAGATGATAAATCCTTTACCAACAAGAAAATCAAAGATTTCACAAAAATTGGTTTTAATTCCAGAAGAGAGTTCTCTTCATGATAATGGGTTGTTCCATAGCATGGGTAGGAATGCAACACGTACTTCAGTAGCTAATATACAGGAAAATGATCCAAGAAATCTCACGATGGATAAACTAAGGTACAAGAATAAACAGAAACAGAAATTACCTCGATTGACTGCATATAACATTGCCGACGGATTTAATTTAAAGGTAATGTCGAGATTTTTGAAAAAGACTCATGAAGTATCACCAAGGCTGTATGATGACTGTCTTTATGTTCCTTATGTGTTGCCACTATTACCTGGTAAGGATGGATTTAGAATCAAATCCAACATATCCAAGAGAACCGTTGGAGGGAAGACAATCATGGATAAACTTATTGATACAAGTGAAATGAGAGATCATCATTATGAATATTATTCTGGGGTAGAAACGGTCGAAGATATGAATAATAATTATGAATTAGAGACTACGCAAGCAGTTCCAGAAAATAAAAATGATCCTGCGACAGTTATTCCTGATCATTTACCTGGACCTACAACATCAAATCCAGATGCTTTCAATCCCAGCGAGCCTCAGTTCTTTGCTGAAGAGAGAGTTACATCAGAAAATGATGATGTTGAGATACCTGACGACTCAACGAAATCTTTACATATTAAAGGTAATGAAACGGGAGCTAATAACATTTCACCGAATTCGGATAAGTTTAAAAGAGATCAGCCTAACAATAATATGAATAACCATGACAGAAGTTATAGCGATTCAAATTCAGATAAGGATACTGATAAGTCTACGTCTTTACTAATTAACCATGCAGAAAAAAAGCATTCTGAAATTTTTATATTTCATTATGGTGTAGTGGTATTTTGGAATTTTACAGAGACCCAGGAGAAAAATATCCTAGGGGATATCACTTTTGCAGATAACAAGACAATTATACATAAGCCTCTAGACGAACAAGATATTGAGATAGAGGAATTTCATTTTGAATATGATATGGAGACAGAGAGACCCAGAATATTCAATGATGTTATCACTCTGCGATCAGGCGATCACATAATAAAACTTACTCTTTCGTATGCAATCGCTCAATCATCTAAACTGTCGAGGTTTGAATCTAGAATATCTCCGATTTTAACAGCAGTAACAAAGCTTCCGAAAAGGTTAGCACTGTATGGTACACTCGGACTGAAAAGAGAACAACTGTTAAAGAAATCCGGTAAATTATTCAAATTACGAGTAGATGTTAATCTTTCTTCCAGTGTACTTGATACACCAGATTTCTTTTGGTCAGTAGAGCCTAGTTTGCATCCTCTTTATGTTGCAATGAGAGAATATTTAGAAATCGACAAACGTGTTCAAGTTGTCAATGATCGTTGTAAAGTCTTTTTGGAGTTCTTTGATATATGTGTCGATTCCGTTGCTGAAAGAAATATGGCTAGAGTTACCTGGTGGTTCATAATCGTAATTTTGTTAGGGGTATTATTCTCATTAAGTGAGATCTTAGTTAGGTATAATATTATTCATAATAATCCAACATAAGGGCTACTTGTTTGTAACACGAAGACTTTTATGATATATATAAACATATAAATAACCTGATAGATGCATCCGGTACTATTTATTCATACTAAATATAAATGTGAAACCTTTAGCAAACACTTAAATGGTTTGGGCAATGAATTGGATGTTCAGGGTAGCATGTTACTATCTAGGAATTAGTTTTGCATACTTACATTTATAGGGTTGCATTTTAGGGTTGTAATTTTGTAATTATATTCCCAACGCCTACTAACAAATACAAAATCATCAACTACTAAGGACCTTGCAAAGATTAACATAAACCTTCTTTAAACTACCTGTACACACCGATTATACATCAATACACACTTTTGAAATATGCCTGTTATATCAAGACTGCCATTTTCACGAAGTGAAAATTCTCATAATATATTAAAACCCAAAGAAATTGCTTGCTATTCTAGAACATCAGATAGCAAAATCATAGTCGATTCGGATAAAAATTTACGGTATTATTACTTTCCTGATGAGCAATTGGTTGATCCAATTAGTTTAGCTGCAGGTCGTGGAAACTTTGAAGATATTCGTTCTAAAATTGATGACGTTTGTTCCTTGCATGGACTATTACAAACAATTCAAACTATTGAGGAAAAAAAAAATTCCAGACTGAAGGTCAATATAATAACATTTAGGGGGATATTTCGAAAGCTAATATCGGCAGCCTTTGAAGGAGGTAGTAGATATCAGGAGCCGTTGGATTTAAGACTTGTTATATTCGATGAACAGATATTTATAAAAGAAGTTCCAAAAAGGGAAGGTGATCGACATAGTACTGTCGATTTAAACACATTTACTGGTTACAAATTTGAAACACTAACCACTTTAGAGAAGCCAGTTAATTTGTGTACGAGAGACGAAATAGAATCAAGGCCCTCACGGATTGTCAATAATGGAGATGAATTTGTTACTGTTGTTGGGACTGGTATAGGTTCATGTCGATTAGTGTTAGGCGCTGAAGTCGATGGTATATTTGATTTTAAAGATGAAAACAATAAATGCAAGAATATCTCTCATTATGTCGAGTTAAAATGCTCGAAAGATATACGTTCTGAAAGGGATGCCAATAATTTTGCAAATAAGTTATTTAGAACTTGGCTACAATGTTTTTTAGTAGGAATAACAAGGATAATATATGGTTTTAGAGATGAAAATTATAAATTAATATCCGTTGAAGAATATTCAACTGATAATATTATTTCCATGCTTGGAAAATATAACCCAAAACTTGCAGAAAACTGTTCTAGCGCTGTAGGATGGTATGGTAAGATAACTGAGTGGTTGTTGACGATACAAACCCGATATAGTCAGAAAGAAACACCAGAGAGTATAATACCATTTAAATTGACTGTTCACAATCAGGAGTTGCAACTAATTGATATTTCAACAGAAGACGATGAGTATGATGCGATAGTTAATGGCGAAAGTGTTCTCTTTAATGAATTTAAAGAATGGAGGCGAAAACTCCGTCAACAGAATTTGTAACAAAATAGAAATATGGGCTATTACTATATATAGATATATTGATAATTAAATAAATATTCAGTATTTTAATAGTATGCATGCAGTAATATAATCAAGAACCTTTCTTTTTTTTTTGTGTGTGTGCCAGAGAAGAGATTCTTAATCCTGTCTATATGTAGTAATTAATCTTGAGAATGCTACATTTATTGTGATTATAGATAACAGTATCGTCGTAATAATTACAACTAATGCCTTGATCTTAATTTCTTCAACAAATGTGTTTATAATATCAGCTATGGTCTGTATCCATAACTTTGCAGATCTTAATGTGTAAAAATTATTATCAGTGACAACTTTACCATCATTAATGCATTGGAACCATTCTGAACAAACTTCTTCCAATGCAGGAACACGTAACTCTGGAGCACATTGATTCATTAAATAATGTTTCTCGCATAATTTTACTTTATTAATCTCTGATCTAATAATATAATCAATCTTTGTTTGTACGTCATTCTTTAGCATGTAGAAAACATGGACCAACATATAACATATGGATAATGCAATAAGGACATTAATTAACAATTGTACATAAGCGGCAATGATACTAGGGTGTCTAAAAATTGAATCTTCGACGGGCTCATGCTTAGTATTAGTCTGTTTATTAGTGTCATCTCTCTGTTTGACCATCGTTCAACAATTCGCAATTAGTAAGAATTGAAACACGGGCACAATACAGGTTATAGTATCCCGTCAACACAAACAACATATATATATATATTACACTTTAATTCAATATATTAAAACCTAAAAGTAGCAACGGTCCCAGACGGTAACTCCTTCATATCATCCATTTAGCAATATATCTCTCTGATCCTCTTATTCCTGTTTAATTAACTAATCAATAGAAAAGTAAAAAAATAACAAATCTGTCAAGTTCCGACGGGACTTTTTTCTCGTGATCCACGCCCTACTCGGCGACCCTAATCCTGTTTAAAATCCGAACAAAAAATTTCGGCCGAAGTTTAAAAGACGAAATTGAGTTTCTTCTCTGATTGGTTCACCGTGGGAGAGGAGGGCCAAGTCCGATTGAGTTTAGGGCGATCCAACAGCAAATTTGGTTTGCAGCGTAAAGGGACTCTAATTTAATGATAGAAGGAACCTTATCTGAGTCAGGATGTTACCTTCTTATTCGTTTAATATTAACTAATTGGAAGAAATATACATCTATATATATCCTGTTTGACAATAATATTTTTGCTAACATACGCATTTTATTTATTTGTCACACAGACTAAGCAAAAGTGTCCATCCTAACACGAATCAAACAGCTCTTTAGCAAACCTTTAGCGAAGGTTAAATCAACAAGTATTCATCTTCAAGAGATTCCACGATCTTACCTAGATAAACCTATTCTTTCAAAGACATCAAAATTGAGAGGTAAAATGTTACCAACACAAGTAAGATTAGCACATGCTTATAAACCATTAATTAAATTTGTTGGAAATAAAGCAGCATTAGTCGATATACTAAAATCACATAATTATGAACAAACAAAACCTCATCCTTGCACTATAAATGGCATAGCACCTGGATCCAAAGATTGTTTATCTGTTGATGATATTTTAAGCAAACAGTTACCATTTAAAGTTGTTCCTTATGTAAACAAAAACCCTGTTACTTCTTCCTCTGATAATAAATATAATTTTACTCCAAGAGGCTTAAAAGAAGGTGAATTAAACTCTATATTTGAATTACCAAAGAAATATCAATATAAGCCTATCGATGATTTAGAGATAGAGGCTATTAATAACGGTGGAGCCATATAAACAGGAATATGCTATTACATATTATAACGAAAAAAACAAAACAATTCATTGATTATATTATATTACATTTTAATTTGTTCTATATTTATCAAGTCAGTCCCTATATAACAAATGGACATCTATCTATATCTGATAGTTGCATCGTTAGATATATATGGTCTCTATAAATCTATATATACATATATTCCTAATAATTGAAATTAAATTCTACTCTTGCTTCATTTCTTACTTTTGTTTTATTTCTATTTACGCAAACGCTTTTGTTTAAGACACACTATACTATAATAATGAGTTGTATTATATCCTATTCTTTTTGATTGTTTATTTGTTTATTATTTAGTTCAGCTACATATCACTTGTTCATACAATGTTGTAATCTTCGGCATTGATACTCCTTATTAGATCGTAAGCGTAGGCATCTGCGGTGTCATCACGGTTTGCAATGTACTCAACGTTAACACCGCTTAATGAGCTGTCTCTAACGACAAACGATGTATCAATTGGGAATAATGCATCCTCTGTTTCACTCTCAATAGAGAAACTAACTGAACCTGCTTGGCCAGATTCCAATGGAGAACCAATCTTAAGAACAATACCAAATTCGTCATTAATATCTAGAATTGAAGCATTGAAATCGTTGTTATCTTCGTTTATTTTGATAGAGTAAGTTGGGATTGGAATGAAAAATCCAAGGTTTTCAATTTTAACATCTTGGAAGTCTTGATTCACTTCAAACTCAATAGTAACATCAAAAGATGATCCTGAAGAGTTTGGAGTTACCCAAGTTGCCAATTCTAATGGGACAAGAGCAGTGTCATCGGCCTTTCCGACTTTTCTCCATCTTAGAACACCAAGACTTTGATCGTTATGTGGGAAGGATTTTGATTTATCCTTCAACGTAATAGTCTTTTCATTTAAGAATAGACTCTTGTCAATGTTTGGGTGAGTCTTAAATTGGAACGAACGATCCTTAACGTCGACAGAATCAGATAATTTAATTACAGAGTTTGCAAAAGAGGCATCATTGACACGAATCTCGAATACACCTTTCAATTCAGATGATTGGATCGAACCATCACGGTTGAAAGATGTGTTAATTGTTTCATTCACTGAAAGTAATATACCATTATTAGTTGGTTTGGATTCATCTTCATTGGCAAAGAAAGATGCCTTGCTTCCTCCTGGTTTGTAATTAGAAGTAGCACTTGTACCTAGAGGAAGGCCAGTAGATTCTGTCTCCTGTTTCCTGGATGTATTATAGGATGATGCATTACCGTATCGTGAAGGTGGAATGTGCAAATTCTGAGATTCTTTAGCATATGCTTGAGAAGCCATAGGAGATGCGTGAGTATAATAACTGTTGAATGCATTTCTAACATTTGGATCATTACTACCAGAAAACTTAGCAATTTCTGGGCCCATACCATCTGGAGAAATAATCCCATTCTTTCTATCTTGTTCTCTTCTGGCAATTTCTTTGGCACGACGTTTTCTCTCTTCGGTGGCCTCCATTTCCTTATTACGTTCAATAATTTCTTGAATCTTTTCTTCATGAGACTCCATAGCCAAAAAGTTTGAAACTTGAGTATTAGATAAATTCTCTTTATAACCCATGCAAATAATTTCATCAAAAGAACTTAAGATTTCAAAAGCATTTTCATAGATTTCATATTCATCAAAATTGTTAACAAAATTAGTAATAGTTTGAGAGAATAGATTCAATGTACTCAAATCTTGAATGATATTTGATTGACGATTAGTGATCAAGATAATATAGAACTCATCAAATGGTTTGTAAACATATCTAACATGTTTGTCTTCAACAAAAGTATGATCAGAAGAAATACTTGAGACTAAGTTTTGGAAATTAGATAATAATTCTAAGACACGATCTTTAGATAGATCCTTGAATTGTCTTGATAGGAGAGGTTTACCACTAGTGGTAGTAATTGAGGCAGCTAGAACAACCATTGTCGATTATTGTTGTTGTTGTTGTGTGTTCTGGATGTAGCCTTTTCCTTTTTTCGCAATAAACAAATAGTACCTTTAATCAGTTTATAGTTAAATATATGTTTTAACGTGTACCTGTCCTTAAACTAGAAAAAAAATAAAATAAAATAAAACACAACGAATAAGTGCAATAGTGACAAGATGGAATCAGGAAAAAAATAGAAAATAAAAAAAAAACAAGACTCTATGTTTAGGTTCCTCTGTTCGCTAACTGAGGTATAAGCGTGGATTATGTGTGCGAACAAATAATGGCAGCTAAAGAGAATAAAAATAAAATTTCAAAAATTTGGGTAGAACGAACTCGCTAAAAACTGGAAGAGAAACTGAATATTTACAGCTGGGAGAGTAAGCCACTATTCTTGGAGCAGTAAATAAATGTTAGTAAAGAGAAAGTGTATCTTGCCGGTCCAAAGAAAATCAGAAATCAAAATATTCTAGCAAAAAAGTCAGCTATAAAATTGGTTACCCGGGTGTTTGTTCGTATAACATGATATGATAACCAAAATAACATTAATTTTCCAAATAATTGGTTTGAACAACTCATTTGGGTGTTGTATGATGAGTTCATTTGTTGCTTTAGATAGAAGTAATTTGGTCGGATTCTGGAAGAATATCGAACCAATATTGACACTTAAAATGCTAACCTTTAATGTAATGTCCATTGAAAAAAATAAATTGGTTATCAAACGATCAGTACTACCTATGGAACATAGTTCTTAACTAATTGGTGATTTATATAAGTAATACCAGGTAATGTATATCTCTTGTTTGTTTTAATCCATTCCAAAAAGTGGTAAGAACTGGTTAATGGTTCCAATTTAACCGCCCAGCCTTTCCGCCTTTATTTCAAATAATTTTATTTTTCCCTGTAAGCATGAGGGTAACCTTCCTTTTCTAGATTCAAATTGTATTTTCATTATCTCAATTGTTTTAATAGGCAATTGAGATAATCTCTCTCCCATGGTAAAGAAATTGATGACTGATCGATTAATCACTTCAAGGTGGAACGTACAAATTATATGATGGACTATATGAGGTAAAATTTGCCTGGTTGATTATTTTGAAACTTATTATTCTATATCTTAGACAAATTGAAGATACCAATAAGTATTATAGTTAGTAGATTTAGGGTGAATATTAGATCTATTGAGGTCCAGATAAGCAAGCACAGAGCATCATCATTTGAAATAATAATATTAATAAAAACAAAGTGTATATAGTTATAAGATGGAAAGTTCAGCTACAAATAATATATCAGCAGTAGATATTGAATCTCAGTTTACTGAGAGTGAAAATATTTCTAGAAATCTTTGTGGGCTAGTAGATATGGGATCTAACGGTATAAGATTCAGTATTTCTTCGATCTCTTCACATCATGCGAGAATAACTCCATGTGTCTTCAAAGATCGTATAGGTATATCATTATATGAAATACAATTTCCACATGCAGATTCTTTAGAACAAATTCCTATTCCAACAGATATTATTACAGAAATATGTAGTGCAATTAAAAGATTTAAATTAATTTGTGAGGATTTTGGAGTTCCTGATAAGAATGTTAAAATTATTGCTACTGAAGCCACTAGAATAGCTCTAAATAGAGATGAATTGCTTAAAGAGATAGAGAAAGGAACAAATTGGGAAATTAAAGTGTTATCACAAGAGGAAGAAGGAACAATGACTACATTGGGATTATTAGCATCATCTGCAGATAATGAAACAAATGGGATATATTTTGATTTATTGAGTGGGTCATGTCAAATTTCTTGGATTAAAACTTTACCTAATGGTGAATTTATGAAATCTGAAAAAGTGTCCTTTTTGCCATATGGTTCAGGAACAATTACAAGACTTGTTAAAGCAATTGATGATAATGACGCTTCAAAGTTAAAATTATTTGATGATTTAAAAGCAGATTTCATGCAAGCGATTCAGGATATTCAGATACCAAATGATATGATGAAAGAAGCCATAGAAAATGATGGATTTAAATTAATCACAAGAGGTGGTGGTCTTAGAGGTATGGGTCATTTATTAATAAATCAAGATAAAGACTATCCGATACAAACAATAATTAATGGGTTTTGTACAAGTTCCAAAAATTTTCAATCTATTTCAGATTATTTATTCTTAAAAGGGAAAATTCCAAATTTTGATAATAGTTGTCATAAAATTAAAAAATTTTTTAAAATTTCAGAAAAGAGATCTATTCAATTACCAGCAGTTGGTCTATTAACCAGTGCTCTCTTAGAGAGTCTCCCAAAAGTGAAATCGATATATTTCAGTGAAGGTGGTATTAGAGAAGGTTTCCTTTATACTCAATTACCTGAATCTATACATAAACAAGACCCTATTATAGTTGCATCGAAACCATATGCTCCATTATTATCGAATAATTATTTGAAATTATTATTATCAGCTGTTCCACGTAATCCTCAAACTGGAGAATATCCAATTCCAGAGATTGTATGGAAAAGAGTAGCACCAACGCTATGCAATTTGGCGTTTATTCATGCATCATACCCAAAGGAATTACAACCAACTGCTGCGTTACATGTCGCAATTACAGGTATTTTATCAGGTTGTAATGGTTTATCTCATGAAATGAGAGCATTAATCGGTATAGCATTATGTTATAGATGGGGAGGTAATATTCCAGAGACTGAGGAACGTTTCTTAGAGTCAATGGAAAATGTAATACTAAATCAATATGATGAGAGTTCTAGAATAAATTCAAGGGTAGCCAAGAGAATAATATGGTGGACTAAATACATTGGAACATTTATGTATGTCATATGTGGTGTTCATCCAGGTGGGAACATTAGAGACAATTTATTCAAATTTCATGTTATCCCAAGAGCAATCTCAACAAGGGAACATCAATCAAATAATATTGACGAAGAATTGGATAGAGATCAACATTCCGCTTCAAGAAGTGATAGGACTGATTATGAGGCTATCGTTAGTATCAGTAAGGATGACTTGAAGACAAGTGCATCAGTCAGGGCAAGAATCATTACATTACAAAAAAGAATAAAAAAACTTTCTAGAGGGAATATCGAGCGTGTAAAAGTCACGGTCCAAATGTTCGAGTAAATAGCACACAATATATAGGTTAAATATAAATAATTTGCATATGAATCACAGCATTATTCGAGTTCACGATGGCCTTTAAGCGGCGGGATGGAAGGTGACCCAAAGACTCCTTTATTTTGTTTTAGTTGCACTTTAAACTGAGTTCGAGAACTCGCTCTACGCGAAAATTCTGGGAGAAAGAGAGAGAGAAAAAAATTAGATGGAAAGACGAGAATTGCTAAAGTGGCTATATTAAATTATTGTATATGAGTTTTGCCACCAAAGGGGACAAACAATTCTGGTATATAAGGCATATTATCATAAAAAACCAATTAACATAACAAATAGAGACTATTAGCGAACGTCAAGAAAATTCAAAATGGTGTCTCTAGAAAATTTGGTTAGAAGTCTAAATACTGCTTTTGAATCAAAGGATTACGAAAGTTGCGAGAAGATTATCCCATCAGTAAAATTAGAATTGATTAAAAACAAAATATTTATTCCTGACCTTAAGAATAATAATGAACAGTATATTAACGATTTAAACATCACCAAGAAAATTTTAGAGATTGGTGCTCTAACAGATATTTTTCTTTCTAAAAATGAAGCCTTCGAAAATGATTTTACTTTATTAAGAAGCTTCTATTTCTGTAAGAATGATAAGCTTTCCAACTCTGAAAACAAATCTAAGATTATATGCCTTTACCTACTAGTATTACGTTCTGATGGTGATGTAACAAGATTCCACTCTGAATTAGAATACCTCGACAGACATATTCCAAATTTAGAAGATGATGAACTACTTTCATATCCAATTAAAGTTGACAGATGGTTAATGGAAGGTTTGTATCAAAGGGCATGGGAATTGCTCGATGCAGGATTGAATATACCAGAATTTGATGTATTCAACAAGACTTTGATGAGTGCTATCAGAGATGAAATTGCTCATAGTACAGAGATGGCATATCAAGAATTACCATTAACCAGCATAAAGACATTGCTATTTTTGGAGAATGAGAAGGACGTACAGACAGTAGCTGATGATAGAGGTTGGACAGTTGCAAATTCAATTGTTTCATTCAATCAAGATGAAGACGATGACGATGACGACGATATCGATGATGGTTTCGAGAATGATGCTTTAGATTTTAATCGAAACGCAAAGGATAGCTTAAAGGTAATAGATAATACTCTTGATTACGCAATCAATTTGGAGACTATTGTTTAGACGGATGTGTACGTTATATAAAAATAATCTAATAGATAATACAATATATGAATAATATGGAATTTAGAAGAAAGAAAGAAAGAAAGAAAATACAACGATTGAAAAATGTTCTTTATATTTTTTTTAGTGGAATAGATTATTTATGGTTATATAATTGGGTGTTGGTAGTAATGAGAAGAGAACCATTGTAAACAGTAATTCATGCTATTTATAACTTACCTTCAACTTTCAAAATTTGGGAAGCTGTATCGTCAACGGTTTGTTTGAAACTGATAAATTCGAAGCCCAAAATTTCTTTAGTCTTTGTATTATCAACTAAGGCACCAGCTTGACCACCTAGAACACCAGTACTTGGAGTACCAACTGGAATTCTGCCCTTTAGAGAGGTAATATCAGCATTCAAAGTGTTCAAAATATCTTGAGTGTTGAAGTCACCATTAGACATTAGTAATCTCTTACCGATGGTGTTTTCCTTTTGGAAAGCATATAGGTGAGCCTTAGCAACGTCACGGACATCAATAAATTGACCACCTAGTTCAGAAACAGCAGCATCTGGACCATTCTTGATTACGGAATTAATTAATTCACAAGATGTATTCAATGTGTTCTTAACATCAGAATCAAAGTTTTGTGGACCAAAGACATATACTGGGTTAACAGTAGACAATTTGAACTTTACAGCGTCCTTATTTTCTTCCAAAAATTTCCATGCAGTTTCTTCAGCAATCTTCTTAGAACCACAGTAACCTACAACTGGGTTTGCTTGAGATGATTCCCAGGTATCTGGGTTCCACAGGGATTCGTTAAATGTAAAAGATTTATCATTAACCTTGTTAAAATCAATAATTGCAGCAAAAGAAGAAGTGACAACGACACGTTCAACAGTATCAGCAGCATATAATTTAATGGACTCTAAGATACCTAAAGTACCATTCTTAGCTGGGATCAACAATTCTTTCTCAACATCAGTAACATCAAAACGGAATGGAGAAGCAGTATGTAAGACATATTTGATGTCTTTACCATAAGTCTTAAAGGCATCGTGGAAGGCATCTAATTTGGCGACATCTGGAACAACAACCATTGTTAGATTTGGATTGTTACCAAATTGAGCTGTTAAGGCATCGATTTTAGCTTGTGATCTGGCAGAACCAATAACCTTGTAATTTTGTTCTAAAAGTTGAGAGACGATATGTTGGGCGATAAAACCGGTAGCACCAGAAACAAAAACAGACATTATAGAATTGCGTTGATAAAATTTAAAATATGATTATTTGGTATAGATAAATGTGAACAAAGTTGTTCTTGTTCTTTTATAAATTATCAAGTAAAAGAAATTTAAAAGAAAGAAATTGAAATTGAATATTTTATCTTTGAGCTGGGCTACAAGTTTTAGTTTATATACGTTTCAACTTTTGAAGTTTTTTTTTGCCTAGCTAAGCAAACCCTAAAGGGTGAAAAATTATTAATTACCGCTTGCAAAGGTATAGAATGAAAAATTGCGCGGCTCTGCATTTTTCTGCTTCATTTCTTACGCTTTGTAAGCAGTTCATTGAATGAAAATCGTTCGGGTTTCTCGATCGGCCGTCGGCAAAATTGTAGCAATTTCCCGGATTTAAATTTCTCAGATCACGTGCTACTTCCTTCTCCGAAATTTTTCTTTTCAATAATGAAGCAATCTTCAACTTGCAAAAAAGGGATTCGGCCGAACTGAATTACCATTTCATTATGACAACTAAGATGGTGGATTATGTAAGAAAATAAGAAAAGAGGCACAGCGAAAATATAAAGGTACTCATCATTTTAATATCAATAGCTTTGTCTGTATAATATAGCCTTACACAATTGAAAACAAAAAAGGTACTTCTGAATTGGGTATTATTATCACTTAGCTTAGTAAGTCTCTTCTTTTTTAGGTATTTTTAGTAGAGGGGAAAGAATAAAAAGGGTATTCGTGTATGTTATTGTGTTTTACTTATGTACTAAATATTTTGTAAAAGAGATGATCAATCTGATTTGTTTGCTAAGTTACAATATTTTAACTATTGTAAATTACAACTGTATCGATGGTACAACTCAAAAAAATTGACAACATAAAATATCATGTTTTCAATTTAACGAACTTGAAGAGATGACAGTTGGTGTTAATCTCTAATGGGAGAAAATATATATAAAGATAGGGTGAAAAATGAATTATTAAAATTAATCGTTAATCATTATAATTTTAATGTCATTTGTCTGACTTTGAATTCTTCAATTTGATAAACACCATCGACACCTACTTCTAGATCGACCTCGGTGATAAAATTACCACCTGTAAAGAAATAGGTATTAGTAGATACTTGAGAACCGTCATTGAAATATAATTCTAGAATATTTCTATCAGCAATACCATAGACCTTGTATTGACTTATTTCAGAGTCAATATATCTTGATGGTTGGTTGTTAACAGACATTCTGGTAGTAAAGAATGGATTTTCTTTAACAAACTCAACGTCGGTGTTACCACGGTCAATAAAGAAGGCGGCTGCATTACCTTCGAACCCTAATCTTAGATATTCATCGCTGTTTGAATCACCAATTAGATATAGAGATAAATCAGCAAAATCACTCTTACCAAAGGCACTACCATTAACAGTATAAGTTAAATTGAATTCAATTAAGCCATCAAAATTCTTTGATAAATCATAAGATAACGAATTATTTGTATCAAAGGTTTCATTTTCATAACTGAAAGTTTCGCCGAAATTTAATGTATCGTAATCAATCACTGGGGTAGATTTAATATTTAGTAATTTTGATTCTGGGTTAGCTTGGAATTCTTCTAAGCTGAATTTTCTTACCAAAGAAGTTGAAGATCTCCATGGGTCCGTTGGAACGTAGTTAGAATACATCCAATTGGAAGCCCAACCAATGCCATAAACTTCACCATCTGGGGAATTGTAGAAATTCTGCAAAGCATAGAAATCCCTACCTAAATCGAGGATACTGGTGTATGGGAAATCAGGAACAAAATGAGTACCATTAAAGTCACCAATAAAGTATTCAGTTGATGAACCACCTTGTGGAGAACCGGGATTGATTGAAATAAATAGAGCCCATTTGGTAGAGTCAGTAGAATTAGTTGGATAGGTAGCATTATCAGATTGTGGGGCAGAAAATTTGGATAAACCTGGACATTCATATTGGAAACCAAGTAAACCTTCTTTAGTAAAGTCAGATTCGTGAGTCCAGTTCTTTAAATTAGGAGATGAATAAATAGCGATCTTAAATTCTTGAGATTTAGCAACTGTCATTATCCATTTTTGTGATTCTTCATGCCAAATAACCTTTGGATCTCTAAATTGAGTAGAATTGTTACTTAAAGCTGGATTACCATCATAATTAATAAATGTGTAACCACCATCTGTAGAATAACTGATATATTGAGTTTCACTATCTGGGGTGTTGTAAGTCCAGATTGCAACAGCTCTTTGCCTTGGATCAGTAGCATTATCGAAAAATCCGGAAGTATTGTTAACGTCAACAACAATAGAACCTGAATATGCACCTGAATCATTTTTCAATGGAGCAATGGCAGCATCTTGTTGGTCCCAAGTTGTTAAATTCTTTGAGGTAGCGTGACCCCAATATAATGGCAAACCCCAAACACTATCATTTGGATTATATTGGAAATAATAATGCCATAATTTTTCTTTAGCATCATACCAAAGACCATTCGGATCATTCATCCAGCCATAACTGGGCGTCATATGAATCAAAGGCCTATTTATAGATTCATTACCATATTTTAACTCTATTGGTGTAGCAGACGCAAGAGTAGCAGCTGCTAATGTAATAATTGACAATAATTTCATTTTTTTATTTTATTGTTTTGACTTCTTTAAAAGACAAATTCAATTTATATTGTACTAGTCAATAGTTGATCTTTTCTATGAAGTGTAAAACAACTAATGGAGATGGAGATTATTCAAAATTTTGCAATTTTGACAGCCTTTTATATAATTTTATAAAGTTTGTTTTCACGACCCAAAATGAACCAGAGCTGTAAAACTTATTACTATCTCAAATCCCCCCACGTTTCATAATAAAGAATGCGAACTATTAGAGGTAGTACTAAGAAGTGCTACCTCTGGAAGAGTTCAGAAATCAAGATGTATACTTTGTGAGGAAAGGATTATTTTAATAGAGATTAGGTAAAGATCTGCGATGTTTCTTACGTAAAGGTTACCTTTATAGTAAGTAAGAAGAACAACAATTCTCCTATTTAGGAAATACATTACGTCGAAAACACTTATTTCCTAAATAACTGAAAAGACAGTATATACTGATACGGGATTTTTATAAGAATCGGAATTATTCGGTAGTTAAAGTTTACAACATATTGCTAGTAGTTTTCTCTTTCTCTTCTGAATTGGTCATTTGAGTTGTTCCTATTATAGGATCCGTTGTACTGTGCCATACAACCAAAAAAAGAAAAGAAACGATAATCTTTTGCACTTGATGACCTGCGACAGAGAGCCAAGTTACAGCTACAGCCAGACAAACACACAGAACCCGCTGCGTATAACATATATCGGCATTATTTTTCCTCCTTAAAACTTTTAATATATTTTAATTTTTCCGGGGTACAGCAACCACCGTGCGGCGGTCGGTGTCCACAGGGGGGCAGCAAGCGTAACTTTGCATTTCATTAGATATAGTGGTTTTTTTTACATACTATTCTCTATATAGTAATTCGCACTTGAAACACCCACAGAATAGAAACCCAGTGTTAGCAATATTTTCCCAAAAAGGGAATTTTTCCTTTTTCTATCAAATGTCCTGATATAATAGTTTCATAATACAAATAAGTTTTCATATTTTTCACTCTTTGCCCGTTCTTTAGTTTGCATCAATAAGGATATTATTTTCCCCAGGATATGTAACATTTCTGCTAGCTACAAGAAGTATCTTGGCCGAGACATATGAAGCATCCTTATTGCAGTTCCACTAAAGGTTATCACGTAATTGTCGTGAATTTTTTCAGTTACGTTGTCGCTTGGTTATAACGAATGGTCGCTGGAAAGGGATATATAATTTCTATATCCTATGGCTTGTAAATAAGTGTATCTGTGATTTAAATATTTGAAGTTACTTATGACAATTGCACTTGTAACTTGGCCGTAGCTCTATAGTTAAATAAAATAAAATATTTATGACACTTCAATGAGACGAAATTAGAATACAGATTGAAAGTGACACCGTACAACAGTATGCTAATAATTGGCCTAAAGAGATAAAAATTTCACCGATACCTTTTTTTCAAGGTATTGCGAAGACATATGTAAGTTTCCCATGCTTTCCGCCTAAATAGTGGTATCTCTCATAGCAAATCGTTTATATGAGTAGTGGGGGTGGGGTGGAAAAACAAAAAAAAACAACATTAAGACTTAATGGAATATATCCAAATATATGGTGCCTTTAGTGTGTTTATTTGTTTTGTTGAGTATTGATTCCTTCTCTGTTGAGTTGTCAAAGGATATTATTTCAAGGTGTTTTTCCGTGCTCTTCTTATCTCCGATTATACACATATTTGTTACAATGAAGAATAAAGTTTTCAAATGACATTTTATTAATTTTATCTGGGGTAATTATTGACCTTCTGTAAAAGAATTGGAGTTGCTGGATTTTTGACAGAGTCAAAACCTAGAAATATATTAAGATTAAAATATACTGTCACCATAATTTGTTGTTGTAACCCGTAAAATTGTAGCTATATGTTTTGTTCAAGAACAGATATTTGTTATCAGCATGGCATCATTGAATGCAATAAGGATTATTTTCAAACTAATATCCTTAACTGGTTAAATAGGGATTAATAATTTAAACAACCAAAAAACTTAGCGGCCAAGAACAAGAACCACAAGATATATTAGCTCTAAGTAAAAACAAAAAGATACATTCAATGATAAACGCATATTTGAAGAAGGTGAAATCATTGACCATTATAGACTTATTGGAATCTTTCATTCATATCTGAATCAGATAAAAGGATTAATTTACTACAGTAATTGATAGTAATATTGTTAAATACTCTATCCTATTTTTGCATGTATTGTATAAATTGAGTTTTATTATGGTGAAGTGGCAGGATACTAATTCTCTATAGAGCAATAGCATAAACATATTAAGAGCAAAGAAACAATAAACGATACGACGAAAAGTCAGTAGTTAAGGATAATAAAATAGGCTTTCCCGGTTTAGTCAAAGATGAAGTGTGGATATCAGAATAGGAAAATAAGCAAATACCAAACATATATAAAGAGCATGGATTATGGAAGTAAAAACTATATATGTCCTACTTCTTATGTATATTATATTTCGGGTTTGAAAGAGAACCACGAAGAATAAATTGTATAATAATGCTAAATAACTTTTAATAAAAATAAAATAGACAAAATGGATTACGTTATATAAGACAGTACTGCTAATATTGTAAATTATTGAGCTAAATATTCTAAGGTATAGAGTATGAGATATTCACATGAGCATGAAATTAACATTAGTTAAATGACACATAGAATATTGTGTGAAAATATTATAATTGAATAGGTTTATATCACGATACTTGAATAAGAAGTTCATGAATGTGAAGGAAAACAAACACGCCACTAAAGTCATAATATATAAAGACAGAGGCTTGGAATACATAATCTGTATATTAAATAATTCTTTCCGAAATACATTAAGAAGAATTTTCTGTATAGTATCTGTATAATAAAAATGAATGAAAATAAAAACATAATAAATGCTCAACTAGATAGAAAGGAGGAATTTTATCACAAATGATTATCAGGAGTAAATTTATCTTATGTTAAAAGTTATAAAATATCTCTACATCTTGTATAAAGCGTTTATTGAATGTTGTGGCAAAATTTTTTTGTTTACCTGCTTGAGAATTTATAGTTTTGTATAATTTTTTATCTTTTAAATCAGTTCTTTATTTGAAAAAAGTAGTCTCCAAGTAAACAAATTTTAATATGTAATTTGAAAGTCTAAATAGGTGATAAGCGTTTGCATCACTGCTTATGTTATCTTGTAGAGCGTAATCCATTTTATCGATCTCATATTTTAATAAAAGTTATGTAGTAATATTTTACAGTTTATTCTTCGTGGTTCTCTTTCAAACCCGAAATATAATATGCATAAGAACTAGGACATAGATGTTTTTTATTTCCATCATTCATGATCTTTATATATGTTTGGTATTACGTTGTTTTCTTGTTTATACAAGAGTCCCTTCATCTCAGACCAAGTCGGATAAGCCTACTTTATTATCTTTGATTACTGAATTTCGTTGTATCATTTATTATTTCTTTGCTCTCAATAAGCTTATTCTATTGCTCTATGGAGAATTAGGATTCATCAATATGTAAAACATATCAAAATGAACTACTAGTACAAGATAATTTTTTTTTCGAACTGGTGTTGTAGTTGCCATATTCACAGTTACTCGGATTTCCATATCTAAATATAGGTTTTAACTCTTTAGGAGTCAATGAATTTGAACATGAACAAAATTCAACGACAAATTCTTATTCTAAAATGTTACTAGAGATGCCATCGAGAAGTACTTTGATATGCCAAAGTTAAGTTTTGATATATTATTTAACTCTCTAGTTGAATTTCCAAAGCTCCTCGAAAACATTTGGTACATTATTATTAGTTGAAGATTTGTAAAAGGCTAAGGAAAATTTATATAATAATTTTTTTGTACAGTATGAACTATTGATAGTACTATACATGCCAAATTGCATACAACAGATACAAAATTATATTATTGTTCACACGTACTAGATAATAGGATATAGCTTTTAATCATAAATTGTTCTGTAAACGAGTAACAGAAAAGAAACAATATCCAATCGATGCAAGAAAAAGGTGCAACAACAAAAACAATGCTAGATACAATTCCTTTGTTTAATTAATCATTAAGAATAATAATACTGAAATACGTAATACGAATAGTAGATTGAAAAATATTATGTATTTGCCAACCATTGTTACTAGAATCCTGTAAAATTCTGCTCCCTCTAAAACCGTACTTTCCAACGCATAGGAAGGTTAAGAAATAAAGGATCAGAAATAGTTGGGAGAGGAAACTGATTGTGCATATTTATCTACTATGATTGAATAATTGTTTTCGCTGTAGCATTTTTACTGTTTGATAATACAAAGAAGTAGATCAAGCCCATAGATACACAATAAATCAAATATCAAATCAACTAGATTTGCTTTGCCACGTACATATCTGACGTGTGAATTGTTCTGAATGACGGTTCACGTGTTTAAAAAAGATCGAACTTATTTTCAAGGAAAAGCTAATTGGTTAATAAAATACTAGTAAAGTCTAAATTCGACAGCCACAAATAATTTTCAGAACACAATATAATTTTAATCTACCCAATAATAGATTTTGTCTTTTGAAATTCCGCGAAAGTCGTATCGTAGAATTACTGAGGAGGGTTAGAGTACCACATTATTTAAAAACAAAGTTCCCGTGATTTAATTTTTTAAAAGAGTGTGTATTATGTGATACCAAAGACGTTAAATAAAAAACTGATGTCGGTACTAAAGAATATATATTTTACCTTTTTTATGGGACTAATTACTCAACAAGCAACCATTCAGAGAAAAAACACTAACACAGTGAATATTTATTGCGGGGTTATATTATGTTGTTATTCAATGTAACATCAAATAATAATAGGTTACACGAACCACTCCACTGAAGCACAATGTCAAATGTGATATGAAAAATAAAGAACCCTCTCTAAGATTTATTGACCTTGCGAAGTAATGTGCACTTTAAATAATCCAGGTAAATGAACTAAGAATTAAATCACCTGATTTCAAGTGGAAAGTGCTGTATTAAGATATTATGTGCCTTCTTTTGTACTATAATTGAGAACATTTTCGTCAAGAACAATATGTCTCTCCTCTCATTTAAATTTTCTATTGTGTCCCAATTTTTTTGTTCTATGTACAGATATTGTCGTACAACAACCGAACTTCATTACACAACATGATTTGCGCCAAGTATTATTTTTTCAATATCTAATAATAGAAGGACAATAAACTAGAGGCATGTTAATGTACCAAATCAAAATAACATACAAAAATTGACGATGAGGAATTTTTCTTTTACACATAAAATATATTGAATGTATCGATGTGAACCCTTTGTTTCTCTTTTTTTTAGATTCAATGTTTGAATAAGCCCCCGCAATTTAAATATTCAATAATGATGATACCATTCTCCCAAATATAGTGATATAAATTTTAGCATGAAAAGACAATAAATCTGTGATATTAGACACAGTAAATTTCGAAGGAGAGTTTTTCAAACATCACTTTTCTTAAAAAATAAATTGTATAAAAGGACCAACAGTTCTTTCCCAGTGATATGATTCAAAAGTTCTGTCACAATTTTCTTTCAGTCTTTCTCTAATTAAGACAAAATATTCAAACCGATAATATTCTGATATATCCTCAAAACATCAAATTAAATATGAAATTTTCTAATATCGTGTCTATTGCTGCTGTTATTAATGTAATGGCCATCAATGGTGTTGCAGCTGAAAAATACCAAATTGCAGGCCCCGAAGCTGTGATGATAACTCAAGCAATTAACGCTAAAAGAGCTCGTCATGAGAACACGCTGCCGTTAGCATACACTAGCAGTTTATCCGATAAATGTGAAAGTATCATGCATAATCTAGACTGTGCAAATATTAATGTGGTTCCCCATAAGGGATACGGTAGTACTTTTAGTGTTGGTTTTGAAATTGAAGAAGCAGTTAATGAATGGTATTCGGAATTTTTCCACTACAATTATGATAACCCAGCCCTTACCCAGGCAAATTCCAATTTTTTGCAAATGGCTTGGAAACCAGTTACAAAAGTTGGTTGCTGCAGGAAAACTTGCCCAGGAACGGGTAAAGTTATTCTTTGTCAATATGATCAAAGAGTAAACCCTATCAGTTTATCTAGTGGGATTGGAGAACTTTTATTAGACAAAGTTACTGTTATTGAAACAATGACAGCTTTTAAAACAATAACCGACCCTACCACGATTACTTATTTTCATACCGTCGATACACAAACACTTACTCTATTTGATAATGCTTCCACTGTTACCACTACATTATTAATTGATGCAACAGATGAGCCAACTACCATAACTAAGACCGTTACCCTAGAGGCTAGTACAATGACCACAACTGTAACAGATTTTGTCACTGAAACAGAAACTACGGTTGGTAATGAGAAGACAAATACAGAATTTATAACAGATCTTGAAACAATCACTGAAATCATCACTGTTAGTCCTCAATTATCCAGTAAAACTGAAACAATAACAGTTAGTGACAAACCTCTGACCACAACCGAAACAGTTACTGCTGCTGGTGAAACTTTTACGAAGACAGAAACTATATCTGCCAGTCCAGCCCAGGACTCAACTGAAACTATAACATTGACTGAAACTCAAACAGATATGACAACTGAAATCACCACTGAGCTAGATACCACAACCGAAGTTGTTATTAAGACAGAAATAGCGATTGAAACCGAAACTACCATCGAGAAAGAAACTAGGACCATAACCGAAACACAACGTATGACAGACACTATCTAAACAACAGGAAACCCTTCATCTAACTCATCTAATTCATCCCAATCTGCGACCAGCTAATTCGTAAACCCTGTATTACCAAAATTATTAGAAATTCAAATCAAATAAATTTGAGATTACGTCGTCAAGAAGCAATAAATAAAGAAATAATTTCCTACACATGAATAATTTGGCTAAAAAATTAAGTTAACTGTCAGTTTAAAAGCTAGACAAAAATATCTGAATATAACAGCCCATCAATGTAAACTATTAATTATTATATGCTGTGAAGTTTATATATTATATAACATAAAAATAAATAATCAACTATTATATACAAAAACCTTGTATTGAAAAATTGATGATTTGGGGATTTGCTTGTGGGCTTTCTAATCCACACTGATATTTTTTACACTGTAGGGGTTTTCGTGTCACAACTCATACAAAGCATACGCTTCAATCGGTGAGTTCATCAGAAATATACTTAATTGTGAACAAATTTACTATTCGAAATAACCTTATGAGTACGGAAGTACATGTAGATTTAACTAATATTACTTTAATTATAGCACTGTATATATTGACTAGATAAAAACGTAGAGTGTGAGGTGCACACTCATAAACGCAGTAATCTGACTCCGATTTTTAAGAAAAAAGGATCATCGATCCATCTCATCCATCGATCCATCTCGTCGATCCATCGAGAGCCGTTGAAGGGAAAAACTATATTTTTGAAAAAAAAGAAACGAAAAACGATATATTCTGGGTTAGAGTGACACTTCATGGGTAATGACCTGGATCAGGGCCAAAGTAACCCTTTGGAAGCTCAGTGATATTTCTCAATGGTAGACCAATAGCATCAACACCGGAATATGGAACCTCATTCCCCCACCAGTTGAGTTGAGTACCCTTATATTGAACAGCAAAAAATATGATTATGGCAGAAAAGACTAAGCCAGCTGCAAGACCAGACTGAATCATATAGTTATACCTCTCCCATTTTCTAACATGGTATCTTCTAATATAGAATTGAGAGAAAATACCTACAAGGAAACTTGGCGTGAAATACATGAGCCCGTATGGAGGACTGAATGAAAGCATACCGACAACAAACACAACAGGGTCAAAGTTCCGTGGGAGAAACCTAGGACGCCATCTCTTAATGACACCAAATAATAAACCAAGCAATGCTCCAATTAACCAACACCATCTTAAGATTGGGTATATATTGTTGAAGATTCTCTTCGGACCTATAGCACCCCAGACAATGGACGAGTTGAAAAAAGTTGTAATATCAGGGCATGTGAATTTGGCAGTTTGTTTTGGAGTACAGAATCCCTTAATGTTGCTTGCCTGCCAATTCAAGACACCCATATTAACAAATATTTGTAACAAAACAATAAAACATTGCCCTCTGAACAGCGCAACTGGTGGAATCTTAGCATAATGCGCCATTTTTTGGTTAGAGACATAATTATCGGATTGAGCATCGATATTATACCCAAAGGCTTTAATAATCATCAATGCAAAAGGGTTCCCTGGTAAAGCATAACCAATAATCATTTCGATCAATAAATTTAGACCTAACGAAATACCTGCAATGGATTGCAATAAAGTGACTGGGATTAAAAATACTGCGTTGAAACCAACCGAAACGAATAACCCCCAAACTGGCGTGTTTGTGTGATAAGCTTCAACAACGATTATGCCAATAACAAGAGCAATGACTAAGATAGAGAAATACCACCAATCTGGAACCTCTTTGTATTCTTTCATCATTGTCGAGTGAATATCATGAAACTCTGATAATCCGCCGTCACTATTATTTATGTTAGACCACGCCTCACGTTTCCGCAGGGAAATAATGCTTCTGCCAAAACTCCTGAATGATGTAGATAATAGTTTAGTGTGAACAAACATTGAATAGACAATCATTAAAGGATAGCACGCAATGAAACAACCATATGAGACCAAATTACCAGCTGTGTAGAAAGGTGGCGAATAAGCTTGATACTTATCAATATCCAATTCATTTTTTTCGTTAAGAATCATATGTACAGAGTATGGTTCACCTGTATTAGTGTATAACCCTTGAGTAAACATTGGCAGATATTGGGTATTAGCATAATTTGTGTAATAAACTGCAATAACGATCAGTGCCGAAAATACTGCTGCGACATACTGGTTAACAAGTGACCAAAATGGTACGATCAATGGCCCCAAATTACCCAGAACATTCCAATCAAAACTAGAGATTGGATTAAATCCCAATCCAGTAACACCACCTGTAATATTGGCTAAATGTATATTATTTGGGGCAATCCATGTCATCCAGTTGAATGTGTTCAATATATTGATAATATAAGTCGGAAACCAATTGTAAAAGAAAATGAATAAGAAGCTATAACCAAAAACTTTGTATTGCCTCCTAGCCTGGCCACCATTACGATTACACAAAGCCCTATTTAAAGCCAATGTTGGTAAGACTGTTGGCCACATTGCCTTGACCGGGTACACAACAAACCTTCTCAGGATTCCTGCAAACCCAAACCCTAAAAATTGAACCGAAAGAGAAAGCAAAAATTGGTAACCAAAACCTAGATGAATGTCGTACTTCATTTTCAATGTTAAAATATTGTAATGTGTATAAAAAGTTCCCATTGAGATTGCAAACAATAGAGTGGAGAACATTTGTTCTTTCTTTGTCCATGGTGTGCTTATATTCAAAGCAATTCTCTTTCCCCCAATATTGAACCCCCAACATGGCAAATAATTAGCCCAAAATGTACCACAGAAATTTAAGACAATTTGAATAACAGATGTGGAAACAGAGATTGAAATTAATCTGTGAGAAAAGAACTCGTTGAATCCAGAACCAACAATACTCCAGATTATTGCTAAGAAATAAGCCCTCACAGTTTCTACCGGAATAGTGGGGTCGTCTACTTGGTCTACAACAGCCCTCACTTCTAAATACGGGGAAGAAAACTTAATCATGGCACCATAACATTTACTGAGGAAAACATCCAAGTCATTGGTGGCCAAATCAGTAATTGTTGATAATCTAACCCAGTCGTCATATTGATGATGTGGTATATTCTCATCCTCAGCATGATCTTCTACCGCAGCTTTTAACACTTCTACTGCCTCTTCTAATGTTAATTTCTCTGAGGACACTAAAATGAAGTTTAATTCATCTGGTATATCGGTGATATCGTTGCTATGGTATCCCAATTTCTCAAGCAAAATGCTCACATAATCAGAGTTTAGATCAGTTGCCTCAACTGAATCAGAGTCACTATGCTCGCTTTTTAGGTCTATCTGAACTTTTTGTTTACTGAGATTTGTTTCAACTGAAGAATTATTTCCTATTTTATACTCCATTTTCAATTTGTTTTAGATGTTTGGTTGTTTTGTATTGGAATAGAAAAGAGAACTGGGGAGGGATATACATACCTCACAAATCATTAAGAATTGAAATAAGGAATCTAATTACGACATATATATACACAAATATGTATATAAACACAAATATAATGCTGGTTCAAAATTCCTAAATATTTTTACCTTATCAATAACTTTAAACAAACTATCCCAATTTTTTAGCTCGATTAGGCAAAATATTCTGTTATCGTTTATTCACAAATGCTAAATTTTAGATAAAAACATTTATTGGGATTGAAAGTAGTGACTGTAATCAATATTTACCACTTTAATATGTTTTTAAAACAATACAACTAGAAAATATAGAACCTTTTTCCTAATAAATATCAGTGGTACCATTTTTTTAGTAAAACACATGTAACTAAGAGAATTGAATTACAAGAGGCACTTTCCATGGGAAGTTCACTGACACATATTCCCACTTTAATTTGTTACGTTTACACTTTGAAGCTAAAATACTGATAACTGATATTGTATTGTTGCTCGATATGTTTTACAAGAAACGATATCGTACCAGTCAAGAATGTTTTTATTCCATTATTCCATGCAAAAAACAAGCATTTTTCAATGTAATCTAAACTATTTTTAAAAAAAATACGCTGGAAAAATTGAACAACTAGAACTCTATAATCTAATCTATTATCTCTATTCTATAGATAAATATGGAAACAATATTTTCGTTCCTTAACTGTTTTTTTAAAATGCTTTTATGTGATTAAAGAGACATTATAATTGAAATTAAATGTGTCAAATGGTGACACTTTATCGCTTTTTCTAAAATTAGTAACGTGCTAAGAATACGCGTAGATGAAAACGTTCGGACAAAAAATTCACTATCAAAACTATACTCATAATCTTGATGAATTGACAGATAAAAAAGGTTCTTCCAGATAAACAATAGACTAACAGGGTTATTATCACAAAGGACAAAGTAGTAGCAAAGACCAGTCTAGATATCTAGATTGTAATGGTTAGAATGATAACAAGGTCAAAAGTCTTGGTTTTCTACCTTGTTAATTAATAAATAATGAAAAAAATTTAATTGGAACAAAAGAAACGGCAATAGAGTTCAAAAGACGAGATAAAATGTAAACAATATTTATTTTTTACTAGATAAGGAGGCTACAAGGGGTAAAATAAAATATGTGTTATAAGATGCTTACAGAAGAATGTCTTTTTTTGTTTTACAACCTTAACTACAATCATCAAGAAAATAAATGAAACCATAAAATATTCTTGGGGCACTACTAACCATAAAAGAAAATTATTCATTTAACTTTAAAAAATTTTTATTGTTCTCATTAATATTTCTAAAGGTTCATAATAGTGTTTTTGTTTTAATTCTTAAAAAAATCGCTTAATTTATTTGTTTGATATTTTTTATTTATATACGATAAACATCGTACAAACACATAAATATATTTACATATTGTGAAATAACTTTACTGTTCACTCACTTACTAATTAATGAAAGCACCACCTATTTAATTTTGTCATATTTTATTCTAGAAATACCCAAATCACTAATGTGACCGCTGCAAAATGAGAAAAATCCATTGTGAAAGGTTGGATTTTATAAAGTGTGTTCAGCGTAGTTCTTCGTACATAATGTTACGAGTTCACCTGAAATATTTCCAGTACACTGATAATTAAATTAGATGTTTCTACGAAGTGGTACTCATAATAACAAGACGTTTAAACTGCTATATAAATATCCGGACGAAAAATTGTGGGAGTTGCAGATATACACTTTTTTGCAATGAGAATAGTTTCTTGTTATTTTATACCGTAAAAGAACTACGCAAAATTGTGTACAAACTTTCTAATTTATAGGCTTCACTTGCTTATCTCTCTATGTCCTGCATAACTCACTCTGATTGCTATTATCTCAGTATCTGACGATTATATGCTGCTAAAACTAAATAGTTAAGTACGTCTATAATTCCATTTGTAATGGCATTGGGTTCTTTCCCTTCATTAAAGGTGTTCGAGTATTGTATTGGTACATTAATTGCTGGAAAAATGAAGGAACTTTTTCCATTAACAAATAATTCACACAATAGGATATGAAGAAAAGAGGTAAGAGTTGTATACATGTTCTAAAGAAAGATGACAAAAGGAGTACATCAATTCCATTTGCACATAATTTATTTAAGAAGGTATTTTTAAAAACATATTTTGATGCGAGGATATTTAGGGCTAGACGATTTAAAAGGTTGGCAAAATATATGATAAAACCGAAATAGAATAACGTTGTATATGACTCCTTTAAACCTTTGCCCACCATCCTATTCGAATTATATGTGACAATAGAAATATTGTACCCATAACAGTTATTGCACCGTATTCGATGAGGTTCATACTTGATTCCAGACTGAAAAAATTAAATAAATAGGGTATTTAATTATGCTCTATTTTAGATGTCTGGGTATTAATTTTTTTACTTATTCTACTGTTTCACAATCATATTAGCATTAAGATTATGTTAAATTATACATGTATTCTAATAAGTTTGAGACTAGTTTGTAAATAATCGGAAGATTTTGAAATATCAAAGACAGCTCCTAGAAACGGGGAGTCATTTCAGCTTTATTTGTTTCTTTCTCTTAACATTAAGCAGTGACTTATGCCGTCAAAGTTTCAGTTTTTACGATGACATTCCAAATAGGAGCATTCCGTAGGCAAAAAAATTGAGTATGCAACTAGTATAGCTGTTCAGAACAAAGTTACAGAACACTTAATCGCCTAGTACTTGTTTACTATGGTCACTGCAGAAAATTGGATACAACTATTAAAGAAAAAAAAATAAACATATATTTAAAGATATTTTTGGAGAGATTGGAGAGGAATGATTGATAGAAACCAGTCGAATAGTCAGAGCAATATTTTTTTGCTTCCCATTATTTATTTTAGCGGGGCCGTTTAAGTTTTATGGTTAATTTAAATTATAACCTTTGTTCTGTTCTCCCCATAAATACGGGTACAATTCGAAAGTACAAGTTTAATTTATTTTCTGTCCTCAGTTTCAGTAACCGTCGCAAACTAAAAAATGCTTTAAATGTATTTACAAGTAAGAAGAATCAGTTACTGAGCCTTCATTTGGAATAAGTCACATCGTGTATCTATACTCAATATTTTAAAGAAAAAAGAAGGTATGTCCAGAGGTAAACCAAGTGTTTACAAATGAGCTTGCTTTGGCAGGTTACTGGAATATTCACCATGTATCTATATTTTTGTAAATGCCACTACTACCTCCCGCCGTGCATCACAAAATTTACTTTTTAACAATTTAGCAGGTTTTGCTATAGTCAGAGCTGTTCCAATAAATTACAAAATAAATGTTTTAAATCCGCCTGCAAAAATTCTAGTCACCTGACTTTGGTAGCATTGAGCACTTTTGCTAATAATCAAAAACTTCCTTGGATAGGAGGACGTGCCAATTGAAATCTAACAATTAAATTACGTGTCCGAGTATTGATTTAATATAGAATAAAAAGAGATCTTAGATGACTATTGAGTATTTCTAATATATATTCTGTATTTAATTTTGTTCTAATTGGTGAAGGTGGAATAGGCTAGGTTTCCATATCCTAAAATATAGAAAATATCTTTCCGAAGAACCTTGATCATTAGTAAGTAAATTCCTGAGTTGTATTTCATCTCACCTATCTCAATATGAAAGTGAAAGTTTGAAGAACTTCTGTTATATGGAAAAGGACAGAACATATTATTTCTCTCTCTAATATAAAATGCTTGTCTGGAGGAGGTCTAGAATGTTCCTCAAGTACTGTCAAGAAATACCATTTTCGCAACCTAACATCGGAACCTCCATCTACATATTATTTTTGGACTAAGGATACCCCGCAAATCCCGGTACAACCTAATTTTGGCAATGAACAAATTAGGACATATTTAGTAATAACTAGATTAAATGTCAATTACCTTCGCAGTTTAAAATATAATTACTTATTAAATACTATCTATCACAAGGATATTCCCCTGTATCTGCCACTGCGAAATTTAGATCTTAGTTTGATAATGCATAAATTTAAATAATTCAAAATATTTAAATGTTTATTAGCTAGTTATTTTTACCAGATATTGATCAATTTAGAGTTGCCACAAGTTTTATACCACCTGAATTCTTGCCATCTTGGATATCTTTCATTATTTGTATAGTTGAACGAAGACCACTCTCATAAACCTTGACAGGTATATGCTGTAATTCGCCATTATTTAGTTTCGGATTGACAGTTTTAATAAAATCAATTATGACTTTCCTATAAGGAAGATTTGGTTGAAGGACCTTTTCTCCAAATGCTACCCTTGAACCTAATGCTAGATAAAGAATATTACCATCAATCTTAACATTAGCTCTCTTAAATTCAAAACCAATGGAATTTATATCCATATCCATATAATTCAAAACTATAGCATCATTTTTAGAGTCTGCACATCTGTATACCTGGTTTAATGTTTCTTGAGTGGAGACGCAATCAAACAGATACTGTATATTATCATACCGCTCGGTAATCTGCTTAATAACGTCTGAATCATGATAGTCAAAAACATCTGTAGCACCATTAGCTCTCAGTTGAAGTTCATTCTTTTTGGATGCAACAACAATAATATCAGCGCTAGCATTAAATTTTTTTAAAAGTTGAATTAGAGCATAGCCAAGAGCCGTAGATCCACCCCAGACCAAAACAGGGAATTTTTTTTGTGGACTCTTTGGTTCCCACTCTAAATCTAGGCCCATGTGGTAGAACAAAGATCCACCAGCAGTTAACCAAGAACATGGGATTGTGGCCGCACCTTCGAATGTAGTGACAGCCCCTTCTGGGATGAATTCCTTACCGCTGAATTTAATATCATGGTTCGCCTTAAAGGCCAATTTCGAATCTAAAGCTACATATTCGGCAAAAGCACCATTATCTGGAGCTAGCAAAGCTGCCCCATGGATATAACCATACACGTACTCACCAACATGGAATTCATTTGAATTAACATTAGAGCCCAACTTGACAATTTGCCCTACCGCATCGCAACCTACAATTGAACCTTCAGAGCCAAACTTTAAATGAACACTTTTCCAATCAACTGGATTACCTGCAACAGCCATAGTTTTCAACAACAAGTTTCCATCCCTTAATTTTGGTAAGGGTACATCAGTTTTAAGAACAGCAGTTGTTCCTTTAATAACAACAGCGTTCATCGAAGTAGGTAAAGACATTTTTTGTTGGGTTTTTTCATAACACTCACAGAGAAGTGTAAAAATAATTGAACGTAATCTTAATGACAAATTTTGCCTGCTTATATATGATTACCCAGAAAATCGAATTATATCATTTTCATATACTTAATATAATTTAACCTCTTTGATACCTACTTAACTTAATAAGAAAAGAGTAATGTAATAATTAAGCACTTAAATCATTACATTATTAGTAAGCGAGTTTCTGTCAAATTACTCAGTAAATCAACATTATCTAATGTTGAAACAAGAAATGGTAAGAACAACCTCACCCTTTGACATTTTTTATTAACTAATCCATCCTCTCTTTACAATCACAGAAGGCGGAAATGGATCTAAGACGGCTATTAGAAGGAAATGTTATGTTTGAAAATCAATCTACTGTCTTCAACCCTCTGCGGTGAGTTCTTTGCGCATCTTTTGTTTCTGTATATAACTGAAATAGATAAGCGAGATGCCTCAAAACTTCGTAGGAAATTTGATCAAAAAAGATTTTGTGCACTGAAAACGAAATATATGAAAAATGTAGGACCATAGGGGATATTTTAGGGGATTACATAATAAACTATATAAATTTTTAAAAATATTCCAAAAATACACAATAAATGAAAACCGAGGAGAATGTTTACCCAAAGTTTCAATGTAATGGGTGAATTAGTTACAACTTATAATTGTGTTTTCGCCATTTTTCATTAAATTTGGCTGGGGTAAAACTATACGCATCATTTTATTCAGAATATTTATTATTATGCGTAACCTGAAGCGTTCGTAAAATGGGTATTATCAACCCACCATTATAAAAATATAAAGTAATTTAAGTTAATTAATTTTTAGGTTCTATAATTTCATACAAACGATCATTTATCATAACAAAAAAATGTCCGAATTACATTCAACTAACAAACAAGAAATTAAAGAATCAAATGAGATTAAAAACGTAAACTCGGATAGTCTACAATCAGTATAAAAGACCTTGAAAGTTTATCCAAATTTTGATATCGAGTTAAGGGGGATACTCTAAACAATTAAATTATATATTAAAACCTTGATTAATAGCCTTTCATATTTTTGATATACAATATCAACTTGGCCACATCAATGCATTCAGAAAGAAATTTTGTAAGCAGAGCTAATAGATAAGAATTACTAACCTAACTGCACCCGTCCTTCTAAATATAAGAATGACCAAGGAAGTAAAATACTGAACTACTTACCATTTCAATTTTTTCATATATTACATAAAAACAGAGAATACTTAATGAATGGAAAAATTAAATTTTTAATTAGAAAAAATTGAATAAAAATTGAATAATTTGAAACAAAATTGAGAATATCAATCTTATTTCATTTCAATCTTCATATTTGCTTTATATTAATTTCAAATTTAGCAATTTATTATAAACTTAAAATGGTTGTATACATAGGATAAACAACTAACCAAATCCAACAATATGAGCTCCACTGACAGTCACGATCTTTTCAAAGCAAAGGTCGAAAATACTTCTGCTTCTCAGACTTTGGCTTTAACTCAAAATTTAAGTCTTCAAAAAAAAGTTCCCACTCTACAAAAAAAGGGATCGGGCTTAAACGAAATACTCCAAGAATAGTAAACAGTAAATCCAGGACTCACACAACAGTAGCTTAATGTAACTTGACATTTTTAATAAGATCAAATACCGATATTAGGGGGCCTGCTATTCCTCCTACAACTATGACTTTGATAACCTTGTTACCAATTGCGGCACGAATTATTTCAGTACACCTTATATCGACGAATGCTTCTTTGAGGAGGAACTCTTAGAAGTGCTGTGGGGAAAAGTTGAAACTGGATAGGCGTCATGTCATAACGGATTACATTGTAATAGGTATACGCTTCAGTTTCTATTTTGCATGTCAATTGAGCACTCAGAGTTCGTGGGCAATTTCCTGGAGGACAGTTTCAACAAGTGATATATTCCCGCCTGTCTGTGGTATCCAAACGCCTCCAAGAAGGAGGCTTGTTTGAAATTACTAAAGATTCCTGCAGACTACAGGTACCCAATTGGTTGCGTGGCTGCATTGAACAACTACAACGATGTGGTGCTCACCATATTTGCGAAAATATCTGTGGTTTGTAGGGTAATGTTGGAAAATATAACATATTGGCTAAAAAGGGTACCTTTATTATCAGAGTCATCATTAAAGATATCTATCTGAAAATTGCAATTGAGACCTGTATCAAAACTGATGCCATATTTTAAGTCAGGCCCCAAAACGTAATGCATAAGAAAGTTACGAGCAATGATTTCATCCATTTTGACAATATATTTAATAGATTTACATCCTATTTGTGATTGGTCAGTGAAGACCCTGTAAGGTTCAAAATATAGTATATTTGAGCACGATTGTATGACGAAAACTGTAGTGTTTTAATATGGAGTGACATTCTTAAAATATTGTGATGTTTCATTTTTAACTGTCACAGAATTTATATATTTTACTATGTTTTGTTTTGTCAAGCTTAAACTAATTAAAGAAAACTCATTCGAGGAAAATGATCAAAAATAAAAAATTAGTAATTTTGAAATAGATAGAAAGGTCTCCCTAAATTTTTAAACGTTTCTTGCCTATAGCATGGAAGGGGTTAAGAAATATATCTTTTATTGAGAAATGTTGTTATCCTTATGTGAATATCTCTAAAAATCCTTGGCTTTTTTCAAACATCGTATACAATACTTTTATTGACAAAATTACATTGTTTTATTTTCTTCTCATCTCTTTATACTGCTAGCTCCAGAAAGACAGATGTGGGAACTGAATAATCATTTTTGATTTTGTTTTTCCGAATATTTTTCGGTGCCAATCGTTCTGACTTACTCAAAAGTACAGGTAGTAGCACCCTTCCCCAGAACCCCCCCAGGGGGGAGTCGTTAGTGTATTCCGCGAAGATATCCTTTTATTTCTTGGTCTCTTTTGTAACTAATAAAAAATTTCACATATATGTCTCTGAGATTTTGTGTAAATATTTCAACACTCTTTGCGTTAGGTTGTTCAAAAAACACCTTACTACGAACAAAATCAAAAAAAAATTATTCAGTATTTGAAAATCTCTTTGTCTTTACGATTAAGCATGGAGTAGGGTTTTCAAAAATAAGAAGCCCGCCCGCCCATTTAGACGAAATTTTAGGCCAACCTCCCCCGGAAACCCCATGCTCGCAGAAACCCCTCATTTTGAAATTTTTTCAAAACTCCACCCAACGCTTAACCAGGGTGCAAATCTGACAGCATACCAAACGCCGCGTCGCTCCACTCCGCTCTTTTTCTGTATGTAGTAACACAAATTTCATGGTGCGTCGGTTAGTAACCTTGGCATTTCTCGAAATAGGTGCATTTCAATGTTGATGCCTAAAATTGCACCAGTTTCTCACTAACATTATTCAAGCTGATACAAAAATAACTCTATTAAAAATATACACAAACAATTCGGATAAATCAGCCAAAAATGTAGAATAATTACTGTTTATTTGCACCCATTGTCTATGTCTATTCAGTTATTGCAACTTAATTCACAAAAGTATAAATAGACATGAAATCAATGTGATCATAATTATGTGTCACTTCAACTGCCAGTCTTTATACTATTCGACATCAAAAACATAACCTTACACTGAAATTAAAGAAACTACACAAATGAAGATTTCATCAGTTTTATTATCGAGCATTTTAGTCTTCAGCACTGCTAACGCAGCTTCCTCCTCCTCCTCATGGTCCTATACTCATGCCTCTAATCATGCTGCATTAGCTTCCTCCTATTGGGCTGCTCACTCTACAGACTCTTCTGTTGCAGCAAAACATTCGCAATATGAATCATGGGCCAGTGCTTCCTCGGTCAGTGCGTCATCGGCATCATCTGCGTCAAGTGTGGCAAGTAGAAGCTCTGCTTCCGCTAATGAAGGCTTCAAGAGAGACAACTTACAAGGCACCATGATGTTTACCATTGCAGGTGCCATCTTCATGCTAATGTAAGATTTATTTGTCAGTTCTATATAATTTCAAATAAACTTTTTTCAAGTATTTTTTATTTAATGCCTCTCTACATGTGTATGTGTACTATTTGCTTAGTTCACTTACGTTGTATATCTTTTAATATACATATATCGATTTCTGAATAGTTTATTACTCCGAAATGAGGTCTGAGCGAAGAGACGGCCGGAAGAGGGCACCTGTCGTTTTGCTACAGTATGCAGGCGTATGGTCAATATATTTTTCAGCGAACAGAGAAAAAAACGCGACGGGAAATTAGAGAGTGATGGTAAACAGTAATGGTTTATTGAGTAAAGATTAATTGAAACTATGAATTATTGCCGTGAAACGTATAGAAAGTATTTGAGTAACGAGGTGTGATTGGGCATTATTTTATAATGGCATATCATAAGATGAGCA